CTTTGTTTCAACTGCACCCCGCTAGATGGCACCACCTGTCTCTGTAACCACGCGAAAATTGAATTTTTGAACCACTCGCGCCATTCCCCAGAGTAACGTCCGTTTTTTTTTTTTCATGAATCAAACAGAAGATAACAAGCAGCCTTTTATTGCGTCTCTTAATGCACGGAACGTTCTTTATTTAGTGTTGTTAAATTGATTACTATTGATTATTGTAGACGTTCCGTCTGATGTCATCGGGATCATTTTGAAAATGTCCTACTGCGGCTCTTGTGTTCTTGTGCATTTACTTTAATTTATCGGTAAGTAGGGCACTATTGTTGATAATATTGTTACAGAAGAGAAAGACGCCGTCGTTTTAGATGTTGTCGTACATTGAGCTTTCACTCTAACGTAAATTGTTATTTGACTTTAGTGTCATTTTAAGTGTCTAGCGCAGCATGAAAAAAAAACAATTTATAAAAATGTTACATAAAAGCTAGAGAATGCAAGATGAAGAAATGTAAGAAAAAAAAAACTGGCATTGTATATTGGTGGTCCGGATTGTACAGTGTTTCATGCAAGATGAAAAAAAAAAAGTTACAGGTGAAAATCATTCATGACTCGGGTGTCACGAATTTATTGAAATAAAATGAATAGAATAAAATTGAAGACAACAAGTAATGTGCAAAACAATTGCAGTGAATGTTATAGTGTCCTGTCAGCGTAAACGTGTAGTAAATGACATTGAAGAACAGGAGGTGTTGCTCCCTGCCGACGTTCTCTGACGCCCGCGCAGTCATGCCGTTTCCGCTAAGTTGATCGCGCACCCCCCCCCCCCCCCCCCCCCTCTTTTTTTGTGATAACGGTAATCGTCGTGGAGATGAGCTGCGCCCGCTGGAATTTGTCACACGTGCTGGCACTTCCTCGTCGTTTACAAGGCACTCGCCGTTTCCTCCTTATTTGGAAGCCGGTTGCGGTGACGTGATTACGTGATTATATTAGTTCTTTGGCATCCGTCGTTCTCGTGCGGTGAGCACGGTAGTCAAGATAATGCGCGGAGCTCCGAGGAATAGCGCTTTCAAACGGCTCGTCGGTCCGCCGGTGCTCGGCTGCTAATCCCAAGGCCGCGCGTTCGACCTCGGCGGCGGCTAAATAAACCAACCAGGTCTACAGAATTGTATAACCAAAGATTAAAATTGCGAAAAACGCGTCTAGACTATGCGGTTGATACCAGCGCTGCGTAGAGTTACTACGGTACATTTATACATTAGTAACTAGCCGCGCCGCCAGACGGCACCACTGCTTCGGCAATCGCGTGGGGTTACCCGTGCTGCGCACATCCTCTAGTTTGTTAGTTACTGTGTATGATACCCATAGATAAAGGTAGTATATGCAGTAACTCTACGCAGGATTTACCCTGCAAAAGAAGCGCGCAACTACGCACATGTTGTTTTGGTGCTCTCGTATCCAAACCACTTAATTGAGCGACGTCTCCTTCCAAACTCCGTGCCTTCCTCCTTGAGCGACGTAGACTGTGCACGTGTACAGTCGCTTGCGCAGCTGCTCTCTTGCGTTTCTCTCGCGTTCGCCAGAAGTAGCAGCGCGCCGCGGCCGGAGTGGTAAAAGTAACGAGCGAAGGCACCAATGTTGTATTCGCAGCGCAGGCGCTCTGCAGTCGCAGCCGCGGCGCCGGTTCGCGCCGGAGAAGAGAATCTATTTGCGGTGTGTCCGCTTCGTTCCCGCCGGGGTACCGGCAAAAAACAGCCTAGAGGAAGATATCCTACTGCCGAAAGAAGACGGGTGCCGCGCGCGCTCGCCGCCCGTCAGCGACACCACTCTGCTGCGGCGGCGAGCGCTTTGGATCTCGCGTTTCCGTTTTGTTTGTTTGCGTTCGCGCAACCAACCAACGGCTCGTTAATTTTGTCAGCGCAGCAGTTGGTGCCGCGAGTCTAGCTGCATCTGCGAACCCCTCGGTTGCTGCGCCTGCCGGTGTTGCGGCCATCCGCCAAGCCGGCGACGACTCGTGGTCGGTGGTGAGAAGTCCCGCCTCGCAATATTCGCATTGCCGTCCTGCGGCCCCGTGCTAACCATACATGCCTCGGCCAACTGCGGATACAACACGCAGACGGTTATACCTTGCTATGCTCGACTCGTCATCCGCAGTCACGGCGCAAGCTGCGGGCGCGTGAACTGGGGTATTATTATTTCACTTTAAGACTGTCTAAAAGAGGGTTTAAAATGCTAATTGGAACTTGCCTATGAGACGACGCCTTTCGGAGATGACCAGAAGTGCCGTTTCGTCGTATTGCGCCACGTGTTTGCCACGAATGTCGTCTACTATTGCTATTTTCGTCAAGTCGTTTCCGCGAATAACCGCCTCAGTTTGTTTGCACTCCCATCTCCACTCCACTTTCGCGTGTGGCAGCTTGGGCTAGTTGGTATGGCATGACGATAGTTATAGCGCGAGAACAAAACGACGACACAGAGACAAGAAGGACACGAAAGACACGAGCGCTCGTGTCCTTCTTGTCTCTGTGTCGTCGTTTTGTTCTCGCGCTATAACTATCGTTATCCACTTTCGCGTGTGCATTCTGTTCAGAAAATGTGGCTAACAGTTATTTTAATAGCACTGCCTTTTTCGAAGGGGACTCTTAAATAATGAAGCACATTGAGAGGTCTGCCTGCGAGAAGCTGGCATTCGCCATGGCTTCATTGCCCTGCAGAACCAGCAATATCCGTGCCATTTTGTTCAAACACCAGTGCTGGTTATTTTTGGTAATGCTGACGGGAAAGCCTCACTTAAGGCAATCGCCCGGCCACGTTGGTCTAGTGGCTAAGGTACTCGGCTGCTGACCCGCAGGTCGCAGGTTCAAATCCCGGCTGTGGCGGCTGCATTTCCGATGGAGGCAGAAATGTTGTAGGCCCGTGTACTCAGATTTGAGTGCACGTTAAAGAACACCAGGTGGTCAAAATTTCCGGAGCCCTCCACTACGGCGTCTCTCGTAATCAAATAGTGGTTTTGAGACGTTAAACCCCACAAATCAATCAATCACTTAAGGCAATGTCTTGAAATGGTGGAAGAGCAGCAAGAAATTAAGGTAAAAATTCAGACAAGTAGTTGCTTTACTGTGATTTGATTTACTCGACTTGTGTACAGGAGAAAGACAAAAATGCAGAGTACGAAAGTAGTTCACTATTCCCATGACTTGTAAGCAGGCACACTTAAGCATATTCATGTGGCCGCCTAAGGATGGCCCCAGACTTGTACTTCATTTAACTGTCATTTAACCGCCAACCTTAGCTGCAAAATTTTGGAATAACAGGAAACTGGGGCACATTTTTATAGCATCAGCATAAGCTTGGCTGAGCTTAAGTCTGCCGACACTCTTCTTCAATCTCCTATGGCTATGTAATATCTGGTCAAGCGAAACGGGGATGATTGACTAGTTTGGTGTTAACTGTAAATGATGGGTGTGAAAAAAAAAATACTTGAAGGTAATGGTGAATTTCACACAGAGGATGCCAGTTTTTAAGCATCAATAGAGTTAGTTACAATAAAAGAAGTGGCTACTAGTGATTCGGTTGCTGTTGCATCAGTATTTGGAATGCATTTTGGCCAACCCAAAACCATGAAAAGACAAGTTGTGAAACGGTTTTTCATTGTGTGAACGCAAAAAACGGCAGAAACTTGACTTGTGACTTGCACCTTTGGAGACAAGGGTTAATGAGTGTTATGGCACCTATAAAGTTATCATATTAGCCATTCCAATTAGTGTGATTAGTGCCGACATCACTGGTGCTTCTCAATTTCGATGCGAGACCACATGGTAGTAAATTTCGCCGTCTGTCAGCACATTTTTCACTTCTTGTGTAGAAACCTGCGTGGCATGGCACTGTTTTTTACAATGTGTGTCACTGGGTCAATTGAGCCAGTCATAAATTCTTTAATGCTAAAGTACTTTTGTATCCTCAGTAATGTCCAGTCTATCAAATTTTTTCATTGAGATGTACGAGAAAATTGAGAAATGACCGTAGCTTTGGTATTTCGTGTATGTGGTCCTTTGAACATATCTTCGTTGGCTATTGCAACTCACTGAGCTAGCTCAGTGACTGTAGCATTTTTCTTCTTAGCAGAAGGTAGTGGGTTTGGTGCCCTGTTCCTTTCGGCTGAAGCAAAATGCAAGACACCTCTGTAAACTACTCTCAGTAAATGGAAATCTCTTAAATAGAACTGCTCCTTAAATTGAAGAAGTCTTCTGACAATATTGGTTTCGTTCTTGCATTTTCCACCCCCAGTCAGCTCTTGGTAAACACTATTCTTGTTAACTGGAACGAATTTTCCTGGTCTCTTCAGGTTCCATTTAATGAGTCTACTGTACTTAAACATAGGTGCATTTCCAAAAAGTTCATGCGGTCAAAGTTAATCCGGAGTCCTGTAGACATAACCCAGATGCTGCTTTCATATTAAACTTATGTTTAAGAGCATGAATATTTGAATATATTTGCAACAATTTTACATTTCACAGCATCAACTGCACTCAGTAATATATTCAACCTTTTTCTTTCCTAGTTCCATTAATTTTGATCTGGGGGCATAGTATAGGCATAAAGTATTACCAATGTAGTAGAGCTGGTTAAATATAGTCGGGCATTGTCTTTATGCACTATTTGTATTCTTTTTGGAACTCCTGTGTTTGCAGGCAAACTACTTATTTATTCCAAACACACTATTTATGCTACTAAATGCCTCACACCGTGCCCTTGTGATGACTGGCCTGCGTGGTTACTAAAAAGAATGATTCAATTCGGCCACCGTTAAGTTTCTATTCTGTCTTAAAAGTTACCCTTGTAACAACCAAACTTGGGAACGGGCAATCAACCAAACCGCATGCGATGCAGCTGCAACTGCAGTGCTCTTGCTGCTTATCACTGGGTGCGGTATCTGAGCGGCTAATGTATAGTACCGCCAGGTCTAAGGGTGCTATTTTTGCGAAATCTGGCTGTTCTCTCACCTGCAGAGCACATACGATTCGGGCTCAATCTACGAGCCCATTGTGCCGCGACCTCCCAGCCAAATGTCTGGCTACAGCAGCACGGGCTCGTCCCTGTATTCATCCTACTACCCGGGCCGCATGGGCACCGGCCACAAGTCCGGTAACCACCGAGGGGGCCAGGAGGCCGAGGTGGACCATCTCACTGACTTGCTTGTGCAGAGCATGGAGAGTTCCGGTGATCCAGACTTCTTTGGTGAGCGATCCCAGTGGCCTCTCCCAACTCTGTGATAGTGTTGGTTCGTTTTTAATGCTGAAAGAGTGCGTAGAGGCGGAATGTTTCTGAATCGTTCTTCTGCAAATTAAACTGCAGAATCTGCTTTTTTTATTAGCATTTTTCAGGTTTTCAATCTCCAGCTGAATTTATTTTCAATTCACTTCATGCTAAATGTAACCAGTAACAGTTGTTATGCACTTTCTTTTCTATGGTACTGGGCATCAATAGACTTTTTCCCTTCTTTTCTGCTATGATGTATGTATTACTTAGGAACACAGCAGACCGAGGAGCAACATGCAGTAATCTTAGTTTTTATAGCTAATTGCAGAGATTTGCCATTGTTAGCTCTGTGTCATTTTCTGGTTAAGTATCCATATGCCCTTAGTGTGAATTACAGCAGCTGCTTTTTCAGCGTTGCTGCAACAACTAAGTGAAAGTGGTGATAGCACTCCCTATCGACAAGCGAGGGGAATAATTCGCAGCTGCCAAAGAGGGAGCCACTATGAGAATATCTAAAACGAAAAATTCTATCTTCTTTTTTGCATGCATTAACTTAAAACTTTGATACGTATGAAGAGACTGTGTGGAGACTACTGTGCATATGCCCCTAATGTTTCACTCTCTAACCATGTTCTAACCACGCTTGCTCAGAGGATGATGAACCACCAGTCATCGGTAAGGAAGATTATTTTGTCCTAAAGATGCATGCTGTTTTGACTATATGCAGATGGAGAAATAAGAATGGCAGCTGTCCTGCCTGTATATTTTATCTTTGCAAGCATGCATTCTCCAGTTTGCAGCTAAACTCGTGCTACTGATGATTGTGGACTGCCATTTAGTATGCAGTTATTTTATTGTCATGATGTCAGAGTGACAACGGAATGACTTCTTACCTGCAGTAGCTGTCAAAAAGCATTGTTTCTGTGAACAGGGTGCTAAACATGTGCCTCTACTGCTTCTTGCATGGTGATTCTAGGCTTGTACTGTACATAAATAGTGGCAAATGCTTTAGGAAGTGCTGCTTGTGAAAACCTGCTGCATGCTGCGCAGTATAGCTGAATTACTAATTTACTATAGCATGATTTGGTGATATCAATATACATGCTGAGCAGTTGCAACACCACGTGATATAGATTCCAAATGGTAATAGTCGTCAAGGTCTTGTGTCCCGAAACCACAATATGATGGTGAGAGGCGTTGTAGTGTATTATACCGAGTGTGTAGGGCCACAGCCAAGTCTCCAGGTGGACAAGTGTCTTGATGTAATCACAGCCCTTGTATATATATATGTACATTCGTGCATGCTGTGCTGCCATTCAGTGGTATTGCTGTACACTACTAAGGGCTCCGGGAATTCCGCCCGCTGATGTTCTTTACTGTACACCTATCATTCTATCATTTCACCTCCCTTGACATGTGGGTGCTTCGACTAAGATTCGATCCCGCGACATGAAATGGCAGCTACGCTTCTCCAATATTGGGTAATTAGTTGGTACTGGGGCTGATTGCTGCACTTGTCGCTTGGTAAACCTGTTTGCTTATTGATAGGTAGTGAATACCTGTATTTACTCGCGTAATGAACCCACCTTTTTTTTTTTTTTTTTTGAGAAAAGTTGATCCCAAATTAGGGGGACGGTTCATTAGGTGTGAGAACGACATTTTCGGGTGCCAACTTGGCTTGTTTTGACCCGTGAAATTCACGACAAATCTTTTTTGTAGCCTGAAGCTCTTATTGTTTCGTCCCGTAATCAAAGTGCATGGATCAATGCCAAAGTGTCGTTTGGTTGCTCGGTTCCAATGCTCCACTGCATGCTCTTAGTAACCAGTCGTGTAGTATAGCGTACTGGCCAAACGCGCCCTGCGCAGCAGGTGTCCCAACTAAGTTCACAACGACAAGCCCAACAAAAACTGCAGCGTTGAATGGCGGCGTACAAACTGTTGTGGTAGACGTTGCAGGTGCACAATGCACCGTCGGCACGGTTGCGCTTTGCATAGGCATGTTCCACGACGCAGTGCGAGCGTCATTTTGGACGCCATGAGCTTTGTTTTTGTTCTGCGGCTGTGTTTTTGTGGCGCTATCAACAAAGAGGTTTCTCATGCTTTGCTGTTCAAGGCGCAACTTTCAAATTTTGATTGACATCGTTCGCACTCGCGCTGCTCGCAGCTGTTTAGCATGATTGCAAAACTATCTTTGGCTTTCATTGCGTTGTTATTTTGTGATATAATGGCTTGATTTAAACTTATTTTGAATTTTAACGGCACTGGCTATCATACATAAACAAAACGAACAGATACATTAAAGTTTTTTTTTCAATGATCAAGGAGGGGTGTTATGCAAGTGGGTTTATTACGCAAGTAAATGCGGTAGTTGTCACACTTATTGGTTAGGTACTAGATGATTGTTACACTTCTTGACATGTATGTACTGAGTAGTTGTTACACCTATTGACATGGTATGTTGATGGCTTCAGGTACTGATTCATTGGTAGACAGACACTAGATGATTCCTACACTTACAGGTACACTTACTACATGATTGTTTAGGCGCTTAATATAGATAATGGCAGATGGTTGCACCTATTGACATGCATTAGGTTGTTACACTTATTGGTTGGTTTCTGGAAAACTGTAACGATTATTAGTATAACTTCTGCATGGTTGTTAAACTTCTTGACTGGTGTATTGGTGGATAGCTGTTGTCCCAATTAGTACATGTACTGAATGGTAGGTATACAGCCTTTTGGTGCACTCCACAGCTATACACTGTGGAATGCGCCTAAAGACTGCTACCTTCGTGAGTCTTGTACAGAAAGCTCAAAGCTCATTCATGTGGATTTCCTAGTACCAGAAGTGTCCAAATGAATAAAATGCTGAATTATTCGAATATATAAAAAAACAAGCAATTGTTTATTAAATCGGTGTTTTCTTTTTCATGATAAATGCATAAATCAGGTACTTATTTGGCGTAAGAGCAATGTAAAAGCCAAAATTTTCTTTGTTTGCTACTTCATACACAATGTGACTGTGACTCAAGACCGCTGTGTCTTAAGATGAAACAAGCCTTGAACCCATCCTTTATTATATACCACGAACACCACTACGTGTATGTGCCGATGATCTTTTTGCCGTAAAGTTGGCCAGGAACTGATATGTTGTTCATCACAATATAACAAGCAAGTTTCATGTCAGCATGTGGAATGCGACAGAAGTTCATGTTCAAATGCTTCTGTCATGTCAGAGTTCTGTGACATTGCTCACGCATTGCCCAAGTCAATGCGAACGTACTGAGTGCTGCACCTGCTGTGCAGGAAGTTGTGGTCGCCAAAGGCACAATCATAGCGTCCACGTAGTTATGATGGCACGTGCGAGGCCTACGCATTAAGCCCAAATGAAATTTTTGAGCATAGTATCTTCTGCTCAATAAACCTGCCATCGCACATTTGCAATGCTTCATGCTTAGGGTGCTCCGAGGATCCAATACATGTGCTTGCTGAGAACAAAGAATATGTCTATATTGTTTGATTTTCTTAGTGGGCATAAAATTAATGAGCTTTTACTGTAATACTGTTGCTTGTTTTCACTTGTCGCTTGATTTTGTTTAAACTGACCTTCGGAGACAGGCATGCACGGCTGCTTGCAAATTGCATTGATGTTTATGATTTTCGTTTAGTACATCCAGTGGCTTGTTTTCCAACATGACTCATTGTTTTTTCTCCTTTCCCTGTTTCTCTTTCAGGCATGTGTTACAAATGCGGAGAAAAGGTGCTTGGAGAAGGCAGTGGATGCACTGCCATGGACCAGGTTTATCACATCAAGTGCTTCACGTGCCATGTGTGCAGTAAGTTTCCACACCACGTCCATTCACTGGTGCATTGAAAAGCACACTGTGAGGTCGATGCGTTTCGGATGCACAAATTAAAAGCTTTTTCTCCCCATTGCAGTGAAGGAACTTAGAGGGAAGCCTTTCTTTGCTATGGAGGGAAAACCATACTGCGAAGATGACTACTTGGTATGTTCACACCCATTTGTTAAATCTGCAGTTGCGTGCTAGTGCATTTCTCAAATGGTCATTACACAGCACTCCGGCAATGCTGCAAAGTAGTAGAACCTCCTTCATTCGAGCTCTGTGGGCATTGTAAATATGTTCAAATGTCCAAAATTTGAACAGAAAGGCACCTCCATTGAATATAGTACCCGATTACCCGTGTGGTCTCTGCGCGAGTGTAAGCTCTGCAGCATGTTCTTTGCACTCTTCCAAGCATTCTGGGCCTTACACGTTCCAGACATGTTCCAGGCAGTGCTCCCCTGCCCTTTCATTCACAAATTCCTGGCCAGTGGGTGGAGGTAGCAAGCTGGCATTTGAGTGAGATGAAGGATTGGTTACTGGTGCTGTGAGTGTTCATGGGAATGTTCGGGGAGATGAGCTTGCGTGTGGCTAAGCAAGGGGGTTATGGGTGGAGAATAGAGAGTTTTATCTTGTGTCAGCACAGCTGCGTAGGTGTATTGTTCATCAACTTGAATTTGGAGACCTCCGGTTATTGCGATACTACTGTATAAAAACAATGGCGTTAATGGTGTATTAAAAGAAAAAAAGAAAAGCCAGGTAGCATTATTTTGTTGCTGCTATTGTAATATATTTCATAGTCAAGGTAAACTGAAGGTTCACTTTAAAGAAGGTTGGCACTTTAAAGAACCATTGTAGTATTGACAGAATGCGCAGAGACCATTATTACCAGTGAAACATGGATGTGAAACTCTAGCTACGCCAGGTCTCAGCAGAAGAGATGCAGCATAGGAAGTGTTTACATAATTTGGTTTATACGTCTCTGTAGATGATAGTAGGTGAAAATCTCTTATTGCTTCGGGCTAATTTGCGGAACGTCTGCTATTAGATGTGCTGTTTTGTGGACACGAACTGCCAGCTGTACGGCATGATGGTCCAAGTATATTTATTTGCATTGGACTCAATGCCATATATGCCGACAGCAGTTGATTGATCAAACATTTGTGTGTTTTGGATTTTCTTTTTCGTGTAATAGTAATAATACTAATAATAATAGTATGTCATAAAACCCAAGTTCATGAATATAGAATTTGGCAGAAAATATTCATTTTTTTTTCTCGCAGAACACCTTGGAGAAGTGTTGTGTATGTGAAAAGCCAATCTTGGACAGGGTAAGTGTCCTCATTCTATCCGTTAGTATCTTCTCTTAACGACAGTGTTTCAAACGAATTGCTGGAAGGGTGCATTGCCTCCCACAGATTCTGCGTGCTACTGGGAAGCCTTACCACCCGGCCTGCTTCAGATGTGTTGTGTGCGGCCAGTGCCTGGACGGCATTCCTTTCACCGTGGATGCCACCAGTCGGGTCCACTGTATCGACGACTTCCACAAGTGCGTACTCTTTGTCTTCTCCACCTTGCCTGGACCCATGATTGTCGTCAATGCAACTAACCTGTAGTCGTGGGCTGTTACCAGAATTAAATGGCATTACATTTTACCCAAAGCAGTAGAGTAACGCTGATGCAGATACAATCGCAAGTGTCAACAATATTGTAGTTGCTGTCAATCGAGTAATGCTATTGTTCTATTAGTGTAAGAATAGTGAGGAAAGCTCATTAATTGGAACATGAAGGGGCTGTAAGATTGTTTTAATTAAGCAGTTTGAATTAAGAGGCAGGCACTACAATGAAGGGACATTGTGCCGTACTGCTCAGTCACAACCCAAAAAAGCCACCTCTGGACTCATTATCGTGAATTAGATTGCATATTTGTCGCTGGTGATTTCATAAATAGAACATGAAGCTCCAACAGCGAATAGGATTATTTGATCGGTCAGTGGCACGGAGGAAAGAAGCATATTCATGCAGTCATCTGAGCAGTGAGCCTTAATGCGGAAATAAGGGACACTATTTGTGCTCCAAAAGATATTTATTTACAATTCAATTAAAATTAAAAGGAATCAGTAATTTGGATTTGCTTGGATCTCCAAGAGAATTGTTTCTGGCTTGCCTAAGAGCCCCAGCGCAGCGTCCGAATTTTCTTCTGCTAAGAAGTGCTGCAGTTTTGTTGTTTTTGCATCTCTAGTAAATTTGGTTTGGTTTTGCAACACATTGTGATCACTTGAGGTCGACTTCTGCTAGGAGTCATGAAAACCTAGTTCGAATTAACCATAGGAGATACCAACGCATTTGAATTATTGGGAGTTTCCCCCCATAGAACTACACAGGGCTGTATCAGGACAAGGGCATCTATTTGAATTAACAGAGTTTGAATTGACAAACCTCATTATAACGAAATCGCATCTTACACGAAAATCAGTTTGTTATATCCAAAAATTCGTTATAAATGTGTATTCTTAATATCTATTGCAAGACTATTTTTCATTTACTTTGTTGAAACTGATGTTGTGTTATGTCTGTGTTTGTTTTATGGAAGATTCAGTGTGTGTGTGTGTGTATTTTTTACTGAATTGTCATTATTTACTTCACGCAGCCATTTGTGTGATCAGTCGGTAACTGTTGTGTAAAAACTTTGCCGTGACATTGCAAATAGTAAGCGTTAATTTTACAAGTTTATTAAAATAACTGCGCAACGTATTACTAATAACTAATTACTGCCAAAGATTGTTGACTTGTCTTCATTGAACGACTTTCATATTCCTTGAAACTTTAGAATGCTGCAAATAAGTGTATTTGGTTCTGATCCGACAAGTAATGCGCGTTTCCTCCCACCTTCTGCCGTGCTGCTAATAACACGTATACTGCATTAATGTAGGAGCAGTCTGTTACGTTAGATCTCTCGCAGTCCTGCTGTATGCCTTCCCCAAAAGCTGCTACTCAGTGTAGTCCATCAACTTTTCTGTCTCTGACTTAATGCAGCTAACATTGCTGAGTCGGTGTGGTCTGTTTGCCACCTGCATTTATTGATTCAGCATCTTTCGCTTGTCTTCTTTACGTACTTGGTGTTATTAAATGCTGACTAAGCGCTTTTAAATTTATGCATAGTGACAGAAATTGCTGCTGCTTTTCTCAAATGTTTGTTGCCTGTTAGGAATTTATCATACTTTGGACTTGGTGAAGGTTTTTGATTTTTCTACACGATCCTAAACAATGGGCTAAAGGCCCACGCGACAATTCCAGCAGTTTTAGGGCGAAGCTCCTAAAAGCGTGGGTCTGTCCATTCCTTGTATGTGTGTATGTATGTATGTACTAGACAGCATGCCTACAGTTCCATCTTTGCCAACTGTCTACTGCTTCGTCCTTGCAAACGTCTCACTACGCCCCATCACCGATCCACTACTCCACCGACTATAAAACAAACACTGTTGAGAAGTAGTCAATATGAAATGCAAGATGGTCGTGTACTTGTATCCAAGTGCGCGTTAAAGAACTATAGATTGTCCCACTGTGTCCATTCCTTGTTTGTAAGTGAACACCTATAGTTCCACCTTTGCAAACTGCCCACTACTTTGTTCTTGCAAACATTCCACTACGCCCCATCATCGATTCACCACTTCACCGACCATAAAGTCGTTATAATGAAAAGGGAACGAAAGAGACGTATAGCTACCACTTATGAATAATAAAATTTCTTGTATAGATATAAACAGTGTTTGTCACGTCTTTGATAATGTAGTGGGCGGTATTCGTGGATGGTTCACGGTTTAGAGATGAAACCCTTCAGCACTTTGCACCACTCATTATTATTCACTTTGTGGATGTGCTGTGATTTTTGTTTGAGCAGCATCTCTCACTGGCTGCTAGAGGTAGACTCTCTGTTGCTTCAACGGCATTCTTCCACCTCAACGGCAATCACGTGACCCGGCTGCAACTTCCCAGACACCAGCTCCTGAGGTTGGAAGTTCAAAACGTAGCGATACTCTGCTCAAAAGCAAGAGGTGCGATGACAGGCATACACCTCTCCCTTCCCATAACCATTTGAAGGAAGTGCTGCGATCTGTTCAACATCAGAGTTTGACCACTGCAGCAGCCTCCGGCTCGCGGGGTGTGAAGAAATGCTGTGATGGCATCCAGGGCTGCAACACGGATATATATCTTGCGCGTAGTCCGCCAACCTGTTGCCAGACACCAAGTCGTGTTAGTTGGCATCAAAGATAAGCACCCATTACAGTTAAAAAGTTACAGTCAACTTGGAACTTTCTCGACTCCTCCACTCCGCTGTGTCCTTAACAATAGCCAGTCCAGTTCATCGTATTTAAGCATTAACGTTCTCACGCTTAATGTAAACAGGCCTGCAAAGGCACGCTAGGGTTCATTGCATGATGTCTGGAACCCAAGTGTGGGTCCCCAAACTCAGTTGCCGAATATTTCGTTGCTTACAGGAAATTTGCCCCTCGCTGTTGTGTGTGCTCTCAGCCAATTATGCCTGAACCGGGCAAAGAAGAAACGGTCAGAGTTGTTGCCCTGGATCGGAGCTTCCACATCAACTGCTATAGATGCGAGGTAAGTCTGTGCTTTGTGGCATTCAACCAACCATGGAACCTTTCCATTATTTATTTATTTGTTCATTAGGTGATGGTATTGTCATACTGCAAGGCTGCTTCTATCTCTTAACTGAAAATTTTTAGAAAATGAATAGCTCTGAATGGATACACAAACATAATTCTCTTCTTATACTGCTGGCAACTTCACTGCATAACATTATACAATGTAGATCTTGCTAATGTTCTGGTGAAAATGGCGTCCTTGCGGCAGTTACAAGAAGCCGGACCAGCCAAATTATTGTTAAATATTAGAAATTCTGGCTTGTGCAGCGATTCTACAGATGTTTTGTAGGGTTTATGAAAAGTTTGTTCTGTTCGCTAAATAGTTTTGCTCATTGGTCTCGGGATACAACTTTGGAAGTATGAAAAGGAATTCAGTAGAGTTCTGTATATGTGTTCGGAACAGGCTTACTTAGTTTCCTGAAATGGCCAAGTTGAAAGCAGCAAGCAGTCTTGTTTAAATAGTTACTGCGATCCAAAGCATTGTCTTGTTTGCCAAATATGCTGCTCTGAGTTCTCTAAGGCTTTTCTTTGGTGCTTAAAGTTCAATCATTGTTACGAAAGCATGTACATAACCCACAGAAAGACTCGCTCAGGCCAAGCATTAAAGAAGGACTGAAATTATCACATCCCTTCATCCAGTGTTGCATTTGCAGAACAGCTTTCACTTTTCACATTTCATGGGCTGGCAGGTGCGCAGATATAGCGAGACCAATTTGGAATGCAGCAGGGGTGGTACTGTAGTGTTGCGGCCAAGATAGGGCATCTTTATTTGCGCCATGTATTCACTATTCTTTTTCCAACCGAGCTTTTATGGTGTGCAATAAACATAGGTTTATTTTTTGTCGTTCAGCAAGTCCTATGAAGCATGACTATCATTCAAAACCTACAGTTCCAGTGACTGTGACAAACTGCTGTGAAGTTGATCCAGTGCGGTGCCACACCTAGCATGTTGCCAGCACATGCCATTATGTTCGTAATGGCATAGAGATTCTTAAAAACACGCTTCGCACTCGTAGAGAAACTATATTTTTGCCAATCACCTGCCTGTAACATACAAAAAGCCGCATGTGTCAAAGGTGAGAGAAGCATCGTTAGCAAGGTTGTCCCGTGCGCAGGATTGCGGACTACTGCTCTCGTCAGAAGCGGAAGGCCGGGGCTGTTACCCGCTGGATGACCACATCCTGTGCAGGAGTTGCAACGCACGCCGTGTGCAAGCCCTCACATCTAGGATGGTCTCGGAGCTTTGAAGTTCTAGCAGTTTCGCCGCTCAGAATTGTGATAATTTTGCACCCGAAGGGCTACATAGTAACAGCGGCAGTGGTAACAATGTCCACTTTAGTCGCAGACCCAAGCAGTTTGCCTGCAGCCGCTCGTCAGGCAAGTTTGTAACAGTGTAGCTTTGTGTACGCATCATTCCACAAAGATGGCCCTTCCAGACTCGCATCTTTCGGGCTTCTCTATACCATTAATGTCACAACAGCTAATGACTGGTCATTCTGCTGCGGAGCACGAAGACTCGAGTTTTGTCAATGGAGGCGGAACACAAAGTAGTGTGTAGTTCAATAGAACGTTGGGTAGTTACGCTTAATCGCTTAACCTGTAAACTCCACATTGCAATTCTCATTTGTCAACCATGCAGCTTGAGAACATCAAGCTATCATGTTATACTACTCTATACTGTGCTTGGTTACAGCCTAAGACTTCATTACAAGATGCACCAACAGTTTGCAGTGACCAGCCATTCATCCTTGTAGATGCCTATTCAAATTGGTATTTGTGTTAATGAGATTTCATGGGTTGTTCCAAGCTTCATTTCAAAACTAGCAGCACAATACATTCAAATCAATCGCCAAGCACTCCGCATTGCAAAAACGTATGAACAGGATTTGGTGGCATGTTTATACACCGATACCATGTTGCTGTAGGCTGAAGGTGTTGTTTACAATAGCTAGAGCCCAGTTGTAGTTCTTTGATTGTCACCAACCTTAGCAGGTATTAAGAGGATTGACTGAAAGGCACTGGGTTTTTTGTCAACTGCTAGCCACTGCCTTAAGTCAACTGCATTTTGTACGTTACAACTAGTTCTACCACCATTAAAACAATCCTGTGCCGTACAGAAGCAACAGCGTAGCATTGATAGCTTTTGTACACGTTTCGATTGCAAGAGATATTATTGCATCGAAAGGTCTTGATGGAGAGTTCGTGAGAGAACTTCTCTACATGTCATAGATGTTGCCTCATCTATAGTGTGAAAGAGCTTATGAAATGTGATTGTGAGTGTCAAATATTTGTGGTAAATGTTGTTTGCATTTCTTTATTTAGAAAGTTGTAGCTCTTGCTACATAAGCACTTGTTCGCGAGCTTTCTAGCAGCATTCAATTCAAGTGCAGCTCGTATCTGCTGTGCAATGTAATCCAGACTGGCCGAAGATCCAGATGGAGTCTTATAATTTGCCAGACTGAGATGTCCACAATTTTTGCCCTGTACTACTACTCAATGTCACAACAAAATGTAAATATCACGGAAGTGCCGTGCCATGTACTCAAATTTTGAAGGTCAATAAAGAACAGTGCTCATATATTATTTGCTCGTGTCTTCTTTACATAGCTATGAATTCAAGATACAAATTTTGTGCTGTACATAATATGCAGTGGCAGTTGAAAAAGTCGCTAGGCCTACACGGAACGCACAGCAGCAAATTCACGGCGAAAGCTGGAAGCCTGGCCTTTCTAGAGTATTTTTTGATCATTGTTTGGGTTATTTCTACAAGAACAGTTGCTGGTTACCCACTACGTCGTAAATCATAATTTTTGTGTAGTAAGGAGGCATTCACCATTCCATTCTTCTTCATTCTTTGGAAAAGTGTGGTGCCTTCTACACTAGTGCAATGAGTTTTGTGCAATTTTTTGATGCTGTGGCTGAAGACGATTAATTATGGCTCAGCCCTTTATAATGGTTTGGAGCATTCGACGACCCATGCATTACCCAGTTCGCATTGTATGATGCCTCGTTGTTTCTTTGTTGTTCTAAAGTTCTTTCTTGACCAGAAGCCTGCCTAGGGTCACTTTGCAAAGAAGTTGCAAGCATTGGCAGGGTTCAGTCGTAGAATACTGGGCTGGCACGCAGGAGACCCAGGTTTGAACCCCTTTGTGTCAACGGTGTTTTTATTTACTTAGCTTTTCTTTTTTTGTCATTTCGTGCAATAGTGGTTATGGACACCGGCGGCAATGAACAACTACAGCACATGCGACCCTTGTTGCGATCTCGTAAGAGGTTTTGCTGTTAAATGCAAGCTATATTATAAAATTGCCAAAGTCGAAAGCCATATTCATCACACTAAAGAGAAGTGCATAAAGAATGCAGGCCTTGAGAGTATTGTCCTGCATGAATTGAATAGACAAGGTTCCTCCAAGAAAAGTAGAACCACCTTGCTGGTGGTTCTGCCTTTGAATCCGTCTTGAGAAAAAATTTTAATGAGATAGCAATTAGATGGACAGTCTCGGCTGGTTTTTTGCCATTGTCATTAACGTATATGTATGTATGAATATTTATATATATGTGTGTGTGTGTGTATAAGGGAAAATAGTGTATATTGAAGGGCTCGATTTTCCGCGTTTTGACACAATAATAATGAGATCTGTTATTGTCTGTTATATATATATATATAAGGGAAAGAAGTGCATACCTAAGGGCTCGTTTTTCCGAGTTTTGACACAATATTAATAAGATCTAACAGACAGTAATGCCAAAAAATGTATAGGGGAAGTTATTAGAACCAATGGAATGTAAATAAAAAGAAAGAAAAGTGGGTGAAAAAATAACCAGCCGTGAGCAGGAAACGCACATACAACCTTCGAATAGTGCGTTCGATGCTCTAACCACTGAGCTGTCACAGCGGCCTTCCTTCCATCCACTTTTTTGGGTTTATATGTGAATTTAGAAGTAGGAGTGTCAGTCAGCGTCATCTGTAAGCCAAGCGACGAGTGTGAAACACTCTTTTATGCGCATGTGTGGGGTCACGTAGCACGTGAACTTATTACGAGCGAGCAGCTGATCAATAGTCCCTCGTATACAACCTAATGACACCAAGTCTGCCAGTACAAGACCCTCATTAATGAATAAGGGAAAGAAGTGTATACCTAAAGGCTCGTTTTTCCGTGTTTTGACACAATATTAATGAGATCTAACAGACAGTAATGCCAAAGAATGTATAGGGGAAGTTATTAGAACCAATGGAATGTAAATAAGAAGAAAAGTGGGTGAAAAAATAACCAGCCGTGAGCAGGAAACAAACTTACGACCTTCGAATAACCCCGTGATGGCAAACAGGTTTGTGGTGATGTGTCGACGTGCATAGCGCATGGCCTCGCACGCATGATCTGGGCCGGCAACCCTGAAGAGATGGCTCTGGAAGGTTTGACTGTCGCAGAGCTCTTCTAAAATCTCGGCCGGCTCCTGCTTGATGCCAAATTTTTCCGGGTATAGGGCAAACTCTACAACTCGGTTCAGGTGGGAGACGTTCCGGCGAAGGATCTCGTTGATTTCAAAAATGTCTTCCTCATATCTAGGCTCCTTCCAGATCTTGAGAGAACTGAGGACGCGATTCGCATGCAGCTCCTCGGCAATCAAATGTAGTTGTGACTTCTTGGTCGTAATGTGTCCTAAGTAGGTCAGTGTCTTGTTGCCTTTCAGCATGTCCACAAATACATGGGTGCATGAACTGAGGGTGGCCGAGAAGTCCATCTCCATGTGCGAGACAGACTGGTTTAATTTCAAGCCTTTCATGATTATTTCTAAAGCACTTTTTCTGGCATTGCAGTCTTTTATCTGAATGTGCTTCAACGTCTTCGTTTCGATCAGTAGATGGGCAAACCTTGCAGCTGAATCATCCATTCTTACTGGGGACTCGAAGCACAGGGACTCGAGGCAGGAAAGTTCAGCCAGTGAAACAAAAAGTTTCTTGAGGCAGTCGCTCTTTACGTTGACGTTGGCGTCCAGGTGTATTGATGTGATTCGTTCTGCATTGATGCGCAGGCCCGCTGAAAGCTGGAAGACATCCGAGAGCCGGTTGTAGCACAGTCGCACTATATATATATATATATATATATATAAGGCTGTGCTAGCCTCCTCTTTATGCAGAGCAAGCATTGCCTTTCCAGCTGGGGTCTTCTGGGCATGTGCGCGCTTATCTCGTGAGTGAACAGGAGGGGGGAGCCCTTATGGTTGGTGCGCTATCAGGGCAACTATCAGCGGGGGGGGCCTTGTGCCCCCACAGCAGGCGAGAGCTTCTACAGGGTGTGCTCTCAACACGAAATAACGGTGCTAAGAGTGCACTTGAAGTGGCCATGTTCTCTTACACCAGCGTTTTGTCGAGTTACGCGAGATCGGATATACACGAGTTGACTGCCAGCCTCACTTCGTATATCAACGCTGTCGCTACGCACGAACCTTGTTGTGGTCTTCTGACCACACCGCAGGAAACTTGGTTACTTAGCAAGCACATATTTACTACAATATTACTCCTAGAAATGATAACCTTGCTTCGTAAAACATTTGAATATGTTGCCATTGCATTCATTGCTTCGCCCTTTGGTGATCCCGACTTTTTTTGTTACCGCATGACTGTTTTATAACGAGGTCTAGATTTAACCTCGGGTCGGCCCAGATCAGTGAAAAGGATTATCTGATGCACTGAAATACTAGGTTGACTGTTTGGTTGTGTAGCCTCCAAGTACAAACTCCGTGTTTATTACCATAGACTGGGAACAGTATGCGAGAGTGTAAATGTTCAAACTTTTGAAGATACAGTTAAACCTCTTTATAAGAGGCATACTCTTGCGAGCAATTCTCTCTTTCATGAGAGGTCTCTTATAATCAGGGTACCTCGTATGCGTTTTCCTATCAATCTGTATTTTACTGTAGGTTCACTGGTGTCTATTATACCCATTTGTTCGTTATATCAGTGTCTCTTATAAAGGGGTTTAACTGTAGTGACTGTGGCACCCCAATACAATGAGTAATTTCAGTACTGCAGTGCTGTTTCTTAATTGCTTCTTCACTTTTGTTTAAAGTTTGTTGTTAAAGCAAATACTTGTCTAAGAATAATGCCTAAAGAAAATGCCAGTTATACGAGGAATCGTGAAGAATTCAATTCTTTTACGCAAGTGCGAGAAATTGCAGCTGTCTTGGAAGCAAGTTTTGTATTCATAAGTTGGCAGCCCTGGTCTAGGGGTGTAATGCTGCAGCCAGAGAGTTTCCTAATATCCACTAGAAGGAACTCTGGCGCTAGTGTCTATGGGATCTGCAATGCACAACGCTTCAGCGAGCATGGGAATGATGGGTAGTACACACATTCGTCAAATTTTCGTACTTCTGGCTCCGTGTGCGTTCATGTGGCTTAGAGCCGTTTTTCACAGAAAATAAATTGGCAAATGTTCAGCTGCACTTAACAACCTCAATCTTTTAAGTTTACCATTTTGAATCGGGTCACAAAGTTCAAACGGGTTCGTTCTTTCCTTCAAACGAAAACCGTAACCAGCTATAAACAAAGCCGCAAGTACGATTCGCCACTCGCAAGTATGAAGACTAGGCAAATGCGTGTACTATCCATCATTCCCATGGTCGCTGAAGATCGCAGTGCCAGAGTTCCCTCTAGTTAATTTTAGGAAACTTTGAGGCTGCAGCATCTTTAGTGCTATTATGCAGGATATACGCGGCATAACTTAAAAGGTACAGAACATCAGGGCCATAATTATTAGAATTTCTCTTCATGCCCACTACACCACTTTCTAGGGTGGCGTGGTACCCGCTACTTACTTCTAAGGCATCATGTGCACTATGTTGATGCTGTTGCCGATGACGAAGTACAGCAGAACACATTGTAAAAGGTTGAAAGCATTGACCGACCTACATAATATGCATTGTGCGATGCTTGGTTGTTACTTCCGAAACACTACTTCCGTCCACAATAATTCGATTCCTTCCCCAACATAAAGTCTGCATAGGTAGTTCAAGGACTTGCATGCACTGGCATAGCTCAGCGGTAGAACACTGGGCTCCTTTGCAATGGGCCGAGGTTTGAATCCCATTTTCTTTGGGATAACTTGTTTCGCACAATCTCTCGTACCAGCTTTTGCTTTAAAGCTACAAATGGAGCTCTATATTTTTGTTGGCTTCATTTCCCACTTGCCAACATTTTAAAGACTTGGGGCAAGCATATTAGAGTCTCGCTCAAGGCAATCAAGGACGTCTGTGGTTTTTATTACTTTATTTTGAGTATATAATACAGAATTTACAATTCAAGAGAAGAGGAAATGAGAAGCAAAGCATTGAGTCACAATCCAACAAATAAATAACTGCATACTCTGGTGTTAAGGAGTTTTCCTTGCCACGCTAGGCACAGCCAGCAAGTTGGAGAGAGAATACAAGTACAGAAAGAAAATCTCGGTCTCTAACACAATGTACTTCAGTAGGATGCTTTGGCGAACAAGACAGCTCCACTCTCCAACTGGGAGAGTGGAGCCAAGGGGCCGATTTGTATTTTTCATTACTGGCAAAAGAGGTGAAAGGAAGAAATAACAAATTCTAAAGAAAGAAAACATATCTGCAGCTCAACGGGGCGCAAAATACACAAAGTGCATATGTCAAAAACGATCTCTGCGCACAAAAACCGCTGTGACTTAGGTTCTTGGCATCCATCTTCTTCAACTTTCTTCCTGCCATTCCTTTTTATTATATAAAGAATTTTGTTAAAAATAAAAAATGCTCTTCAGGTGTCTCAGACACCGTAGACGTCTTCGTCGCTATACGCTATGTATAGGAAGAAGTCTTCCTCGTGGTGCTCCTGCAATGATAAACACATTTTATGTGTAAATTGACGTCCAGTAAAAAATACCTGCCAGACAGACATTGGCAGTGTTCAGAAAAAGGATTTTACTTTTAAATACAGAGGGAAAGCAGATTAACCACACATGGGTTTTTGTGCACGCACTTGTTACAGTTATTGGAATGCCGGCTGCAACAACTGTTTTTCGATGGAGTCTAAGTGCTTGAGGCCCGTTAAACAAGACTAAATGGTTAATATTCTCATGGTTTTGAGACTTGATACCTTAAAGGGACCCACAACTGACCAGAACGGGTGATTAGATTCCGGTGGAAAGGTCTGTATACGGAGACCCTTCTCATTTTAAGGCCGCGTGCAGAGAGAGAGAGAAAAAAAAAGCTGGCGTGGAGAATTGACTATCTCTAATGCCGATCTGCTTCTCTCCGCGTGGAGACGCTCCTCCTTTTTCGGTGCAGAGGGTAGCAACGAGAACGCAGTCGTTGCCGTCGTCTTTTTAGAGTGTGTTGGCGCTGGACTTAGCCACGGGCTACTATGTTTGGCAAACTGCGTGTGAAATTGATTGACTCGCTGTAAGGCAAACGTGTACAGATGCGCATAACCAATTACTTCAATTAATGACGGATGTCCTCCGATTTGTGAATAAATGTAAGTCTTCAGAAGCTTCGCCATCGTGTGTTCTTAAGTGAGAGGGAAATCACTTTGCGCCGCGGCGCCGCTTCTCGGTCATGTGACTTGCTGAGCGTTTCCTGTATCCTCTCCTCTGGCTGTGTGAGTAAGACTGCTTTCTGGACCACGCGTGGCGTGGCTGTAAGGTCCGTGCAGGAGTTTTGGAAGAGCTGCGCTGAAAACGATATACTTAACACACAACGGTCGGTTTTTTTTATTGGCTACTTGATAGACTAATTTAGTTCGTTATATCCATTTACCGGTCAATTTGACTTCGTTAGGAGGTTAAAAATGCATGGTTAGTTCTCAATGGAGCTTTCAAGGGGAATTTCATTTACTTCGTTATATACATTTCGTTATATCCCATTACATTAAAACGAGGTCTGAGTGTAGTCTTATTTCACTTCTGATAGACGCTTTATAATCCAATTAGATAAGACATAGCACTAAGAGTTATTCGACTAGTGGGGCTGCAGTTGGGAATCTTAATAGAAGGGGACATCAAAGATAAAAAAAAACTGGGAGAGAACATGTATCAACTTGCCGCTTTACGACACAAGATGACAAGTGAACAGTAGTTGATGCAGAATCGTTCATGAGAACCATAGCAACGTGTTTAGGGCCCTCGGTTGAGACTACTTGTGTAGTATGTATTGTAAAACAACTTATGAATGGCCTGTTCCCATTATGCACTAGCATGGATGCAAGAGATGTGGCTCCAAAGGGGCTACAGTGTGTAAAAATTGAGTGTTTGTGCTTTACTCGGACGGTCGAAACAAGACACCGTCAAATGTCCCCTATGCAAGGCCATCACCATTCCAACACTTCCGAGGGTGTTGGCCTGCACGCATGCTGAACGCACCTGGTAAAGGGAGCCCATGGTGGCACTAGTAGGGGGAATGACATTGTTGACAATGAAGAAGAGCGCATCCTCCGGCCGCAGGTGGATCCGCTTGCGGATCAGGAAGTAGAACTGGCCCACGGTCAGGTCCGAGGGAACCAGGTACTTCTTCTTGTCCAGGTCGCCAATGCGGGCCTTGGGGGCCTTCTCCACTATCACCTGGGTGACACCGCCAAGAACAGGTTTAGGCAAACGCAATGCAAAACATGTATGCTATATGATTAAGCAGAATGCCTAATGCAATGGCCACAGCCTTTTTTTTTGAGAGGTGTACATTTGAATCCCATCACTAGGACCAAGTGTCAACAGGCCAGTTCCTGAGCATGGATGTAAATACAGTGAACTTTAAGGGACACAAGAAAATAGTTAACTGAAATTTCACTCCATTGAATATTCACTCGAATACGGAACAACACTGGACACAACAGAATTCAAGTTGGACTGCGTGAAATGCCATTTATTTTGGCAAGAATGATGCAATTTCACTCGGGCTGGCACCCTTAAAGGGGCCTTGCAAACTTCTTGAGAATGGTACTACCCTGCCGACTGGTAGTAGAGGCTCCCGAGAGCACACGAGCCAAATATTATAGTACAGCACGCGGCCTGGAATTCACAATATATTATCATTGCAAGCTTAAAATTGCTTTCTCTTCTCTCAACAAATGACGGAAGACTCTCTAAAATCACTTGTAGAAGGCCTTCCATCAACCATTGGCTGATTTGAACATGGTGTGCTTGGTCGTTACAGGGATTATGGGAGGCCGTGTGCGATCGCACTAAGAAAGTCGTGTATTCAAAGAAAAAAAAAGTGCTCAAGGTTGCGAGGCGCACGTGATGTACTTTCTTTGCCCCTGCCATCCATCCCTGCTGCGCTTCTATCGCTTTCGTTCGGACAAGCGAATGCGGCTGCAGCGTGCGACACATCTTCGCAACTCCGCTCGTATTGGATGGATTCTTAAAGTTATTGTGGCATTGACTTTGCGAGGCAATAAGCTCTTTCAGTGAATCCATTCAATGGTTACTGGAAAAAGTGTTTCTGAGCCCCTTAAAGCGTAAGAAGAGACAAAGCTGCACAGAGAGTCTACGTTTTCGCACACTACCTCTGGCACTAGCTTGTTGCCGTGACAAGGGAGGATGGAAGAAATACAAAAGGAAGAAGGCAGATGGCTTAACCAGACAGCATTCCAGTTAGCTGCTCTACACTAGGGGGTAGAGTAGCCAACTCATACACGCCCTTTGCCTCAGTGGCAAAGCATGCACAAGCGATGTTGCACCGTCGCCGATGAATGTGCAATTTGTGGGTGGTGTGCACCGGCTAGGCCAGTGTTGCATAGTGCAAAGCATCATTGAATTCATCTCGAATATGAGCCCGTATCAGCAGATAACGTTAGATGAACTGAAATATTCACCATTCTGAAGTTTCTAAGATAGGATGCTTAGTAAAACTTCTGGAGATTTCTCAAAAGTTTGCTATTCTGAAATATTTGTTAAAAGACTTCTTAGAAGTAAGAGTTCACTGCAGTGTTAACACGCACACTGCATTAGGCAGTCCAAAAACTGGTGAAGTGTTTGCTCAAGAAATTGGGAGGGAACAAGCAATTGTGGTGGCATAGAAAGAACAGCATCATACAAAAAAAAGCAGGCATGCCCAGAACATAATTTTATTTCCACCAACACAGTGTTGATGGAGGGAGTAAAAAAAAAAGCGACAGGCCGCTTGACTAAGATAAACGAAAAACACCGATTTCAGCATTAGCACCACTCCCTCGAGTCTTCCTTTGAATATACCTTGACGCACGCAGCCTGATCACACTTAATTGTAACTAGCACACGAGTTGTGTCCTCCCTTTGCATCCCAGAGTTTCATTTCGTTAAATACTACCCGATGTTTTACCAACAAGGCCACATTTCTTCCATAGTGTCACTAAAACACTGTATGTTTCCATTCCTACAGAAGTGTGTAGTCTTGTTGTTAGACACATTTAGTGCCTACCCGATTACACCACTGCAGCAGACTACAGGTTCTGTTTATAGGCTGTCTTGTGCATCATCAAATGCCAAGCTGATACATTTACAACGTGAGAACCATAGTGGCAGTAAATACCAATATTGGGGAAAGGAAACCAAATAGGAGGAAAGTTAAAATATGGAGCTAGCGTGTCTTACCCTTGGTTTTTACTGCACTCAAGCCTCACTATAACATTTTTTTTTTTTTTTACCAAAGCCAGAATATGTACCGAAGAAAAATAGTCATCTCCTCTGAAGCATGGCTCTAAGCTGTGGTATTCGCAAACTTGAGATCTCCGAAAGCAGGTGCCGTGTACTAACAGCCACGGGTAAGCTGCAGCCGCACTACAATGTGGTCCCAAAAGCTCTTTAAAGTGAACATAAATTAGAAAAGTTCCAGAAGCAGACTGAATGCTTTCTTTGAAGAGTCTGCCAATAATGTATAGTCACATTCAATATGACTAGCAATGCAGGGGTACGTGGCTGTAGAGTTCGGGCCATGCATAAGTTGGAAGCTCAAGGCGGCCCGCGGTCCATTCTTTCAATTCGTACTGATCGCAACAAAGAGTACAGCCGTCTCATCGTTGTTAGCGAACAGTTTTCTGAATTCTTGTTCTCGCAGTACTATGAAGTTTCCACCATTACTGACCTGGTTTATCAAAAGCATAAAAGGTGCTATAAGGAATAATCAGTCTGCTTGCTAATTTAGCAGATTCTGAATACATGGTTAGACACCAAGTTTTGTACGCTAACTGAGAATCGGATTTGTGTGGTGTCGGCAATGATGTCTGGAGGAGGAAAAAAAAAAAGGCTGCTTTCCTTAGCTGAATGGTCATGGTATATGGTGCACTATCGTGCAGTGCATTGTAACATTACTACAGTTGATGCAACCAGAAGGCACCGACTATGCATCTTCAAATAGCACTTAACTACCATCGTCAAGCAGGTGTGTTGGATGAACATGCAAGTGACCTTGTTCAGCCACTAATGCCTCACTGTTCCAGCAACAGTGTGCTGTCTAATGTTACGTGAATGGGCCTTTTGCTTCAATTATTTTTTTCTGGTACAGTATTAGAATCTCCAATTCTGCCAACCCAATTTGAAGACAGCACTGAACAGCAATGTTTCATTTATTATGCAAAATTTTCGAACACACGCATGCCCCTGCTGGAAATAAATCACTCATTAACAATGGCACATCCTTTTCATCAACTACAGAACAGGGGTATACTACAATATCAGCTTAGGCTAGTAAACCATTTCATTGAAACTATTCTCGTCCAGCTGAAGCGTCAATGTGTCCACACCATTGTAATAGTGAGGTTTTTAAGAAGCAAATAATTGTGCCTGTGCCCTTTTGGGGCAGGAAGGATAACCTAAAAACTTAGGCAGCTTGAGTGTGTTTTATTGACTGTGTAATAAATAGATCATCTGGCATGAGAAACTAATGTGTACTCCCGGTACTTTTACGTAAGTAGTCCATCAAAAGTGACTACAACACCAATGGAGACAATGACGACAAAGCAAGCTGGTGCACAATACTGCAAGTCTTTTCTTTGTGCGTCTTTCACCTTTAGAACCTCTTCTAGTGTCTGCTTTGCAACTGTTCCGTCAGCGAGACTATTCGTGCGCGACGTTTCAGCCCTTAACGACGTCATTCGGCTGTCGATTGACGTCACAGGTTTTTGAAAACCGAAACCACAACGCGAGATCGTTAAGTTTCCTGCTTCTCTTTTAATGCGTCTTCATAACGAGCAGCAGAAAAACGTGAAAATATTGGTGGTTGTCTTCGCCATCAGGGGGCAATATTTTGCCTTTATGCAACACGTCTTGCTTTGTGGATATCGCAGATGACGCGCCCTTTTGCGGTCAGACAAAGAGCGTAGCCTAAAACTGAAACTTGTAAGCGAGTTCACCCCGAGTCACACTAACAAAGCGCGAACAACGCTGCCAGCAGTGTGTTTACTTTTCATCTGAACCTACTGAGCATACCCGATTCTTTAGAGAGAAGTGTTTTTGTCACGAGTTACCGTCGAAGCTTAACGTCATTGCAATTAATAGCCAACTGCGGTAGCTGCGTCACGTTCAGGCGCCATCGGGCAATAAATATGGCGCAGCCATACCTCCGATGATCGGAAAAGTTTTGAAAAAAGTTGAGTACAACGAGTCACCGGAACAGCGTCAGTAACGCAGCGCGTGTGCCTCCCCCCCCCCTCCCCCCCCCAAAAAAGCATGATCGCGCGAGTGACGACACTCGCAGGAATTCTCTCATAAAATCGGTTCAGTTGCGCAACGACTAAAGTGATCGCGTTGCCAGTCATCGTTGTCGCGACAACTTCCTAAGCACCAGTACCGATGGGGCAGCCAGCGTGAGACCCGCAAGCATTCATTTGCACAAGCGCGACCAGCTGACGCGATGACTCATCGCGATGTGCTCACGAGCGCCCGCAGCAACTAGTGTCTGCACGAATCGCACGATGCTTCCGCCAACCTCCGCGCGATAACGCTGATCTGCGACCACGTCGCCGCCTTTGTACGATACTCGCGATCGGCTGCAGATTTCAATGCACGGTATTACATAAGCCGGCTGTCCTATATAGGCCTAAGCAAGCAGAGAAAGAGGGCCCTCCTTGTATTACTGCAAGGTCACTGCGCACGAGCGACGTCCCCGTCTACTCACGGGGACTCGGTCAGGGTACTTCCTGCGAATCTTGTCACCCTCGCTCCTCCGCTTCTCGAACGGGTGCTCCTCCTTGTAGAGAAACTTCATGGTGCCTCAGTACAAGCGAAACACGACGAGGGAGCGATACCTGTGCGCGCACCGAGCTACGACTCCGACCATGCCCAGCGGGAGTCGAAAATGGCGACGACTGTTTGTAAATAGTCCCCGTCGCCGCGCGCTAGCGCGAGACAGAAAATAGTTCTGTACTTCACAGCGTACCTTCGCAACAAATTTTGCGTCTGATCGGGTGAGACTTGTCCATACAAGCTTAAATACTTTTTTGTTGCTTTCATTTTAAGCATAGTGCCAAGCGTTACGAAACAGTCGTAAACGCGAGTAGCTGTTGCGCGTAGCAATACAAATAATGACGTCAGCTGTCTTGCGCGTGACGCAAGGGCGAGCGGTCTTTCGTTCGCACGCTGATGTTGCGGGCTGGCTCGCCCGATCGCCTGCGCGCGCTAGCTCGGAGCCCAGAGCCAGCCGAAATCACATTGTAGAAATGATGACACCTAGCTTTGGCAGCCGTCACGGTCCTCGCCCCCGATAGGTTTGTCTCGTTCCCGCGTACGATGATTGCCCGTTTGTAGGCTACGAATTCCGAGTCGCAGTTCAAAATATGGGCGACATAAACAGACAGCTGAGAGACTACCTCAGCCGCAACGAAGCGAAGAAAGAGAGCTCAATATTTGCGAGCACCGAATCTCTCAAAAAGTTGCTCAGCTCCAGCAGCGGTAGCTCCGAGCCATCCTCTAACGTCGCCGGCAGCAACGGCTGGTTTTCCGAGGCTGCTGACGACTCCTGCTTGCCTAGCCTGGTACGCCTGCCCTTTATCTTTTCTTCGTGCTACATGTCGTTCCCTTAACGATCACAACTGTGTAATAACGTTTCATAAATTTCACTGCACGCAGAGTAGAAAACAGCGCATTGTTGGCTTCGCTGGAATGCTGCTGATGGGTTGCTTCTGCATGGTCTTGGTACGATACTGGCTCGTCTCACCATACTCTCTCCTTCGGACGGAAACGTCACCTGTTGTATGACATTTTTTTTCCTTTATTTTATTCCAGGCAGGACTTTATATTCCCGTGCTAGTCTTCAAGGCCCGGAAGTTTGCTTTGCTTTACACGCTAGGAAGCCTTTTTATAATTAGCAGGTGAGGGTGACTCGATTTCATTGACACGTGCCACCCACCGAAGTTGCTCAGTAAGGTGCGTGTTATCGCCCATGTTATCGTCGAATGCAACGTAACATGGTGCAGCTCAAGACGATCCACGTCATAACTTAACATGAACAGCCGAAATTAGGAAGTGTGACGCCACAGTAACGTGAGCTGTGACGTGCAACAGAGTTATAAACTAAAAATGCGTACGCACGAAATGCAAGTAAAATAACTGTTAAATATTAGCATGTAGCTTATTAAGTCGCTCGCAAAAAGAAAGGCTACACAGTGAATGCCATCTTGTCCGTCTATAACTATTTCAAGGGCGTCGCCCCGAAATTTTACGTTTGCTTGCCCGTGTATGAATGCACACATTCAAACACATGAACATATATTATGTACGGTTAACCCCTCCTTCCTTGCAAAAACTTTCTGGCCATAGTCTGTGCAAGCCTCTCTGTGTTAAAGTTGAAAACTGGCACAGTGACAAGGTGCACTCAGCAATGTGCATTTCAGTTTTAAATTAAAAAAAGTTACACCAATTGTAGCACTTGACACGCATTGAAAGCAGCAGAATACGAGTTTTGACATTGATTGAATTTCTTTTCTGCAACACAGCTTTGCCCTGTTACGAGGACCAATGAACCATGTAAAGCAACTGTTGTCGCTGAAGCAGCTTCCATTTACGACTGCCTACTTTGGGACCACATTTGCAACACTCTACTTCGCATTGGTGGTTCGTAAATAGCAAATCCATCAGTTTGTTGAAAAGAGTAGCACTGCTTAAAAGTTAACGCCCTAACATGCCTGCTTCACTTTGCAGGTCAAAAGCACACTATTGACGGTGCTGTTCACAATATGCCAGTGCGCAAGCATAATTTGGTAAGTAGTGTGGCTGCATCGTCTACATTCTCTAAACCTTGCGCAGTAGGACAACTCACTGACCCAACAGCGAGCACAGGAAATTAATTTGCACTTTTTGCACAGAGCCGACCAATCGAGAAAAAAAAGTAATGGTTTGGCTTGCTAGTTAACTTTTGTAGTGGCTTGGATCACTAGATTTTCTCATCCAGCACAATTAAGCTTAGTGCAATTGTGGATACCAAATACATCTGACTTGTTCATTGTCAAGATTGGCATATCACAAATGTATACTTATCTGTTCTCCTGCCTTTCATGTTAACTTGGATGTTGTAACCCAGTTCAACAGTGCTAGTTTGGCATGTCTAAGCTGAAACACCATTGAGGCTGGAAGTTCAAAAAGAGGGGCATTCATTCGGTAGTAAATATGAATAGGCGGACTATTGCGACTGGTGTGTACCGTACTCGCATATTGAAAGAGAACAATTTAAAACTAAGTAACCTGTATGTTTGTTTCTGCAGTCTTCAGTTTAGGTTGTGTCAGTGTAACTTTGACTGTAGAACAGAGCCAACATTATCTTAACAGATCAGATTGCTTAACAGAGCAATTGTGCTTACCAGTTGTTATTCGCACTAAAAAATGTCTCGTTTGAAGTTTGTTTTGCCCAGAAAACTTTCTTTGGGCAGTAGGACTTGTTTTCCAGACATAGTGCTAGCAGCAGCCGCGTAGTGAAGCTGCATCAATTTTGTGTACCTTTCAACGTTGCAGGTTTGTGCTCGCCTCAATCCCTGGTGGAGAGACCGGACTAAAGTTCTTCTCTCGTGTATTCACCGGTGCAGTCTCTCGAACTGCAAGCAAGACGTTACCCGTTTGAGTGCATTCGTAGACAATATGTTGGGCCACACTTATGCGAGCCCACAAAAATAGAGTTGATACTCGCCATGGTAACTCTTTGCAAACTTGTACATATGACATCTATTTAAGATCGTTACCCAATTAGTCGTTCACGACTGTTCAAAATGGTTATGAAATAAAAGTGTACTTTTGTATTTTTAAGTTGGGCAGAATCTGCGAATTAGGAAATGAAAAAATAACATACCATAAATCATACCTTTCACACCTGTGCTCTCCCAAGACATCGACGCGGCTGGTCAGCCCAGCCTGGAGCTGAAACATAGGAGCTAAGCAAACATGCAAAGTTATCCCCATCACTGCTTGTGTGCAGATGGTAGTAGGGTGAACACAAGGCAAGCAACCTATGTGACTGTGACTGACTAGACAATTGGATAGGCTTCAGCACGATTTAGAAGAGGACACACAGACTTATGACCCAGAGGACCATAGGAGATGGTCTCCCATGGTCCTCGTCTAAATCGCCCTGAAGCCTATCCAATTATGTACCAACTCGCCCAAGTCAAAGTGCTTTTTGACTAGACAAATTAGTGTTAGCACAGCTCTGCAATGTAAAGAAAGTTGAGACATCTCGTTGGCTAACAATCACTGCGTTAACATACACCATGCAACGGTTGAGATTTTCAATTAACACGACAGCATTGAAGACCTTGTTTCACTATAATTCTGGTGTCAGTGTCGTTGGTTGCGATTGAAAAATCATCTATGCGCGACCGAAAAATCGTGAACAATGGAAATAGAGTAATAAATGATAAAGAAACCCTGGAGCAGAGTGGGGAGCGAACCGGGGTTGTTGGGGTCCGAGTGTGGATGGAACCCGGGTCGTTAGTGTGGCAAGCGGATGTTTTACCACTACCACACGGCCACGCCTCTGCTTGTGAGAACAGTGAAAAAAAACTTTCTCGGCTTGGAAATGCAGTGAAAGTAGCTTTCATGCTTCGCAAACCCATGCGTCCTGTATATATGCTTCACAATGCAACATAAAATATTGCAGTAATAATGCGTGGTCAAGCATCCATTGTCTGAATATGTAGTAGTAGTTGTTTTCCTCTGCAATTGGCTCGTACCCAAAGGAGGAGGTGAATGTATTTATCATAATGGCTCCGTGGTTGAAAGCCGGTACCCCACTACAAAAGGCACACAAGCTGCTTGCACCTATTTCGGACCTCAGGACCAGTAAACCGAAAATAAAAGGTCCGAAAATTTTTCAATTGAGATATATGTGCAGTTTGTTTTTGCGAACATGATGTAGCAAGAATTTCGCGGATATGAGCTATATTAAGGAAGTTACAGAGGTTAGAACATCAGTCTAAGCTAGTTTCATATTTTCACGCTGCCTCCCCCCCTTCTCCCTTCCATGAAGGGGAAGGCGTAGCCCATCCTCGTGACTCCGCCCACTTCGAAATGACTCTTCGTCAGCGAGTGACGTCATCGGCGAACTTGATCAGTCGCAACGCACTTCCGCTTGCTGCGAAGCAAGGTTGTTTGTTTACCGTTGGCCACACCAGCCACGGGTAAATCGCGTAAGCGTCAGGTTCTAAGTGTTGACCGTAAACGATCAGGTCCCCGACATGTCGCTAGATGGCCAATTCGCTTCGGCCATGCAGTGCGCAGGGCCCCATCGTGAGGCACCCGGTGCGGATGCTTCTCCACTGCCCAGGCGCTCAATTTGCAGCCAACGACAGAGCAACACTTTACTCGTGTTGCTCATGTCAAGGGTGAAGTACGTTCATGTGTGTGCACAGGCGCTGTAGTTGAGCGAGGAGTGTACACGTGCATGCAACAACTGCGAGACTGGTCCTTACACCGCAGTGCCAAGAAACAAGGGGCAGTTTCGTAGCTATGGGTGGGAACAGGAACTGACGTTGACTTCACTATTTTTTCACACCTGATTTAAACCAATCGGCGAGCTGCGTGCTACATCAGGTCGCCGATCGCGAAGTTGACGTCACTGCGCGTGCAAGGGGGTCGATCAGGCGTAAGAAAGATGCGCGGGAATTGTTTTTCGAAATAGAGGCTCTGTGCAGCGCGCAGCACTGTTATATTCAGAAAACGTGATCGCTGCGGTCTAATCTACGAATCGCTGAGCTTGTATGGGGGGTGTAAAAAAAAAGTAGGAGCCTATTTACTGGCCCTTTAACGTAATGGGTGTATAGGAAAATCGAAAAGGTTTCATGCGCAAAGTGTTTGAAGTATGCACTACGAACAGAATGTTGCTCTCGTGTTCGACTCCTAAAAGCAAAGCTTTAGGGTACCCTATTTTTCGTGTTTACTGTTCACACCTACCACACTATGCTGACTGTAAAATGACAAGCGATTTTCTGAAACATGCTTAGTTTTCCCAATTACAGGTATGCTCATGTGATCCCTAGCCCTTTCTACACCACAGGAAGTTGGCAAGATCAAGATAGCTACTTTGAGAAAAATTATCTGTTCTACAGTCTTTTATATACCAAACATGCACTCTTTTCAGAAATAATGGCAGCACTGCTTAAACTTAAGGCCACAGAGTGAACTGACACAGTAAGAGTGCCTGGATAAGCACTGCCTGTTGCCTCTTCTGTATTCATAGTCACTTTTACATTTTTATGTGTAGAACAAGTAGCGCAACGACAAATTCAAAACAGTGCAAGCTATGCGCATAGTTCTGCAATTCTAAAGTAACTGACATTTTTTTTGTCATCTTAGAGCAATGTTTAATCAGTACAAGAGCTCATTCCATGACCTCCTTTACTGGCACACAGTTTGCATTGCAAAAACACTGCACTGGCTTTTTATCAGCCATGCTTTTTGGACGTGGCAAAAAAAAAAAAAGTCACTGTGACACGACTCCCTCAATGAAGAAACGGAGGCAACTCGAGAGAAGCAAACAGTTGATGGCGCTGCATTATGTGCATGTGGAGAATGTCTCTATGAGGAGAGCAGAGTCCCATTTGGAAGCAAACACGGAACGATGAAAGAGGCACCGAACAAACACACAAAAAAATTCTTACAGGGAGATTAGAGAGAAAAAAAAAGCTGTTCAGTGAATTGACGAGCACACTTGCAAGGCCCATCCTGTGTATGGTGATGCACCGGGAGGATAGTCTGATGTGCAGCGGAACAATCACACGGGACAAAACAAAGATCACACTGCCCAACACGAGAGGGAAGTCATTCTTTCTTTCCGCTCGCCTTCGACGTGGCAGGCGCACAGCTCCTGTTGTTATTGTTGGTGGTGGCATTGGTGGCGGTGTTGCTGCTGCTGCTGCTGCTGGAGACCGTTGCATTGTTCTCCGGCCGACCTTGCGACTCGTCGAGTGAGCCTGCTTTGGTGAATAAATAGAGGGGCCTCTGGAAGCCTGCATTAATGAAGTGCAAGAATGACTACAACTAAAGCATATGTACAATCATAGAATCATCATTTTTCTATTAAAGGTATTGTACTCCTGTACCCTCAAGGCCACAGCTATCGCAGAAGTAAATGGGTAAGAGAAAATATTGACACAAAAGAGAACCGACGTGAAGGCCGATTAAATAGCAGAGCTCGTGGCATTGGTGCACTTCTGTGCTTTTCACCAAAGCTCGGTGCGCCCTTTTTCCTCTCACCAGAACCACCTATGCTCAAGCATGCACTACCATTAGTCAACTTCTTGAACTGGCTTCCTTCTCACTCACTTAGCTTTACCCATGCTTTACCCTCTCAACAGGCTTGCTCCTTTGCGTGCTTTTCCACTATCCCATCCCAGCATCCGTGGTGACATCACCTGTCAAATTAATTAAGGCGATGTAGTGAGCAGCAGGTGCTGTCAAATGGGTGGACAAGAACCAGTTTGTCCGTTCATTTGCAAGTGCGCACTTGCCTTTCCCACTCCCTTTACACGGCCAACACGGCACAGCAAAGAGAAGAGCGATACCAACAGGGGCAGCACTTGCACACGACTGCTATGCCACAACTCACTTTTCAAGTCTGGGTGCTTCAGGGGCCCTTAAAAAAATTGTGCTTTGTATTTTGCCCCCACTGAAATGCAACAACATACATAAACAAGTGCTTTAAAAGGAGCCAACCAAGCTGGAAATTTACTAAGACATACTGTCCTTTTGTGATTAGTGTACTGTCCCTTACAAAAGCACACAAATAAATGCACACACAAATTTCTGTAAGAGTAATGTTGCAGATAATATAAGGACAATATGCCTCTGTGCAGAATTATTTGTTTGGCAGCAGGACGGAGCTTTATAGTGAAACCTGAGCTGTGAACTCTTGCACAGGAAGTTCATGGGCTGGACCACGTAGTGTAGTGATCATTGCTGGCTTTTGCTAACAGTATGTAGAATATCTCTGATGAGTGCGCTATGTCAATCCTATTATTCTAGCTGTGTCAAATATAAGTTATGTACAGAGATGCTCACTTCTTATTAAGTGAAATTCATGATGCCATGCAACATTCATAATCATGTGCATTTTTCTATGACAGCAGTCTCGCACGCAACTTAGCCCACACATGATTGTCTCTGCACCCCCCCACCCATGCATGTTCATGGAGTACACACATGTATTGCTAGACTTGATTTTTTTTTTTTTTTTTGTGTGTTTTTGCTGGGACACCCCTTGTAGTCATCATGTATTGATACATAATCGTGAAACGAAACGATACTTCAGAATCAGTATCCAAATTTTTGTGTTTTTTGAGGTGGGCATCGATGTGTTGGTGGAATCTTGGTGCTAAATCCCCTTCAGAAACGACCCATACACAAGATTTGTGAACGGTCTTTTAAATTGCAACGTTAGCTGTCATTTAGTACAGACTATTCCCCCCCTCCTCTCTTCCTACTTTACTGTCCCAGCCCTTACAAGAGTAAATTTTCGTGACTGCCGCCCACTAGTTCAGTTGAGTTCGAGACCCCTATTTCGCAAGCACTACCCAAAATATTTTAAACAGTGTATCGCATAGAACCAATACATTTCTGGCAATGCATCATTCTTATTGAAAACTTTGTCGATTAGAAATAGCACTACATTTCAGAATACAGCTCTAGTTAAATTTCCATTTTATGACAGTCCCCATTTGTCCAGAAACTAGCTACCCAGAAGGGCCCCCTAGGTGTTCTAGTTCATCGCAAGCAATCATAGCCTAACAACGTGGCAACTGCAATTTTTCACCATAATACTAACAACTAAAATCTAATTGAATCATGTGCTGCCACAACTACTACTGCAACTGTCATTACCGACAGCCTCACAAAAATGCATGGTGTATCCAGCGGATCCATGCACTAGAAGCTTCAGATTAGCCAAGCTTCACCGCAAAACTGTAGTTGACAAGGAGGAAAAAAATAAAAGAGCCGAATTTCAATGCACTAACCTTTGGAAGCATGTGAAGGCGTGGCGACAAGTTCACACTTTGCAAAGCCGACTTCTGGTGAAAGCAGGTACTCGTTGAACTTTTCTGGCCGAAGGGTGATTGCGTGATAGTTCTTGTACGTGGTCTCCTACAAAATAAAACTTCACATCAATGCAAGTCTACTATAGACATGCAACAAAAGAATGGGAAAAAAGGGGGACAGAGAGAAAGATTTGTGCATAATTTATTAGTTCATCAAATCGGCTTCCGGGAACCCTAAGCAGTAGCCGTACTACAGAAATGCAAGCGAAGAGCACGTTTCGCTGGTGAAAAATTGCGGTATCAAAGAGAGAGAGATCAGAAATCATGAGCAAAGAAAAGAACAATAAGGCAAGTCGGATAGAAATTATTTGTCCATGGCAGCGTAGCTGCACTCAATACGACTAGCAACATGGAAGCCATTGGTGATCCTAGATTAGAGCTCATGAAGACATGCACTCCCGCGTTGCATGTCACACTGAACGAGACTGTACATGTTTTGTGCAAAAGTGACCCAGCTTAAAATATGAGAAAGAAATTGGAACAAAACAATAGACACATACTTGCAAACTCGGAATGTCTGAAAGTTTTGTGGACATTACACTCAGAGGGGAGAGGGGTGTGGCATCTTTTGAGAAAAGTAGTTTTTAAAATGATGTAAGGTAAAAAACATACCCCCCCACCAAAAACAAAACAAAAACAATTTACACAAGGAATGCACAAGAACATGGGGTGAGGGAGAACCCTCCACTGTAGTTAAATTGATACAGCACCAAATGGTTAACTTGAAGGCTGTTGGTTTGAATCCCAAGGATAAAAAGGGTGCTTTTTCGTGCACTTCATTTTTTTAAAAATTCAGGTGGTAATTGTTAGACTATCATTAAATACACCGAGTAATTTTGCCTATGCTTTGCTAGCTTAATTGGCTGTTGGTTTCATTGTTCTGTCTAACAATAAAACAAGTCTCAAATGATGGTTATTTTTTTGCATTAAAAAAAGGTAGCAATGTGAGGCCGCGTTTGCGGGATATTGGGAAGCTCGAGGAAGTTTGGAACAGACCTACGAATCTGGAAAATTCTCGCCGAAAAGTGGTAGTAAGAGGAGCGCAGAAAGAGAGGTGCTTACCGTGAGCTTTTTCTTCTTGGAGTACGAGTGGAAGGGCTGTGCCTCGAGGAGCATGCGTCCGCCAGGCCGCAGCTGGCGGTACATGCGCTTGAACAGGAACCGCACGCCGTCGTCGCCCCAGTTGAGGTGCACCCACTTGGTCAGGCTCAGGCAGAGGATCATGTCAAACTCCTCCTGCTGCGCTTCCAGTTGGGCCTCGTTGTCCATGATGTAGTTACCCTGTGCGCAACACATACACAGAGCAAACACTTGGTCAGGCACAGCAACCTAGCTGCACAAGTGAAGCAGCAGTCTGGACTGCATGGAGCGTTTAGATTACAGTGAACTTAGTCTTTCTCTCGCTTTACTGTGCACTATGTGATCGACATTTCAAGGCCACCCAACTGGGAGCAAGTCTTTTTTTTTTTTTTTCCTTTAATCACAAGACTGCACAAACGACCAATAGAGAAAGAGAGATATAAAAAGTGCTTCCCATTGTATCTTAATTTCTCAATCTTTCATCAAGTCTGTTATGCAATGCAAAAAAAAAAAATGCTTCACAGTTTTACAACAAACCGGTAAATATGAGCTCATTCAGCATTCCTCTTCAGTTGTTTCCTTAGACATAACCTCAGAAACTTGACACACCTTGAATGTGGTTGTGCCTTCAGTCAACGAAAACACAATGCAAGTGCACTGCAATGTTCTTTTATATCACAAGTAGTGTGAGTACTAGTGATTAATTGTATTTCACATCAACTGGCTCTGTTCCCAAAATGTCCTGCCAGTGGTGCAAATCGCCTCATAATCATCGTCAGCCAGTTTACACCCACTGCCCTGCAAAGGCCTCTCCCAATCATGTGCTCTCTGCTGCCACGTCATACCTGCAAACTCGATCTCATCTGCCCACCAAATTTTCCGTCTCCCTCGCAAGCATTTGCCATGTATATTTCTTCTTGATTTCTACTACGATATCATAAACCCCTAACCTACCCTGTCTCCTAAAGTTAACCATACTCCTTTCCATCACCCATTGTGTCCCCCTTCAATTTAAGATGAACCCTCTTGGTCCCAGGCTTCTGCTCCACAGTAAGATGCATCTGTTATACGCTTTCCTCATGAGGGATGGTGGTAGACTACCATTCACGACTTGAGAATGCTTTCCGAATGTGCTCCACTCTACTCCTATTAGTTTTCTCTACACTTACCATAACTTCTTGATGACTAAGGTGCTTCTATGCATAGCATTGACGCTTTAGAAGTTCTCAAGCCTTTCACTCCAACATCAGTGTAATTTGCCTATAGTGTCCCTGTAGAGGGATGCTAAAGTGAAACATTAAACCAGTTCAGCACATGGACATCGGTGTTATGTCATGAATTTGAGCTTTTGTGTAGCCAAATTGGCTGAAGGAAATGTTCCGAAACTAGTCGTGCTAAGATCGAGTCCCCCAGAACATGTACACAATATTCAGTGACGATTACATGGGCCCAAGCAGACCCCGTCAAAAGCTACAATGTTACCACAAGCCGGTGGGAGAATTATAAAGTGGCATAACCTTCTTACCCTTTTCTTTTACTGCATTTTTGCTCATTAAGAGTGCTAATTCTAATACTGTGGATTGTATTTAACTACTATGAAAAAAATAGTTTCTTTTAAGAGTCCCTTCAAGGCAGAGAGAAATGTATAGTTCTGGAATGCATGATAGCATGATAAACATATACCTTACAAAAGCAACCCTGGTTTCATCTACAAAGCTTTAGGTAGTATTGCACTTGCTTAGTTAAACTCTGCACATTATTTTCAAGGATGTATTTACTTTTACCCAAGTGGAAGAAGAATGATCACCAGAGGGAAAAAAAAACCTGTGAAGGTCCCTTTTGATATCTCAATTTCCCATCTAAACTGCAATACCAGCATGTTGGTGTAATGATACAGATTTAAAAGGTATTTTCGTATGCTTTGGTCAATATTATTAACGCACGGTTCTCAACACTCACTAACTAGGAGTTTATTGCCAAACTTCTTATGTAGAGACTACACTGCTACCGAAGTCCTCTTGATTTGACCTAGCAAAACTGGCAAAGATAGATACCGCTTGATCATTGCACATTTACAATCAGTGCAATGAACTAGTTTGCTAGTTTCACCAGTTTTAAGGTGGCAGACTCTATAAGTCTCGGCTCATTTCATCAAATACAGGCCTGCATGCCAGCCAGGGATAGTTCACCGCATTCCCTGTACAGTTGGCCACCAAAGTTTACAGACCACAAGAGTGCGTGCCAAACTGCCTGTCCAGGCCACCTAGCGGTATGCCATGTGCCATCGACTGTTGCAATGGTCCAGAACCGGGTGGTCTTGTTATTCACTAGTATATCGGCTCTCTACAACCATAAAAAGAGTGTAGGTTGTTTTCATGCAAAGCACTTATCTGCAGTATTAGCATCCTACTCGTACTTTGATAGCACAATCAAGACCACAATGGTATACATTGAAGGATGTGCCATTGGGCAGATGCCATATTGTGAGAAAGACCGACTTATAGCAGTTGTGTTGACAAAGCACCCTTGAGACAGAGCTGCTGAGGAGCGTGTTGTGTTGATAATGAAAGGTGGCAAATATTTGTGCCCAGTGGGAAAATAGCCATGCCATCGATACAGGGATAGATGCGTCTTGGGGTAGCACTGCAGTAGATCACCGTAGAGGAAGTGTTGCAAAGCGGATCTTAGCCACATGCTCACGTGGTTCGTACACACTATTGAGGTTGGGTGGGCATGTCATCGAGGTAAGCGCGGGGCTTGAGCCACAGTTTTGTAAGAGTAAGAATTGGCACTTTGACTAGCTTACAAAGTGCATGGACGAATCAAACGGACTGTCTGTGCATTGCATAAGTTGTGTGTGTCTGCAGCAAGTAGTTCACACTCACCTCGACGAAGAAGACGTTGTTCGGGAAGGCCACGGACTCTGGCCGGCGCCCGGGCAGCGCGGCAGCCGCGATGGGACCGTGGCAGATGGCCATGGAGACCGGGAACCACATTTCTCCGGCCAGCGCTGCCGTCAGGTAGTGGCGCACGTTGCGACGCGCGGCGCGGATGAGGCCGCCGTCAATGTCCAGTCCGATCACCTTGCGCGGTGCGAAGTCTCGCGCCAGGGACAGCGTCAGGTGGCCCACGTTGCAGCCGATGTCCAGCACGTCTCGACCCTTGAACCACTCGGGCTTCATGGCCTTGAGCCGTGGGTCCTCTTGGCCTCCGCCGTTGCGGTAGCCGTAGTACCTGTTGTAGTTGCCGTACTGGAAGTGGGCGTCCTTGGGCCTGAAGTGCATCTGCTGCTGCTTCTTAGTGCTGGACGCCGCCGGACGAGACGCCGAGGCGGCCGCGGCGCTCGAACGTCGCGTCTCACCCGAAGACTTGCGACGCGAGAACTTGCCGGGCGAACCCTGAGGCACGACGGGAGAGACGATCTTGTCGACGGGAGCAGCCGCGGAGGGCGCAGCAGGCGTTTGAGCGCTCCCAGACGTTTTCCGAGAGGTCGTCGCCGCGCTGACGGCCGGAGAAGGCATCGTCACTGGCGCCTCCGCATCGGTAGCGGAAGCACCATCGACGACATCGGTCGTTGAAGAGGCCTCGCGAGCCGTGGCATCTGTAGTAGTAGTAGCGGTGGCAGTAGCGGCAGGAGTCGTCGTATTGCCTTCAACGGCGCCCGGGTCGTCCTCACTCCTGGACTTGCGCTTGTACCTACGTTTTCTTTTTCGCGAGCCGGGCGAGATGAGCTTGAATTCGATGTCTTCCCCCGAGTTTAGGTTCAGCGGGTCGTTGATGTTGGGCGGGATGAGCACCTCCACTTGAGTCCTGTGCCGCGGAGTCGGCACGGGAGACGACTTGGGCGTCACGGCGTTCGCGCGCTTGTTCACCTCGTCGTCAGCGAAGCTGGCCAGGTTCAGCGGGTCGTTGATGTTGCCTCCCAGGAGGAACTTGGTGGGAGGCGTGAACAGGTCGCGCCGTCGCCTCTTGAACAGGTGCTTACTGTGGTCGGTCGCGGCGCCGAAGGACTGGCGCCGCTTACCGTGAATGCCTCTGCCTCCCGTCGGCACGGGCGGCTTGTTCTGGTTGCTTGCGGGCTCTTCGCGTGCGGCGGCGGGCCTTCTGAGCACGCCGGACTCGGCTCCGTTGGCGGGCTTCAGCGTCTTGGGCCGATGATCGACGCTCGCCGATCGACACGTCGTCCGCTGGAACACGGCTGTCGATCCCCGCTTGGACGACATGTCCACGTGAATTCCGGGCACGGCCACGGCCGTCTCCATGCTTCCTGCCGATTTTCGTCGGTCACAACGTGACACGCGCCTGTTGAGGAGGGAGGAGGAAGACAAAAATCAAATTACGTTGCCGCAACGTTGATCAGTCGTCGCGCCCAACAGACCCACGTGGTGTTGTTTACACGCACGGCGCGCTAGGAGCGAGGGTACACAAGGGACGCCATCTTGCTCCAAGGCGCCCACGGCGCTATGGCCAGGCAAAACGCACTGGGCGGACGCAGCATGCTTTCGCCGAGTGCAGCAGCTCAAAGATGACCACAGGCAATCAGTTTTACCTGAGAAGGACTTCGCCGTGCCTGAAACTAATCAGAACCGAGCCAAATAACGCTTGGTGGGCACTCCAAAGTGAACGCCTAGTAACAAGCTTGCCAGCTTCAGCACAACTGCAAATGGCAGCGCGCTTTCTGAATTCACCGTCGCGAGATTGGCTGATTGGCTGCTAGTCGCGCCGCCTTTCGTCGACCTAATTGAGAAACGTAAACTGATTGACAGTTCGAAAGGCATTTTCGGCAACTTGGACGCTTAAAGTGAATACGTGGTGTCTCTGTTTTGCTCCGATAACAAATGTTTTTAACTCGACTTTTGACGCAACGTCGACTTCCGCTTACGCATCGCGACGAACGGCGCGCTTTACGATCCAGGGCGAAAGCCCACAATAAAATTTTGCATTCATGACTTTTAAGACAAATTAGCCGCTCATCTTGTGTATTAATAGCCTATTACAAAGCTCAATAGCCGTACTGTTTTAGGAATCAATTTGATCACTCGCGATACGCTCTATTCTCGCCTAATTTACACAACGCACTGCGCGCGTCAACTGAAGCAGACGACGCGGCCGCAAACGTACTTTCTCGTCTTCCAGAAGTTGCGTTAGTTCAAACTCGCCGACGAGCTTTGTATCAAAGCAAGAAACAGTCAAAATAACGTCTCTAGAAGGCTTTCTTTTTTGTAAGTGCAAAAGAAAAACAGTGACAAATCTGCTTTCCACGCGTCCTAATATTTTTGTTCAGCAGACGATATATATCTGCGACAGCGACGAAGGAACGGCCATCGTTGGACGCGTCGCAGCATCGGCGGGACATTTGCTGCCAGTTACCTGTGAATTCTCGTCTCGTTTCCAGAATATTCACGAAACAGTGAGCCCTTGACGCGCTTATAGAGTTATAAATTCCATACGGCAACTCCTTCATTCAAAACTCGGGCTACCCGTGAACGCTCCAACACAGAAGCCCGACATGAGGTAGGGTATTGTACTTTATTTTCTGAGACGTGAACTGTAATTGCGCTGTAAGTTAATGCAACTGTTTTCCGGTGTTTCTTCTTTTGAACGTCGCAGAGGAGACGGCGATACCGGACTAACGACGCCGCGGGGACGTTCTACACGCAAGATTCTCCCATCAGCGCCGGGAGCGCCGGTGAAGAAGAAGAGCAGCGCAGCGTCCTCGAAAGGGGCGCTCAAGCCTAAGAGACTCGTCTACAATGATGGTAAAATATTACATTACCATGTGTACCTACCGAAAGTGGGCCCAGAAGGGGACACAAAAGGCGGGGGGGGGGGGGGGGGGGCAGGCCCGTTCTCCCAGTTTTCACCTGGACCTCACCCCCCCCCCCCTATCCTTTGCAAAAAAAAAAAAATAGTAATTCAGGTGCTAACCCTGCTAATATAACAGGCTCGATTTGATTTCGAGGGAGTGGAGAGATCATTTGCACTGTTATTTGGGAACCTAAAACATCCATTATAATGCATTATGCCTATATATACATGATGCCCTTTCTGTTCTGTCTTGCATCCTTCCTTAATTGCACATTAATTGGGTGCTTATACTATTAAGTGGTGGAGGCTGAACTGCCACCTTTACCCCCCCCCCCCCTCAACAACTTGGCTGCACCAATTATAGGTGATAAAGGTAATATCACAAAGTGAGAAGGCCTGATGGTCTTATTAAAAGCATAAAATAAAAAGAAACTATAAATTAAGCTCTGAGCATTCAGCTCAGCAATGAGGCAATGGATGCTGAAAAACAATACATTTTAATAGCTAGGATTTAGAATACATGATGAAGGAATCCCTGTGAAAGAAATAGAGCAAAGAATAGATTTACAGAAGACGGGAATGATTTAGCTTTCAAAGACTATGAAAGAGAAATGTCAGCCTCAACATCGCAATTAATCTTATAAATGTCCTGATTTTTCCAGTGCGAGTTGTGCACCTTGCAGACATACGCGCATGAAAAAGGCCAGATTCTATTGAGGTATCATGCTGGCATCCATGGACTACCGAATGAACATTCTGTGAGGTTAATGAAGATAGTGCTCCAAATAGGCAGGAGAAGTAAAATTCAGGAGAAATTTCTAGTCCTAGTAGTCTCTGCATCAGTATCTCTTTTAATGAGTGTGAGGCAGGAGAGCACTTGAACATTTTTCTATAAGGCGTTTCTCACACATCTAGTGAGATGTATCAAAAAGTCCTTTCTCGAGTCATTTCTTTGCTTAGTCTTATGGAACATATGTATTACTCATTATAGAACACATATTGCACGGAATTGAGCGATAAAACGGCTCTCCACATCGTATTGTCAGTTAATTTATGCCATATTCTTATGCATAGCAAGACTATTCAAGCCTTGTTATCGAAGTGCTCATGCAAGGTAATCATGTTTGGTAATCAAAATCGCATGTCACTGTGCAAAATTCTCAGAAGCAGTCTCATGGCATCCTTACATCATGCCAATGCAATTTCGTATCTCACATCTCACAAACTGCCAAAGGTAGAGAGCAGAACCATAAACTGAGACACCTTTTGTAAGTGTGTCTCTTCGGCGATATTGATGAGACTGCACTGGATTCTGCAGTTTTTTTAGCCGATTTCAAATATGTAATTACTTTTCCTGTAACTTATCTTGTCCCTGAAATAACTCAAGTCCATTCCCTATTTTTAGGTTGCAATAGAACAAAAAGTGCATAATTAAATGTGATATTAGATATGACAGCATAGACTAATGACTATAAATTGAAAGTATGCAAGAAGCTTTTGTTTTCTGGCCCTTAGTTATTTTACAGCAAAATGATCTTTTAATTATAAAAAAGTAGGCTTTGTTTTACTATTTTGATGAGTTAATAATTAGAAAGGATAGAGCCCTAAATTCCACTCCATGACTCAGATTCTATAAACATATAAGTGATCATTGGAAAAAGAATTATAGTAACACCTGCCCTAGCTGCTCAGATATTGAGGTTTCAAGATTGAACAGTCATAAATTTAAATTTTGAAAAAAGAATTGGAAGAAATGAATAACACACAGTTTATTCGAAAAACAACAATCGGGATGCACATAATTTGCAATGTGGAGGCCAAGTGTGAGTGAGTGAGAATTTATTAGAAGGCAGAGAGGTCGGCCTGAGCTAGTTCGCTCTAGCCTGCTACTCTACACAGGGAATAAGGGAAAGGGGAAGGAAAGAGGGATGAAGGGTGATGTGGAGGCCAATAGACACCAAAAATGTAATGTGAATACCAAGAGTACCCAGGTGCCATCTGGGTACTCTTGGTTGCTTGAGATTAAACTCAGCCACTTGGTGCCTGTCCTTCTCGCTCATCCACCTAATACTTGGGAGGCTGGGATCTGGTTGTAGTTCCGCCAAGATACCTAGTGTAGTAGTTCCACCAAGATACCTAGATACCTAGGCTCAAAAATTGCCACAATTGAACTTCATTACTGCCTCGGCACCTGCAGTTTCAAATGTGAATAGCCATGCATGCTGTTTCTTAGATACAAAATAAAGCTCAAATGAGTGAACATCATTGGCACATTTATCAAAGCTCTCTTTTTGACAAGGCATTGAACACACAAGGACCTTCAGACACAAGTGCCGGCGAATCGTCAAGATACCCGGAAATAGGCTCCCAATTTCTCGCAGCCGCTGCATTTTGGTGGCCTCAAGAATCTAGGCAGTCACAATGACATTACAAAAAAAATTACCACTTCCTGAAAAGTGAAAATTCGCAGGCAGATTAAGATGTGTTTGCAGAAACCAAAAAAATGTCATTTTAAAAAAAGTGGATTTTTTTTTGTCATTTTTCGGTCCCAAAGGCCAGCATGCATATTATGTACAACTTATTTGACAGATTCGCTCAAAGGTTCCAACATGGATTACTCCCATTCAGTAGTTCCGTATATGAGGTCACTGTTGTAAATAAAGGAGAAAGAAGAGGCAGTGGGCACATTGAAAAAAAAAATTATTGTACGGACCCATGTTTTGTCTTTGTGCAGATAATGAAACAGAGGAAGGGACCCAAGACGCCAGTGATAGTAGTGATGCTATCCAAGAGATGGAAAAGCTCTTTGAAGCCAGGATCAGTACTGTCGAGGGAGTGTGGGTGCAGTGTGACAACTCGGACTGCGAGAAGTGGCGGTACTTGGCCGATGTCATTGACCCCAGCGAGCTACCTGAGAAGTGGTACTGCTCCATGAACAGTGGTATGTATACGCGAGGCCTAGGTCATTGAGAATAAATGATTACAAAGGATACCAACAGAAATGCTCTGCATTTACTAAGGAGCGAGATACTAGTTGAACATTGACCTTTCTGTGTGACTGACTGACTGAGTTGTAGTAGCAGTGGTTTGAGTAAAGCAAACAACTCTATTTCTGTGACCTGTAAGTGAGTACAGGGCAGTTTCATCAAGAGGGGAGGGGGAATGGTGTGAAAGAAGGGAGTGGAAAAGCGAGGCCGTCCCATTGGGAGTGAGTATTTCGTTACCATTGAGTTCCAGGCTAAGGTGCCTTTTTCCTCATTCGAAAAACCAGTGGATGCCAGTGGCACGGTGAACTGAATCTAGCAGCTTACACATTGGAGGCGGACGCAATAACTGCTTGACTACCACTACGGTTGACTGAGATGCAGAGCGAGACGAGGATACGCGAGAAAGATGAGGAAATAACGAGAAGCTTGTGAAAATGAGCTTGCATGAAAAAATAAGACCACAATACAGTCATTTCATTTCTGTCACAAATATTATACAAACGTGACACCATGCTTTTACAAGGACCAAACATAATGACACGTCCTGAAGTGTTCACGGTGTGAACTGCAGATTACCCGTGTTGTGCGCATCATGCTGGAATGTCAAGCATTTCCGATCATTTTGTATTGTCCTAGAGCACACAACCCGAACACTACAATTTATTCTGGAACTGACATGGCCACCATTTAAAAGCGTGGAACCTTCTACGCTGCATGTATAAGTGCCGAAGCGCCTTATAACTGATCAGAGTGTACAGCACATATTGTTTGTACTTTCTTCATTTCCTGAGCACAAGTTTGCCTGAATAAAGATTTTCATCTTGAGCAGCTAGGTCAACCGCTGCCTCCTTAAACGTCACAACCATATGACATCTAGAGGATGGCTAGCAAATATGAAGGGCCCTTTAGGTTGCCTCGCACTGTAAAGCCTCACACTTTAGGAAACTGTGGCATAAAAGTTTGGCTGAAAGCATTCTGATACTGACTGCTTGTCCCATATGCACCTGTTGACCCCCAACCCTATGTCAATTTTAATGAAGACACCTTTTGGAATTCGTCCGCATTGACGACTTTGTCGGACAACAACAAAGTGATCCACACCCGAGGATCAAAAGTCTAAACAAGTGACACAGCATTATAATGCCACTGATACCTGCACTAGTTAGCTGAAATGCATACTCAAATGGCAATAAAAGCCACACATGGAATGGATAGATCAACTACGTAGAGTTAAGGAATACTAATTCTTGCATTCACGTAAGCTCTTACGGGTGTGATGGTACCAGTATGTGAAAGAGCACAATAAGATGCAGAGGCTCTTCTATGTGGCTCTCTGTGTCACACTGTATCTTTGAATGTATTTTTTGCAGATTTGAACCATAACAGCTGTGATGCAGAGGAAGACAGTCCACCTGAAGATGACTTGCTGGAAACAAAGTTCTTTGTTGGTTCAATAGTTTGGGCCAAAGTGGCCACCTACCCATGGTAAGATTGTTGTGCAACAAAGCAGGGTTCAGTAAGCTAGAACCATTTCGTAAGAAATTCAATAGAAATTATATATATTAAATACAACAAACCATTGCATATAATAAACAGTTATAAAATTCCTTTGAAATATTTTAAATATTGAATTACCTATATTCAGAACTTTTTGGTGATCCCCTCCAGATTCAATAGTTTCGAGTTCAACTATATTCTAATGCTTTTTATTGCTTTGTGCAGGATCACAGAACATTATACCTGCTATGCCAGTAAAGCTTGTATTGGTATTTTCTATCATGCTAGAGACCTGATAGCCTGTAGTGGCTCACTAGACTACAGTCAGATATACCTATACACTAATCGAACTGATATACTTTAATCTATGGGCTATAAAGCAATATAACTATTACACTTATAGCCTGTATAGGTATATCCCCTGATAATGCACAGTCTGAAAAAAGTCAAAATTTCGTACAACATAGTTCTGAGGCACAAAAAAAATTGAGTAATATGTTTTTGTAAGCTTTGTTAATTAATGTTATTTACCATATATTTAAGGTTCTAATTATTCTGCAGCCTGTCAAGTTCATTTTTTACACAAAAGAAGAGAATTTCAGGCTTAAAATGCACAGCCAATTAGTTTTTGGCTATGTACCTTTCGAGTAAATAAAAAAAAATTCCGCCATATCCACGAAGTGAATGATGATGAGTGGGCGAAGCTCCGGAGGTAAACCTGGTAAACCTAATACTTATAAAGTTGGCCCTGGAAAATGGTACATTGAGCGACCAGTTCGCCAAAAAGATCGGATGCAGTCATACGTAGCACATTTAGGTTAAGTCAAGACGTAAACTATGCAGCAGTTTCAATTGATACTATGCGCAATGTATCTTGGCCTTTGTTTTCGACTAGTCAGAGGACCTGGCAAAAGCAAGGTGCACAACATATGTGGGCGGTGTGGCTCAAGGGGATATAGACTACTGTTGGTCATCATACTGGTGCCCTTAAAGACAGATTCACTAACTGTTTTCAAAGGCAACAAGTTTTTAATAAACTGCGAGTTTTCCATTATTCAGAATTCTTAATAAACAAAGCTGAAAGGCATGCATCAGTGAAGATGATGGGCCATTAGACGTGCACCAAGACATGCACTAAGAGATGCACCGAGGGTTGAAATGATTGACAGTGGCCGAACAAGGTGATGTCGACGAGGCATGATCGTTTTCTGCCTCCTGAACCATCTTTCCGTGGCGAGAGTAGCTTTTGTTGTATTGTCGAAGGGTAATTTACAATCCCTGACATTAGCAAGATAATTTTATTTTTGGGGTTTTTTTAATCTGATGCTGCAGATAATCCACTAACACATTTTTCATAACGATCATGCGAAGTCAAGTAACAGATTGCAGAGAGAAGGCACAGGCGAAATATTCGTTTATGTTGTAAAGTGATGAGTTTCTTTCAAGTAACGGTGAAGATGAACTTCGTCACCCTTAAGAGACCAAAGCAAAATTGCTTTGAGAGAACACCTTTCTGGTACCCTTTAGGCACTGCAGACTATGCATTACCTAAAACAAGTTGATGCAGAAACCTCAAGGCAGTGCCACTTATGTTTTATTTATGTATGTTTTCTGTCTTGTTGGGAATCTTCATGCAGTAGTAGTGGGGCTTTTGGCATTGTGAAAGGGTAATCTATACCAGCGTGGACCTTCTCTCCACTGTCTCTTTAATTATGTGGAGCGTAATCGACTTCCTTTACATCATCATCACTAGGTGGCCTGCCATGGTTGACGATGACCCAGACTTGGGAGTCTACGAATGGAGGGAACACAAACATGGCTTACCGGTGAGGACACAGCTTTACAGATGCTACTTATGGCTTCCAAATTATATACTTAAAAATGTGAGATCTTGACTCTACAAACATCAGCACCTTTAACACGAACGCTTTGCCACGTGTTCTGCAGCAGTTTGATTGACGCTGTCGCCACGTACGTTTGGGTTCTGTTGCCAAGATGGTAACCATACATGCCGACATACTATCCAAGCCTACCGAGGTATTATGTCGGCAAAAGCGTCCAGCACTTTGCGGCTGACATCAATCAAGCTAGTCGAGGCCACGCATCAAAGTGTTCGTGTTAAGCTTGCTGACGACTGTACAGTGACGTTCATATTAGAAAACAACTGTAGTACACCAACAATAAGCTAGCTGGCAAACAAACTATGCAACCTCAAGCTTCAGATGCATTTTCTAGGGCTACTCTACAGACAAGATTATCTGCTTGCAACATTTTCTTAGTACATACAAGTTGAAGACACAAGCTGAATACATCACAGCCTTATCTTTTCAAAACAGCCTCTCTCTAGATGTCAAGCCACCTTGTCTATTAGACAACATTGAAGAAGTGTTATTTCCTTCCTTACTAGGGAACAGTGTGTCCATTTATGAAATGAAACATGTATTTTTGCTCATTTTTCTCACTTTATTTTTTTCATGCAAATAGCGCACCTGACATCTTTTCAGTTCAATACCTTGTGCCTTATAGACTATGAATGATTATCATCATCATCATCAGCCTGACTACGTCCACTGCAGGACAAAGGCCTCTCCCATGTTCCGCCAGTCAACTCAGTCCCTGGTGGCTGGTTGCTCCTGGTGGCTCAGTGGTTAACGCCTCGCATTCACGATGCAGAGGTCCCACGTTCGATATGAATGATTATGCCATTGCTCTAATATTTTTTGTATTATTCTTCCTAATTAGTAAGTATGGCTACGGTGCAGAATTCAATCGAAGCTTCTTTGTACAAATACACGTCTTCCAAAAGAAGGTCCCCTTTTAGTTATACGATAGCTGGGACTTTCATCTGTATTATTCATGTACACACACATGTACTGTTGTAACATAACATACCTTTAGGGGCCAGTCTGGTCGTTCGTCAATGCATCAAATGTTTTGTGATTACACTCAAAGTAAGGCGCTCAGTACATGCCATAACAATGCTAGCAATGCTCAAAGTCCAGTCAAGATGAAGATACAAGGTCTGAAGTAATATTATTACCAGATGTAGCCTAGAAGTAATTGAAATAATTAACTAAGGAATGCTAAAACGCTTTTGGAAGCCTGTAACTCACTTAGGTGCCATGCAAAAGAGGGCACCATCACCTCGCCAAGCAAACATTGCCCTTCTACCAGTGTTTCGCCGACACTGCAGCACTAAATCTGATGGGGTAAACAACCTGATGGAACAGAAGACGCATGTCTCAACTTCTATACGAAGTAGCGAGTCATTGAAGCACAGCAAGAAAAATTACATTATCTCCCGCTAAAGCGAAAACGTGTAGATGCGAAGCAGCGGGCGCTAACGGTTACACTTGCGGTGGCGTTGACGCTGTCGCTCACCGCGGCGTTGCACGAGAGAGAAAACTGAGGATGTGCGAAGCACGCAGTGACAGACCGGTGTTTTTTACTGGAACATGCCAATCACTGCTAATGGGCACTGAGAGACAGAAGACTCCGATTGGACACAGAGACTCGCAGTCCGCTTTTAGTGCACGCTACGATTTTTTTTGTTGTTGTTGTTGTTCAACACCACACAGGATAAATCTCCCACCAGCTTTAATCGAGAAACTCGCTAGCAGTTGCTGCCTGCGTTGGCATTGTGAGGCAAAAGTTAGGGGGAGCGCAGGAGCGGAGGGGGTGCACATGCGCATTGGAGTTGTACACGCCGTTGGGAGTGATGCCTAGAGGAGAGAGAGAAGGGGAGCGAGCGTAGACTAGCAGACGCCGCCTGTGTCTGCGCTGCAAGGCGAGAGAGGAGCAGAGTGTAGGAGAGGAGGTAGATAGCGCCACAAGTGCATTGGCTTTATATTCACACTTGAAGGAGAGGAGACTAGAGGAGGAGAGTAGTGCATGCGTCATGATAGCATAAAGGAGAACCCAGGAGAAGTGCAAGCATGTGGTAGGAGAGAAGTGGAGAGAGTAACACACAGCTGTTCGAGAGAGGGAAGCAGGAGTGTTGTGCATGCTCAGTGTGAGTGCGGACGTCGACGCCGCGGGACATAAACCTGAGCCGTGGAAAGCCTGCATGCTTCCCGCAAGCATTGGCGTCATTGACACTTTGGTAAGTGGAGTAGTAGGAACTCTTCAAACGGGAATCGCTGGGTGCCCGTGCTATACACTTCATCAGGTTTCATAGCCGTGGAGCTGCCTCTTGTTTCTGTACACAATAACGTTTTACATGTAAACTGAAATTTGTCAATAACTGCAAGGATAAAAAATTGGCATCTGAAAGAAAAGAACTACTTATCTGCACAGTCACGATAGTTTCCATTTTGGGGTGTGTTAACGAACAAATTGCATAATTGTTCTATTGAACTTGTCACTTTGAACTTAGTGCATCCAGTTTACGAAGAGCGCATGCAGAGGGAGGAGGAATTATTGGCGAAGTTTATATGGCAAAAAAAAAAAGAACTAAACACCACTTTAATCTCTGATGCTATCACCAAACCAAGAGGCAGCCATTAAAGGGAAAGTGAATCAATTTAGACAGATAAGTTATTATTTGAAAAATCTACTGTCATTACTTTCACCATCATAGGTTTATTCATGGAAGAGAAAGGTTTCACATTCCTAAAACTTCCTGCCAAAGTCCCGGCATATAAATGTCAGCGTGGTCTCAAGGATTTCAAAGTGTTTGTTTATTATTTTGGCCCCATTGGCTCAATAAAACTTGCTAAAACTTAGTAGAATAAATCTCTAGCTTGCCCAGAGTACAATCTTCTTTGTTTTGCCAATTAGAAACTACGCAGGACCTAATAGACACGACCAAAACCTATGAAATCAGAGCAAAGTGGTGTGTGGAACATTTGTGTGGTGCTGCCTCCAGCATTTCCGTTCCGGGTGTTTTTTCATTGAATAGAGCAACTTTTCACTGTGGGAGTTGTGCTTTCGATGTTCTAAAAAGGTAATTTACTAACTATAACTAAAAAAATTTTATTTCTTTAGTGTCTCTTCATAGTATGCACAAAATTGCAGCTACAGTAGATGAGAGCCAAACCTGTGACTTTGTGCTTGTTTTTGAAACACCACTGCGTCTAAGCCACCACAGTAAGTAATTGTTGGGCATCTGGGTTTCAATTGAATAAGCTGCAGTCAAGAAATCGCGAATCTCGCTTGTTTTGACAAAGGCTGTATATATCTCATTGTCCACTAAGTTACAGTCTGTGTAATATATATAAATATAACTGTCCCCTAACCGAGTCACAGCTGCTTCGCCAACCTCTTCCTTCCAATCTGTTGCAGACAAGCTATCATGTGACCTTCCTGGACCAGAATGTAACGCGGGCATGGGTTCGAGATGCGCTCTGCATGCCTTTTCGGCAGGCAAAGCACCATGACGGACCTGCAGGGAACAAGGCAAGCGACATCAGTACCCCAACCGCAACTTTGCCGATTCGCACTGAATGCAGCAAGCTTATCACTTGCTAGAATACAAACGAAAAATATGCAGCATTTAGTGACTCCAGCACTCTGATGGCATCAAGCTACGACAGTGAACAGTGCTATCTTTTGAATAACAACTCACTCTTCACCGTGCTTAGTGCCTGTGCATCCAAAATCATTTAGGTTTCTTTCTTTTTAACATGCATTTAGGTTGCACAACTCTGTTGATTTTTGTCAGCAAGCGATCTTGCATTTTCTATGCCATTTTCATCTGTATGCAGCAGCGCCAATGAGCATTTGCTGAATGAAACTATGTTCGTGACGCAATGTTATTGTGCTAGTTTTTTGAAAGAGTGTGGTGCACAAGTGCCACTGTTCTTTGTAACCTGCATACATGCATGATGTTGCTATCCTGTCAGCCTGCTTGAAATCTGACTGTGCCTGTCATGATTTAAAAAAAATTGAAGTCAAAATTCAAAAAAATAAAACTGAAGTCTTAGAAATGCGATCTGAATTTGGCCAGACCATTTATCACAATGAAAAAATCATGTCATCAGTAATCAACGATTTTGAAATAGCAACCTACTTGCTTTCCATCAGATTCCTGGCTTCTACAGAAAGATGTTTGATGCTGCCACAGCGACTGCTGAAGTAGCGCTCAAGATGCCAGTGTCGGTAAGGTCATTTATGGCATCAGCCATTCATGACTGCACTTCAGACTTGCCACTAGTTTTATCTGCAGCAGCATCTGGAAGCACAAGTGTCACCCACTCAAAGCATTAGTAGCAGAATCGCTTATCAATGGAGATGCATGCTTCGAAATATCGATGAATTCTAGCCTGCCAATATGCTGCTATACAGTAAATAAAGTAAAACGTGCCCCTACAAAAAAAGCCAGCATTGTTCATTGCTTACAAGAAATATTTGCAAACAGCATTGAAGTTTGCCATCTGATTAGGACTGAGATGAAGTAGCATGCATCATAAGCCAAAAAGTCTTTCATATTATTGCTTAAATGAAAAATATGCATTGTCATTGTCCACACAGGAACGCATCAAGAGATACTGCTTCCTGAACAAATATCGAGGCACACGAAAGAACTTGGTCCAAGCTCCCAAAGGTTCGATTTATATCAACAGTTGTTGTTTTGCAAAGCTTTCTGATGAATTTCTGATAAGCCAAGTATTGAATTCATTGGGCAACAACATAAACCTCGCCTTCTACCTTCAAGGTGATCATTTTGTACTGACTGTATGAGCAGAGTGCTAAAGAATAAGTTTACTACAATAACAATCGTATGAGGGCGATGCTTCATAAAGACAATCAAAAGTGCTGAAGTAATTTCCCGGTAGTGCACTTTTGCAGAGAGGCGCCCCCGCGGGAGACCACGCAAGAACCCCCTGCCGGTTGCACAGCCCAGCAAAGACGCGGCACTTGCAAAGCCAAGACAAGGTATGTCCTCGAGCATACAAAACTGATGATGCAGTGCTTAGCGTAATGTTAGCTGGAGCATGCAACAAGCAATGGAAAGAAAAACAATGAGACAGAAAAAGAAGCATGCGAAGTAGACGAAACGTGTGTACAGGGTGTTATAGATGAGATAAGTGGCATATGCAGGTCGTGGGACGGGCAGACCAGATAACCAGTGCTAATGAGTTAAGAACAGGGTTGTGGGGTTAGCAGAAGACTAGAAGGTGTGATGACAGTATGGAATTAACGTTCAGTGCAGGATGAAATGGCCTGAATGCAAGGCAGAAGGGGTATAAAAAATATTAGATCTGATTTATGATGTATTGTATATGAAAACTACAACCTGATAAAGAGGTGTGCCTTAATGTGGAACATCAAATAAACTTTAACTGTCGTCTGAGATTCTCTGACAGGCACCTATGTCTAAGCACATGGGTGCTTTTGTAATCGTACAGAAGCACTGATGGAAAGTTATCCTTGCAAATCAATTTTCGGGAATCCCACAATGTGATGGAAGGGGTAAGAGAAGGAAAATGACAGCGTTGGTCTTCAATTCGGTACCTGCACCAGGACGAGTTTTTCGACAACTACTATAAGGCTTTCTTTGTAATATTTCATTGTGGTTTCATGCTTCAAATGGGTGATTGTCAATTTTCTTTTTTTCAATGTTATAGTAGTTACAACTTAGTTAGACATAGTAACTAATTAATAAGTGGTCATTTCATTCAACTATTTATGACTGAAAGCTCTTTCGTACATCAGTAATGGTGATATAGGCTACACTTTAGGTTTACCCTGCTCAACTCCAGATTTTGAGGTATAGGAACAGTGTACGGTATGTGTAGTATGGCATGTCAAGAACTGCTATGACAGGGCTATAGTGAACTTCAGAAAAGCTTGATTTACCAACTAAGCAAGCACAAAATGCATGAAAGCAACACTTGAGAAAGCAGAAAAAAAGAAGACGCAAATATCTTGCAGGAACGAAACGCCCATTTGCACAGTTGCACACTAACTGCAAAGAAAATGCACAGGCTGAACAACCACCTTTGAAGCAACCGAAAGAAACCACCAAAAAAGGTGAGAGGCACTACCTTGGTTCACTAAAAAAAAAAAAAAGAATATACGTGTATACTTTATATACAGCAGTGACATAGTAAACATGTCACCTTGCTGGGCTGTTGTGCATGAATAAAAGAAGTGGTTCCCTACTATCAGGTTCTTGGTAGTTTTTTTCCACAGGCCCTCCCCTTGAAAGTACCAACTTTTGCAATGAACTAGTCTGAATGCACGCATGCTCAGTTGCCATTTTAGCCCCAAGAAATTTTTATCCCCCGCACTACATCGCAATGGCAATCTTTTAATCTACAGTAGACTCTGCGTAAACGGAACTGCTGCTTGAATGGAACTGCCCTTAATATGACTGATTTCATACTTGTATTCTCCACAGACACATAAATTCAGAACGGCGCAACAAAGCAGACGAAGAGACAAATGATCGCACAATTGCACGTGTGATCACATGTCTTTTCGTCTGCTTTGTTGTGCCTTTCTAAATCCGTACATTCGTACCAAGTCGCCCAGTTGTCAGTGCTACTCCACGTGTATTCTGCACACCAGTTTATGTCTCAGTGAATAGAACTTTTTTTAAATGGTACACATTTTCCCTGTCCATTAAGTTCCACTTAATGAGAGTCTACCATAGGTACCGCAATGACTTGTCTACAATGATAATTGATACTGTGAGGTTTAACGTCCCAAAACCACCGTATGATTATGAGAGACGCCGTAGTGGAGGTCTCCGGGAATTTCGACCTCCTGGGGTTCTTTAACGTGCACCCAAATCTGAGCACACGGGCCTACAACATTTCCGCCTCCATCGTAAATGCAGCCGCCGCAGCCGGGATGACTTGTCTACAAGCCAAGCTTTTTTTTTGCGTTTTCAATATGCACTTTCTGTTCGCATTGTTTCGTGCTTACACAAAACAGCCTCTGTGTGTGAAAGTTAAGGCTATGTAAACACAAACGTACATCCATACATCCGTCCTCTTTCAGGGTACATAAAACACAGAAAAACCCTCTAGGCATCTCAGGTTCAAACTCATACACAATGCGAAAATGATATGTGGGGTTTAACGTCCTAAAACCACCATACGATTATGAGAGACGCGGTACTGAAGGGCTCCGGAAATTTCGACCGCCTACACAATGTGAAAATCATGAAGGAGATAAATCTTTCTAGACTGATAACTTTTCTCAAAATTTTAACTGCAGCACTTTCTTCATTAAATTAGTTTTTTCTTTAAATATTGTTGTTCAAGGAGATATTAATTTAGCAGATAACACAATCTAAACTTTTTATAAGAACAGACACGAACTACAGTACACAAACTACATTACTCTATCCAATTTAACTGCTTTCTTTAGATGCTGCACTTGAAAAATCAAAGCTGAAAAAGTAATTAAGTATTGTCTACACCTTAGGCTAGTGATAGTCTTGACATGGCACCCCCAAGACACACCGTGAAGTAGATTGAAGGAAAGGGCAAATTTAAGGGCTCACTTTGTTTTTTAGACACAATATTAGTAAGAAGAAACAGACAATAATGCCAGGGAATGTATAGGGGTTGTTATTATAAGTAATCGTAATTTAAATGTCAAAAAAGAGAAGTGGACGAAAAGATAACTTGCCACCAGGAGGATCTGGAACTTCGACCCTCGAATAACGTGTTCGATGCTTCAACACAGCTCTTTTCGACCACTTCTTTTTCTTCACATTTACATTACAATTATATATAAAACCTCTATACTTTCCCTGGCATTATTGTTTGTTAGTTGTCACTAATATTGTGTCTAACAAACCAGACGAGCCCTTAAATGTACACTTTTCTTCATTCATAGCGAGGGTCTCGTTCTGGTAGACTTAATACCGTGAGGTGGTATGCGAGAAATATTGGTCAGCTGCCATCTCATAATGAGATCACGTACTACGTGACGCCACAAGTATCAAGAGTTTCATACTCATTGCAGTGGCATCAGATGGTGCTGACAAACTTTCTGTAACATCCAGGAGATAGCAAGGACATTCCTACTGAGAAAGGGTCGTGAAACAGCCAATATGTCCATTTACCAATGCAGGAAAAACAACTCCATGTGGTAGACCTCAGAAGGTGGATCCGTTGTCGACAATTGCCACTGCACATGTGGTTTCCTCACAAGCAAACCAAGGTAACGGGAAAAGTTACGCTTGACAATTGCATGTTCAATCCTCTTGAATCTTGCTGTCTGCCTAGTGGTTAACGCTATTAAGGGGAGATGCTACTCGAAGACACTTTTTTTTAAATATTCACCCTAGAGCAATGAAACTTGAGCTGTTTGCGGACGATAGTTTTAGCGCTAGAACAAAATGACGACACAGAGACAAGAAGTGTCTTTCGTGTCCTTCTTGTCTCTGTGTCGTCGTTTTGTTCTCGCACTATAACTATTGTCTTTCGTGTCCTTCTTGTCTCTGTGTTGTCGTTTTGTTCTCGCGCTATAACTATCATCATGCCATACCAACTAGCCTAAGCTGCCACACTTCTGTTTGTAGAACTTTTTATGCTGATTTCAAATATATAATTAGTTTTCTTGCAAGTTGCACACTTTTAGCTCTGCAATATGACAAAGCGAAAACCTTAACCCTTTTGCCCCCCCCTCTTTTCATCCCTAAACTTCTGTAATTTTTTACTATTCATAGTTCATATTGTTTCAAATAAAGTGTAGAATGCAAATAACTAATTAGGAAGCACATGAAAAGTAATAGACGTAAAAAGTCCACATTTTGCCCACCCTAGTAAAGGTTTACATACAATTTTTTTATTATACAATAAAATATTAAAATTTAAACTAGATAATTGCATTTGTCATACTTTGGAAAAATTTGAGCAAAATTTCATGCAGATCAGAGCACTAGAAGTGCTTAAAAAAGGAGGCGCACATTGAAAAAAATGGCAAAATTTGCGTTTTCAGAAAAACGAGTTTTAAAGTTAAAATTGAGTTTTTATTTGTGAAATATATCATTAAATCTGATGAAATTCGCACACCAAAAAGAACAATCCTCTTGTAGTGGCCACTGCGACTAAAATATGCCAGCACCATGAGTTTGTCCCTCTCGTCTTCTTCGAGCCGACTCCTCACAGACAGGGCCATGATATGCTTGCCAAACTTCCGCTCCATCTGGCAGAGCCCTGTGCCAACTACAAACTAAGAAGAAGTTTGACAGGACTGCTAAATCCAAACTCAGTCCAGTGTCATGCAATTTTGCGGCCATATTTGTGCGACATACTGTCGTACATAATGGCAATGTCGTTCCTGCTAAGTTCTCTCACTGCGAGCTCTTTCGACCTCACAAGATTGGCGCTGACGTCATCCGTTGCCGCATCACGAACTTTCCTGCTGACGGGTGTGAGTAACTTTTGACGCATTGGCTTTTGCAAGAAGCCAACAAATTAACTGCCGCAAATCCTATCAGCTGCTCGTAGCCTATTCCTACAGAGCACGCCGCACAATAGCTTTCACTTGCGAGCAATTCCTTTTTTCATTCATAACGGAGATAATTACATGGAAAAAGCATTGTTCAGCTGTGCTGCTCGACAAGACATGAACCCCGCAAATAGGCTTCACAGCACATACAGGCACGCAGCGGCCAATGGCGGTCCCCCGATCCGTACCACGTGATAAGCCAGTCGCGGCGGTCGAAAAACGCGCAGAAGCGTGCTTCTTTTTATTATTTCTTGCGCTGCATCAGCGAAGAAAACTGTTGTTATTTGAAAAGTGAGGCTTGACTCTTCGACTCATGCGATCAACAATGGCGAGCGGCGGTGCATTATCGGTGGCAAGGTGCTCGAAGACTGCACACTTTGGACCTTTTAACAGGCACCTTGTGCTCTTTAGATGCAATTTTGAAGCATTTCCAGTTAAGTCTCGATCTGTATTTTGTTTTTTTCATAACCATAGAGGTACTACTCTTATCAAAACAGGCGAAAATAAAAAATGGTCAATTTTGAAAAAAAAAACTCGCGTTTTCCGACCCGCATCTCCCTTAAAGCGGAGCAAGAGACTACACTTACTGGTATGTTTTGCCAAAAAAAGCCGTGATAAGCGAAAATGCCCTTGCATGATGAAATAGTGCGACATCATTGGTAATCTATTGATACGTCCAAGTGAATGTGGCTATTCTCCACAGCACTGCCTTAACATGACAACATAAACAGCTAATCAAGTGATTAACGAAATTGGTAGTCAAGTTGTAAAAATGGAATGCATGCTGCTAGAAAAAAAATTGCTTGTACTTCCTCGCCATGATGAGGGGTGAAAATGAAGTCACAAAATTTTTACATATGCCACAATGTGCCATAACTCGCTAATACTTGCTGAATGCATGACCTTATCAGAGCCAAGCTCCTTCTTCATACAGTGAAGTCAAACTGTGAAAGTGCACTTTGGGTCCATCATATATTCATTTATACGTGCCCATACTTTCATGCTGCTTGTGTGACTCGCCACTAATCTTTCGCAGCTGTGAAACAACCAAAAGGGAGGCCACGCAAGAATCCTGATGCAGAAACTGATCAGCCTTTAGATTTGAGCCAAAAGAAGCCAAAGGCAAGCTCAAAAAAAGGTGGGAGTGCAAAAAGAAAAAGACAGCATGAAACGCTCCTGACGCAGCTTGGTTCTCTCCAATACAAGCATGTCCCCACATTCTTTGTTTAGTGGATGCGAGAAAGAATCGTTGTTATAGCACAAACATAATGAGGGCATGCTGGTCGTAGAATTTCAGGACTACTAAATAAGTGAATCAACGAGAGTTGCACTGGTTAACTAATTTACCCTTACATGTACAATACCACAATCAATACCAGCAAATCGTGATGAGCCAGAAAATATTTGTGACAATATTCTGTAGCAGCAAATGCTAGAGAAATGAATAAGCAAATAATAGTTATATAGTAGTTACCTTGACAGTCGGCATAAGCCAGTACTAGCAAGTTGCGAGTAAATGCAACTGGCTTCCCATGAACTACTACACACATTTTGGCAAAGTGTACGGTGTTTGCAGATTGAAATACAACAGTTAATATTTAAGTGGCGCACATTATTCAGTTTCCACTTTCTTGATTTGGCGTCATATTGGTGTGAATTGAACTCGAATGCTTACATCAGAGCCAACATTAACATTAGCAACCATATTTGGGGCGATGTGACATGGCTATGTCGAGCAATTGGGCATACAAGGCAGGTTTTAAGTACTGCCATGGTACAAAAGCTCAAACTCAAGGGAATACTTTCAAACTTGTGATGTGGCTTGTAAAACCCCATAAAAAAATTATAGGGCTATTTGTGGAAGGACGACCACATTAGACACCCTGTAGTTGAGAATTCTGGAATACTAATTCTAATCAACTTGGGTTATTTAATGTTCCTTCAAATCTTAATACACAAATGTTTTTACATTTCGCCCTTGCAGCTTACTGGTGCATACCAGCACATGCATATTTTAACAAGAAGTGAAAGAACTTCACCCATTCAACATAAATTTTATCTAGTAAATCGGTAATTGCTTAATTATTGAATAAAGGCTTAGAATAAATAATCAGTTGTGAGATAATTAGGTATTTCTCTTTCGTCTCCCCCTAAAGCAAGTAGATATTAACTTGTAATGTGCAAATTATGACATGAAAAATTGTTCTTTCAGCATTGGAGCGCAAGCATGACAACACAGAGTCCGGTGGTCTCAAGAATGCCTCAGCAAAACCGGCTGCATCCACAAAGGGTAGTCTAAAGCAACCAGCAAGGAGCAAGCTGTCTGCAATTCTGACCAAGAGAATGATTGACGAAGCTAAACAAGCGCTTACTCGTGAAAAAGAATCCAACACAAACCAGAATACGACTGCCTCCTCAGATCCGAAACCCATAACTGCATCAAGCAATACCAAAGACATAGTATGTGATGCAGCCGTGACAGCGTGCCAGATGAAATCAGAATGCAAAACCGATGAAGGAGACACTGGAGCTCCTTCTGAGAAATCCGTGTTTACATCATCAAGCGATCACGAAAGCTCAGATTTACAGGGGGCTACAGCTTTCTTGCAGCCAACCAAGGAACCAGATTTCGTGTTCAAGACACCCACCATTCAAAATCGCATAAAGAAACGCCAGAGTTCAGCAGTTGGTTCCAAGGTGTCTACACCCAATGTCGCAGACAGTGACAATGTGAATCTACGAACAGACACCGAGACTACTTGCACTTCTGTAGATAACGCCATCGCGCAAGCTGAAGCTTATGGTCACGAGTCACCGAATGAACCCTTAGCTAGTGATGCCAAGCTATTCATGACCCAACACAAAGCATCACAACCCACGGCACTGGACTCTACAGATGCAGGACTTGTCCTCACTATTCCATCGTTTGACAGCATAGAGACTCAGAACGAATGCTTTGATGTCAGTTCTCTGATTGAATTCCTTGATATTGATGATAAAACTGACAACAATCGAATGTTTGGCACTCTGAACAAGGCTGGTCAGAGCCAGCAGCTACCAATTGCAGCTACCGTGTGATCCCATAGATTTAGAGCCTCCAATGGATATGCTTCCCGTTGAAGTGGACATACCTGGCTGTGGCTCAAATGGCAAGAGCCAGCTGCAGCAAACAGAACTCGAATTGGGGACAGTGTCTGCAGCGGCGCTTGCTAAACAGCCAATGCCGACCGCCAACAGCAAGACGGAAGTTCACGTGACGGTTCTAGCAGAAATGGGATTACAGTCAAGTCGTCGAGCCAAACAGCCGAACAAAGTTTCACTCGGTGCTACAGACGCTTGAAACTTCCTCGAAAGTCAGCACTCCTGCTTACAAGCCACCCAGCATGAGTAGGGGCGAGCTTGATAAGTTTGGGAACAGTGAAGACACCGCAGCTGGAGTCCAAAGCAACAGCGGCGGCAGTACTGAAACCGGCATGTGCAAAAAAGCCAACAAAGTAAAGGGTGCAGCTGTAGCCGCAAACAAGAAGAATCACAAGCCACCATCTGCCACCGCCCAAACTGAGGCTTCGGCAAAGAAGGGGAAGACTGCATCCAAGGAAAATAGAGCACCACACAACGAGATGATGCCGCCAAAAGCACCCCTCGCAAAGAAGCACACCTTCAAAGTTCCAACAAGAGAAGTGACCTCCAAAACAGAAGCTTCAGTTTCGAAAACTGCCGCACCCTTGAACGGAACTCAGCCAAGGGCAAACCTGAGCAACTCAGGCAGAGACAAAGCTGCCAGCCTTCACTGACAAACCGGAACGTTAGTCCGAGCAACGTGATCGAGGCAGCATCAAAAGCCAGGGCAGTGGTGGACAACAATGGGACTCATTGCAAGACTGGTACGGGCAAAGCCGCTGAGGGTAATGTCCAGGCTGTTCCGTCGCGCATCAGCGGAGCACAGTCAAAGGCAAGCGGCAGCACGTCAGCTGACAAAAACAAACAAGCTTTGCCAGAAAACACACGTGAAACCCAGCCGAAGCCTAGTCATGGCTATTTAGTCGACTCTGAGGACAGCGACTTTGAGTCATTGTCAAACACGCAGGACCTCACGTTTGAGGACACACTGTCTTCCATTTCCCAGAGTATGGATATGGGTCGAGAGGATTCAGACTTTGCTAGCTTGGAAGGAATAGACGGCTCGCAGCCATTTGACATGGAGGAGTAGAATGACACAACTTTTCTTTTTCACTGTTGCTTCAAGCTTTTTCTCTTCCACAGAAATGTTTTGTTCAGTCTGGAGGCAAGTCACATCCAGCAGAGGACTACCCGATGACAAGGCCAGTGGCATCAAAAGTTGTGGGTGCTATCTATGCCGACTACCATGGCCCAACTTTGATCCCATTTTAGGATATTATCAGAGGCCATTGAAAGCATGTAGTGATTTCTCACATGAGTTTTTACTTTTTGAAAACTTGTTCATGGTTTAACTATATTGATTGGAGCCACGCTGTGCCCAATCGTCAGTTGTTCCAAAGAAATCCAGAAACGCCACTCTAGATCTGCCTTGGTCCTGGTCTGGCCTAAGCCCTATTTAAATCATTATTGCACAGTCATTGGCAAGAACTGCAAGCATCTAGACATGCGGCCGAAATTCGTGCTTATTAGTGTTGGACATTTTTTTGTTACAAGAAGCAGCCCTGCCCAAGAGAACCTGCATTTTATTAAAACTTCACTGTTATTCAAAACTGTATTAAATGACTTGTTTTCATTCTAGAGCATTTGAGTGAACATCTACATAGTGGTACGTTTGCAGTGTTGTGCAAGCACTAGAAAAAAAACATAGCATATACATCATCATAAAAGTAAAGATAAAGCATTCAGGTGGAATATTAGAGCTATGTAGAGTAAAATCATAATTTAGAAAATTCGGTTACCTAATATAAAAGGAACATAAAAAACACACAAGAACAGGATGGACAACGCACCTTTTTGCCGATTGAATCTTTCAGTTAATATGCCCTACCCATAGTTTATTGACGCAACTGATGTATCATTTTTTGTAGCAAACATGGGATCATATGGTATGTTTAAAAAAACTACATTTTCGTCCTATTCAAGCTTGGCTAGAATTTGGTGACCATGCAGCGATTTCTATATCAGCGCCTGTTTTTCACTGTTAGGCAACTACCCCGCATTAATTAAGAGCGGCAACTGCCAAACTCCGAGGAAAAAAAAGGTCGTGCTGTCACCAACACACTGCTCATTTGCAGCTTTGAGGTCTTTACGAAGAAAAACATCTCACCACGGTTCTTTATTTTACATTTTATTTGAAGAAAAAAGAAAGCATGAAACCCAGAAGAATGTCTTTGAATCCTCACACTCAACACAACATTCAAATGCAAAACCAAAAAACGTAACAGAAAAAAAAAAGTTATGTCCCACTGTCTTCAATGACCATTCACACTCTGCAATTTTTAGGCAGGATTCGAAACTTCCAGGCTTGCTCTTTTCAGCTTGCGTGTTATCGCTGGACCAGAACAAGGACGCACGTGGTGACTTGTGTAATGAGACAATGGTGTGGAAACAAAACCTGGATCGACGCGCGGATGAGGTGACTGTCGCAGCAGCCGACTGCTTCACTCAGCCTTGCTTTTGGGCGTGTCTTTGTGGTGGAGGAAGACGCAACTGAGCAGGAACACTCCGACCATCATGGAGAAGGCGCTCAGATAGTATGGGTAGGCAGAAGGGATGAAGCGCTCGTACTGCGTGTGCTGTAGCGGCCTCACAGAAACCTGGAACGAGATGACAGCCAGTCATTAGCTGCTGCATTTGCAAGCTCCACATAAGGGCATTTTTTGTCGCAATGGGCTTTTTCCTAGTCCAAACAGCACCCCAAGTGTAGATCGCCGAAATCAAAACTGGCGACTCTTAGACTTCACAATTCTCTACCGCATGCCGGTGGGCGATCTCGGAGACTTGCGTCCGCACCTCTCTTTGGGGGCAAACATTTGCCTGTTTGTGGCACCAGATGTCGCTTGGTTCGCACGTGCCGTCAGGTTTTGGCCACTGAAAATCGTGGCGGTGCCTTCTCGAGGCCGGCTCGCATGTGCAGACTACCTACTCGGAAAAGGTCTATTGGTAACGATCCTGATATGTGCAGACTACCTACTCGGAAAAGGTCTATTGGTAACGATCCTGATAGTCTTGATCTCGGATCAAGTGCTGCTGCATCGTAACTTTCAATAACGACCAGGCCCAAACAGGATCAAAACCATCGCGCTCCACTCTTTATTAACGCCTGCACCAAACTCGGTCCAGATGAGCTTACATTGCATAGCATTGATGACTGTTAATCACAATCAACAAACCCAGTCCAAATCAGCCCTTATTAAAATCAAAAGTGCTCATGCGATATCAGTATTTAACTGATGTACATCAACAGCAGCCTTCGGTGAAACTTTAAGAGCAATGTTTGCTCTTGCAAGACTCCCACCCAGTACTTGTTGAGTACCCAGTACTAGTTGAGAGCTTCAGTTATAAAATTTTAGCTTGGAATGGCATTTTCACAGCCAATCAGTAGTAATGACCGAAGGCACGTAATGCAACTAACGCTCTGTTTACATGGATTGAGTACCTAAGCAAGATTATCTAGAAACTTGCTTGCCCTGCCGAATCTGCCAGTCCCAAGGTGATGGAATAATTTATGCACCTGCACTTCACACACATCGTCACAAAATATTGCACAATCAATAGTTAACTTGACTAAAAGAACCGGAAGGTATCGCAGCACCTTTTTTGTGAGACATCAAGTTAGAATAGTACACTTGAAAAGACACGTGTAGCTTGCATCGTCGACAGTTACAAGATTGAAAATAGAGAGCAGAAGAAAATGTCGGCATCTGATGTTTTACCTGAGTAGATGTGTACAAATGTGTGTAGCCGATGCGGTTGTAGTCTACTTTAAACTGGTAAACTCCGTAGACGTCAGGTACCTTGAACTGGGCCTCGTACTGCTGGCCTAAGAGGGCAAGAAGAAAGGGAATCCCGTTAGCTAATGGGGTGAGGGCACGTATAAATTATGTACGGGTGACAGAAAGTACACAAAAGCAACTAATGCAGTTTGAGAACAATCGAGAAGAATGACAATTGCTTACTAAAAGATGGACATTATTGGAGCCGAAGTCAAAACAAGACAGTGTGTGTTCAGGACCTCACCAACTTCAGTACCTTCGTTTATTTTCGGCTGTACTTAGAAGAAAGGTTAAGGCAGCTTAGATCTTAGCAATGTGATTCACCATGCCAGGTTAACTGTTAGTTCAATAAGATACCACTGATATATATCTTAATCCTCCAGTAGGCATAATGGCCTTGACACATGTAGCGTTCATTTGGATTAGCCGACAGTTGGTAAAAAGTTCTAAGCACTCAGAAAGAGGTTAAGTGTTAGTTCAATAAGATACCACTGATATATATCTTAATCCTCCAGTAGGCATAATGGCCTTGACACATGTAGCGTTCATTTAGATTAGCCGACAGTTGGTAAAAAGTTCTAGGCACTCAGAAAGCCCCAGGCATTTTTATAGTTTAAATATTGTGTTCATTACTTTATCCATCAACAGAGTAGACTGACAACAAGTCTGCGCTCCTTACCCTTCTTATGAAGCTTGGTTCGCACAAATGGATCAATGCGAACAAACTCAAGTTGCAGGTCATTGGCCTCAAAGGGCACCCACTTGTCACCCTTCAGGATCTCAATCTCAATGCTGTACACCTGTTGAGAAACAATGCATGGATTGCGTTACATCTCATATGATGAACCTGTGAAAAGTGCATTGTGGCGATCGAGAACTGAAGTCAACGTGGGAACATGCTAAAATGAAAAAGAAAACAAAAATGGCAGGCTATCAGAGATAGGTATTGACAGTCAATCCAAAAACCTTCCATCCTGGCATCGACACACTATGTCCGTCCAAAATTAGACAATCGAGAACCAATCATACGATACCGAAGCCTAGCAAAACAAGCACTAACGTAACTATAGCAGTGATGACAAAAATGGCACCAACTAATAATAAAAAAAAACAAAAAAACGAGAGAGCTTGTTGCCCTGGGGTGCCATTCTGGTTAGTGCCGAATCCCACCATGTTGTCAGATTCTGCTATTTGGGAACTACGATTTGCCCAGAAAGCTGCTATGGCCTCTCCAATTGGCTTAACATTAAGCCACTACAAAATATGACCACAGTATGTGAAATTTGACAGTGTCCAGAATAGCCCCCCAAATAAGAATACAATCCTGAAAGCTGCCAGATAAACTACAGCAAAGGCTACTCACAACATCGTCCATGACTGTGTATGCGTCCGGTGCATTCTTCTCTCCCTTCTTGTAGTGCTTGATGTTCTGTGCCCTGAGCACACCCTTCTCCTTGAAGACCCACTGCGACAGCGCGAAGGCCAAAGCCTGGTTGCCGGAGATTGCGTGCCTGCGCAATTCAAAGTCCAACACGTCACTGAACTAGCATTGTTCAGCATTTAGTGGGAATATTTCCTTCAGCAGATACCAAAATTTTCCCAATAACCCTTTGGTACTTGCATGTCGATGTTGTTCAAATTAGAGATATCACAGGACATACACATGAAGAGGTACAATAGGTGTGCCAAGTTGCTTGTTACGAGCTGAAAAATTCATGCTTTAGAAAGAATCCCTCTGTCAGGTTTTTTTCACATCCATACAGTCATACATAACAATGTTTGCTGGGCACACGCAATTAAATCACAATTAGCCTAAACCTCCAATCATCAGAAATGACAACAGCATACTAATTTGTTTTAGACTTTTAAAAGCTCATGCCATAGGCAAATCTGAGCCACAGTTCAGAGGCTGTAAACACAACAGCGAGAAACACAAAATGTTAGTTTGCACAGCTTCTATAGCTCCACACAGAACTTCAGTAAGCCAAAGACTGAACTAAATTTTTTATGAAGGTCCTAAATAGAGGAAACGTCTCCGACATACTTCTTAGAGCCTGGAGTGGCTTTTTGGACAGGGGACGAGAAGTACTTGTCACTGAAAAAGTCCATGGATCCGGAGAACACCACACGGGCATTGTTCCTTGCTTGCAGCGCCGAGATGAGCAGCGTGTTCTTGCCAACAGCGTGAGGATACTGCAACAACAGACTATATTAACGACTGTATGATGCCGTTAACTACAGAGCACAGTCACGTTGTGTACGCGCCTACCTCAGTGATCTTGTTGTCTGGATTACTGCTGTAGGCTGTCGACGATGCAGTCAACACCTCCAGGACGAGGGGGTTCTCCTGATCCGATATGATACTGCATAAGGACAGATGTTCAATCACGTGATCAAAGGTGTTTGCTTAAGAAACCACGTATTGCATAACAGAATAATCGGTGAATGCTTCAACACACACCCTGCACCCTTGAAGAGCAGGGGTGGAATGTTCTTGCTGCCGATGACCGTGGGTGCATCCAGCAGGTTTTCGGGGTCCGCGACAATCGTTGTATGCTGCGAATGTTGCACAGGACGAGAGTGTTTGGTGCGATTTACAAACTCTACCCATTCAGAACAGCCGGTAGTAACCTAAGTATTGCACTGTGCATTTCCTGATGTCTCCCCACGATGTTCTATAATGATTTACTGCTTCGATTAGCATGCATCTTGAACGTTAAAAGGCAACGTAACCGTTTAGCCGATGCTTTTGGCACTTTAGTGGTTACGCAGGAATTAACAAAATCAGCAATATAAATGGAACTATATCGCTGTTACCTTACCTTTCCTTCATCAGACACGTCGTAGTTGAGATGGTCAATCACGTAGCTACCCTCCTCATCAATTTCGAAGCCGCACTCATTGGCCAGTTCACGAATGACGTCGCCTAACGGGAGTAAGAGTAACAAAAAAAAAATGAGTATCTACGTCAGTTTATGATTTGCCAACAAGTACAGTGATAACCAACGTACCGACACTGGAACTAGCAGCAGCCAAAATGTTGCCTCCATCGTCAACAAACTCGGTTAGTGCTTGGACGTTGATGGTGCCTCCAAATTCTGGGCAATAAAAACGAGCAAGCGCACCGAAGTAAGCACTACGAGGTACGGTTGCCGCACAAAGTGATCTACCGGCGTTCGCCTACCTTCTACCGAAGGGGAGAAGAGAATCAAGTGCTTGTAGAGATATTCTCCATACTTCTTGAGCGATAAAGACGGGTCGTCGGCGGACTTGAAGGTAAGTTTAAAACCTCGATCTGCGCCAAGAAAAGACGCGATTCAAGAACGATTACAACGTTTCTTCGGTTATTTCGTGGGTGTTCACGTCAACAAGTCCTCTCTTCAAGAGTGGTTTTGGACACGGCGGTGGGGCAACTTCTTACCTTGCAAGGATTTGAAGAATATCGAGTGCGTCTCTTTGATGGCGAGGTTGTCTAGTAGAACTAGCGTTTCGCCACCACCCCGTACGTACGGTAACAACACAGAAAACGCGAACAAACAAGAAACTAAGTGCAGTTTAACAGCCATGATTTGTTGACGCCGGCAAGTAGCCACGGAAGCAAACGATTCCACGTGTAAAAGCGTGGCATTGTATTCATCCGCGCAAGAAAAGTTATATAGCAAAATTACCTCAAGCTCACCTATATTTATCAATACATTTATTTTTGTCAAACTGTCCTAATTAAAAAATATTGTTTTGAATAGCTTTATAAGGTTTACTTAAAGATTAAAGAGAGAACTATTTTTTCGACCAAAGTTGCATTGGCGTTCAGAGCAGCACCAATCAAAACTGGCCAACGTAATGTGAAAGTGAAATGTGTTTAGTTTTTTCTTAACTGACAAATAAACTATGTAACTTTGACAAGTTTTGTACTTATTAACGTATACCAGGTTCAAAGTTTGCATGCAGTTTTTAGGTTTTTGCACTTTTTATCTAAAAGCACTAGCGTTAGAGACATCGTGTATTTGTGTTGGCAACCTACCACCCATCTTTTTTTTGTCAAGATGGAAGCTGTCGAAGACGTGCTAAGCGATGCTTTCCCCGATATTGACGAAGATCTATTCGACTACCTCGAAGGTACGTGAACTGTTTCAATCCAGGAACGCTCCCGGAGTCGCTCGCGCACTACAAACTTCACTAACCGCGTCGACACGGTCATTACCAAAGTTAACGTCGGTCGGCGTATCGGCCGACCCATTCATAAGTCGAGTCCAGGCCGCGTCGTTCCAGCTTAGAATTATTAGGCATACTTGGCCTTGGGAAGAGCGCGATCGTAATTCGCCGTTCTGGAATCGTAAACGCATCTCTGGCCCGTTGTTAGCCGCGTTAAATGCATCGGCAGTTGTTCTCGGCGATCAGTGGTCTGAGCCTGTTCGCGAGCCCCGCTCGCTAGTTTCGCCTTTGCCGTAGCTGTCAACCGTTTATCGCTCTCGCTAGTCTCACTCCTCGCGAATGCGTTAAACTACAAAAGCACGTGACACAAAGAAACTGCGTTGATAGTGCTAAGTCCGGGGATTTCGCTTTTTGCGCGTGCAGGCGTCTTGGACGGCGGCAAGGAAGACTTCTCAACCTGCGAAGAGGTTTATGATGCCGTCGGAGAAATGTTGCTGCAGATTGCCGGCGACACCAAAGATGAAGATGAGATCCGGGAGATCTGCGCCCGGCTGCTCCACGTCATGAAAGGGTGAGGGCTGGATGTTTTTTTTTGTGTGTTGTCGTTGTTTTTTGTTTCACGCCTTGATGATTGTGAGAACGGGACGCAAAAAAGGAAGCGCACGCGGTCACTGACCTGACGTATCAATCCTCTCTCCCCCCCCCCCCCCTTCCCGTCCCTAGTGCGACCTTGGATCAGAAACAAAACTCCTTTTCTTAAGCTTGGAGGGCTCAGTTATCCGATCTATTTGGGTGCTTTTGAGTGGTGGGTGCTTCAGAAAACAACAAAATTACAATCGCCACTTCTAAAAACGTAATTGATCACACTTACGAAATACGTCGTTAAGAAAGTAATTGATGCATCGCACATACGTCTGAGATTATGTGCATTACTTTTCTCTAAGCTTACATCTACATTGCATTAATACGCTTAAAGAGGCCGTTCCGCTGCATCTTTTGCAGCCTTGCAGACCATGTTTATATTCGCATGCAATTGCTTTTGAGAATATCCTCTGACCTTGTATCCTTTGAAAAAGCATCGGCATTGTATTGACTCTATAAATTTGCTTTATTAGCAATGCTTCTAGAGGGTAGCGCAGTGTTGCACACATGTGAACACGTTGCGCTTAACATGGGGTCATGTTGTCGCGATGCTTTGTATCTAGGTGTTCTGTGAAAATCAACTCTTTTAATATGTAACTACTTTACGCCGAGCAGCCAAACTTGTCTGCTGCAATGCATGCAAACTCAACACTGCATGTGGCATTACAATTTTTGTTATGCTGCAGTTTCTGCCAAGTTTAATAGTTCACAAAGGTGCACCTCCTTTTATCTGCTTTTATCAATAAAGTAACTGATATGTGTATTTTATTGCTCAAAATCGTAGTTTAGCCACGATGAGCCTTACTGAGCAAAATCATGTATTTGATAAATTCAAAAACTGCCTTAAAATTTAATTCACTAAAAGTAATTACATGCAGTTTCGTAATTCATTGCAGTTTCGTAGTTTCATAATGCATAAGTGATGGCTGAGTGAGGTGGCGACAGCACGGTGAAGTTGTTTATGCTGTACTGAGTGTTTTATGTGAATCCTGTTGTCATTCTCACTATGTTATGTTTATTATTTGATGCGATCCGTACTGAAATTTTCAGTGTTACTCATGTATGCCGTAATTATAATTTAATATGCATATTCATGCTGTGACCATTATATGCTGCTAATACAAATGTCTTCATTGACCCAGTCAAGCTGCCTGCTGCATCTTTCAGGCCTGAAGAGACCATATATGATTTTTCCTTCATGTAAACTTTTGATTGATTCATTGATTGAAACCTAAAGCAAGGGCTCGTGTTCTCACATCCTTGTCCTTGCAATTTTTCTTCAACTAGGGAGTCAGACATTCAGAATGGCGACAGCCACAGCGCGCCTGCCAAGGTACTCAACGCACCGGTACAGTTAAAAGCCTTGGCTGCCGAGTTTGAGAACACCACCGATGAAGTTCAGAGCATCTGGATGAAGCAGAGGGACAGTGCATTGGTATGGACCGCTGAATGCAGTTATTATGGGGCTGTGTGACTGGGATCCTGCAGAGCATTGCAGTTATGCACATTATGTTTCGGGTGGCGTGTGTGCACAACCATTAGCAGAGGCCTGCTAGATTTGGGCGTAATGACTGGACACTATGCTCGCGCATTGCAGGTCTTGACATCCAAAAATGGGATTACATTTTTTTTTTCTTGTTGCACATTTACACTGCACTCTTGGGTTAGTATCACGAAGTATGTATCCATCTGGACGAGCATGTCGCATTCATCTCTTCAAGTTTTCTTTGCCACAGAAAAGATTTTTGCTTCTTATATATTGAACAGGCACCATGTTGTAGTGTGTGTGCATGCATGCCAGTTATTTTCAAATTATATAAACTGGAGCACATTCATCAGAATTTTCTAAAATCTTGATAGGCAGCACACCGCTGTCCCTAAAGTGAAAAGTGTACAACCATTGCATTCTGTCAGTACGCATGTACCGGGAAGAAGCTTGGTGATAACAAGAAACTTGAAGAACAGCCAAGAACCATGTGACATACTATGTTGATATAGACGATAGGGGCAATATGATAGCGATAGATAGGGGTAATATGATAGGGATGGGAGTAGATTGGAGAGCAAGCAGGGGTAGCCAATGTTGTAGTTGTTGTTAAAAGAACGAGATGGTGATCGGCCAGTCACGTAATGCAAAAGACCGATCTATTGGAGTGATGTAAACAATATCAAGGGACGGGAGGTGCTGCCAACCATGGTGGGCGGTTATGTGGAGCAATAAAGTTTGAAAGTTTGCAGGCATGAAATGTAACTAGCTTGCTGTAGACTGGGTGAAATTGAGGTCAAGACCAGCCAACAAGGAAAGAGTGAAATGAGTCTTTGCCGCACTTCTATCATCAGACATGTCTAACTTCGCTATTACTGCAATATTTTGAGAAATTTTCGTGGCTGCATGTTCGTTGTTGAATGGTGCACAGCTGTTGCACCACAACTAAATTTTGACCTCTGGGTGGTTTAGGGGCCCTATAAGGGAATTTGTTGCCTCGTGAATAGACTACCCCTCAAGAATTTTTGGAATCCATCAAGTACGAGTGGAGTTGGAGATTTGTTGCACGCTGTAATTGCTTTTTCTCTTCTTCCATCCTGACGAGTGTGCTTGAAGCTAAGCAAAGAGAGATGACACAGAGGAAAGAAGTTACGAGACGTGCGCGTTATGAGCTTGAGGACTTTTCTTTTTCAAAAGTGTGCCTTAATTTAAATGTGATCACGAGCGCACACATGTGCTAGCACACGAAGGCCTTGGTGACTATGCAGCTCACGATGTTCAAATCAACCAGTGGCCATGACTTTGGGTATGCGGCATCATAAGTAAAAAGAAGACGGAACGATTTGTAGCTGACATTGTGAGTTTATTTTCCTAACCATGTGCTGCGCTATAATGTTAGTCTCATGGGTCCTCAGGTGCCTCAACTATTGATCGGCAGCATTTTCTGAATGTGCGGAAAAAAAGTGTCGCAGGGCCTCTTTAAGAAAGTGTGTTGTGTGTATTTAAAGCACAGTTGGATCTACACATAAGAGGAACGGCAAGCTTCTAATCAAACTTGGATAACTGTTCATCTGCTTGGTGTAGAAGTTGTAGTAGGCAAAATGGACGTGATCAACGCAAACATATTTTTACGGGGCTTTTTAACTCTCGACTGTAACCAATGGAAGCAGACAGGCTCAAGCGTTTCCTTTGATAGGGGTCAGCACTGTTTGTGCAATGTAAGAACTGGGCAGGGAACAAATAAATGACAAATTCAAGGGAGGACCACTCTTTGTTGTGGCAAAATTGATAGAGCCACGGGCATCACCTGCAACTGCAGATTTGGCTCCTCCTTACAGCAAATTGCTTTTTACTTTTTATTTTGAATAGCTCTTTAGGTTTCACAGTGGCAGTTTTACTGATGCTATTTTTCTTGCTTGTATGTTTTGTTTTGCTCTTCTAAGATATGAAGATAAAAGTGGTTCTCTTTAATAGCCTGGGACACTTCACTTATACAGTTAAAGCTTGCTGATTAGACCACTGCTTATTCGGTAATTTGGATAATTCAGATGTGTTCTATGGCCTTGTCAAGCACATGTAATGTTTAATTGCATTGAACTCGTTAATTTGGTCATATTTGGTCACAACTTAGTTAATTTGCGTGATAGCATTCTAAGCGCAAATCGCTGCAAATTTGTGATGCAAAGATTGATTGATTTGGTTGATTTGTGGGGTTTAACGTCCCAAAACCACTATATGATTATGAGAGACGCCAATGCGATGCAAAGAAGTGGAAACGACGTTTGTGAACAACTTCAAATGGCAGCGAGCCTTTAGGAAGGCATGCTCACCATCCACTATCTTACCACAATTGTGTTGTTCGTGACCAAGGTGTCGGTGGCCCTAGCAAACTCGTTTAGTCTTGTAATTCACTTGGTGCACAGAAGCTGGCATGGGCGGTATCTATGATCACATTGATAGTGAGTGGGGTTGTAGCTGCAACAAGATGTCGTTTCGTTTTTGGTGTGCCTTCAGAGTTTCGTAGTTTCTACCTATGATTGTGCATTAGCTAGCCAGGTTTATTCAGTAGCTGATGCTGCGCTCGGCACTTTTATTGTGACTGCGTAGGCTGCACACGTGCCTCCAGAACTGCGTAGATGCTGCTGGTTGTCTTAAATGGATAATGACGCAAAACTTTTGGCCTCGCGTTTCTTTTTTTTTTGTTGTTGCAGTGTGTTGCCCAGTGAAAAGTCATAACATGGCATATCGTTTGCTGCAGCAGGCGACAGATAAATAATTACAAGCTCTCTATTACCAACCATTTTCAGTTTTGGTTTGAGAGACTCTAAAAAATACAAGCCTCCGGGTGCAACTATCGCCACCTAGCATGTGTAGTGCTCGACCGCGTCGGCAGACAGAACTGTGACGCGCTTCTGCATGGTCCGCATCAAGAAGCCCTTCTAAACAGGAAACGAGGCAACAGTGTTGCCAGACCGAAAAATTTCAATGAGTGCACCGCAGCCATGGACTTGCGAGCAGCCGCGGAGGAGTATAGACTACTGGAACAAACGTAGCAAAAGAAAAATAGCGGCTATGATGTCATCATAACTTGTCTTATGAACTGCAGCCTGGTGATGTGAGGGAAGTAAAGGGGTCACTTTTAAAGATGGTGTCAATACGTTCCAAATTCAAACTTCAAAATTCATGTAGAGTACTTTCCAAGCTATATTGGTCGTTGATGCTTTACAGATATCAGCATGTTCACAGATATTGAACCCGCAGGCTATCTCGGCCGTGAAATTTTGTGTCGGTGCCCCCTAATTCAGTGACCTCGATTTTATTCTGCAGTGGACGCGGCACAGTTTCATTTTGAGTTCGGGTAGGGCACACGTAATGTCTCAAAACTCAAACATGATTGAAGCTTCAGCAGCGGTCCACACGGTAGCATATAACTCACTCGCTACATTGTGATAGACGAACAATCAGTTACTGGTCTTTTCTTCCCAGCACAGTAATTATCGTCACGTGAGTGCAACAGTTTTGGTGGTGATGTTATCTATTTGGAGATGGGTTCAGATCACGTTTCGGCTTGCTACACTATGCTCTTTAGCTACACTCATATTCTGAACGAAGCTGCTAATGGCTTATATTGTGACTCTTACACTGTTATTATGTAGAATAGGTAATGGGTGTGTGTGTTCACTAAGAAAATGAAAATTCATGCTTATTGTTTTCTTGATGCTTTCGATAATTTCGCATTTCACTTATTTGGACATAACTTGCAGTGCCATGAAATTTTAATTAACAAGCTTTTACTGTACAACAAAAGCAATTAGGGATATTTCGTTGCGGATGCCTTTTTTTTACAATCTCAGTGCAACAACCTTGCACGCTAGTAGCCATTCGGCATGCATTAACATCAGGTCAAACAATTTAATGCCAAGAATTGTGGTTTGCCAAGTCATTTATTTTGTTTCGGCAGCAAGTGGACCAGAAGAAGTTAGAAAAAGCAGAGGCCAAGTTGAAGCAGAAGCAAGAGAAACGGGAAGTCAGTGGCGAGAAGGTGACCCCAGTGTAAGTGTTTGTCTCGTATTTTTCGTTGAACATCAATTCAAATGATAACTTTACCTTTTGTTTGCTGTTCTGGTTACGAACCAGTGATGGCAAATTGAATGACATTAGGTGTTTCAAAGAATGATAGAATGATCTCTCAGTATAAGCTGACAACGAGTTGCTACAAGCTCACAAAACGTGTTTTATTTAACGCCATGAACGTGTACTGTTAGTATACTGTTGGGCTGTGTAGTAGTACTCGCAGGTACACTGAAGAGCACAGTTCTTAATAGACTTGACTCTCTAACACTGCTCTTGCAGTCAGCCAGTGTTGAAGGCTGCCACGGCAAGTCAAGCAGTCAGCAAGAGAGAAGCCCGTATGGAAAGCAAGGGCAGCAACCGAACACAAGACATTCGTGTGGAAAATTTCGACATAGCTTTCGGTGACAAGTAAGTGAATGGGAACTGGTGTACTCGGGAGAATAGTGAAGTGCGTGTGTGTGTGTGTGTGTGTGTGTGTGTGTGTGTGCACATAAGCTACTTTCTTTCTTGCAGAACGCTCCTTCAGGGAGCCAATTTGACACTGGCTTGTGGGAGGCGTTATGGACTTGTGGGCCGCAATGGTATTGGAAAGACCACACTTCTGAGGATGCTTTCTAGGTAGGCTAGCTTTTTGTTTTTTGAGGAAGAACACGAAGAGAAAGAAAACAGTGATTGGAAAGCCTAGTATTGGGATGTGCCATCATGCAGCATTTTCAACAGAGTCATATTAAGGGAAATCTGGTTTGGTTGTCTGTTCACCAGGTTCTATCACAGATTTCGGTTATGCAAAGGGAGTTATTAGGTGCGTCGCGTATATGTGACTTTTGCTTTCTCTTGAAGCACAACTTCTTTGAACCGAAGGCTACATGGCCTTCAGTTTAAAATCGCAGCTTCTGCCCTTTGTAGTCGCTAATCACCGCCATGCAATTTGCATGTCAGGCTTGTTTGTCTGCTATACCTCAACGTGGCGTCAGGACCTTTAATCACTACTTTCTGTGCTAAATAGAGGCACTTCTACCCAGCTGTGCACTAGTATTGTTTAACTGTCTTGGTGAATTGACTACCCTGAGAAAGCACCGATTGTAGGTATAGTACAGGCACCAGGAATAAATACTTTTAATTCTGTGCTATACTTTCATAGTAAGAAAACCTGTGTAAAGTTTCTGTGTGACTTCAAGCACATTTAAAGTGGACATTTGAGTACTTTGTTTTGCTGATTATGATATTTCAAATGTGGCTGATCTGAGTACTACTACTTCAATGTCATTTGCTCTTTGCACTCTCATCGTATTCTTAAACATTTATTCCTCTGCACAAAAACTACATGTCACAAATTGTGAAAACTCCTTCCAGTGGTCAGCTCAGGATTCCATCACACATCTCAGTGCTGCACGTTGAGCAGGAGGTGGTCGGAGATGACACCACGGCACTGGACAGTGTCCTCTCCTGTGATGAGAGGAGGCAGCGGTTGCTCAACGAAGAGAAGGAGCTCACTGCCAAAGTGTGAGTGTGCTCAACTTGTTACTAGCTTGGGAAAACTTGTGTTGCAATCAAATGACTCAGTCATTTCCTGCTTTTGATATTTATGGGAAAGGTGGCAAGTATTTCCATAAATTGGAAAGTTCTCTTACTGTATGCCACAAGCATTTGTGCAACAGGCAGTGGTGCGTGTGTCTTGCAAAACAGCGCTTCTTATTAGTGTTTTACCAAGAGAGAGTTTCAGAGTGTCCACACGCATCTTTGCACTAGCGTTATAACAAATACCGTAAACATGAACATTGAAAGGCTGGACAGGTGGTGCCATCTACCAGAGCCAAGATGAACTTGGCAAGCATATAATTGTTGTTTCTAAAACCAGGTGTGATTTATTTCTCTGCTGGTGTAAATTCTTGGCAGCAGTCTAATATTGAATGAATAGCTTTTTTGAACTTTTTTTTCTAGGACACTGGGAGAAACATACAAATGTGTTCATAATTGTGGCTGCACGAAGTGTCTGAAGATGTTGATATGATCATTCGTGTTGGGGTAATCCTATTCTGGCATTCTATTAAACCCTCACGAAATACTAGACAAGGCTAATATTTCTGATGAATCTGAACTACAATGCTAACTGAAATGATCTCAAGAACATCGGCTAGCTTTGTACGCTTAGTGATTTGCACAAGGGGCTGAAGGGAGTTTAGAGTATGGCCGCAAGTGATGTAGACTATCGTGCTTAATGGCTTGACAGCAAAGTGTTTTATTTGTTGTCACAAAACTAACCCTGAAGAGGGGCGGGGGAAAGAAAAATAAGAACACACACACATACTTGTGAAGTCACGTTTCTGTTCGACCCAGAACAGTGGCAGTGGCGACATTTGAGCATAGCAAAACAGCATCATTTCTGAAACCCCATCTTGGTGTCAACGGTTGGGACAGGTAGACTTAATAAACAAGCGAACAAGTGAAGTGCTGTCATTTGTTGGGTTATGTAGTTTATACAGGAGATTTTTTTTCCCACCCTTGACCACACACTTTTTTACTATAACCCCTTCAGTCCCGAATTATGATGCACTGTCTACAAATACGTCAAATTTGCATACCTTAATTCTAAGAAAGAAAATGAAGGAATGTGCTGTGTTGTGTCGGTTTCTGTAATTAATTGTAATAAGCATGAAGTTAAGTATTTCATTATTATCCAGTCAGTCATGTTTCATCTTGACATAGAATGAAATTCTGGGATCCAAATCTGTGTGAAATTAGTTTTTGGCTGCATTCACTTCGAGAAAAGGAAACTAATACTTTTCATGTGGGTTGCTAAACATGTCACTTCGAACGACCCGTAAAACAACGTAGTGCCTTCGTCGAAGAGGTCGGCTACAGTCATATGCAGCACACTAAAGTTATGTCAAGACATGTTGGCTACGCAGAATGTTAAATTCATCCAATGAGCCATGTATTATGCTCTCTTTTGGCCACAACCTGGCAGAATTAGCATATTAAAGTTGCATACACAAACATTGCCACTGCAGCTAAAGGGGATATGGCCGTTCTAATTACGTAGAGGGGAGTATGTGTTGAAGTATAACATTTTTTCAAATGCATGCTGACAAAGAAGCTTACTTTCTAGCTTCCTGCAGACTTGTGCTTCTTTGGGCAGCGTTTTTGACGTTGTGCAGACAGGTTACAAGACTGGCTTTTCCGTTTCACAGGGCTGAAAAAGATGACCCTGCACTGAATGAACGGTTGAGCCAGGTCTATGCAGAACTGCAGCACATTGACGCGGACAAGGCGCCGGCAAGGGCTTCGGTCATCCTAGCCGGTCTAGGCTTTTCCCCTGCAATGCAGCAAAAGAAAACCCGGTACGTCTTCCTCATTCACTCTGCTCAACTCCATTTTTCACATTTATTACATTCCTTTTAGTTCCTTTTTAAATCGATTTCAAGCTGCAAGACCAAATAAATCATGGAATTGAAGTATTTTTTATCAATTTTATTTTTGTTGAGTTGACAGTAAAACGTTATTAGTCAATGAAGTGCATTTCATCAATTTTATTCCAAAACCTCGGCTCCGGTTAATTGCTGCGCATATTTCCAAGTATTTTTTCACATTTTAGTTATCCTCGTGCCAACAAACTTTTAAACTTGTGAGGTTTCTACAGTTGTTTATTTTGTTCATTTGCTTTTCTTGCTCATTAAGCCTGCCCTTGTGGTAAGTGTTCGTTATGACTTTACAATCATTACAGGCTTGAACGCCCTTGATTTTAATTTGACACTCACTTGCTGGAAGCGAAGCTGAGTTGGCTGTTGGTTCAACTATGGTCGTGTTGTGAAACAATTATAGCTGTGCTCGTAAGCACGGATTGTGAGAGCCAACAGCATTGTCTCCTCTTTCCTGTCACCCGTATTTTTCATGCGTGCTGCTTGTGAAAGCTTCTCTAAAGCTAAGCTTGCCTGAAAGGAGTATTTATGTTCTATTGTTCTGGGCGAAACAAATGTGTTTTCATGTTTGTTGCCTCCTCCAATTTGTTTTATCTTGCAGTGAATGTTGGGGCACATGCGTATTATTGTTAATGTTACTACGTTGCTGTTGCTTTCAACTGCTGACCATTACATAATGTCTTTCACAGTTTTTCGCGAAAATTGCTAGAGTGAACTAGAGCTATTTCAACAAAGTTCGAGAAATGAACAATACAAACAAAGACTATGCGATTTTTTCTATGCAAGGGGAGAAAAATCCGAAGGAAAGTTTGCAAGAAATCAAAAGCTCGAGCAAAGTGCGCGAGGTTGCAAACTTAATTAGAGGAAATATTGTCAATATGACGAGGTATGTGTTTGCCCGTTACAAGTGTATGAAATCGGCTCGATGCGTCATAATGAAATGCCATAATATTGATACAAAACAGCTGCTAAACACGGCTGCATGAAAGAGGAGGACGAAGTGGGTTTTTCCGTTGGATGCTGGTCTGGCGCCATCTTACTCGTCGAGTTCTGTGCGCTGTAAATAGGTCATTAAACAAGTTACTCGTAACATTATTGGTGGAGGTGGACGACCCCTGTACCTCAATGGAGACGCGCAGCGGTCGCACCATCGGCGAGCTTTCGACTGCTTCGACTGCTGGTACTTCCTCTACGCCGCCCTCGTCAGTCCAAGCCACCACCTACGTCACACTCCCGCACCTCCGGGATCCCGGCACTTTCTCCGGTGATGGTACGATCGATCTCGACACTTGGCTGAAGCGGTACGAGCGCGTCAGTGCAACTCACCGCTGGGATCCCGCGCTCATGCTCGCCAACGTGCTTTTCTACCTGGACGGCACTCCCCGAACATGGTTTGAAAGCCACGAAGCCGACATAACTAGCTGGGATCTCTTCAAAGAAAAGATACGTGACCTGTTTGGCGATTCATCTGGTCGTCAGCTCGCTGCGAAGAAGACTCTTGCCACACGGGCCCAGTCTTCTACCGAATCGTACGTCTCCTACATTCTTGACGTTTTGGCCCTTTGTTCCAAGGCCGACCAGTCCATGTCCGAAGACGAAAAGGTTAACCACGTATTCAAAGGCATTGCCGACGATGCTTTCAACCTGCTGGTTTTTAACAACATCTCGAGCATCGACAACATCCTTAAAGAATGCCGACGTCTCGAACAAGCTAAAGCCCGCCGTGTAGCCCAAAACATTGTGCGCCTTCCGAACACAGCGGCCACCTCTTCGTGTGACGACGTCTTCCACCAGGCCCCTCCATGTGACAACCTCACACGCATCATTCGTCGAGAGGTCGAGGCAGCACAACCGGTAGCCACGCCACTACCAACGCCTACGCCTTCCCCGACCACGATTTCTTTGATACAAGCCGTCGTTCGTCAAGAGCTATCGAATGTCGGCCTACATCCTGTACCTGCCGTATACTCTGCTGCGCCTTCTTTTCGTCCCCCTTCTGCTCCTCGCATACAACGCAATCCGTCCGAATGGCGTACCCTTGATGACAGGCCCATATGTTTCAACTGTCGACGCGTTGGTCATATCGCACGTCACTGCCGCAGCCGCTGGGCTCCACCGTCCCATTATGCACCTCAGTATCACACCACTTCTGCTCGCGAATCGTCCCCATCACTTTCTCCATCAACGCCGACCACATTTTCCGCTCCTACAGCACCTCTGAGCAGACCTCGCTACGACCGGTCACCGTCCCCTGCTCGTCGTCAGTCCCGGTCGCCCCCACAACGCCGTGCTGGCTCCCCGACCTATTCGCAGCATCTCCGACCGAAAAACTAGGCCGTGCAGCTTCTGGAGGTGGAGCTGCATTGACGACCTTCGTAAGAAATCCTCGATTAACGTTAACAACGAACCGGAACCTTTTGGACGTTACCGTCGACAATGTTCGTGTCAGTGCGTTGATAGATACTGGCGCGCATGTGTCTATTATGAGTGCTAACCTTCGCCGCCGACTTAGAAAAGTTGTCACGCCCGCCCTCAACCGAGCTGTACGAGTCGCCGATGGAAGAACTGCCGCAATTCTTGGCATGTGCTCTGCGCGAGTGTCTATTGGGGAGAGAAGCACTGTCGTTCTTTTCGCCATTATCGAACATTGCCCTCATGAACTCATTCTCGGTATGGATTTTCTAGCCACGCACTCTGCCCTCATAGACTGTTCAGCTGGCTCTCTCCATCTCCATTTACCCCTCTTTTCCGACCAGCCTAGCCCACCGCAAACCAGCCTCTGCTGCATTGATTTCACGCGTTTCCCTCCTAACTCCGTCACACATGTCGACTTATCCTCCACGCCGCCAGTACCTGATGGTGATTACATGGTGGCCCCGATTCCTGCAGTGATGCTTACGCATGGGGTTGCTGTGCCGCATATGATTCTGACGATTAAGAGAAACCGCACCTTCCTTCCACTGGTCAACTTTTCACTCACCACCCAAGTTCTGCCACAGGGTATCTCCCTGGCCAAAATTACTGCTCTCCAAGATGACCATGTCGAGCCCTTCAGAGTTGACGATTGCTGCAGCTCTGTCAGTGGTTCCACTCCATCACGTTCTTGGGGTGCCGACATTGAGCGAATGGTGTCATCGGACCTCACGTCTGAGCAAGCTTCAGCGCTTTGCCACGTTCTTGAGGGCTATCGTAGCATTTTCGACTTTGCCAGCAACTCTTTAGGCCAAACGACCATTGTCACCCATCGCATAAATACTGGCCATGCAACCCCCATTCACCGACGCCCCTACCGTGTGTCGGCGTCGGAGCGTGCAATATTACAACATGAAGTCGGCAAAATGCTTGCGAAAAACATTATCGAGCCTTCATGCAGCCCCTGGGCTTCTCCAGTCGTCCTTGTTAAAAAGAAAGATGGAACATGGCGCTTTTGTGTCGATTACCGTCACCTTAACAAAATTACCAAAAAAGACGTTTATCCTTTACCTCGCATCGACGACGCCCTCGACTGCCTGTACGGTGCCACCTATTTTTCAACTATTGACCTTCGGTCAGGGTACTGGCAGATAGCCGTCGACGAGATGGACCGCGAGAAGACCGCATTCATCACTCCTGATGGTCTTTATCAGTTTAAGGTGATGCCCTTTGGACTCTGCAATGCACCAGCCACATTTGAAAGAATGATGGACTCATTGCTCCAAGGGTTGAAATGGTCCACCTGCTTGTGTTACCTTGATGATGTTATTGTCTTTTCGCCCACATTCGACTCGCATCTTGATCGTTTGTCAGCTATTTTGGACGTTTTTCGTCGAGCCGGACTCCAGCTTAACGCCTCCAAGTGCCACTTCGCTCGTCGCCAAATTTCCGTGCTTGGTCACCTTGTCGATGCCCAAGGCGTGCGTCCAGACCCAGAGAAAATTCGTGCAGTCACGAACTTTCCCGTTCCGAGGACCACAAAGGATGTCCGCAGTTTTGTGGGGTTGTGCTCGTATTTCAGACGCTTTGTTAAGGACTTTGCGACCATTGCACGCCCACTCACAGACCTCTTGAAGAAAGACGCCTCGTTTACCTGGGGCCATGATCAAGCGTCATCGTTTTCGCAACTTACGACACTGCTTACAACGCCACCAATCTTGGCTCACTTTGATCCATTAGCCCCAACCGAGGTTCACACGGACGCCAGTGGACACGGCATAGGAGCTGTGCTATTGCAGCAACAACGCGGACACGACCGCGTTATAGCCTACGCAAGTCGACTACTATCTCCAGCCGAGCGCAACTATTCCATCACGGAGCGCGAGTGCCTCGCCCTTGTATGGGCAGTCGCCAAGTTTCGCCCATACCTGTACGGGCGCTCATTCCGTGTTGTCACGGATCATCACGCGCTCTGCTGGCTAGCCTCCCTGAAGGACCCCACGGGACGTCTCGCTCGTTGGGCTCTACGCCTTCAAGAGTACACGTTCTCTGTAATGTACAAAACAGGGCGATTACATCAGGATGCGGATTGTTTATTCCGCTACCCTGTTGACGAAGCAACCGATACCGACGCTATCACGGACGTTTTTTCCGTGTCGCAGCTGTTAAACATTGGCGAAGAGCAACGTCGGGATGCTTCTTTACGAGCCATCATTGACAAACTGGAGTCAACGCCACGCGACCCGTCCCTACGAATGTTTTTGGTGAAAGACGGGATCCTATATCGCCGAAACCTTGATTCCTTCGGATCAGACTTACTTCCTGTCATCCCAGCGCACCTGCGTTCCTCTGTCCTGCATCAACTCCATGACGCTCCCATAACGGGCCATTTGGGCGTTTCTCGCACGTACGATCGAGTATGACGCCGGTTTTTTTACCTGGACTTGCCCGCTCTGTTCGACGCTATGTCGCCGCTTGTGAGCCCTGTCAGCGTCGCAAAACGCCGTCTGCCCTCCCAGCCGGCTACCTTCAGCCGATCGACGTTCCCAACGAGCCTTTCTTTCGAGTGGGTCTCGACCTGTTGGGCCCTTTTCCACTCTCCACAGCCGGAAATAAATGGATTGCTGTTGCCACGGACTACGCGACGCGGTACGCAATCACAAGAGCACTCCCGACCAGCTGCGCTACCGACGTTGCGGACTTTCTGCTGTATGACATAATATTTGTCGCCCTACACTGGACCATTCCGTATCGTTCGCCAAGTGACAGACGTCACGTACGAGATTGTTCCAACTGATCCAACAAAGTCATCGTCAGCTCCGAGCGACATTGTTCACGTGGCTCGGCTAAAGCCCTATTACCCCCCTTCGACATCATCTGCGTAAATTTAGCACCGGGACGGTGCTTCTACCGCCGGGGGTTATGATACAAAACAGCCGCTAAACACGGCTGCATGAAAGAGGAGGACGAAGTGGGTTTTTCCGTTGGATGCTGGTCTGGCGCCATCTTATGATACAAAACAGCCGCTAAACACGGCTGCATGAAAGAGGAGGACGAAGTGGGTTTTTCCGTTGGATGCTGGTCTGGCGCCATCTTACTCGTCGAGTTCTGTGCGCTGTAAATAGGTCATTAAACAAGTTACTCGTAACAATATGCTTACTCCCATGGAGGAGTAATTATAAAAAGTAATTAGCGATGGTCACAGCAAGCTGGTAACAACCATACAAGCAAGCCCCTGAGAATGTCGCACTTTTGATATCTGGTTACCCAGGCCACATTTTAATGGGGGGTAATTCTAGACGCCTAAAGCACCACAGGAAGAAATCACATTTTAATGGGTGTAAAATGTGATTTTAGCTTGTTGGATGCTCAGTACTTAGTTTGTAGAGCAGGATTTGGAGCTACACTCAAACCTCGATATAATGAATTTGGATATAATGAAATATTGGTTATAACAAAGTAAATAAAAAATAGTCTCGCAATAGCTTTAGTGTTAAAAATAAACCTTTATAACGATTTTCAGATATAACAAAGTTATTTTCATGTAAGATGCAACTTTGTTATAATGATGTTCGAGTGTATTGTGGTTACTCTCATAGCTTGGCGAGCATCTATCGCCACATTCTGGTGAAGAGGATGCTATGTCTTTAATGAAGGGATTGGAGTGTGATCACAAGCTTTTTTATCACAACCCACAGAGAATTTTCCGGAGGATGGAGAATGCGAATAGCATTGGCAAGAGCACTGTTCACGAGGTGAGTCATAGCAGCCATTCCTTTATGCATCAGAAACGATGACCGGTGAGAGAATTTTCTTGCCATATTTGCAGCAACTAATTTTTTCTTTTTGAAATTGCATTTTGAAAGCGTTTGTTGTATAGATGCAATCGGTTGCAACAGTTCAGGGTGCACAACGAACAGGCACTCTTTTGGTCCATGTGTATTGTACGCACGCGATTTTGATTTTTTTCTTTTCTGGCATGTTGCTTTGACACAGCTTTTTTCTTTTTCTTTTCAGGCCTGACTTACTGTTGCTTGACGGTAAGCTGCCCCAAATGCTCTGACCTGCAATATAGTACTTGCTCTAGATGTATCTTTTTAGTGTTCTTAAATTACTACAATACGTATTATTGTTCTTCCGCTTGCTTTCCGTTCTACCAAGGCATAGCTCTACATTTATGGGAAGATTGGAGGTATTGCGCATGTCTCCTGTTGCTTTTCGAATTGTACAATGCGTTATTGTCTTTGCCATGGCACTTGACTCAAAAGCTCTGTGCATGTACCGGGAAACTGAGAGAAATTTTCTATTTATTCTTAGCTCTTTGAATGAAGGTTCTCACATTCAAAATATCTGGGAAAGAAATGCCACTCAGCCTTGAAGTGGTTTTAGCATTTCACTACTCTATCGGCTTTTCTCAGCCACTACAGTTGTGTTCCCGTCAACTCACATTGGAGTTCATGGGAAATGGAGCTGTGTTGTTCTGCAGCTAGGTATATGCACTGTTGGTTTACCAGAAGAAAGTTAAGCTACCATACTCACAATATGATGTAGATGTGCCGCAAAGATTGACGCTGGCGACAGACAAGGCTAGGATTTGAAAAGAAGTAGGCAAAAGGACAGAAAGTGAGCATGATATCAGATGCTGCTAATTGTCGTGCGTGCAGTGCGTGAATCTGGGGAAACAATGAACACTGCACTGCTGTGTTACCTAAAGGCCTAACCCATGCGCCTATGTCTCATTTTGTGGTTGCATCGACATCTAAGTGTCTCTTGGCTTTTGCTTAAGCATGTGAGGTCTTGATAAGAAAGATTGTGTCACATCCTCGGGTGTCGAGAAGACTTAGCTTTTTGTAATGATCTATCTAAAACCTTTAATCATGTGTACACCGCCCGTGTTACAGTTCTTGCATTGAACTTTGATTTGTTGTCGGAAAGTCCTATGTACGGCTGACGCAGAAGCCTATAGCTAATGTTTCAGCCGCACACAGTCGTTCCGTGCACGGTTAACGTCCCCCAACCGTAGCTTGCCTCATTGCAGCTACTACTACGGGTTCGGGCGAATAAGGCAACTGGCCAGATCAACAACAAACACTTTATTGCTAAGCGTTAGCAATCGCGCGTCACTGTCGCGGGGAGATACTACAGATAACAAAGGTGTTGACGCTTACACCTCGGTCGTGGACGTCCTCGGCTCGCAGGAGGGGTTGCGGGTTCGTCCTCCTGGGATGGTCGCTGGTGTCAGAGCCCGAGCGCCCGTTTGCCCGCTCGTTTTGTTCCCCGACCCGATTTCCCTTTCCCTGACGAGAATGGTACCTTTCCTCGCTGAGGGAGAGGGGAACCTGTTCCTGGCGCCGGGAAAGGGGGGGGAATCGCACGCGCCGGCCGTGGGGGAAGGGGTCCCCGCAACCAGGCGCGTGCGCTGCCCTAAAAGGGAAAGGGAGGCTGGGCGCAACTGGCCAGATCAACAACAAACACTTTATTGCTAAGCGTTAGCAATCGCGCGTCACTGTCGCGGGGAGATACTACAGATAACAAAGGTGTTGACGCTTACACCTCGGTCGTGGACGTCCTCGGCTCGCAGGAGGGGTTGCGGGTTCGTCCTCCTGGGATGGTCGCTGGTGTCAGAGCCCGAGCGCCCGTTTGCCCGCTCGTTTTGTTCCCCGACCCGATTTCCCTTTCCCTGACGAGAATGGTACCTTTCCTCGCTGAGGGAGAGGGGAACCTGTTCCTGGCGCCGGGAAAGGGGGGGGAATCGCACGCGCCGGCCGTGGGGGAAGGGGTCCCCGCAACCAGGCGCGTGCGCTGCCCTAAAAGGGAAAGGGAGGCTGGGCGCACCTGCTCCCCACATCTCCTCCCCCCTTAAGAAGGCCCCCGAACGACAGAGACTGCAAAGAGGGAATAATTCGTTTTATTCGTCCTCTAGATAGGCCAGAAGGGCCTGGTCTACGTCCATGCCCTCGGACCGTTCGGTGTCTGCCGCGGGCACCGCCGGAGCCCCCACCGCTCTCTCACCCGCCTCCAAGGTCATTGACGCCACCTCCGGTGTCAATGCAGCCGCCACCAATGTCTCTCCCGGCCCCGCCGCCCCCCGCTCTACGGTAGCCGTTATTGATAGCGGCGCAGGCGGACTCTCGCTGGACGCGTGGCCTGAGGCAACTCTCAGCAGCCACTGCGCGAAGTCCGCCTCCTGGGCCGCCCGCGCCAGCATGGCCCGAACCGCGGCGCCGGAGCGCTCCTGGGATGATTCGCGGCTGGATGGTTGGGTAGCCTGGGTGCGGTGTTGGTGTAATTTCCCCAATTCGTGGGAGTTATGGATCACCACGGCGCCGCACTCGCAGAACCGCGTCCCTGCGGGCACTGGAAGGCAAGCCCCGTTAGCCCTCCGGTCCGCGTCCTCTACCGTGCGCCCCTGAAAAGGGCGATACAGGTGCGCTGGGGCGACCCCAACTCGGGCCCTTTCCTGCCGGCGCCAGGGCCTCGAGGAGACGTAAGACACCGGAGGGTCGCCTCCATCCTGGCTGGTCCAGGTTGCCACGTCTCGGTGGTTGCGGCCGTGAGGCGATGCGGTCGGCTCGCCGCGTTGGGACCCTGGTCTCGTTCCCTGTGAACCGGCGGGTCGTGATGGTGACGGCGAAGCCGAGAGTTGGTGACCAGGCGGCAGCGCGCGCGGACCCCCTCGGTGGCGGCGGCTCGAGTGGCTCTGCCTCGGCGTTCGCGGCCGGGCCGCAGTGGGGTAGGGCTGCCATGTGGACGTTGGTGGGGGTGGGGGCTGGCCGTAAGGAGGTGGTCTCCTCTCCTTGCTGTTCCGGCGGTGCTGTTCCCAATGGCGCTCCATCTGTTCGGTGAGAGTGATACAGATAAAGAACGACAGGTTAACAATCGCACCTGTGTTGCGCGCTAACCCTTGCACCCCGCGTCGAACATATCAAACGCGGCCTACCGTGCATAGTTGCCTCCGACTGTTACGCAGGAAGTAGCGCGGTTCTGGGCTCCTGACCCGGTGTCGAACCATCTCACCCGCCGCGCGCGGCTTGGAGGGGGACTGACCGTAGTCCTCATGCGCCTCCCGTGCTATGTAGCGTTTCAAGTCACATACATGCACCGGTCCGCCGCTCGGTTTGCCTTTCATGTTCGCGAGTCGATAAACGAGCGAAGAAACTTTCTCTCGCACTCGGTACGGCCCGGACCATTTCGGTGCCAGCGAGGCAGCAAACTGTTTGCTAGCATTACTGAGAACATGATGGCGCCGCATCACCAGATCGCCCACTTCGTAGTGTACGTTCCTACGCGTGCGGTCATACTGCGCCTTCTGCTGTGCCCTAGCAGTGCGGAGATTATGTCGAGCTTTATGTAAAGCTTCCGCTAGCTTCTCGCGCAGCTGCGTTGCGTATTCAGCGCGTGCTGATGTCGCCACTGGCACTCCACTGCGGTCCGCGAGTACGGTCTCCATCGGATTCGGCAGTTCTCTCCCCAAGTTCAGAGAAGAAGGCGCATACCCAGTCGATCGGTTTACGGTCGATCGTAATGCAAAACCGATCTCTGGAAGATAGGTATCCCAGTCCTTATGTCTTTCAGAGAACGCGACAAGCATGTGCTTGATGTTGCGATTGACTCGCTCCGTGGGGTTCGACTGAGCATGGTAGGTGGTTGTTTTCTTGTGCTTAATGCCCAACGCGGCGCACGTGTCAACAAACACCTTCGCAGTGAAATAAGACGCGTTGTCTGTAATCAACTGCTCGGGGAACCCGAACCTGGTAAAAACCTCCATCAACTTCTCTAAAATCACTCGAGCCGTCAGCTTCCTAAGGGGAAAAAGTTCTACCCATTTAGTGAAGTGATCCGTGATCACCAGCAAGAACTTATTTCTGCTAGGAGTTGAGGGGTACGGGCCCATTACGTCACACGCTGCGATTTGCCAGGGAGTCTGACTGTTAATCGGTTGCATGAGGCCGGGCGGACGTCCTCCTCGCGGCTTGACGCTTTGGCACACACGACATGAACGGGCGTAGCGAATCACATCCCGCTTCATACCTGGCCAGGTAGCGAGGCGACACAACTTAGCGTAAGTCTTAGGGCCGCTCGCATGCCCACCAATGCACGAGTCATGAAAGTAGCGAAGAAGCGCTCCTCTCAACGCGCGCGGTATCACGACTTTAAATGACTCACTTGTGTCATCGTCGGATGGAATGTACCTCAGCAGGACGCCGTCAGAATCTAGCAGATATGAATCCAGCGCGCTCACAGCACTACCAGCTGTTGCCGAGCGCTCCGCACCGACAGCAATACCAGCTGCCCCCTTGTGCGCGGTGGCCTCACTACCACCCGGCTCCCGGAGCCCGTCGAACACCTTTCGACAAAATGGATCTTTCTGCTGAGCTTCTAACAGCTCCCTTCTGCTGAAAACAATCCCTGCGCTAACGACAGCCTCTACGTGGTTCACGCTCTTAGCTCGAACTAACGTTTGCTCCGCTGTTTGCGTTAGCGCGAGTGTCTCGCTCTCAGTTCGTTCCGAATTAGTCGCGTGACTTGCCTCGTGTCGAACTGGAGCACGCGATAGTGCGTCGGCCGCGGCATTGTTCTTACCCTTGCGGTAGCGGACGGTGAAGTCATAACGCTGCAGCAACAATGCCCAACGCGCCAATCGGCCACTTGGTTCGTTCAAACGCCTCAACCACGTGAGCGCCATGTGGTCCGTTTCAATCACAAACGCAACTCCGTCTATGTAAAAGTCAAACTTACGGAGAGCAAAAACTATCGCCAGACACTCTTTCTCGGTTACTGAGTAGTTCCTCTCCGCCGGTGTCAACGTACGGCTCGCGAACGCAATCGGTCGGAGGGAACCTCCATGCTCCTGAAGCAAAATTGCTCCTAAGCCCAGGTCGCTTGCATCGGTGTGAATAACAAACTCCCTGTTCAAATCGGGTAGCTGCAGCTGAGCCGTGTTGGCCAGCAACTTCGTGAGGCGACGCAGTGCGGCCTCTTGCTCTTGGCTCCAAGCCCAACGCTCACCATTCCTCAAGAGCTTCGTTAAAGGCGCCTGCACTGCCGCGCAATCTGGAATGAATTGGCGATAAAAATTCACCATCCCCAAAAAGCGCCTCAGCTCACCGACATTGTTCGGCGATGGATAGCTCACTATCGCTTCAAGCTTACCCTTATCCGGCAAAATGCGACCCTCGTCAAGCGTAAATCCCAATAATGTTATTCGGGTCGCCGCTATCTGAGCTTTGTTTGGGTTCAAAGTGATGCCCGCAGACCTCAGCCGTTCTAGAACGTCTCTCAAGTGGCGCACGTGCTCTTCGAACGTTTTCGAGTAAACCACTATGTCGTCTAGATATGCGAGTGCGTGCTGCCACTTTGCATCTCCCAAAACACGGTCCATTAGCCTCTGATACGTAGCGGGAGCGCCCACCAAGCCAAACGACATTCTCCTGAATTGGAAAAGTCCTCTGTGGCACGTGAAAGCTGACTTCTCTTTATCCCGCTCGTCCATCTCAACCTGAAAATATCCGCGGCTAGCATCGAGCGTTGTGAAGTACTTCGCCCCGCCTAGATTGGATACTAACGATGAAATGGAGGGAAGAGGATACGCGTCCTTCTTCGTAATTTCATTCAGCCTGCGGTAGTCTACACAAAGGCGATACGTATCATCTTTCTTTGGAACTAGAACTACCGGGAAACCCCATGGGCTGTTTGACCTCTCAACTACGCCTGTTTCGATGAGTTCGTCCAAGGCGGCGTCTAGTGCTTTCCGCTTAGCTAAGCTGATTGGTCGGGGATTGCATTTCCAAGGGCGTGCATCACCTGTGTCAATTCTATGCTTAACCAGCGTAGTGCGGCCGGGACAGTCAGTAAACATCGCGTCATATTCGTACAACAGCGACGACAGCTGCGCTCGTTCCCCCTCTAGTAGGCTCTGTGCCTGTACCAAAAGCGGGTGCACTGCCCTTTCCTGCAGCGCAGCACATTGCTCCGGCGGGGCGTTTACTCGCTTTCTCGGCGCGCTTTCCTCCTCGCGTACTCGCGCCTCTCCCTGCGATTGGCATGCTTTTGTCAATGCGGAGGCCTTCGAGAAAAGCTTCAGCGCGTCTCCGTCGCGCTCTCGGTAACCACCGTTTGCAATGTCAATGACAATACCCGACTTAGCGAGGAAGTCTCGACCCAGGATTAGAGACATTGACAGCCCTGGAAGATGCACGAAACGTTGTCGCCTCACGCGTCTGTCCCAGCGGATCACTAGCCTAGCCGCGCCGCTCGATTGTGCTGTGCCCGTAGCTAGACGGAAGATGGTGTTGCTTTGCCTCAAGCGGATGTTGTTCTCGCGGAGATGGTGCAACACATCGTCACCGAATAAAGAAGCGCTTGCCCCAGTATCCAAAAGTGCTACGAACTTTTTCCGAGCTATCGTTAACTCGATTAGCGGCGCGGGCGAGTCTACGGCATCACCTGCGCGACAGACCGACGGTGCAAGTGATCCGAACGCATCGGTAGGATTACTAATCGCCGCGCGGGGTCCCATGTGGATCACCGGCGGCGCCGTCCGTTTCCCGAACCGCGCGTTTGCTCCTGACCCGGCGTGCAGTCGCATTCGCGAGCGATGTGCCCTGGCGCGCCGCACCGATAGCAAGGACCGCGGACACCACGCCGGTTCGCTCGTAACTCGCCTCGATCAGGTGGTCCTCGCTCTGGATTGCGCCGCTCGTTAGGCCTCGCGTCAACCACGTGCTCCTGCCTTGGAATGTCACGCGCAGGGGCGGCGTGTGCCGTACGGAGCGCGTAAGCGTAGGGGTCTAAAGCGCGGTTTGACAGCTCCCAACCGCGTGACACGTGCTCATCAGCGTACGATGCTGATGCGTTACCCCTAAACGCTTCTGAAGTCACTGCGCCGCCGTTCCATGCACAGCGAGGCTCGATTGACTGCGCGGCGGGCGGAGGGGGGCGATACGAACGCGCTGCGAGGATGTCCCCTTGTATGCGCTTCGCCTCGGTGGCGAGCTCTTCGAGGTCTGCGAACCTGCATCCCCTGAAGTGCGCCGCGAAAGTCGGGTGCGCCTGTCGGGTAACACGCTCGACCTTTTCCGCGTTGGTGGCGTGAGGGTTCGCGAGACGATACAATTCGTCCATCGCCCGTACGTATTCCAGCAAGGATTCGTCCGGATGCTGGGTGCGCAGCTCCAACTCCCTCCGCAAACGCCACTCATAATTAGCCGGTAGGAATTCGCCGCGAAAGCTTTCGCGGAACTCTTCTACCGTACGGGCGCGATGTCCGGTTAGTCGGAACCACCGAGCCGCTTGCTCCGTGAGCGACACCGGGACCACGCGCTCGAGAAGTTCGGCATCAGAAAGACCCGTCGCCTGCTGATAATGGAGCAACCGGTCGAGATACTCGTTGGCGCTCTTGCAGTCGTGGTAACCCGTGTAGGTCGGAACGTCTACCTTGACACGTGGTCGCACATTTTGCACGGGGGCCTGCGCTGTGTTCTGCAGGGCGCTCGCGAGGCTTTGCATAACTGACAGCGCATTCTGTAAGAGTACCTCGCTCGAGGGCAAACTGTTGCCCGAAGACTCGCCTATAGTTGAGGCGCGTGTCGTAACTTGTGGCGGCGCCTCTCTGTTCGCGTCGCGAGATGCCGGAGCGCCATGCGGGCCGCTCTCCGTCGTAGGCCTACTCTCTGCTAACGCGGTCTCTGCACCCTCCTGATCATCCCGCGTGAAACGACCAAGCTCTACGCTGTCGGAAAGTCCTAACAGTACCCCCGCGTTAGCCAAAGGATCGCCACTCTGCGACGCGACATCCGACAACATTGACAAATCTTGGAATTCCGACATGCCTATTATCCTACGTGTGGAAGAGCGCCCTGGCACTTGCTCGCGTCCACAGAACTAGCCGCGTTGCCAAATTCGTTACGTTGGGCGCCAGATGTTGTCGGAAAGTCCTATGTACGGCTGACGCAGAAGCCTATAGCTAATGTTTCAGCCGCACACAGTCGTTCCGTGCACGGTTAACGTCCCCCAACCGTAGCTTGCCTCATTGCAGCTACTACTACGGGTTCGGGCGAATAAGGCAACTGGCCAGATCAACAACAAACACTTTATTGCTAAGCGTTAGCAATCGCGCGTCACTGTCGCGGGGAGATACTACAGATAACAAAGGTGTTGACGCTTACACCTCGGTCGTGGACGTCCTCGGCTCGCAGGAGGGGTTGCGGGTTCGTCCTCCTGGGATGGTCGCTGGTGTCAGAGCCCGAGCGCCCGTTTGCCCGCTCGTTTTGTTCCCCGACCCGATTTCCCTTTCCCTGACGAGAATGGTACCTTTCCTCGCTGAGGGAGAGGGGAACCTGTTCCTGGCGCCGGGAAAGGGGGGGGAATCGCACGCGCCGGCCGTGGGGGAAGGGGTCCCCGCAACCAGGCGCGTGCGCTGCCCTAAAAGGGAAAGGGAGGCTGGGCGCACCTGCTCCCCACAGATTGTGTGGAGTGCATATCACTGACTGTAAGCCTGTTCTGTCCCACAGAACCTACAAACATGTTGGACATGAAAGCAATCATTTGGCTAGAAAACTACCTTCAAGTGAGTATTATAATTTTCACTTGATCTTTATTTTTTGCTACAGCCTATAAAAGATACATCTGTCGTGCTTTTTGCACATTGTGCTTTTTAATGTTTTTTGCTGTTGCATGTGCTGTTGTGCAGCGCATTGACTTTAGTTGTTTTGGCAGTGCCGTTCCGTATTTAGGTCAATTTGATTCGTCGTAGTATTTTGTGCGATGTTCTGTCTTCCGCTATGGTCTTTCATTTCATACAGCCAATGTGGTGTATTATTAATAGATTATGACTTGCATGTTAACTAGTAGCATGTTTTCTAGCACAGTTAGTTTTAAATTTATTTGGCTTTGTTTTTAATTGCAACATCAAGTGAATGGCTACTTGTCAGCTGTTGAAGGCATATCTGCCAGATTACCAAATTGTGGGGCCTGTAACGTACTAATGATCTGAGTTAATTGAAATGTAAAGTTCTGATCAGTGTGCTATTGGTAAAACTGAATGCTCATATTACTGTATTTTTAATAGTTATTTTGCTTCTGTGTCTCTTGCTACTTGTCTTGCTGTGCCTATTATACTAGCGCGTGCCATGTTGGTTGGTGGATTTATGCGCTTCATGGTCATCCCTTCTACAGGACTGGCCTACGACTCTTCTAGTTGTCTCCCATGACCGGCTCTTCCTGGACACCGTGCCCACCGACATCCTGCACTTCCACTCGCAGCAGATCACAGGCTACCGGGGCAACTACGAGAACTTTGTCAAGGTCATGACTGAGCGGCTCAAAAACCAGCAGCGCGAGTACGAGGCACAGCAACAGTACAAGGCACACGTCCAGGTATGCAGATGCAAGTTTCTGCCAGTGTTGACCAATCCATGGTGAACCGTTAATTGAAACTAGTCGATGAAACACTGAATCCTTGCCTCAATTTTGTGTGAAGTCCAGCACAACTCAATTCGCTTTCAAACATTACTTGGTCGCAATCTAAGAAAGAAATTTTAAGCTCTGTTCAAGTTAGGTCAGCATAAGAAAGTGGAACTCATTCAAGAAATATATATTGCTCTTTGGACTTTGGACTCGCATTCGGGAAAGCTTTCTTCAACCGGACTCTCTCAAACTCACAAAAATAATACTCACCTGGACTCACTCAGACTGGCAGCTCAATCTGAGTCCGAGTCAGACGACTCATGAGTGGGTTTGCTGACCTATGCTGCCCACAGAGCTGCAGTGTGCCTGCCCTTCACCTGCAAGAGTCATGCTAGCAGGTTTCCACTCGAACTGTTAGTGCTTTTTCTTGGCTAATGTAAAAAGTCAACAACTATTAATATTAAGAGTTAAACGGCGGTGTGAGAATCCGCGATGAAATTTACTCAGGTATTCAACCTGACAGACGCAGCGACGCGAAGGCGAGTCTGTATGGGTAAGTCAACTATCTGTGAAAAGGAGTACTGTCAAATTCTGAGCAAGCTCTCTCTCTAAGGCGAAAGGCAATTCGACAACATTTGAAGGGGAAAAGGGGGGCTTTGCTCGGTCATAGAGCAGAATTCAAGGTGACAGCTAAGGCTACAAACTGCGTGCTAATGATATGCTTAATTGTGTACGCAAGCATTCAGTGTTTCCAAAATAGTGAATGAAACAGTGAAAATGGTGGGAGAGAAGGGTGGCTGTGCTTGCTCTGTCATTGGTGCAAATTGGAAACCAAAGTCTCTCAAAAAAAAAAAAAAAAAAGGAGGGGGTGGTGCTCGCTCGGGATTTTACGGGAAGCACTGTTGGACAGAGCATTTCTGCTAATGCTCTGCCGGAGGGACAGCAGTAGCTGTGGATGTAGTGGACATTTTTTCTTGGGTGGTTACTGGACCTGCGCGAATATTCGAGCACTTCAAATATTTGGACATACATTTATTTTGATATGAATTAAAATTCTCTTCATTTGTATCCATTCATTCCAAATTACACGAAATGAACGATAAGCTGTATATTAGACAGCTTGTAACCTGTCTGTAAACATGGTTTCACTGCAGCTTAGGAGTGCTTTGCCATGAAAACACCTACCCAGGAAAAAATCTGTATTGCTGCAGAGCCTCACTTTAAGTGTGGACATATTACCCTCACATCGATTCATCATTTTTAAGCTTAAGAGTTTGTTATGCAGCCTTATACGCTCTAAGTATAGTAAACTTAAAACGTTACATATTTTACTGCTTGTCAATTACGTCCTAATGAAATTCGAATCCTACTACTATTCATAGTGCAAAAAAAAAAAATGTCATTTTCACATGCCTTGTGGCAGTTAAGAAAAGATGTTATACAGGTTAGTTGGGTCAAAAAAATATTGTACATGCATGCACACACACACAAACACACACAGAGTGTCCCACATAACTTGAGCCAAGAATTTAAAAATGAAAGACACTTCAGTGGCGAATTGAACCAAACGCGTACTACTCGCACTAGCCTGTAGGTACTCAGGCCATTTTTTATTTCTCCCCATACTAATTAATAATTCTTAATTACCTTTTTTTAATTATGGACTGGAAACCCGAAATATGAATGTTGAAATGTAAAGCACTTTCAAAAACCACCGACTAAATTGTTTCCTGTATGATACGTCTAGCGCTCTTGTCTTACGTCAAGCCTATAGAAGCACTATAGCAGTGCGCTCGTGGTCCGTCACACGGCCTCTTTTCACATTTAACAGGCTTATATATATATATATAAACACACACTTACTATTTATACAATTCTATTCGAAATTATTCAACCAAGTTGCTATTCACTTAAATTTTGCTTCGTATATAAAATTTACTATGTATGCATTCCTAGTTGTTACCAAGTATAGATCTCACTGTTGAATTTTATTGGTTTGTTTCTCTCCTTCAACAGGTCTTCATTGACAGGTTCCGGTTCAACGCAAAGCGTGCCTCCCTAGTGCAGAGCAAATTGAAAATGCTGGAAAAATTGTGAGTCTCAGTTTGTCTCATTTAACTTAACTTTTGTCATCAACACCCAGCTGCCTATTCAGTTAGGTGGCTGTACTAAGATTCGTCACTTTTATTTTCACAAGACTGCTCAGTCAATTGGAATTCTTGATTTTTCTAATGAGACCGTACAAACATTTAGCATTTAAAAAGAACCTTTCAGTTTACATCTGTACTTTATCAGCGTTGCGCATGATGTTAAGATATTGCTTCAGCCTTTACATTAGTAATTATTAGTTGTACGTGAATAATAATCAGTTTTATTTATCTTCTCTGTGAAGGTTCTTGGCAAGAAAAACATTTCTGAAACAGTGGACAAAAAAGACAGAATCCTGTGCGCTAAAAATTTAGATTTAGCTTTGTGTCTTGTTTGTAATGATCCCGTGAAATCGCTGTCTACTGAAGTGACACACTAGGCAGCTGTACCTACGTAGCACCATTGTTCTTACCATTCGATGGTACTATGGTCAAAGCCAGATATATCTTGAAAGGGACTGTGAAATAGCTCAACGTGCTATCATTTCCACTGTGAGAGTATGTCCATATGAAGCTTATTCGAAAGCTTTGCTTGTCTTGGAAAGTATTTGTTATATATTTCTTATCTACACCTCCATGAGGAATGTGCATACCAGACTGTGGGAGGCCTTGAGGTTCTCAAAGCAGTCTTATTCCGACAATGAGTGACCACTGGCAGCAAGCTTCACTGCACTGCAGTTAGTTCTTTTCATTATAAGTATTCCTTCTCATATTACCCAGCAATGGGCCGTCCAGCAGGCCCACGAAGCGGCCGCCAGGTACTCCCTGTCGGTTCCTACGTGGGAGACGCCCGCTACGCGCTAAGCGCGTCCTGCAGGACTGAAATAAAGTTTTTTCATTCCATTCCATTACACATCTGTGATTTGGTGAAGCTTATAAAAACAAATTCGTCATTATGTGTAACATAGACTCTTCACACTGTTGCTGTAGAAGCCAACCATGTATTAAAACATGCACCTTTGCTTACTTTTTTATCCCATTGCAGGTACTTTTATTCATACCTAGTGCCTCGTTTGAGGCCATCTATAAAATGGTGCCGTTTTGCCAGCACATATATTTTCAATGGCTTGAGAACTGAAGTGATTGCAGTACTCTTTAGGAGACGTGCACTCTCAGGAATATATAATTTGAGTTAATGAATGCAGGGGCTAATAGGAGCTTGGCATAAGCTTAGTACAGGGCTGCACTTTTGCACAGGATTTTACTACTTTTCGGTGTAGAGAATACATTGATCTGAAATGGCTTGGCTTTTGCAAAAGTCAAGTAATTCCAAAAGCCAGGCTAGCCGGGCATTGCTCTTACGTAGGCTGTGACTAGTGGAGGTTGTGATTGGGCAAGAAATTGCATTTCTTGTTGTAGACCGGAGCTGAAGCCCGTAGAAAAAGAGGTCGCTGTCACGCTACGGTTTCCCGACCCGGAGCCCCTGTTCCCTCCCATCTTGCAACTCGACGAGGTGTCATTTGCCTACAACCCCGGCCAGAACGTGCTGGAGCGTGTCAACCTCTCGGCCAACATGCAATCAAGAATCTGCATCGTGAGTTCTCTCTCGCAGTCTTGTGACAACTGTTAATAGCTTTTGATAACAAAAGAAAACAAAGGAAAGTATGGGGAAAGTTGACTGGTAAGCAGAGATGAAAGGACTCTGAAGGATAACATGCAGAATGCGAGAGCTTCACTATCATTTTAACGAATCATGTGCACACCACTCTCGTTACAGCACTGGCCCACATGCTTGTTTCTTATCTTGTGCACACGTTAATACTAGTGCATAGGAATGAGGGCGAAATTCTTTTGATACATGAAAGTAAAACAGGGTAAGGCTCGTGAATAATATAACCATATTTGTGGAGAGCTATAGCCTCAGTTGGCCTGCTGTAATGCATTGCTATGGCACTCTGTTGGTTAGCACAAGGTTGTACGTTTCATTTTCAGTGGCGTTCGCAGCATTCCAGTGTAGGAAAAAAAAGGTTTATCATGAGGGCTCTCCATGTGGCAGAAATCAATTTTAGTCATTTGGTATTGCAGATGAGGGGTAAGCTGGGGGGGGGAGGGGGTCAGTCAGTATTGAATCATAATGTTACAGTGAGGGGAGGGGGAAAATATTGGATGAGAACACAAAAAGAGAAGAAAAAAACAAGCAGATACTGAACCATTATAAATCAAACATCTGTTCGTGTGCTCTTTTTCTCCTTTATATTTTTATTGTGCTGTTACACCATGAACCATTCTGGTATTGATTCTGTTTTCTGGAACTGGTACCGCGCTGTACTGTGATTCTGCGTGTGTGGCCTCTCCGACCAGGTGGGTGACAACGGCTCTGGCAAAACAACGCTGCTGAAGATCCTCAATGGCGAGCTGAACCCGACAGCAGGAGTGCGGCACGTGCACCGGAACCTGGTGATTGGCTACTTCACGCAGCACCACGTCGACCAACTGGAACTGGGAATCTCCTCGCTAGAGTTCATGGCCAAGCAGTTCCCTGGTGCGTGCACGTGGCTCTTTCTTGCGTTCATTCTCGTTGCAGCTGCTTGTTAAAGAACCCTAGACAATCAATACTAACCCAAAGACACCGCTCTGCATTAGTGCCTCTTTTGTTAGCAGCTCCAATCTAATTGCTTTAAGAAACTAACTCCCACAAATATATTAATGTGATTTCTTTGCAAGAATTAATATTCCATGATTAATTCCCGACATGTCAGGGATGTCGGCAAAGATTTCTGTTGCTATACCGCGTGACCTGCCGTAAGGAGATACTTCTGAACTTCTTTGTAAGAGGCGCTGATTCAAGAGACAGATGAGTACAACACACCACTGTGCCTGTGCTTGAATAGGGGTTTATGAGAAAATGAGAACCTGATGCTCTGCTTATAAGAGAAGCCTCATGCAAGAGACTGGATTATAAAGGGGTTCAACTGTAATAGCATTGTTCACAGCGGGCTTTTGGGGTGGCAGCACAATTATTGCACCTCTTTCCCAGCTCCTATCTTGCGAATGACTGTTCTGCACACGTCTACATTGGAAGAGCAGCTGCAAGGATCTGTTCCTTCTCTTGCAGGCAAGCAGTCAGAGTACTACAGGCAACAGTTGGGCTCTTTTGGTGTTACGGGTGACTTGGCATTACAGACCATCGGCAGTCTCTCAGGAGGCCAGAAAAGCAGAGTCGCATTCGCCCTCATGTCTATGCTACGGTGAGATTGCTGCAACCACATTTATTTTAACCCCCCTTCCCCCATCTTATGTCAATATTTTTGTCACATCTGCACAGTAATGGTGATAGTAAATGAACAGAAATGAAACACGATGATAAGACTGGTAGTAATGTCCCCATCAAGTTCCCACAACAGCTTACTGTTATTCTTTAGGTCTTGACGGCATGTGGGGAACTGGAAACTTGAAAACCTTTTTAGCTGCTACATTTGTAACAAATTCTTGGATACAACGAAGTTATTCTCGTGTCAAGACGCGACTCGGTAATAAATCAGATATGAGTGTATGTTCAATCAGACCCCTGAGAAGACTTCTGTAATCGCCCTTGTAGCAATCCCAGTTAATTTGCAGTGCTTGTTCCATTCGTATTTTCGTGCAATGAGTAAAACATCTGCATCACATCACCGGCTGACTACTTCATCCAGCAGTGTAGTATTCAGAGTACTGGCCCAATCCTGCCAGAACATGGCTTCACCTACGAGGGGTACAGCTACGTTAAGGGGGCAGACTGGTCTTTGGGACCGAAAAGTGACAAAAAAATGCATTTTTAAAAATTGGCATGCAATTCTTGCAAATCTTCTGCAAATCTTCACCCACCAGGAAGGGGTAATTTTTTTTTGTAATGTCATTCTAACTGTCCCGATTCTTGGTGCTAGCACAATGCAAAACCTGCAAAAAAAATTTGTAATTTGCCACCACCTGTGGCTGAAGCTCTACTACCAACTTATGGGCGCTTTTACGAGCATTGCAAAACCTGCAAGCCGTGATTGGTTGTTTTTTGAAGAAACTGGATGTTAGCAGTTTTTTCCATTTTTTTCAGAAAAGTAAATTTACGACTGTTCAGTTTTGAGGCCTCAAAATCTTTGTAGGTAGGGCAGTGGCAAAACAATAATTTGTTTTTGCAATAAGAACCTGTACATGCATAGAATGCAAGTATGGGAGTAGAATTCAGAGCACGAACCTGTTTAATTAAATATGTGACACAATTAAAACTGATTTTGAAAATGTAATGTTCATTTTGCTGTAAAATAATCAAGAAAGGGTGAAAAAACAAAAACTCTTGCATACTTTCAGTCTCTAGTCATTAGTCTATGTTGCCATATCTTAAATATCACTTTTAATTAAGTGTTTTTTTTCTATGGTGGCCTTAAACAATAGGGGATGAACTTGGGTTTTCTCAAACATAAAATGAGTTACAGGAAAAGTAATTACATATTTGAAATCAGCAGAAAAAAACTGCACAAACGTGTGCATTTTGATCAAGATCAGTGAAGAGATAAACAAAAAATGTCTAAGATGAGTTTGCCCTTTTAGGTTGCTCAAAGTTAGTAAACAGACTTTTTTGTAATCCTGGAAAGTTGATATAGCAAGATAATCGTAATTTCATTTATATCGTAAAAAAAAGGGGGGGGGGGGGTAATCAACGCTGGAGGTGTGCACCATTTATTTTGTGCAAGTTTTTTGTCTCCATTGTTTGGCTTGGTGCTGTCAAATATTAGTGAACTTCCTTGCTTTTTTTTTTTTCAGGCCTCATTTCCTAATTCTTGATGAGCCTACAAATCACCTGGACATAGAGACCATTGAAGCCTTGGGACATGCCCTGAATAGGTTCCAGGTACGTGAGAACTTGGGGAGAAGAATGCAATTTATTTTGTGCGTGCTTGCATGCACATGCACCTTTCTGTAGATATGCTTGGTCGGCTGCTGTGTTTCTGCATAACTATTTCAACGACTTTATTTGTATTACTTCAGCAGAATGCAGCTTGAAGCAACGGAGATATTAAGTGAATAGGCATCCGGGTGTTGAAATTGATGCAAGATGAAACTTTCTTTTCTAGCAATAAACCTATGTCTGTGCAATTAGCAGCAGTGAAAGTAATAGGCAAATTTGTAAAAATTTGTCCAAAGACAAATTTGTAAGTCTAAACTGATTTAGTTATTTACCTTAATCTCACTATAACACAGGGCGGTGTGGTGTTGGTGTCCCACGACGAGCGACTCATTCAAATGGTGTGCCAGGAACTGTGGGTGTGCAGCAACCGCACGGTGAGAAGCATTGAAGGTGGCTTCGCGCAGTACCGCAAGTTGATCGAAGAGGAGTTGGCAGCACAGGGACAGTGATAGGCAGAGCGACGGGCTTCGCAACGAGGCAAAACAAGAAGATGTGAAGGGGAATCTTCGACTGTGGAAAGTGCAAGGACGTGAAAAATATGAGCAGGCTTAGCACGGACTGACGCTGTGCCACTGTGGTCCAGACAACTCTTTTTTTTTTTTTTTCATGTGTCTGCATTGCTGGTCTATAGGCAGCCATTTATTTATCTTAAACAAAAAGGAAAAAAGAAAAAAAAGTCTAGAGTGACTTGTGAAACATAAGGAAAAGATGTTTTTTTCCTGGCTAAGTAGCATGTTTTGGTGTATTTCCTAGGTGTAGTAAGTGTATTTCCATGTCTGCACTCGTTTTGGTACATGCATGGACTACAAACTCTGTGTGTTACGATTCAGCTGTATGAGTCGCATTCTATGATGTGCCGGCATCCGGCAAAACTATACTATTGCCTGAACAGGCCGCGTGTTTGCAGCTGTCCTAGGTTGCCAACACAGCGGGCGGTTCGTTGCGGTCGGCTGTTTTTGTGCTGCCGCTGCGACCTTGTCATCTGTACTGTGCATTTGTGAATCCTTGGTTATTAGTATACTCGTCAAAGCTTTAGCTAAAGAAATTTTTTTGTTGTTGTTGCTAGCTATTTAAAATATTGTTTTTAAACATGATTTATTACAGTGCCTTAAGCTTTTTATGTGCATTTCAAGTGAAAAAAAGGAAATCAAGACAGAATTTCTTCTAACTTCCAAAGTCAACAAGCTTGTTTTAAGAAAATATTATTGATCACTTTCTCTTAGCCGCACGAATTTGATGCAGTCACTAAGAGTTGGACTTCTATTTGTATGAACATTAGGCTTAATAGACAAAGTCCTTGTTTGTGCAACACTAAATTTATGATTTCATTGTTGCTTTCCTCGAGAGTAAGAGAGCTTGAAAACTATGTTCTGGACACGATTAAACAATACTTCCATTTTCCTCTGAGGTTTATTATTATGAATATGAAGTTTTTTTTAATGCGACTCATCTTCAATTCTCGGGAAGCAAGAAAAACATATTTGGCACGTCTCTGTTCAGTAGCTAACAGTGCTTAAAGCTTTGTGTTCCTAACCATATGCAGCTTGCATAAGCTCCTGACTGTGAGAAATCTACAAGTTTTATCATGTGCGGTATTTTATAAGCTTTCTAGCATAGGGGGGGGGGGGGGGGAATGGGCAAGGCATTGAACAAAAGAACGAGAGGGAGCAAGGGAGCCACACAAGATTGGTCGACACTAGTATTTTGACAGTCAAGACATGAGAATAGCTACGAATTGCGTAGAATGAGCGAGCAGGTGTTAGAATGGGCACAGGCCGCGTTCTATTGGTAGAATGGATACAAAACGGTCACCAGATGACATGGATTGCATCGAAGCGAAAGCGTTGAGCCTGTAGAATCGAATCGGGCTGTTTTGCACCTGGCTTATGCTAAACGCACGCCAAAAATTGCCACCGAACGACACTTCAAATCGCAACACTACGATGTCCAGTTGATACAACACAAATTGTTAGTAATTGGCTCTGGCAATCTCAAGCATTGAAAAACAATGCCTTTTATTAATAATGTTGAGCTGTGTTAATTTATGCGTTGAAAGAATTTCTGAATTTCCTCGGCTTGCCTATTGGCTGTTGGCTTCTTCTCGTCCTTTTCTTCAACACCTCCCTCCTAAATGGAATGTTATCAAAACAACCCCCCATGTTGCGAACTGCCACTGAAATGCCGTGGTATCAAAATGGCTGCAAGGTCACTGGCTCGAAGCCTGGCCACATTTCAATGGTGCTTATGTGTTACGGTGCACATCAAACTCGGTAGGTCGAATTAGGTCGCATAGGTAGGTCGCCATAGCTCTCCACTCTGGCGTACCTGATAAGATTTAGGTAGTGGAACTTTACACTAGAGCTAAATTTTCAGATTGGAGGGTTGAGCTAGTTTTACTGCACACTATTAATGAAGGCATGGCCATATTTGCTAAGGTGAAGTTTCCTTCTAACAAGCCAAGCCCGTACTGAAAGCATGTCAATGTGGAATGAATGAAAAGTAAATTAAGGTTAGTGCGGCAGTTTTCTTCTAGCAAGTCGTGGCAAGAGGGGATTAAGCCCTGACCCATACCACCTTCTGTCGATGACGGCGGCAGTGCCTCAGGTGACCATTCATGTCACAAGTTTTCCACTGCTGCAACTTATTAATAGACACCCTGCGCTAGAGCATCAAATGACAAACCGTTTTCTGCCGACAGTAGAGCAAAGACTTGTTATAAATGACTTTTTATTTTCCTAAGCAAATAAATAATGGCAAGCAACTCTTGGTCTGAAGAATAGTCCCACTGGTAGTTCGCGGCATCAAAGAAATGCAACGGCCGGATACTTCGTGACACCCTTGTTGTTGGTCTTTGGTGGCACGCACGAGGCAAACTCTTGACGAAGTTCATTCCAGAAGGAAGACAGGTGTGGCAGCTTGGCGTCGCACCTCTTCTCGGCGACTTCCAGCAATGTTTCCAGCAAGAAACTTGCGTTCTTTTGAATTAATGGCACCTGTTGTGGAGGAAGGTCACGAGTTTTTTTTTTTTCAAGGAACTCGAGCGCCCACACACACCTACTAGTATATATATAGTACAGTGTTAGTGCTCACAAATCCTAACAATACATAGACTATCCTTTTTCTTATCCAGTTTTGTGCACTTGTGTGGGGAGCCTATGGCACGACACCTTAAAATAAAATAACCATAGCCTTGGCTGTGTCTTCAATAGTGTAGAGTAGCCCTGGAATTTTTATTAAGGTTCTGAAATATGGCCACTCCTGTGGAGCTTCTAAACAACTGGCATTTTCTGCACACCTAAGTGGAAGCTTCGCACTTCTTAAATGGAAAGAATAGACTAGAAAATTGTACAGAGGAGCACACATTTGTTTTTGAATCATTTCATGATATTCAAAATAGAAAGTTTTTTTCCCCCAAATTGTCTGAAACGTATCACACACTGCAGCATCGGTTACATTAACACCCCATGAGTGAATAGATTCTCACATCCGACTTGAAGCTCTTGTTTGCCAAAGAGGCATCCAAGTGACGCAGGTGCGCTCGGAAGGTGGTCGCCAGAGATTCCAGAATGAGAACTCGCGTGACTTGCGTGTGCAGCTTGAGGAGGTCGTCGAGAAGATTCAAAAAGGTCTTGCTGAAGGACACTGTGTTGGACGAGAGGGACACCCAGCATTCATCTGCAAAGGATTAAGCGCACACATCTCAATTTCAGTGGACACTGACAGCGTTATACTGTCAATTGTGACTCACTAAGAGACGCATGGCGTGGAATTTAGACGCAGTCGTGCTAGGATGACATACTTGAACACATTCACCTCAAGTGGGGGTCTCAAGTGAAGGTCTGCGGACCCCAGGGAGGTCGGTGGAGACCCAATTACGTAAAAACCATGCACTTCATTGTGTGCTGCGTTGAAACCCTCCCCCCTTTTTTTTTCTCTCACTGCAAAGGGTCCCTCATTTATTCTATCAGTTTGTAAGGGTCTCCGAAAATTCAAGGCTGAGAATTGAACTAGTGTTTTGTTAATAATAATGCACTAAGACACGCCTCCCCATCAAAAAAAGAGACACCACAATTACCACACACATGGCTATAAATAGTGACAGGATGTCTAAGTTTCCGGTTATGTGCACGTATTGCGTGCACGTTATGTAAAATGTCAAGGTTGTACTATAATGTGTAACAAACTGGTGAAAAAAAAAGGGTTTCATTATAGCTCCAAACCCCAAATACGAACAACACGTGACATGTGGTTAGGTAGCAATTTCATAGACGAATGGGTGATGCAAGATGACAAGACTTACCATATACATACGGAGAAATATCGGAGATTCCAAGATTGTTCATGTCATCAATCAGCTTTTGTAATCCCGCCCTGAAAAAAGAGACAATGCACAAGGCAATGCAGTGAAGTCTAATGGAACGCCCATCACTTGACGTACGAGCTCCATAACATAGAAGTTACACAGGGAATTATTTATACACTAAAGAATATTTCTTTTCTCTTTTTGGAATTTCCTTAACTTTATTTAAAGGAAGAGTGCGACATCATACCATTTACACAACGACATTATATGTGACACCAGCAAATTGCACTTTCGCTGGTAATACAAAGAATTTCAGCAGCTGTAGTAGTCCCTAGCAGGTTACAACTGCGATTGTTCCACCATAACCATGGCTACAATAATAATGCCCTAAGGTAACCGTGGCAAGCAGCAATTAGATTTTGTGCCATAACAAACCCTCTTAGCCTTTCGAGATAAGACCGCAAGCGTATGAGAAATATTTTACGACGGGAGTAAGATCAAAAAGGTATGTCATGAAAAAGAAGCGGAGCAAGGAGCTAACAATTGATGGGCTTTCAAACATTGCAAAGACAAAGATGCTGGCCTCGGAACTAGAACTACCCTGGCGAGCGCCCTGGTGTTTCCTGTGGTCGTGTATAGAGGGTAATATATGGCTGCAGACTTTATGGAAGTACAATAAAAAGAAAAGCAACATCCTTTTCATTTTAGGCGCTGGCCTGGAGTTTCGAGAAAGCCATATGGATTGTTATTAAAACAAATTCCTTAGACATAGGAGATGTCAATGACGAATTTTCTTTGGAAGTGAAGGTAATGAAACTAATGCTTTATGATTTTCGACATGGCATGTGAGCCACCAGTTGAATGAAGCAGAGATAAATGTCATCCAATGTGGAATGCAAGAAAACACGCGACTGGCCATGCACAAGACGTTTGCATAGCATTCCAAAGATCGCAAAGAAATGTCTTGAGGAGCTTAAAGAAGTTCTACTAAAGAGGTCTTGCTGGTGGTCACATACACTAGCAGTAGGGTTCTCCCCGGAAATTTTTTTAGGGGTGAAAGATTTGAGGGGGGGGGATAAGGGGAGATATTAGGTTTGAGAATTTCAAACTTGAAGAGCAGGGATTCATCACTGTCTGGTGTACTGCACAAGCAGTTTCTGTTTATGGGTTCCTGAGCAGCACATGTCAAAGGGGTACGTGCAGCGGTGTGCAGCCTAACGAAAGCGGTGGGCGGTGAACCAGAGCGGTAGGTGGCATTTGCACCGCCACCCACCGAGGAAAGAATACTGAATTGAAATAAGGAGCGACGTGACAGCACTTGACATTATATCATGCTTGATACTTAGAGCCATACGAATGGCTCATTCGGCAGAATGCAGTAACACACACAGGCTAATAGGCAAGAAGCACGAAACTATGAGCACGTTGAATGCACCAACAGGTACGCCGTGTCACAGAGAAACACTTACTTGTTATATAGGTTCTGCGGTCGCCATCGATCTTCTGCCGCTCTCAGTTTGATGGCCTCCAGCGCCTTGTCCCTAGAGTCCGTTATGATTCGCTCGACGTCGTTCTTGAGGAGCTTCTCCAGGAAAAACGACAGGTCCAGACCTATCTCCCACAGCTGGTGAAACGTGAAGCAAAATGATTCTCTGCTACAGTCTACCCAAGTTGCAGCATAACTGAAAGCTGGATGTGTCAGTGACTGCTTGTACACAAAGAACGAGGGCTCGGCAAAGTTAACAAACAAGCAGTGACCCAAAACTGTTTATTTATCAATTTGCTTGTTTTGGAAAAGACAGAGCACGAAAGCTTCTAGTGACTATTGGGCAGATAAGTGTACATACTGGTGAGCCATGAGTAGCAAACAGGGACAAAGAATTCGCAGAGAGAATGGTTTAGAAACATTTGATATTGAGACATAAAAATTCAAGCTGCGACACTTTCATAAAAATCTGTTCAAAAATAATTATTTATCCATAGTAGGATCTCTTCTTTCATTCTGCACGTGCACATAGAAATAAATTGTTCCAAGCCAGTGCCTATGTTAAAACTTCGCAGCGTCCAATGCACATTCTGCACTTTTAGCGGTGAGAGGCCCCAGAGCCTGTGCGCTGACATGATGAAAAATGAGAGCTGTCGAGTTATTCTTTCGATTCATAACTCACCCGTTCGCAGTGCGTGCGGACAGCCAGGATGCACTCGGTCGCCACTGAGAGGGAGACTTGGGTGGTGAACACGTGGTTTGAGAAGAGCTTGACAAAGTTTTGAAGTTGGTCCTTAGCCCACACGACGAAAGCTTCCGGTGAGGAGTGAAATAAGCGAAAGCGATTATCAAGTCTGCATTTACGTACTCCTTAAAGAATGAGTAAATGACAATGCCTTTTTAGGACAAGCTCTAGCACATCATAGCATTTCAAAATTGCATGACAATGAAAAATCTTATAGTGAAACGAGGCAATCTGTTTCAACCACATGCATAAAAGGGAACGAAAATGCAACAAGTAAGGTCATGGTCATATTTCAAACCGATATGGCCACAATAGGTACAGCTAGACAAAAATGTCTTAAGGATAAAACTTGCCAACAATAAACAGACAGAAAGTTTCAACCTAGCCACCTCCCTTGATTTCAATATTTCATAATAACTGTAGCAGTTCTTATGAATCACACAGTGTGTATTCAGATTTGTGATTGCAACTGTGTTCACCAACTCTAATGGCACCGACTCCAATGGCAATTACCTGCTGTCTGCCATTGCAATGCAACTTATATGCACAGTTTCTGTCCAGGGAGGTTCCACTTAATATTTCAAAGTTTGCTCTGAGTGCACACTTTATGTGAGATGTGTATGCACGTAATTAAAGTTCATTTAACTTTCACCATCACATTGACACAGGTAGCAATATGCGAAGTACAGACAAAAGTTTGAGACGTGCTTGAAAAAGAGCAGCACATCTCAGACTCACAAGAAGCACAGCTGTTGTTGGTGCTGAACGCCTGAGTGAACTCTTGTCCGGTCTCAACCATGCTGCTGAAGAACAGCTCACACAATTTCTTGATGTATGGCGCAGTGGCACCTTCCATCTTCTGCTGCCGCATAGAGTATTTCAATATGGCGCTGCGGTGCTTCAGGAACAGGTCGCAAGCCTTGTGGAGCAAAAGTAGGTAGAGCACACGGGTGCCATTCAAATTGCAGGCTTGCAAAACTAGCGAACAAAATGCCCAGAAGTCCGTTCTTTAGGCTGCTCAGTCCAACCAGCACTTCTAGCATGAACGAATATTCGAGTGCTTCGAATATTCGAATAAATATTACTGTATTTGAATTTGCTTTGACAGTGATGTTTTCTTTGTATGTTTTCTTAACATTCGAACTATTCAATTATTGTAAATTATTTGACCAAATCACTATTCGCTTCGAACTTTGAACCCATTCCTAAGCACTTCTAAGCATTCTTCCTTTTACTACAAAAGTTTCGTGAAGCCTGACATAATACTTTCATGCTCAAAAAACATAGGCTGAATTTCTTTCGGCTGCAGGCTTTATGTTCAGGTGATCTTCAAGTTAACAGCTTCTACCACAGGGCAGTTATCGATCAGGTCACCATAAGTAGAACATCAGCGGTAGAGACGATGCAAGAATACCTATATGACTTATTTCAGTCATTGACAATTGCACGACAGTACTCAAGAGAATGTAATTAATGGTGAAAATTAATGGCCACTGTGCCTGACCTGCGAGGATTTGCCCAGCTTTATGAGCAAGCTGACGGCTCGGCGTGCTGCTCGTGGCCCACCTTGGAGAGAACGGCCCGGCGAGACGTGCAGCTCATTGGTCAAGACATCAACCAGGTGCTTGACACGGTAGTCGATTCGCTGGCCTGGAATTTAAGCAATAGGACTGCTATTAAGATTCTGAAAGGTGTGACGCTTTGTGACGCTGCGTTATGATCGATCGTCCATGAATGCGTGAAACTTGCACGATTTGATGCCGAGGCATAAGAGACTCATCCTAAAGCAAGTAGAAATGTGTGAATAGGCTAAAGTGAATTTTATAGCAATTAATTACTATTGCCATGCAGTTAACTATCTGCTTAATCTACAGGTTAGTCATGCCATGTTTCTTCATAACACTAAATTCAACGAGTCGCTCAAACTAGCATCCATTAGTTATCTGCGGATGACCAGCATTCCTAAAAAATGAGAAAGAATATTTTTAAATTCCCGTCGAAACACCCCACCATGACGAGTGTATCATTAAACATGATACTGCCTTGATGAAAATTATCATGTGTAGCAAAACATTTTACCCAGAGGTAATATATTAGAACTTCAGGTAATGAGATTGTTTAATTAGTGTATTGTTTGTTGTATCGTTATTGCCAGTAGTGCACAGTACATGCATACAAATGAAAACACCTTGTTACTAGAGGATAATTTAGGCAATGCCTTAGGTTTGAGTGCAATTACTATAGCTTTCATAAAACATGAGACAAATTAGAGCTACTTGTTTGTAAATGCACTTTCTAAATACTAAAAACAGTTTTTTAACACAAGCTTGAAAGAGTTACACAACACATAAATGTTCTTGAACTGAGCTATAAATGTAAAATAGAATAATTTTGCGTAAGTACTAATATACTTTCAATAAGTAAGGCATAAATATCTCAGTGCACAATGCCATAGCATGCCATACAAGCCCTTATGAATCGCTTAATTTGCTATAATTGGTTACAAGTTCCTAAGAAATATGAAAAAAGTAAGTTGCGCCCACAGCCATTGCTGTCGCTCTCACAGAAAATTCGCATCAACGCCTCGATCCAATAGCACTTATTTCAGTAACGTTAAGCACTCTTGAACATTTCAGTTATGCTTAACTTTCTCACACAAAGTTGTTTGTGTTGCTGGTTTTAAGTTAAAATCTTGAACGGCTTGGCAAATTTCATAGTAAATTATGGCACCGACGCTCAGTTAATGTTTTAAGTTGTAAGTAGTAATGTTTAAGTCCAATGTTTTAAGTAGTAATAACGAATCTTTCATTCTTAACATGTTAAGTATTTTACTTAGTCGAGAAAAAATTATGGTTCAAACAAAAACCAGCTCGCACAAGTGGTCTTCACTGGTTAAGGGCAGGCGTACTACGATTCTGTGGGCAAAGCTTAAATTTTTTTCTAGGTTGTAACCAAATATACACAGCGATACATTCGTGACGTCGATGTGCACACTAACTTCAGGGCTGACTATCTAGCGCTTAAAAAAATTTCCATCTTTTCTTGAAGAGTGCCAGTTTGTAAATGCTTAGATCACAAGAAGCAAGCTTACGAGGTTACCTGCAATATCTCCCATTTTTAAAGTACAGGACATCTCACTGCATTTATAACACTCAAATTGTCAGTTCGAGCACAGTATGAAGCGTCAGCTCACTTCATCTCTTCTAGAGGCTTGGCGTTCGGGTACAGTGCGAAGTGTTCCTCAGTCTTCAGAACCAGGCTGACAGCACCTTCGAAATCTCTCTCAGCCACACACACGTCAAGGTCCTCCGGAAGTTCGGACAACCATTCGGGAAGGACTGCTCCGCTTTCGCACTCGTACAACTCCTCAGCTTCCTCTTCGTCAAAGGCTGAGCGAATCAACACGAGTATTGAACGTTACAGGAAAGGCAGTGCTACAGAGTCTAACACCACACCAAGAGAATGTAACTACACAAAAGGTTCATGACATTTTAGGTTTGATTCTCGCCTGCGCAAGTCAAGTCATGGCTTCAAGTTAAGAAGCATTCTTTTAATACAGGGGCAAGTCATCATCATCACCAGCCTGATCACGCCCTCTGCAGAGCAAAGGCCTCTCCCACATTTCGCCGGTGAACCTAGTCCTGTGCTTTCTGCTGCCACGTTATAGCTGCAAACTTCCTAATCTCATCTGTCCACTTAGTTTTCTGTCTCCTCTTAGAATCCAGTCAATTACCCTTAACGACCAGCGGTTATCCAGCCTACGTGATACGTGCCTGGCCCATGTCTATTTCTTCTTCTTGGTTTCAACTATCGTATCCTTAATCCCGGTTTGTTCCCTGACCCACTCTGCTTTCTTCTTGTCTCTTAAGGTTACACTTATAATTTTCCTTTCGTTACTCACTGCGCCATCCTCAATTCAAGTTGAGCCCTCTTTGTAAGCCTCCAGATATCTGCTTTACAGGTAAGTAATGGCAGGATGCAGCTGTTATATACCTTCCTTCTGAGCGATAGTGATGGACTACCATTTATGATTAGGGAATGCTTGCCGAACGTGCTCCAGTCAATTCTTATTCTTCTAGTTAAGCATCCACAAAAGACACTGCAATGAAACTCACGGTTGTTGTCGATGCTGAGAAGGCTGCCCTTTGGGTCAAGCAAGGCTGATTCCCTTTTGAGAGAAACAGCAGCCATCTTGGCTTGTTTTGTCTGCTCTATTGCTTCCATCCACACTCTCTGAAGATGCAAAGCAGGTGAACATGTAAGGGCCCGCAAATTTCATTCAGGCATTTCAACCACGTATTAGCTTGAGCATTAAGATGTCTTATAGTAATGTATAATGAAAAAAATCACATCATCTCTAATGTTTTCAGACAAGGCAGCAGTAAAGGACGTGCGCTTTGGTGTGAGTTACCTTTTCGGCGGCAGTTTCGCACTGGAATTGTCGTGCGTGTGGAAATGTCAGTATCTTGAAGCAGTTCTTAGATCCTGGAAATAGATCAGAGCCCTTGGCGGCTACAGTTTGTGAACAAGTTTTATGACTTCACTTGCAATTGGGCACAAGAATTTACACTGAAATGCAGTTTTTATACCAGTGTTTAGGCCATACTCAAATGAGATGAGAGCACATGCCAACACGTACAGCACATTTGGCATCTAAGATAATCATGATAACTCCAATTCACTTAGTCATTACTTATTCATTCGTACACTGAGCTCTTCTAAACTGCGTACTTTCTTTCCCTAGAATACTTGCTAGCCAGAAATGTTAAAACAGATGAGTAGAATAAAATATATATGTATGAAGAATATTGTGTGCAACTGTAGTGTGTGGCTGTGCTACTCTGCGGCTGCACGGCTGTGCAAAAAAATGATGTGCAGCTGTGCTGCTACAAAATGAACTTACTCTGGTCCTCTTTCACATTGACTACTGCCAGATTGTCTAGCTCATAAAGCATTTGGAACCGATACTGGACAGTGCCCCTCCTGAAAAACAATGAAAGAGAAAAAGAACAGTAGTAGAGAGAGATGTTTTTGTTTCTTTGTTTTTCCAATGAGTACCGACGTGGTTTGCCTAGTAGCAAGCCTAACATTGTACTCCGAACAGGTACAATGAATGAAATCATAACTACATAGAGTGGGACAAATACAGAATCTACACAAGACATGTCTATGAACGTTTGCTTGTTGCTCGGCCAACCTCGTCCATAGATGTTAGGCTTTGGTATTCAGAGAGTGGATGAGTCAAGACACCAAAATACAGTGGGCTCAACCTAATCCCACATTCAATATGTTAGTCTAAGGCAAATGAAGCAGAAGTAATGTGCTGCTTTCCCATTTATTGATTAGTTTTTTCTATGAGCAACATCACAGTACATAAGCCCTAGCCATGAAGAGAGACAATGTTGGTCAACATTCTACAGCGAAAGCTGTTATAAGATCAAAACTCTGGTCACGCGCGGCGCCGCAGTTGTCCGCCACCGCCACCACCGCCGCGTGTCCGTAACCGCAACGCACGAAATTAGAAAAAAAAAAACTAGTACCTATGACACAGTGGGGCTCGAAACCGGGTCAGCTGGGTGCCAAGCCCAGTATTCTATCACTGAGCCACGCCGGTGCTTGGGACTTGTTGGCAAACTTGCCTTAGGCAGGCTCGATGTCGGGAAAAAAATCGCGTTAATACGACTTATAAAGCATTTTAAACAGTGGAAGAACAACCAGTCGTCGCACAATGGACAACGAGTCAGCCACTGCATAAAAAATTTGCACGAATATCCTTGCCAGTGTATAGCGGATACCACGCTTCTCAGAAGAATGACGAAAAATAGCCAATGCCGGCTTACTACCCAACAATTTTTATTAATAACGCCATACAGGGTATGAAGCAAGTGTGCTTGCAGCAATTACCCAATGAGTGTTTAGAAAAGGCTCTGAAGGGCCACTCTTCTAGCTTTCGCTGTGACTGTGCAGCGCCTTCCATGCAGGCCTGGCATTTCTCTTTCTGCCACGGCCCACAATTACAGCCACAACTGTTAGCATCAATTTTATAAAAGCAACTGTGTACTACAAGCATCAAATTTATATATTTCTGGTTATTTAGCCTTTATTTTGGGCAAGGTGCTATAAGAAGTGTGCAGAGTTTGTACAACTTCCAAAATGTGTAGGCACTTCTTTTAAAAAGCTTTTAATGATAATAATAATAATAAAAAGAGATCCACATGAGTACACTGCAAATGTATTTGTAGCAACAGCACAATAAAAAATAATTTAAGCTGAAATGAAGACATCACGACCACAAATACAACAAAAAATAATAATGTATAATTGTTGGAGTTTAACATCACAAAAACCGTGATATTATTATGGGGAACACTGTAGTGGAGAGCTCTGGAAATTTCAAACCCCTGGGTGGTTCTCTAGCAACCATATTGAAGCACACGGTCCTCTAGGGAGTTGTATTCCATCTAAATGAGGCTGACAAGGCTGGAATTTGATCTTGTGACTTACTGGTCAGCAGTGGAGCACCGTAACAACTAGGCCACCACAGTGACTTGCAAAATAAATAATGAATAACTGCGTAATTAATGAAACATGGGCACGCCTACCTGTGAGGCAGCCAGTCGGCGAGCAGCAGCCCGTCGGACAGCAGAACAATGTAAATTTTGCACTCCGCGCCATCTTCTCTTACCTCCGTCATTTCGCCAGTGCGCACAATGTGCCTGTCTTTTGCGTCAAGCAGGCGCTGAACGGACAAGGACAAAAGGGGACAAGAGGCACTTACTGAAAGCTCAGTAGGGTTTCTTGAATTTCCTCGCAAGCATGACCGTAAAAAATTCTACTTAATGATCAGGATGATGAGACCTGCGACAAGGTTCGTACCTAGGCTTGTGCGAATATTGGAATGCTTCGAATATTTGGACGAGTGATGCAGTATTCGAATTCACTTTGAATCAAATTTAAGTAACTGAAAATTATTCCACATGAATGAATAGCTGCATATTAATCCACATGTAACATTCTGTAAAAATGGCTTGACTGCAGTGCACCTATCTAGTTGTACATTAATTCGCATGCAACTTTTTGTAAAAGTGGTGCTTAGCTGTGAAAACACATATCCTGAAGAAATCAGCACTGCCACAAAGCCCCACTTCAAGGTTAAATGCACACATTACCCTCCCATTGATCATTTTTTTCAGTTTAAGAGCTCATTATACCGACTTATACGCTCTCTAGGTATAGTAAATTCTAAAACCAAACATATTTTACAGGTTATCCCTTGCATTCTACTGAAAGTCATATCCTGCTACTATACAAAGTTCTTTCACTTTCACTGAACCAAAAAGAATGGCAAGTGCACATGCCTCGTTTCAATTTGAAATATAATATAGTGCAGGTTAGTTTAGTCTGTGTAAATAGTGAAATTTAGGTTCGAGGTGAATTAGAAGCGCATAGTGATTTTGGTGGAATAATTTTGAAACGAATTTGAAGAATGTGTATATCTCATAATATAAAAAGGGGCATATTTGCCAATTTGCCATGACTAAACTAACGGCACTAATATATATATATTATAATATATATATCTATAGGCAAATATGCCCCTTTTTCTTTATATTATGAGATATATACATTCTTCGAATTCGATTCAAAATTATTCCACCGAAATCACTATTCGCTTCGAATTTACTTCAAACCTAAATTTCACTATTTGCACAAGCCCACTCATAGCCACTCAGAAGGATTGGCCAAGAATTGATTATGTAAATTTGTTAGACATTTCAAGTATTGAATATTGACACTTACAGTGCAACCTTCGACCTTTTCCAACAGAGTGGAGAGACTGCGTCGCGGGTCTTCCTCTGTCTTCTGTGGCGCAGACACGTTATTTGTGGAGCCTGCAAAATTCGCCAAATTTATATGCCAAAAATACTATTACACACACCGTGTTTGTATTTATACTGCAAGTGTTACACAAGTTACTGCAATTATCACACGTTACTGCTTAAATAAACACTACCTAAATGAACCAAAAATAAATCACAGGCATTAGCTGATGGAACAAAACCAGCTTGAACTAATGTAAGTTTGGGCATGTTTATGTTCTATACAGCTTCAGAGTGCACAAAGTACACATGGGCAGTAAAAGACATGGATGGAATGCTCTGTTTAGGTCTCTTTTTAGTGTCCCTAGTGTTTACATCGTTTGTGTCCCTTTTGGCACACTCTGTTCACGTTCTTAGTGTCCCTCTTGCATAATGAAAATGTAAATAAAAATTGGTTCCAAATCTGCATGTTACACCGCCAATGTCGTCAAAAAACGATAGCCTTGCTTCTGGAGAGAGTGAACAAAATGTTTATTTCATGTTCTCCGCAAGAAAATCCGTGAATGGTATTCTGGAGGTGCCTGCGTTAGAGTGCCTCGAGCGTGTAGCAGAGGCGAACGAGCACATCGAGGCACGTTAGACACAAGCCCCATCTGGCAGTTATCTTCGAAAACAAAGGCGTGCAGCCCGTGGAGAAAGATGCGCGCCAGTCTCGGAGGTGATAAGGTGTAGAACGCAAAGCGACGGGCAGGTGCCACCACCGTGACGTCGTAGCAAAACGTTGGAAACACCCTTCTGAGCATCCCATTGCACTGTCAGCGCAGCGCGATAAACGCTACATTCCTTAGAGTTATTTGTGTGTGCCTCTTCAAGTATAAAGGCAGACATACAAAACATCGAAGTGTTGTTATGGTGCCTTAAATATGTGCAATAATTGCTTTTTAATTGAAAATTGCACAACTATGAACGCTAAACCTTGAGCAATATTGGTGGGCGCTGCGGAATGTGTTAGTTGTTTGATGCCGTTTGAGGTATTGTTAGGGTGGACAAACAGACGAATGTACAGACAGACAGACTAAAATTTTTTCGTCGGTCTCCAAAAAAAACTATCGCATTTAAAATTGGTACATATCGAGTACAATTGATGACTGTCAGCACAAAGACGAACACACACAGAACACTCACTCAACTAAACAACTTTTTTTCTATACAAAAATAAAAAAGATTGCGTTGTGCATAACATCTCTACACGAAGAATCAAGTTTGTGCACTGAAGTTTTTGACCAACTCTTGTAAACTCAGCATACTACCAAGTTCTAAGTATCAAATTGGACAGAAATTGTGCAAAACCAGCACTCGTGTTCTGAAGCACATAAGGCAAGCAGCAATATAGTTCGAAATCAAGTGAGTAAAGACATTTTCGAAGAATTGGGACGCCACCTTTGCTGTCTGTGATGGAGATTTCTTGCAGAGACTGCATGACATTCTGCTGCTCCGTAAGCATGTGACTAAGCTGGTACATTTCACTCTCCAGGTCTGCATGCAAGGAGTTAATTGTTGAGGAATGTTGCAGTGCATATATCTTCAATAGGATGCGATCATCAGGTGCGAAACAAGAACATATAAAGTCAAAACCATAAAAATCTGAACGTAAGAAAGTCAGCCAGGTAGTTTATTTGGTAAAAGAACACCATATTCTTGACCTTAGGCACACTTAAATCAGAACAGCTGCCAAGCGTAAATTTTACGTAAATTAAATTTTACGTAAATGGCACAGGCTGCTCATGTTGAACAGTAGCATAGATTCTTGAACTTGTGGCACACACCAACACCAGGAGATGGGGAAAGAATGGGATATTTCCTTTGAAAAAGCTTTAAAATAAACATGTCATCTTTTCTTGGAGACATTTATAACACACTTCATCGGTACATGCATGATCATCATTACATGGGTTTCTTTGCCTTCATTACTTAACTGTGAGTCATCTTGTGACCGATTCCTACCTTAATTTAGTGTGATCAGTTCGCCATGTCTTCGAGGCGTATGAATGTTAGTATTAAGTAGTGTATCATAATATAAAGGTGAAACTATAGCACGAGACATCTGGTAAAGCTGCTTATATTGCCAGTAGGCCATGTGATGCAGTTAGCAAGTTACGAAACATGTCGCATAAAACACGAATGTATATGAAAAAAAATCAATAAAAAGGATACAAGAGATTTCCTTCGCAGTCTCAATGAACTGCATGTAGTTCTTGTAGACATTTTTCTTCAACAAGTTGTTCGTTTCGTCAGCAAGGTTAGCAATCTGTTGTCTCTCATTCAGTATTGCATCGATCCTGACCGAGCTCTCGACTAAGTTCTTTACATCTAGAAAAGAACATTAGAAAAGCGGTAGGTCATTCACCCCAAACTAAAGTGACACACGACACACATTGTACATCTTAAAGACATCAGTAGAAGACGTCAGCACGTACGCTTCATGCCGCATTTGCTATGACGCAACAAGCGAGCAGTACAACAAAACCGACATCAAGCGGAATGCGGATCTTGTTCGGTGATCACGAACTTTTGAGGAAGCGAAAGCAATACGCCCTATGTAGTTTCGGCGCAAACAAGCCACGCTCCGACTTTTAGCGAAGACACCTGCTCAAAAAATGTGGGCAGCGTCTGCTGTAACGCGTCAATACGTGAATCGCGTAGCCAAAAGAGGAGCCAATCTGTAATTTCATGCGCGCAAAACTTTTGCGTAGAGGAACAGAGTATCAGAACACGCCCCCCGAAAAGATCGAGTTCGCTATCCCAACCAAACGAATTGTTTGTCGGTCCAGTGACCGGCGTGGCAATTATTCAATCGATGACTACAGGTGCTCTTTTAAGTACGCAATAAAACGTACAGTTTGTTGGACTAAAACCCTGGCGACGTGAACTTGTCACCGACTGCTACGTACTCCGCCATTCTTGCAAGTGACAAGTTGTGACGGCAAGTTATAAGTTTAGACAGTTTAGTAACTAGATTGTTCTAAATAACCGCAATTATGACTGTGATAGCTAATCAATATAGTATTAAAAAATAAGTTGTACTTTATATTGGCTTTTGTGGTATTTAGTTACAATATATAGCGAATAAAAGAAGCAAAAGTCAGGCGAAACTGCGGTTTGTTTTTTGCTACTTGTTGTTTCGGCTGCGCGCCTGTGCTCGGTCACTTCATCAGCTGTGTTGACTTTCTGCGATGCCTCTCGCTGTTTTCGCGAGTGTGGTTGCTTATAGTGTCCGCAACTGACACGATGGATCGTCTATGACAAACTAAAGGTCGTAGGATGGTGAAATGAGACTCTCTTAAGAACTCCTTCCGTGTGGACGGAAGGCTCCAAGGGTCTTCCGCGCGCACGTAGGAGTTTTTGCGATTGCGTCGACCGTCATTTATATCAGTGGTGGTGAAACCTTCTAGTCGTGACCACTGCTTGTTTGCAGATGCGCGATGGGCAACCAACTCGCGGGTATCGCCCCATCGCAGATCTACCCGGTGGAACACTACCTGACCGAGTTACCGGACTTCACTTTCGAAAAAAAGTGAGTTCGCCCGTTTGCGCAGAACAGTGTATATCTACACGGTTCACTGTTCTCAGTTGAGGCTGAAAAGTAATGGATAAATTGGTTACTAGCGAAACAATGTCAGTATTGCACTGAAATTCGCTTAGAGAGAAAGACAAAGACGTAATACTAAAGGTGTATTTTGAATTGTTTTCAACATAATACATGTCGAGGGATGGTATGGCTAAAGGCAGAATTAACTGCCTGACAATGGCCCTACCACCCAAGCAATGTCCAACAGGGTTGTGGCTATCAGTAAGAAATTATACATTAGAAAGCGGAAGCTCAGCACGGAAAAAAGAAACATGACATAGCGCTACTTGCAAGGGACGACGACATACATATAGGAATAGTAGAATTGAGTTCTTTAATGTATTGCAGTGCATTGTAGATTTGGTGCATAATCGCTATCAGAACCTGGCCTCTCACCCTAGGTGAGGGAGAATGGGGGGCGAACACCCGGGCGTGATCAATAGATAGCCCCCACCCCACTTTCACACACAAACATGTGTGCCCTCTCCGTCTGCTATCCCTCAAAGTAAAATAGAACTTTTCTTGAACTTTAAGTGCTGGCTGGTGTTAGTTTCTACTAGCAATGTGTCGCAACTACATTTACACGTACTACATTTTTAAAATGGTTACAGTCAAGTCGCAAGATTAGGTGAAATTGTGTTGATTTCTACGTAAATAGATTAAACGTCACATTAAATTAACACTTCATGTGTTTAATAATGTAATTTTGCAGTTAATGTACCCATAATAATGTTGCTTCTGTCTGACAGCTGGCATGACTTCATAAAACATTTAACTAGTTGCGCACAGTTGCTATGGGGGACAGTGGCTATTGATTCCTGACAGGCACATATTGATGTTGATATATGGTTGCATTATTTAACTCTACTGCATTCTCTATGACAATGTAATAAAAACGCAGGAATGTGGCACACAGGTGTTTGACATTACTGTGCCACATATAACTTTGAAGCATTGCACTATAATTACTATGCTAAATAAAATAGCATTAAAATTAAGCAACAGGAGACAATTAGACAAGAGAATGAACAAAAAACACTTCTGTTCTCATCTTCTTGTCTCTGGTTGCTTGTTTCTTTAGTGCTTCTTTATTATCATTGATTTACTAAGTCACCCAACAATCCATCCTTCTAAATTATAAATACAACTATACTGTTCCAGCATAGTATACTTATAATAGAGGGAGACAGATGAGATTAAAGAAGTTTGCAGGTATAACATGGCAGGAGAAAGCACTGGACCTATCGATAGCCCGACTAATGATGATGATGTTCCAACAAGTGTTAATGAAAGGTGCCGTGTTATTTTACCTTCATTAAACATACCACTTGAATGGCTTAAGAAATCAGTAAAGCTTAATGTGAATTATTATAAGCTATTGAAGGACTCTGCTATTGCCAATGATATAGCGGTATGCCAATAATTGAGAACAAAAATTTAATGGAAAAGCAATTAAGCTTCTATACAAGTTTGGCCAGTATAAAACATCATAATCATCCATTTAATTACAAAAAAGATTAGGAAATTTTAAATGAAACAATAAAATAAATGCCTAGAACAATGAACCCCTAGGACATCATTTCGCTAATGTCCTAGTGTGTTTGTAGTTTCTGTGGATTGCTCCAAGTTGTGTGAGGAATGTAAAGCAAACTGAAGTTACCGTTACAAAAATTTTAAAGTGAACTTCTGGCGTCATTGTGATTGTATTCTCACACTTCTTTCAGTTTGGGTAGCACAAGGTTCTTCAAAGTTGCCCGTGTGAAAAGCAAGTAAGTTTATTAAAGTAATGGAACAATGGGCTGCTTTGCTTAATCTATTTAGCCGTTACATACAACCACATGGCATTTGTTTCGCAGGGAGGGCCTTGCCATAGTGAAGGTCTTTGCGATTCATGATCCTTCCCTGCCACTTGCTCCCCACAAGGAGACACTTGAAAGTAAGCTTCCGACACTTTCTTGGATGTAGTCTGATGTACGTTGTACTGATAGCCACGTGTATTGCGCATGTATTGGCATTCATTCTCACACTTTGCTTTTTTTTTTCAGGGATTCGGCGAGTTTTGTTGGCTGTTCCAAACACACTTCCTTTTCAGAAAGTTGTCGTAAGTATTGTCTAGTATAGTACTGTATGATTTGAAATTGCTTTTTGGCTAACCCATCCACTACTTCAATATTGCACATATGTTTTCCTATATTTTGCACATTCTTATTACGTATATCTGAGAAAGCACTGCTACTGTTATGGACAGCATGAGCAGGAGTGAATCAGGATACTTACTTCCTGCTTGCCCTGACCTGCAGGCAATGCCTTGTATTGACAAAAAAAATTATAATTTAATAAATAAAATGAAGCTTCATCCACTAACAGCCATTTTTTGGCATATTAGTATGCTAATTTGAATGCCTTGGTTGTTTTGTTTGATACAATGTTTTGACAGATGTTTCCATTGATAGAAATGATTTCAGCTGCTGATATGTGTGAGTCGGCTTGAGACAGTGTACATCCAACACTGAAGAACTACTAGCCGTCAAAGGCATCTTCTCAAACGATGCATTTGGATAACAGTATTTTTTGTCAAAATCATGTCTCGTGGTTCATTGCATGCTCTCCAGTATAACTTGTTTCCACCTGTTTTTGACATTTCCGATTTTGTGTGCCCTATTTCCAAGGAAAACGACAAGGCTGGCCTACTGGTTCGTCAGTTTATCAAGGATAACCTGTACGACCGCATCAGCACGCGTCCCGTTTCTGAACTCCATTGAGAAGCGTTGGATAGCATTCCAGCTTCTTCATGCTTTAGGCGAGGCTCATAAACTTGGGGTAAGCTGATCGGCTTCTACGATTCCACTGCAACGGCTCGTTCCGACTGATGTCCTGATTTTGACTGTGTCTGTTTCTCAGATATGCCATGGGGACATCAAGCTGGAAAACATCATGGTAACAGGGTGGTACTGGGTTCTTCTGACAGACTTTGCCAGCTTCAAGCCCACGTACTTGCCAGAAGTAAGATTGTCATTTGCTCTCCTCGTATCTTTTTTAAACGAAAGTTATATATGCAACAGCCATATCCGGCAGTTTGCCGACAAAGATATTCCAGTTAACCTGCACATAGTCCTTCTTAAAAATGTCTTCTTGAGTTTCATGTTAAGGGTCATAAAGCACAGTGTGGTAATTAGCGTATGGCAAAGGTGGACATTCCGATTGTGGTATTTTAGTGGCTAACATTGATTCAATTTCTGTGCCTTGTCCAAATTAATCTAAAGTATCCGGCTGTGGTTTACCTTATTGTCACATGGTTTTGACATGTTAAAGCACAGAATTTAATTTAACTTGAACATAGACATAGAAACAAACAATGGCACAAGGTTCTAATGCTTATTCTTCTTGTGTCCACATTCATCCTATGCTACTCAACCAAAGATTACCTACCAACAAGCCAACATTTCATATGTGTTGACACTGTGGTGGTTTTCATGTACGGCACATTAGAAGTTTGCAAATATCTCTCTCTCTTTCCGGTTGTTGCTATCTATAGGACAACCCGGCGGATTTTTCATACTTCTTTGACACATCTCGAAGAAGGACGTGCAACATTGCGCCGGAGCGCTTCGTCAAGACCCTCAATCCCGACTCGAGCCACTATTTACCCGAGGAAGGCATTGGCACAGGCGAACTGACTCCAGCGATGGACATCTTCTCATTAGGGTATGAAAACTTGTGATTCTAGTAAAAGCTCGTGGCTGTAGCTCCAGTGACCTTGGCACTTTAACACAATTCATAGTATCACAGGTTCAAAGCTCAAGTCACATTGCCACGTTCCCGTGACAGGTGAGAGCAAATGTGCAAACGTGCTTATATTTTAGTGCGTGGTAGAGCCGCTGTCTGCCAGCCATGGTGGCCTAAGTGACTATGGCACTTTGCTGCTGAGCGAAAGGCTGCAGGTTTGATTCCCAGTCATGGCAGCGGCATCCAGTATCGATTTAGAATGCAAAACTTCTTGTGTACTTGGATTGAAATGCATGTAAATTGGAGACCTCCCATTTCAGTAAGCTCTCAGCTTGTGAGCTGCCTTGTGATATTCAACCAGAAATTTGGTTTTGAATTTTATTTTGGAGCTGCTTTCTCTGCTATTTCCACAGTGTGCAGATGGCTTTGCTTTGTAGAACACAGTCAATTTGAATAACATGTGAGGCTTTCTGTTGAGCTGGGGAGGCAGTTGAATTCCACATGTGGCTTTGTACATGGACAGTGTCCTTCAGCGGTTACTGAAACTTGGCACTATGACAGAACTGCCTGATTTATTACAAGGTGAGACACTCAACGTTACATGTCGAGGTGGTGATCTCACACAGACATGACGAGAGCGACTCATGTGAGTTCCAGGGTACATACTAGCGTGTGCTTTTGCACTATATGTGGCCACACACGTTGGCTACTCCTTTGCTTCAGGCATTTGCACAGCCTTCATTATGTTAAGCTTTATTATCTTTTTTTCATATATAAGGCCTTTTTGTTGTGAAAATTCTCATGTAGTGCTTACATTTTAAGTAGACTATGGCCTTTAAAATCCGTCTGTGGATAATTTAGCTTTGAAAAATAAAGTGATGTCCTTATGTATAAAAAAGTTCAGCCTCTTGCCAGTTCATTACACATTTCTGCTTGCTTTTTGGGGGACACACATTCTAGCACAATTAAATAGTCACTAAGAAATAGAAACTAAGCTGACTAGAGCAGCAAGTTAGACAAAAGTAAGTTGGCAGGTTCAAAAGTGTTACCAGCTTGTGCAAGATAAGGTAAATTGGCAAGCATTCAGAGAGGCCTTCGTCATGTGGTGGATGTGAAATGAGCAGAAAAGGATGATGATGATGATTCAATGTACTTGCCATTTCCTGTCTGAGTGTATGCCTTTTTTCTTTTCCGAGAGTCCGCTGCCTCTCCATAGTTTTGATCTTTTTCTCGCAGTTGTGTCCTCACTGAGCTCTTCACTGAGGGGCATCCTCCATTCTACTTCTCCCAGCTGCTTTCATATCGAAGCGGAGAGTACAGCCCGGACAAAATACTAGAGAAAATTGATGACGTCGACCTTCGGGCAAGTGAACTTTTCTTGATCAGTGTTTCATCTTTCATTTCAATCCAGCCTCCTTTGAAATGCCGCAGTCATCTCGCGTGATGCTTGACACCACCATGACTGTGTGGAAAGTGAGGGATATTGTTGATTAATTTCTGTTTGAATAATAGACGTTTGTGATACTTGTGTCAAAATCTTGCAGCTTATGTGAACGAGGCATTGCATTTGGCTGGTAGGTAGCACGAAGTAATAACAGTGGGAGAGCTGCATGGTATGGCTTTTTCCTTCAATCATGCTGTTGCTTTATCTGATTGCCTGCCAGACAAAGCAATCGTTCTGCGAGTTGGCACTGTAATGATGCTCTCAGTGTCTGTGTTTGACAACATCTGCAGTAATTGCCTGCAGGTCAGCCATCTATGTGCGCAGTGCCTTCAACCTTTCACGTCAAACTTGCACGTCAACCTTGCACGTCAACCTTGCACATGAACAGGTGCCGAATCCTGCCCTAGAACACACCCTAAAACGCCTCTCTCTTCCGCTTCACATTACAGGAGATGATCCAGCACATGTTGCAGAAAGACCCGAGCCAGCGGCTATCGGCCGAACAGTACTTGGACCAGCAGAGGGACCGAGTGTTTCCGCAGTATTTCTACACATTCCTAGGGGACTACATCAAGGAGTTCGCCACGCTCTCCCTATCACCTGACGAGAAAGTTGCCAGGTGTGTGTTGGCCTTTTTTGTTGTGCATGACGCTGATCACTTTCAGTTTGTGCATGCCACATTCAACTGGTCGAAATGAAGCAATGCCAGATTGCTTCGTTCAGACCACCGCAGCAAGATCGAGAAAATTTGCGCTGGGAAAGTGATTAGCTCAGCTCACTGCTCGAAATGGTACTTCAAATCAACAAACTTGCCCAAGCCAAAATGTTGCGATCAGAATATAATTGAATTACACTCAGATAGCCCCTTCGATTGCTTTTGGAGCAGCTGGAATTGCGTAGGGTTCCTTTGGCTGCAGGTCAAAAGGCACTTGCATAGCTTTAAAATGAGTCGGGGTGTGTCATTGTCAAAGAACTTGTAAGTTAAGCAGCGATCATTACATAAAGCACATAAATGCAGTTAATGAGATGTACATGTTAAGATTTTACTGTGAGTTTGTGTGCATTGCACAAGTCTGCATTTTCTTTTAAGTCAGTTTTGTGCAATTAATATTACTTTTCTTTGATACAGGTGCTGTACAGGCACTTCACATAAAATTGCACAAGCCAAGGCAACTCCTCAAAAACAAAACACTGATAAAGCTAATGATGTTTAAAGTGTTTTTATTTGTATTAATACATTTCCTGTTTGGACCTTTGCTGCAAAGTTGATTATTGTACATACGGTATGTAGAAGAATAGAGCTTGTCGGCAGGGCAACTGTATATTTGTAGTTGGTTCCTTCGAGTGGTTGTGTAACTTGCGAGCAAATCAAAACGCTATATCGCGTCAGCCTGTGACTCAGCACTGGTAATTCAGGTTCCTTGAATAAAGTTTGTAAGTGTAGTGTTTTGGTTAAGGAGGATTGTGCTGCACAATTTGGAATATTGTGCAGGCTACGGCAAGACATCCATGCCATCCTGTACTCACTCGTGCTGCCTAAAGGGGCACAGTCGGGCGGAACTTCAGTCGGCTGCGAGGGCGACCATGTTCCACCGTCCATGCTGTCGCCGCCCCCAGCCGGATCCGATGGTCTCTGCATTGTTGTGGCTGTTCTCACTTCCTGCCTGCGTAGCCTCAAGCACTGCTCAGCCAAGCTCCAGGCACTCGAGCTCATTTGTGAACTCTGCCCTAGACTGAGTAGCGACGTCATCCTCGACCGGCTGCTTCCGTACATGGTAGGGTGTTTCGACCCTATATTACACACAAAAAATACAGGAGGTGTGATGTGTGTTGAAACAGTTGGAACTGCTGAAGTGCTTGGGATAAGAATTTGGCCATGTTGGCGTGCGAGGGAGAATTCTGTTTCATTTAGAATGCAGCATAGTTCAATAGCATAGTTTAGAGGGTGTTAAATGGGATATAATAGGGCTCAGTGAGGTTAGGAGGACAGATGAGGCCTATACGGTGCTACAGAATGGGCATGTCCTTTGCTATCGGGGCTTGGCTGACAGAAGAGAACTGGGAGTGGGGTTCCTAATTCACAGAAACATAGCTGGCAACATAGAAGAATACTATAGCATTAATGAAAGGCTGATAGGTATCGTAATTAAACTGAATAAGAGATACAAGATGAAAGTGGTACAGGCTTACACGCCTACATCCAGCCATGATGGCACTTCAGTTGAAAGCTTCTATGAAGACGTGGAATCGGCAATGAGTAAGGTAAAAACACAGTATACAATACTGATGGGAGACTTTAATGCAAAAGTAGGGAAGAAGCAGGCGGGAGACCAGGCAGTAGGAGATTATGGCATCGGTACTAGAAGCGCCAGAGGAGAGCTATAATAGAATTCGCAGAACGCAATAATTTACGGATTTTGAATACCTTCTACCGAAAACGAGGAAACCGCAAGTGGACATGGAGGAGCCCTAATGGCGAAAATAAGAACGAAATAGACTTTATAATGAGTGCACACCCAGGCATCGTGCAGGATGTGGAAGTGATTGGCAAGGTACGATGCAGTGACCATAGAATGGTATGGTCTCGAATTCGCCTAGATTTGAGGAAGGAACGACAGAAACTGATACACAAGAAGCCAATCAATGAGCTAGCACTGAGAGGGAAAGTACAGGAATTCAGAGTCTGGCTTCAGACTCTGAATTTTAGACAGGTACTCCGCTCTTAGTGAGGAAACCAACGTTAGCATAGATACAATGAATGATAATCTGACGAGTATCATTACGGAGTGTGCAGTGGAAGTTGGAGGCAGGGTAGTTAGACAGGACATTGGCAAGCTTTCCCAGGAAACGAAGAATCTTAAGAAGCGTCAAATCATGAAAGTCTCAAGTACAACAGACAAAATAGAACTGGCAGAGATTTGGAAGTTGATTAATAGGCGTAAGGTATCCGATGTAAGAAGGTATAACATGGAGAGAATTGAACACGCTCTGAAAAACGGAGGAAGCGTCAAAGCAGTGAAGAGGAAACTTGGGATAGGCGAAAATCGGATGTATGCACTAAGGAACAAAGAAGGCAAAATAACTACCAATATGGATAGGATAGTTAAAATAGCGGAGGAGTTTTACAGAGATCTGTACAGTAGCCGGGACAACCACGACTTTAATACTATGAGAACTAGCAGTAACTCAGATGACACCCCACCAGTAATGATAGAAGAAGTCAGAAAAGCTTTTGGAGAGCATGCAAAGAGGCAAAGCTGCTGGTGAAGATCAGGTAACATCAGATCTGCTGAAAGATGGAGGACAAATTGTGTTAGAAAAACTAGCCACCCTGTTTACGAGGTGTCTCCTGACGGGAAGGGTACCAGAGTCTTGGAAGAACGCTAACATCATCTTAATACATAAGAAAGGAGATGACAAGGACTTGAAGAATTACAGGCTGATTAGCTTGCTCTCTGTAGTATACAAGCTATTTACAAAAGTAATTGCTAACAGAGTAAAGAAAACATTAGAATTCAATCAACCAAAGAAACAAGCAGGATTTCGAACAGGCTACTCAACAATCGACCGCATTCATACTATCAATCAGGTAATAGAGAATTTATAGATTACGAGCCTTCATAGATTGCGAGAAGCCTTCATAGCCTTCATAGATTACGAGAAGGCGTTTGATTCAGTAGAAATATCAGCCGTCATGCAGACACTGCGGAATCAGGGCGTCGATGAAGTATATATAAACATCCTGGAAGAAATCTACAGGGGATCAACTACTACCATAGTGCTTCATAAAGAAAGCAACAGAATACCAATCAAGAAGGGTGTAGCAATCTCCTCACTGCTATTTACCACGTGCTTACTGGAGGTTTTCAGAAGCCTAGAATGGGAACAGTTAGGGATAAGAGTTAATGGAGAGTACCTTAGTCACCTGCGCTTCGCCGATGACATTGCATTGCTGAGTAACTCAGGGGACGAATTGCTATTCATGATTGCGGAGTTAGACAAGGAGAGCAGAAAGGTGGGTCTTAAAATGAATCTGTAGAAAACGAAAGTAATGTACAACAACCTCGGAAAAGAGCAGCGCTTCGAGATAGGTAATAGTGCACTTCAAGTTGTAAAAGACTATGTCTACTTAGGGCAGGTAATAACCGCGGAGCCAAACCACGAGATTGAAGTAACTAGAAGAATAAGAATGGGATGGAGCACATTTGGCAAGCACTCTCAAATTATGACAGGTAGATTGCCACTATCCCTCAAGAGGAAGGTATATAACAGCTGTATCTTGCCGGTACTTAGCTACGGAGCAGAAACCTGGAGACACACAAAGAGGGTTCAGCTTAAATTGAGGACGACACAGCGAGCAATGGAAAAAAAATGGTAGGTGTAACCTTAAGAGACAAGAAGAGAGCAGAGTGGATTAGGGAACAAACGGGGGTTACGATATTATAGTTGAAATCAAGAAGAAATGGACATGGTCTGGGCATGTAGTGCGTAGACAGGATAACCGCTGGTCGTTAAGGGTAACTAATTAGATTCCAAGAGAAGGCAAGCGGGTTAGGGGGAGACAGAAGGTTAGGTGGGCAGATGAGATTAAGAAGTTTGTAAGTATAAATTGGCAGCAGCAAGCACAGGACAGGGTTAACTGGCGGAACATGGGAGAGGCCTTTGTCCTGCAGTGGACGTAGTCAGGCTGATGATGATGATGATGATGATAGTTCAATAGCACAACTTTGTCTCCACGTTTCAGCTGTACCTCATCAACGACAAGTACCCGAGAGTTCGTGCTGCAGCGGTAGAGACACTGACAACCTGCCTGACTCCAATTGACTCTCTCCCTAGGAGGTGACGTTGCTTCTGTGATGATATACAATACTGGTGCTGACAGATGCTCGTTTGATTGTCTTTCCAGTGATGCTAACGTGTTTCCAGAGTACATCTTACCAAACTTGGTAAGTCCTTGCTTGCTGGTCTTGGCATTCCACATAGAAGTGAATAACCAACTCGCCAAAACTGCGCTGCGTTTGTGTTGCCCTCTTCCTTCATGTTGCGGAGTAGTGCCTAGCTAAACGGAACCTCAAGGTGCCGGAAAATTGTGTTCCAGTTAAAAGGAAATTCATTCACCGAGAAGGATGCATCGCACTATGCATTATACACCTTCTTAACATTGTTAAATATGTTAAACATGAAGATGTGAATATATTACGTAGTTTGTGTCATGATATGAAACTGTTGACAGCTTTTGGATGGACTAGATATTGCCAAGTTTCTTTTATAGAAGGCTCTAATGTCATAATATTTAAAGAGTTTTTTTAGAGACGTTTTTCTGGATTGAAGACGGGTGTTGTAAGAATAGTTTATATAAGAATATCCCTCTTTTCGGAAGGATTCTTTAGAGCTTTCTTTGGTGTTTTCGTATACAAAACCAAAATTGTACTTCAGCAATTTCCATCTTTAGAAATTGTTATGTACTACGTTGTTATGTATCCCATGTCAAGCTGGTAAGTCTCTTACAGTGTAGCAAAGAACAAAAGTGAGACGGCACAGCTTGTGTCCTGTGCGTTGTGGGGGTGCTGACACCCCCCCCCCCTGTAAAGTTGTCTGCGCCGCGTGGCGCACGTGTCTCGCCCCAGGGCGTTATTTCGGTGGTGACCACCACCGGGCGATAGATGGCGTTGTGTTCGCTTTGAGTACCACTGTTGGTAGAGTGGTAGCGCCGGTGGTGGCCCCTGGCGGAAGGCGGGCCTTGGTGGTGGGCGAGCGTTGAGCGAGCCTCTTCTGCGCGTGGCGGCTGCCGCGAACGGTTGTCTGTAGCGCGGGTCCCCGGTGCTCGGCACCGCGGGCTTCGCGCCGGGGTCCCGCGTGTAAGGTCAGGCGTTGGCGACGCCGCCTTGGGTATGTGCTAGTGTGTTGGGTGTGTTAGTGTGTGTTTATCATGTTATTGTGTGTTTAGTGTTTCACTGTGTTATGTTGTTTGTATGGTAGCATGTTAATTGAAATTGTTGTATCATTCGGCGGACGATATCGTCGTCTAAATTAATAAATGTATGTATGTCGTGTGCTTGGTACCGACCGTGTTCACTGTGTCCGTCACTCCAAGAGCGTGGCGTGGCGGTGCGCGCGTTCGCCTCGCCGAGACCCCACACTGGCTGCCCAACGTGGAGCTCTTGGAGTGTCGGACGTCGGTTCTTGCGGTTCGGTACAGGGATTTTGTTAGAGCCGGAGTAGAGTAGGCCTAGGGGGGACTTCTTTGCTAGCGTCGGTGGTGTGCTTTGTTGAGAAGCGAGGGGATTGGTTTTGTAACGTGTTTCAATTTGTCGGCAGGTTGACTTTCTATTTTTTTTTTTGCTCGCAAGTGTTCTTATTTTTTGTTGTTAGTTTTCAAAAACGTTGTTGAATTAGGACGAGAGCCATGCGGTCCGCATCCTGGGGTGAGCAAGGCCTAGAGCACGTGGTTTGTAGGCCAGGCCCGAAGCGAGTGAGTACGGAAGCCTCGTGGGTGGTCCGATTTTCTGTAAATAGCTTCTTCTATCTCTTTGGGCTCAGGGAGCCGGGCGTCGTTGCTGACTTGTATTGCGGCTCGACGCCGGGGCGTCGTGACACCGCCCGGGGCGGTGGACGCCGATCGCTCGGTAAGCTGCTGTGTGCGGCGAGCGATAGGGCCACCTCACAGAGTGGACGTCTCCTCGCGGCTGCCTCTTCTGCGCCTAGGCTGGGTGCTGGGTGGATGCCGGTTGTTGCCGAGCGACTCATTAGGCCTAAGGCTCTGCGCAGCCGCCTGTCGCACGTGGCACAACTAGGTGGATCGTAGCGTTGAGGTGTTGCGCTCTGCTTCCCTCACTTTTTTTTTTCTTGTGAGCACGAGTTAGGAAAAGTGATTTTTGTTTTTATTTTGATGGGCGTCTCGGCCGCCACCGATGTATTAGCTAGCAGTACTAACCACCGTACCACGTGGCCGAAAAGCCTGAAGCTCCCTCCCCTGGGCCGCGCTCCTTTGTTTCTTTCGAGTTTTGTTTTTTGTTGATGTATTCAGCGGGAGGGATGTCATCCACGGCCGGCTGTCCTGCGCATCGTCAGCGTCGCTGGCCAGGAATGCGGTCGTGAGTTCGGGCGATGAAGATGCCTGGGACCTGCGCAACTGCCTGCAGTCCGGCGCCCTCGTGAGTGCTGGTCGCAACTGGAAGACGTGTCGGCGCTAGCGACGGATCGTCGCGCCGACGGCAACGTTGCTGTTGCGGGGCCGGTACTGAGGTGAAGTCTAGCCGGAGAGTGCAGCAGTGTCGACCGGCGGCGGTGTCGTGGCGCAAGGACATTATGGTCGTGCGATATCATTTTTTTGTTAAAGCTTGTGTAGCTAATTTCTGATTTCGGGATATGGTTTGATTTAAGGTTGGGGGAATGTGGGGGTGCTGACACCCCCCCCCCCCTGTAAAGTTGTCTGCGCCGCGTGGCGCACGTGTCTCGCCCCAGGGCGTTATTTCGGTGGTGACCACCACCGGGCGATAGATGGCGTTGTGTTCGCTTTGAGTACCACTGTTGGTAGAGTGGTAGCGCCGGTGGTGGCCCCTGGCGGAAGGCGGGCCTTGGTGGTGGGCGAGCGTTGAGCGAGCCTCTTCTGCGCGTGGCGGCTGCCGCGAACGGTTGTCTGTAGCGCGGGTCCCCGGTGCTCGGCACCGCGGGCTTCGCGCCGGGGTCCCGCGTGTAAGGTCAGGCGTTGGCGACGCCGCCTTGGGTATGTGCTAGTGTGTTGGGTGTGTTAGTGTGTGTTTATCATGTTATTGTGTGTTTAGTGTTTCACTGTGTTATGTTGTTTGTATGGTAGCATGTTAATTGAAATTGTTGTATCATTCGGCGGACGATATCGTCGTCTAAATTAGTTAATAAATGTATGTATGTTGTGTGCTTTGTACCGACCGTGTCCACTGTGTCCGTTCACTCCAAGAGCGTGGCGTGTCGAGGCGCTCGTTCGCCTCGCCGAGACCCCACAGCGTCTTTCCTGGCTCTTTTTGTACGATGCTCGCCATGTCGATTACAAGCTTGCTTCTAACTTTTATAGCAACTTCCTCGTTGATGCAGCGTTGTGTGGGCTTTTTTGTTGCAGATGCACGTCACTTTGGACAGTGCCGTCATCGTTCGGATGTCGCTTGCAGAAAACATTGCACTCCTGGCTGAGACTGCCCTCAGGTTTGTGCTGAAATTTTTGTGTTCTGTTTTGCCAGTGTGTGCTTGCATTTACTTAAAAGAAGCTTTTTCTCAGGGTATTTCATCATCGTGTGTCAATTGTAATGACAGTTCCTCATGATGTCTGTGCAGTAATGAAATGTTAAATATTCTTGTAGGGCGAGGTTAGGAGTTTCAGTAAGAACTCTATCAAAACTGTTCAGTCATTGCTCAAACTGCAAGACGAGAAAAGGCGTTTAAATAACTCGTCTTGATTGTGCTAACTACTAAAACGTCTTCACCATCAGTGCTAAAGACGTACCAATATTACACTTTTGAATTTGCTTTGACTCAAATTTAAACTATTTGAAAATTTGAAGTATGTATTTAAAATGAGCAAATATACGTATATTAGACTGCATAAAACCTTTTGTAAAGGTGGTTTCTCTAAATTCTGGAAATGTTATGCCTTGAAAACTTTATATACAAAAATTTGCACTGCTACGAAGCCCCATTTCAAGGTTAATTAAACACATTGAGACCTATTAATAATTTTTTGAGTTAAAAAGCTTGTTATATGAGCTTATATGTTCTAAGTATAGTAAATTTTAAAACAATGTATTTTACTGGTTATTACTTTTATCCTACTGAAATTCAAATTCTGCTACTACTCGAAGTAGCTTCCACCTCACTCACTTCGAACCAAAAACCAAAAGTAATGAAATTAACATACGTCTTGTTTCACTAATATATATATATATATATATATATATATTGTAGTGGGAAAGAGGGAGAGAGACAGTATCTAGTTGGAGCACCTGAACGACGACTACGACGAAGAGCTGAGCTCGTGACAGTGACTGACGCCTCTTGAACCAGGCAGTTGGTTTTATTCAATAAACCCCCTTATAATCTGGTGGAGGTGTAGATATATATATATATATATATAGTTAATTGAGTCATGGCGAATATGCTCATTTTTTGTTTAATATGTGACACCTACTACTCAAACTATTCACTCGGAATTCGCTTCAAATCTATAATTTACTATTTGCACACCACCAGTCTTGAAATTGGAGAAGAATGCAGATGTCATTTGGTGAAAGCATGTTTGTCTCGCTTTAACTGTGCAATCAATGATATTGTTTATCTGTCAGTTTGAATTGTACTCTGCTAAAAAATTTTTTTGAATTGCAGCTCTCTTGGCATTATTATTTACCTCTTCTCCAGCTGGTGCTAATCCTGAGGTGGCTTCATCTATTTATCAAACTTGACAGGTTTCTGGACCTGAGCACTCAGCACGAGGTGTCCTCTCCAGATGGCACGAATGTAGAGCCGACTGTGCAGGCGCAACATCACCACCAGGTAAACAGCATCTTTTTTGTACGTGCGAAAGAAAGAGACACCGCAGACTTGTAAATTACCAGCATCGAAACAATTGTACATTTGCATTTTTTTATGTACACAGTGTTTTAAATTGCTCGTTATATGTGTAGTATTATTATGCAAAGGCAATAAGTGTATTGCACTTAATTAGTGTGGCCAATATATTGTGGTTTTCGTCTGTGAATTTTCAGAAACCAGCACGAATTCTCAAGGCAGGTGCAAAAATTTAGCGAGTTGCACTGAACTGCCCATTGCCGTTATCTCTAGACACAGAAATACGAGTAGTTTGGCTTGCAAAGTGTTTATAAAGTATACGAGCATTTTGCATATTTATGTTTTTTATGCAGGTGTGACATGAAGCTAACTAGACTTCGTTTAGATGTGTTTTGTAGTGTTCGTGATGTCAAATCAAGTGCCTGGTTCTCATAGAACAATGCCATTTCGCAGAAAAGTGTTTCAAATTAAAGAGATGAAGGCTGGAAAGGCACATTTCTTGAATTTTTGGTGTTTCTGCCGCAGCGAAGTGAACCTGTGGTTGCAACTGCTGCAAACGTAAGTTGCGATGTTCATATTCGCTGATTGTTCGTTACCTCTTCAGGGTTCGTACGATTGCGAGCTTCAGGCCCTCCAGCAAATGGTTCAGCAGATGGTGTCCACTTTGCTGACCGACTCCAACAATATAGTCAAGCAAATGCTTCTGGAGAAAGGGATCACACGGCTGTGCTTGTTCTTTGGCCGGCAAAAAGGTTGGGACGTTCAAAGTATTTCTTGTAGTTCTATGTTCCTTTGTAGACGTGAGACACAGTCAGAGCTTGTTTTCTGTCCTGAAGACACGTTAATTGTGATTGTGCCATCTCAAATGTGAAACTCCTCTTCTTGCAGCAAACGATGTCCTGCTGTCTCATATGATCACATTTTTGAATGACAAGGTAAGTTAGCATCTGATCAGAATTACTTTTATCACAGATATCTGTTTGTGCACAGAACTATGCTCTCGCACAGCACACGAGTGTGTTCATGTGTCTAATGTCTCGTGAAATTAATTTTTTTTTTCATTTGCAGGAGGACCGTCATTTGAGAGCTTCGTTTTTCGACAGTATTGTTGGGGTTGCAGCTTATGTTGGATGGCAGTGCTCACCCATTTTGAAACCTCTTTTACAACAGGTTTGCTACTCACTTTTACAGTATCTCACTACTAAATTGCATCTGTAATCTACTTATGGGTTGAATGCACTGCACTGCTAGCACGAAAACAGAAGAGCAATCAGTTGAGACAAGACCCAACACTTTGTTGACAGCATGTCTTTTCATGCACTGCATTTTCTGATGTTTCCCAGCCATTCAATTTAGTTTTAAGCTATGAATCGGTATAGTACTATATGAGGGCAGACAGTGTCAAGTGCTTGCCATTATGTTACAGGCATTCTGCTATAAAGTGGTGGTTCCTCATGGCAGCAACAATATGACAAGTCAGGCCTGTCTACATTGCGGATATTGTTTTCATAGATCCATGCAGTTTCGTCTATTCAAACCTTGTGAAGGAACATATATTGACTGCTTTCAGAAATTTGCATTTGCAGTACATTTGTAAAGCTAAATTTAAAAGCATGTTTTATACCCTACAAGTGCAACGTCCGTGCTAGTTTGCAATATTTCAACAGTGATACTTTAGAATACAAAGAAAATGTCAATTGATATGCATTTTTCAGGGTCTTGCGGACACCGAGGAGTTCATCATCAGCAAAGCTCTCAAGGCTCTTACCGAACTTGCCGAAATGGGACTCTTCAGAAAGCAAATGCTTTACGAGCTCACGGCTGAGACCATTCCTCTTCTCTATCATCCTGTGAGTTAGTGACCCGGGTGATTTGCACTCTCTCTGCGTTTTGAATTACTTTTTTCTCTTCCTCTTCAGCAGCATTCAGCACTGCCAGCAAAGCTCTTTGTGAAATTTTGCTGTAGAATCTGTCTCAGCCTGAAAGCTTACAGTGGGACTTGCTCAACGTGTGTCAGCAGCTGTCCCGCTATGGTCTTGTTTTCAGAATCTCTGGATCCGGCAGAACACAGTTGGCTTCGTGTGTGCGGTCACGAAAACCTTGTCGCTTGCTGACACCCAGTGCAAGTTGAGGCCCATGCTTCAGCCGTACCTCAAGCGTTCAGTCGTTGAAATGGACAAAGAGGTTAGTGGGGCAGCGTGGTTGTGCTTGCTGGTTTGTTGGGTTTTGTTGCAGGGCAGCTAACTTGCAATTGTCGTACAACTACGTGGTGTGAGATTCTGATAGCATGGTGTAATTGCACAATAATAAGCTGGCAATGAATTCTGTTGGATGCCTCGGTGCAGCAGTGGACACCTCTGTGCAACAGGCTTGCGTAAATCTTCAGTCATAAATATTACGTTGAAAGAATGAGAAAGGATGGATGGAAGAATAACGGGATGAGACGCACACTTGGGGAAGCTTTGAAATTCTCAAGAGGAATCAAGATTGCATAATCTGCCCCTCTTTTACTCTTAGTATACGGAAGGGGATCGGTTTTCTCAAAGTGCCAAGTGCAATTGTGTTAGGGGTGGAAGTGGGGCTGGGGACGTGTCGCCTTGCTGTTTCTGTGAAATCACGTGTCTGTTCCCATCAGTTGCTTGTCAAGTGGTAATAGGTAATTGTAGTTGTTAGCGCTGTGCTTTGTTCTGTTGTGCTATCTGTGTGCACTGTTTTTACACTTGGACACGAACCGACTGGCCCACCGACAATCAGTGTTAGATTGAAAGAAATCTTTAGATTCACTGCTGCTTATTAGGCATTGGGGATGTGCTAACCTGGTACTTATTGCCAACTGCTTGTATGGGCACTTTTTTTGTTTTTTTTTTTTTTAGGTGGCCATGTTGAATGCTCTTCAAGATCCCCTCCCCCGTAGCCTTTACGACTACTTGGTGAAGTTGGACACTCTGCCCAGTCTCTTGGAGGACTTGCGCCGTCGACAGGTCATGCGATCCATAGTCAGGGGAAAGCACCAGCCGCCTTTATCTGACGTGGACCACCAGCTCAAATCGGTTAGTCCCATTCTTGTGCGGTTCGCTGCCTCTAAAACAGAATCATTTTTTAAGAGCAGCAACCAGACGTAGTACAGAGTCGATCCAGTTGTATAACGACTGCTTTCATGTGGTGAAAAAAAAGAAGGCAAGAAAAGATAACATACCGAGAAGTTTTTAGGTGGGGGCAAATATTCAATCACTTTTAATATTGAAGCAATCATTACAGTATTCAAATTTGCTTTTCAAAAAATTTGAAATTCTCAAAGTTTTTAACTATTCAAAACGAATGAATTGACGTATATTTTACCGCGTGTAATTCCCTGAAAAAATGGTTTGGCTGCTGCATTGGACTACTATGTCGTGACACCGCATATCCAGGTGACGTCCGCAACGCCGTGAAGCTGCACTTCAATGTTAAGTGTGCATATTACCTGGACCTTGATTATTATTTTTCCTTAAGTTTAAAGGCATGTTGTGAGGAATTATATGTGCGAAGTTCAGGAAATTTCAAGACGTAATGCTTTTTACTACTGATAACTTACTCGCACCCTATCGCTATTCGAATTCTGCTGCTATTCATTCAAGGCTGGTTCCACTCTGTTTTGAACGAAAACGTTACATTCGTACAAGCCTTGTTCTAATATTTAGAAATATTGTGCAAGTATTTGTTTTGTGTTTTCTGGTCGTGACAAAGACGCTTGCTTTTTTTTATCGCATGCGATATATATTTTTCAAGCAATTCAATTAGAAATTATTCAGCCAAATCACTATTTGCTTCAAAGTTGCTTCGAACCTCATATTCGCTATTCGCCCATTCGTAGACGTCTTATGTTCAGTTTGTGATACAGCTCTGCACACACTTACAGGTTTACAGGAGACTTCAGTCAGATGGTGTGACGGAGGCCATGGAAGACAAGATTGTGGTATGCTGACGCTTCAGCATTTTTTTTTCTTTTTATGTGCCATACCACATTAACAAGGGTATGGACTGGTTGCTCTTCAAGGATGAGGCTCTTTTTTTCTCACAGGCGCTTTTTTTTCTTTTCTAGGCAATGAAGGAGCACCTCGCTAAGATACACAAATATAAAAAAAGGTACTGTCGCTTTTTTATATTTTATTGCCGTAAGGTCGCAAGCAGGTATACTGAATTTGCATGAGTATGAAGTGAAGGGCACTTTCGAGGACGAAGAGATGACAAAATAAAAATTTAATCGAAGAGATGAGGCATTGTGCCACGCATTGAAGTAAAGGGGAGGCCAGTAGCAGAGGTCGCAATTTATGTTTTGATTACAAAAGACGAGTTCAGCTAGAGTCATTGTATCATCAAACGAATTCCTGATCTCTGATTGTAGCATTGTTCACCGAGCCTCACTCATTTTTCTTCATTGTGTAAAAGGGGTTTATTGAAGGACTAGCAAGCGGGTGGTGGCTCTAAAGGAACGCAGGCGGACCCAGATAACGGTGCTTGATCGCCGATCTCATGCCTTTTTCTTGTGTTGATGATAGCTGACCTGATGGTATCAACGTCTTTCTTATTCACTACAATTACCCCCGGCGAAAAAGTTGAAGCCATCCTGGCAATCTAACACGTGGGGACAAGCAGGTCAAAGTAGGGCTTCAGACGGTTTACGTAAACGATATCACGTCCACACCGACGACGGTCGCTCGGTGGCATGAGGGGTTCAATGGCGTAGTTCACGGGTGAAGTATGCTCAACCACGCGGAAGGGACCATGATAATTAGAGAGTAGCTTGGGTGATACACCAGGGGCGCAGGGTGGTACATGAAGCCATACAAGTGCTCCAGGAACGAACGTTGGTGCAGAACGATGGTCGTCGTCACGGGTCTCCTTCTGGCGCTGTTGGTCGGATGTAGTAAGCCGCCTGGCTAGCTTGCGGCACTCTTCTGCGTAACGAGCGGCTTCCTAGACAGGCTTGCATTCGGAGGGATCTGGCGAGTATGGCAGTAAAGTGTCGATGGTGTGCGATGGTTGGCGACCGTACAGGAGAAAAAAATGGGGAAAACGCGGTAGTGACTCGCGTAGCGGTGTTATACGCGTATGCCACAAATAGGAGAACGAGGTCCCAGTTTGTTTGATCAGTAGCGACATGCGTAGCGAGCATGTCCCCCAGAGTCGCTCAGTCAAGCCGTTCGTCTGTGGGTGGTAGGCTGTACTCTTCCGGTGTACAATATGGCACTATTGAAGAAGTGCTTGGATTACATCGGAGAGGAAAACACGCCCTTGGTCACTGAGGAGTTCTCGAGGAGGACCATGACGAAGCACAACACGATTGAGTATGAACGTTGCGACGTCTTGTGCTGCAGCTGTGGGGAGAGCAGCAGTTTCAGCGTACCGTGTTAGATGATCCACTGCCATGATATCCCATCGTTTGCCTGCCGTTGTTAATGGTAGTGGTCCGTAGAGGTCAATTCCTACACGGTCGAATGGGCGGTCTGGGCATGGAAGTGACTGCAATGAACCTGTTGCAGGATGTGGCGGGCTTTTCCGCCGCTGACATTCGTGGCAGCCGCGAATGAACTGGCGGACGAAGGTAAACATTCCGCGCCAGTAATACCTTTTTCATAGGCGCTCGTTGGTCTTGAAAACACCGGCGTGAGCACATTGCGGGTCGAAATGAAACGACGCGCAGATGGTAGAGCGCAGCGTTCGGGGAATGACTAGTAGTCGTTTCCTACCATCTGCTGAATAGTTGCGCCGGTAAAAAAGGCCATCTCGAATACTGAAGTGCGGAGCCTGGCGGCGCAGGGTTCGAGTGGTTGGAAGTGTCGGTGCCTCGGATAACGCGTCAAGAAGTGAAGCGATCCATGGGTCATTGCGTTGTGCAGAAGAGATGGTGTCCTCGTCAAGAGCTGACAACGTTTTGTCCGAGGAAACAGATGCAATGTCCGGGGATAGGGGAGATCGTGACAGTGTGTCTGCATCGGTATGCTTGTGGTTGGAACGATATACAATGCGAATGTCATATTCTTTAAGCCGAAGAGCCCAACGGGCAAGACGACCCGATGGGTCCTTAAGCGAAGATAACCAGCATAATGCGTGGTGGTCCGTTACTACATCAACAGCACGGCCATAAAGGTATGCGCGGAACTTGACAAGCGCCCAAACGATCGCCAAGCATTCCTTCTCGGTGACGCTGTAGTTTGATTCAGTCTTGGTAAGAGTTCTGCTGGCGTAGGCGACGACATACTCGGCGAATCCAGGCTTGCGTTGCGCGAGAACCGCACCGAGGCCGACACCACTGGCGTCGGTGTGGACCTCAGTTGCTGCCGTAGGATCGTAGTGACGCAGTATTGGTGGCGAAGTGAGGAGATGATGAAGGGTACAGAAGGCTTGGTCACACTCAGAAGACCATGACGAAATATCAGTGGTGCTGCCTATAAGTTCGGTCAAAGGCGCAATGATAGAGGCAAAGTTGCGCACGAACCGGTGAAAGTAGGAGCATAACCCCACGAAGCTCCGTAACTGCTTCATAGTCGTTGGTTTGGGGAAGTCGGCGACAGCACGTAACTTAGCCGGGTCTGGAAATATACCGTCCTTTGATACGACGTGCCCGAGAATCGTAAGTTTCCGAGCAGCGAAGTGACACTTCTTTAGGTTGAGTTGGAGCTGAGCATTCTTCAGGCACGTGAGGACATGTTTGAAACGCTCAAGATGTGTTCCAAAGTCTGGCGCAAAGATGACAATATCGTCGAGATAGCAGAGACAGATTTGCCATTTCAAACCCCGAAGAACCGAGTCCATCATGCGCTCGAAGGTGGCAGGCGCATTGCAGAGGCCGAAGGGCATGACATTAAACTCATATAGACCGTCCGGTGTCACAAAGGTTGTTTTTGGTCGATCGGCATCTGCAAGGGGGACCTGCCAGTATCCTGAGCGCAAATCTAATGATGAAAAAAACTTGGCACCTTGTAAAGTATCAAGGGCATCGTCAATCCTGGGTAAAGGATACACGTCTTTTCGAGTGATCTCATTTAGGCGCCGGTAATCCACGCAGAAGCGAACGGAACCATCCTTTTTTTTTAACGAGCCCTACAGGTGAGGCCCATGGACTTTGTGAAGGTTGAATGAGGCCACGTTGCAGCATATCGTTCACCTGTTCGGTAATAACTTGGCGTTTCACCGCAGAAACACGATATGGTCGCTGTCGTAGTGGCGCATGGGAGCCGGTATCGATGTAATGTAGAGGGGTAGAAGTGCGGCCAAGTGAAGGTTGAACAACATCGAAAGATTCGCGGTACTGGTACAGCAGTTGGAGGAGTTCAGATCGTTCAGATGGTGACAGTCCGTCTGCGATCGCCGAATCGAACACTTTCGAAGCCTGTAGATCAGAGTGGTTAAGAGCACTGACGGCGGCGAGGTCACTTTGGGATGATTCTTGTGGCACGGTAAAAATTTGTCCGTTATCAATGGGCTGTACGCATCCAAGAGACTCGCCTTTAAACAGTTTGATGGTATGCGGAAAGGGATTGGTAAGGCAGAGAGCACTGGCTCCATTAGAAATTGAGAGGGCTGAATAAGGGAGCAGAAGTGGTTTCCGACTTAGAAAGAGGCTTGATGGCTCAAAAAATGCTACTTCATCACGCATGCCGTCGGAGACCACAGAGAGCGAAACAGCTGTTGTCGGTGGAATGTCAGTGTCCTCTTTGACAACTAGCTTGTGCGCGGCTTGATTAGTGTGGTCGTAGGGCTGGTCGAACAACGGAAGCAGTTCAAGTTCGGAACGGGCACAATCTATAACAGCACTATTACGCGATAGGAAATCCCTGTTAAGTATGATGTCATGAGAGCACGAGGAAAGGACGATAAACTCAACAATGTAGTGGTCCTCCGCAATTGTGAGTTGGGCAGTGCAGGCGGCTATAGGTCCAAAAGGGGGTCGGTCCATGTAGTTGCTTCGTGTGTGGTCGGACGTGTGTGTAGGCGGGCACGCGACGACGGCAGTATCGGGAGATATGGCCAGGGCCACCGCATGCAAAACAGATCGGCCGGTTATCACGCGTTCGCCAGGCATTTGCAGTGAGGCGCGCCGCCCACGCGGCATACGGCTGAGTCGAGGCTGTGGTAGCGAGGGGAGGAGCCCATGCGACGGAAGACTGAGTAGGAGCGGTGACATGCGGCAGTCCATTGAACAGCGAGGGCTGGTGTGGCTGCTGCCTCTTTACTGCGTCAGCATAAGTAAAAGGCGCGGCGACAACTTGCTGCTGAAAGGGCACTGGCATTGCCTCGGCAATGTGGTCCTGAAGTGCATGTCGGAGCATGGGAGCTAACGGTGTCGGTGGTTGCTCTTGCTGCTGCTGCGGGAGCTCTTGGTGCTGACAAAACGGCAGGAGGGAAAGCTGACATGCGACCTCCTCACGCACAAAGTCTTTCATTTGTGCTAGAAGGCGGGAGTGGTCAGGTACGTCGTCCAGTGCAGCGAGTGGTTGGTTAGGCTAAAATGGACGACGGGTGAGAGCTCGTTGCCGTCGCAATTCGTCGTAGTTCTGGCATTGAGTTACCACTTCAGACACCGTGCCAGGACACTTCGCAAGGAGCATTTGAAATACGCGTCATCAACACCTTTCATAATGTGCTGGATCTTGCCACTTTCGCTCATTGCGGTATCGACGCGCCTGCAGAGATCGAGTATGTCTTCGATATAGGCGGTAAACGTTTCGCCAGGTTCTTGTGCCCGTGAGCGCAGGCGTTGTTCGGCGCGCAACTTCCGCACGGCAGGGCGACCGAAAACCGAGGATATTGCCTGCTTGAAAGTGGCCCAGTTTTCGAACTCGGATTCGTGGTTTGTGTACCACAGTTTCGCCACATTAGCCAAGTAAAAGTTGACGGTGCTCAACTTAGCAGCGTCATCCACCTGTTTGGTCCACTGACTTTTTCATAGGACGACAGCCAGTCCTCGACGTCCTGGTCTTCGGCGCCTGAAAAGATCGGGGGGGTCTCGCTGGTGAACCGGGCCGGGGCAAGTAGCGGCCGCGAGAGGTGCTGTCTGTTGGGCAGCGTCAACTTGCATGGTCGACGGCAGGGTGCGGGATCAGAGTTCCAGGGTGTAGGTGATGTAGTTACCCAGCACGGTCCACCAAAGGTAAAGGGGGTTTATTGAAGGACTGAGCAAGCGGGTGGTAGCTCTAAAGGAACGCAGGCGGACCCACATGACGGTGCTTGATCGCCGATCTCGTGCCTTTTTCTTGTGTTGAGAGATAGCTGACCCGATGGTATCAACGTCTTTCTTATTCACTACAATTGTGTTGCAAACCTGGACAAGTTAGCTTTACCACACAGCTTTATCATTTGGTGGCCAAATTGCCACATTACGAAAGGAGTAGCAGAGAGAAAAGAAATCTCTCTCTGCATTTAAGAACATTTTTTTCTCTTTTACTCAAGGTGCTTTCTTGCAATTGTAATTTTTATAGCAAAATAGATGGAAAACTCGTGCAAGATTTTAAAAAGTGCAACACTTTCAATGTCAAGGTAAGCTTGGTATATAAAGTTAAGAAACTGCTCTGTGACATCATTGGGTGTGCTTATAGATGGGTTAACTGATCTTACTATGTAACAGCTTCTGTTCCTCAAAGGGTTTTGCATATCAGAAGTTATTGTTAGTCTATAGATCTTTAGAGCACCTCCATTGTTGCGCTACATTTACTGGGAGGCCAAGCAGCAGTTGTCGTTATGCATAATGGGGAAATACGTAGACAGTTCGTGAATCCTGCAGTAACTGGTGGCTGAACGCAGACCCCTGCAACTAAAAGCTAAGTAATCCTACGCTGAGCTGTTGCAATCATGCCTTAACTTAGGCATGCCTTCATATAGTTGAAAATTGCGTGCATAATGTACATATTTAGGAGTGATTCTTGCCCATGCAGCAGATAGAACAAGTTTTTGTTACACCTATTTCATATACTACTGCTGTGCATTTACAACTGCAGTCGTGCAAGAATTTTAGAGCTCGACTTGCTGGTATGGCTTTACACGAGGAACAAACTGCACAACAGTATGTGACGAGAATGAGAGGGTACGGGTTGGCTTTCTACTGCCAACATGTGTGTTCATACTGCACCCATAGTATGCATGCCGAAGAAGAAAAAGAAAGAAGGGTGCTAGAAACCAATCGTAAACAATGCACGCATCCTTAAAAAGCGGGAAAGGAAGAGACAATTTCTAATCACTCTCTCACGGATGTAGATGATCTCTTTGTTGGTTCGGGCAACTGATGCAGAGTCAGCAAATTACTGTTGTCCTTGCTACGAATGTTGAAACCGTTATTTTTTTTTACTGCTTGTTCTGGTTTTTGTGCGGCTTTTCAGCCACAATATCATAGTTTGGACGTGTGGCCGAAAGTGTGCTGATAGAAGGATTGTCGTTGTGCAGTGCTTCAGAGTCTGAAAATGTGGACGCAAAGCTTCGAGGTGGTGAGATCGACCTGGAGAAACTCTACATGTCAAACAGATGCCATAGCACAGACCTGCTCACACTCAAAATTGGCGATGAGCCTTCGCAGGCTCTCCTGCACAGCAGGTAAGCCAGGGTGTCGGCAACAGCAAAAGAGAGAGAGAGAGAGAGAGAGGAAGACTTTTTATAAGGGACAGAGTGAGAGCCATTGTGAGGAATGAAAGAAGGAAAGCCATTAGATTGAAGAACTGGTACACTGCACGCAGTAGAAAAGAATGTGTTGTCCGGCGTATTTAGGAACTTGCTTGTTTCATGTGCTTTCTTGGTATGCTACCTTTTACTAAATTGTTGCTTTTGCCTTGTCAGATCTTACAGAAAGAAGGGACCACCCATTGAATCTCCCCAAGTCACCATGGTGAGCAAACGTCCCTGGCGTCTAAGCCAAACATTCACCTGTATCTGTGTGTTAAGTTGCACCCGCTTCTCGACTTGGCAGGAGCATCCGTTTTGTTGAACTCTCTTCCATGCAGTGAAAGTGATGGAATACCCAAGAAAATTATTTTACTCTGCAAGAACATCAGCCCTCTGTCATACAACGTTGATTTGAAATTTAACGCTTCAGACGAAGAACTTCAGCCATAGATCTTGTTGGTCTGGCATAACTGAGATATAGCTAGAAAAACAAGAAAGTTTAATAAAAATGAAAAAAACTGAGTGGTTGGCAATTTAAGCTGCGGCATGAATCAAGACTAGTGTGACAACATGAAAGGATGCAAAAAGGAAAAGCACTTTCACGAGCTCGCAACCTTTCTTTTGTGTTCTTGTATCTGTGGTTTCTTCAGTCACATGCTGCAATGTGAGACAGCTTTAGTCGCCTCATATCATTTTGAACTGTCACTGCTGGGGAAGCAATTCAGCTGTCTTGAAATGATTTGCATCATCATAGTTACCTTTCTTCACTGCTGCCTGGCAACAAGATATACATATTAATGTGCACAATTCTGCACTTTTATGAACAGTAAAATAAGGAAGTAGATAACAAATATATTAGCCTGGGGCTTGTAGAATGTCTCTTGTGTGGTTAGGCGTGGATTGATTGCATCAGAGAGTCACTATACTCATTAGTGTCCTTCAACAACTCCACGAATTAGGAGCACTGAGACTTCTTTGTAAATTCCAGAACGAAGACTGGCAACGGATGTTTGGCAAGATTGAACTGCGGGAGCAGTCTCCCCTGAAACAGTCACAGCAACCACCACTGCAGCATTCACCGGCCGGCGATGGTGACCCAAATATGGAGCTTCACGTTTCGGGGGCCGAGTCGGCCGAGTCTGCAGCCCCGTCTGAAAACACTTCTCCAAAGCAGCCACAGAAAATCTTCACCGGCATCACCATAGACACGGGTGAGCATCGGGTTTGATTTGCTGTTTCAAAGCAGCACTATAGGAACCATTGGCATTTCACGCGTGCGTTGACTGTTTTTATTGCCTTTTGAATTTGTGCATGCCAACCAATGCATTTTGAACTGTCACGCTTAGTTTTTTGTTATTATATTATTTTTTTTTTTCAAATAAAACTGCTAGCTTGTAAAACTTGCTTTTCCTCAGTTTCACCAAAACTTTTTTGTTTCCTCTTGTCAACTATTGCATTATGGCCGACTACACGTATCTTTTCTATAATTTCACTTTGTCATGGGGTAGTACACTTAGTTCACTAAAATTTTAATGATGTTCATTATGGTGATGCAGGAAAAAGGCAGATAGATGATCACAGTTACCTTCGGCCCTTTTTTCAATCTCAACCCATTGACAATTTTTTTTTTCTAAGATGGATATGTTTTTCACGAAAACTGGCTTGTCTTAAAACAGGAGACAATTACATTGAAACATTTACATTGTTTATTTTCATCCTCATACTTTTTTGAATCGCTGCTTAGCGCGACACAACACCCTCAATACTGCTATTGCAAGTTGCTTACTACTGGTACGGGCGATAAGGAATAAGTACAACATAGGGGAACGAATACCGAATGCAATACTGCTGCAACTTGCCTAGTTTCTTCATTCCTTTCCATTCACTGCCTTCGCATGAAGCACGTCTTAAGCTAGAAGTGCCATTGCTGCACTGTATGTTTAGGGAGGCTTAATTTGTTTGCAGCCACAGTTCACTGCCTGTCTTGCCAAGCGGAGTTGCAGCTTCTTCTGAACAAGAAGCGGACGGAGTTTGCCCGGGAACAGACGGTGAGAGAGGCCATTGACGACCCGGCGCGGGAAGATCGGCCCTTGCCCCCAAAGTGGAGACCACGCGGAACTCTGGTGGCCCACATGCACGAGCATAAGGGGGCTATTCACAGGTCAGGCCTTCAGATGGTACCCGCCGGGCTTCATGATTTTGTGAGTTGCCCGTGATTTAAGAGCTCGTATCCGACCACTGTGGCGATTCTTTATTTGCCTTTCGTTCATATGCAGCTATTTTTAAAGAAAAGGAAAATAAGCCTTGTGGTAGTGGCAGTTTGTGGCATGTTGACATTTTTGTGTTGGCAAACTTTTCATTAAAAGGGTCCTGCAACACTTTTTCAGCACAGCCAGAAAATGCTGCTGATCAGTAGTCGAGACTCCTCGGTACACACAAGCCAAAGAGTGTGTCATAGCATGCTGCCTGGAGTTTACAATTTATTATCCAAATCATTTAGAAATCACTCCCACTTCTCTCTACAAGTGATGCCATATACCCAAGTCACTCTGTTGTATACCCAAGCCCGTGGCCGTATGCCGACTTCAGCAATGCGACTGCAATAGTCGCCGTAGCAGCCGCAAGATGCCGCCATGTGCCTGTGGGCAAGCAATCACACTGAAAATAAGCTGTGCGTTCAAAGAAAAAATTGAAAGTCATGACTCAGGATGACGAAAGGATGCGTCTTCTTGCCCTTGTCATTACTCTCCTTGTGTAGCTTTAAGCACGCTCGCTGGTACGAAAGGAGAAAGCTTTTAAAGCTTGCAGCAAATCCCTGTAACTCTGCACGTACTTGATGGATTCTAAACATTTTTGCAGCAGTTGACTCGTACAGCATCAAGCTTTTTTTAATGAAGCAATTTGGTGATTGCCTGAAAAAGTGTAGCAGGGCTCCTTTAAGTATACTGCTTCAGCAAACACTACAAAAAGACTTTTTTCTGACAGAAGCCTTACTTTTGGACCCCAACTGCAGTGACTTGTTGTGAAGGGCAAAACATTTCTTGTTACAAGGAAGTGATTATAAGAAACTTAGTTCTGAATGTTGAATCAGTTTCTCTATGATCTAATTTTTTTTGCGTTAAAATCTCCCATTTGGAGATTCGTGCCCAACATGAGCAATGTTGGGCACATATGTGTGCGACATGAACAGCTCTTCTGCCTGGTCTGCTTAACACACAGTGTAGTATATGAGCACAAAGCACTGCCAAGACAGAGCCAAATATGTTGAGAGCAATGGGATGCTTTGTACCTTCTATATAGAATTTAAAAATAGTGTTGTTGGCACTTTTATGAACTTGCGTTTTGATTAGGCTTGTGCGAATAGAGAGTTTTTGGTTCGAAGCGAATAGTAATTTCGATCGAATTATTTCGAATCGAATTCAAATGGTATGTTTGACATGTAAAAAAAAGGAAACATTTATCATGACAAAACTAACCTGCACAATATTTCTTTTAAATTGAAACAGGGTCTCTATGCAAATGCAATATATCTTTTCGTCCAAAGGAAGTCAAAACAACCTTGAGTAGTAGTTTCGGTAGGATGCGAGTGATAACCTGTGAGATACTTAATGTTTTAGAATTTATTTTACTAGGATTATATAAGCTGTCATAATAAGCTTAATAAAATGAAGAATTGATTTGAGGGTAACATGTTCCTTTGAAGGGGCCCTGCAACACTTTTTCAAGTAGCCATGGAGCCAGTAAACATGCTTGTTACCTCACAAATTTACTGCAGCAAAGTTTCTAGAATCAGTCCAGTATGAGCAGAGATTAAAAAATTGGCACACGCTGCAATTTCATTCTCTCTTCTCGTCTTGACAAAATAGCTGGAAGCTAAGCAGGGAGGAATGGCATGGCGAAAGAAAATACTCTACATGCACCTCATGACCTTGAGCACCTCTTTTTTTTTTCCTTCGAATACGCGGCATTTCAGTATGATTGCACACGCACTCGTGGACAAGCGGCGGTCCCGTTAACGATAAGCGAACCATGCTGAAATCAGCCAATGCCTGTGACCAGAGCCATATATTTCTTCTAGGCTGTGACAAGTCATTTTGAGCTTGCAGTGACACTTCCTGAGGAAAGAAAGCAGTTTTTAGCTTTGAAATTTTACTGTGAATTACAGGCCATTTACTGCGCTACAATATTTGCCTCGTGTGTTTTCGGTAGCCTCGACTACCGATCGGCAGCATTTTCTGACTATGTTCAGTTATTGTTGCAAGGCCCCTTTAATTTGAAGGAAGGCTTCACGACAAAGCAAATGTTCTTTAAGTAGGTGCTTTCACTGTTTAGCACTCCTACATTGCAATAAAACTACCTCTACAGGCAGTGACCTTCGAATTAATATACATTTATTCGTTCATTGTGAATACATTGGAAATATCAATAATTTAAGTTCGAATCGAAGCGAATTCGAATACTCAACTATTCGTTTGAATATTCGAAGCATTTGAATATTCGCACAAGCCTAGTTTTGATGGCTAACTTACGAATATATGGCACCATCTTCATCACTACAACCTCTTCTGTTTATTGCAAGCATGTTGACTGTTTGCATCACTTAGCATGTGGGCTGTCTTCGCTCAATAATGCCTTTAATTCCAATGGAGGGGCTGGTATAAAGTGTAGAGCATGCTAATATTAAGCGAACTTTCGTGAAAGAAGCATCTCTCTGACAGCAGTTAGTGCAACTGAAAATAGCTGCACCGCAAATGATGGAAAAGTGAGCGATGTAGAGAACGCCGCAACAGAGGCCACGAGGTGTTGTTTGTTCCTGCCGCTCGTTGATGATAATGATGGTGGTGGCGATGCTCTGTCGCCTCAGTTACTGATGTTGCGATTCCACATTCGCCTGAACACAGGCTGCAGGTGATCCCGAATACGAGCCTGTTTGCCACATGCTCGGCCGATGGTCTGGTCAAGATATGGGACTGGGGCCGCATGGAGAAGAAGGCCATCGCTAACCGGTCTCGCCAGACTTACGCCAGGATGGGTGAGTGGTGCTTCCGCAGTCTTGAGCACGCTGCATCGAATGCGAACCGTCTTAAAGAAAAACAGAAACTTGAGCAAGTTTGTGAGAAAAAAAGTGTTGCTAGTCGACAGAAAGACGCTATAAAATGAAGCAGTCTTTGTCACACCTATTTTAGTGTTAGGACATGAATTTAATTCGTTGACTTAAGCTGGCAGACTGCATGCAGCATAACGTTTAGTATGTGGTTTTTCAAAATCTTTACAAAACTTTTCTTAAACCAGTTTATTGTTTAGAGTTACTGATAACTATGGGCCCAGTTCTAAACTGGGCTAGCAGTTATAAATTTAATGTCTCTGCAGAAAAAAAACCTTTGTGCGCAGCCCATCACATCAAAAAAAGTGGTTTCAGTGCAGCATTCTTCGATATTATACCAGCAACAGTTAAGCACTCGTCTTGAAGCATGCCATTTCAGCATTTAACCAGCATAGCAGTATGCTAAAATGTTTAGGAGTGCACACACTTTTTGGAATTTCATGTCTGTGTGTGTGTGTAGAGCTTGGCTGGAAATGTCTATTATTGTTTTGAAATATCTTAATTCTCGTGGCATCCCTGCCTCATGATGTTGGCACATCTGTTGTGCATTCATGCTGTCATAATGCTCATGATGAAACTTGCAGCACACTAGAAGGGACATGGATGAAAATAAAAGAAGACTGTGCAGTGCGCTTTGTCCTGGCTTTACTTTCTTTGTCCGTTTCCTTCACAGTGACCTGCAAGCTTATCACCACCAAGCTTATTATTACATCCTTTCTTGTCATAGTGTCCTGGCCATTGCTAGTTTTATTGCAATAGCAATTATATCGACACTCCCGGCTGGATCTCGCCGCCGGCATCGGCGTGGGCGTCGATATCATGCACCGTATATGTACACGTATTTAAAATATGAAAACGCAAGAAAGAAAAGAATTCATAAAAAATACTCCAGCACACGGAATCAAACGTGGGACATCCGCGTCGTGAATGCGAGGCGTTAACCACTGAGCCACCGAGGGGTACCTCCTGCGACATTAAAACGGCCAGCTATTTATATCTACCACTTATTGCTGTTGATGGGCATCTCGGGGGAGAACTATCGTGTTTACAGCATTATGTATTAGCAAGATGGCGCAATAAGTGTGCGGCGGCTCTAATCTGTCGCGCGTACTTTGGCCCGTGTAGAGGAGGAGAGTGGACGATTTCTCGCGCGCACTTATCTCTCCGTGGCAAGGACCATACGTCTTAAGGGCTGGTGTTGGGCTTGCACTGTAACGATTCTGTTGTAGTTACCAAGTGCACAAAGGTCACTGAAATCGTTGCACAGCCTCCGTTTGCGAATAGGGTGCACTTTTCAGACACTGCAAAGTAACAACTGGGACGCTTATTCGCGTCCATTTGTGACTGTGAGCACATTTTGTGCGTCATTTGTGCATGAGAAATGCGGGGCACATTTTGATTGGCTTGCCATTCTGCACGTGCCCTTCCAATTTGTTGCTATCGCGTTCATTGCTTTGCCTTTGTGGCAAATCTGTGACTTTTCTTATTACATAAAAGTCACAGTTTCGGCATAAGGCCGACTCAATGAATGTGATAGCAACACGTCGGGCTGTTATACAAAGTAGGCGTAGGAAATTTAGGACCCGTACGCAATGTAGTGAACATGGTCAATTCTGCTTGAATTGGCGGTAATGCAGTAACCACAATATATAAACAGATGTTGTGAATAGTTGACTGCGTGACGTCTGACAGGAGGCGGAGTCCAAGTTTGGCATCGAGAAACTCGACAAGCCACTGGTTTTCACTTCGAAGTATATTAGCGTTGATGTCTCCAGTGACTATCACCGGCACATCTTGTAGGCACACTGCACGGAAGTTGTGCAGCAAGAAGTTGATGACATCAGTCCGCAACGTTCCTGGTAAAATCTACACTGTCGCGACGATGAGGCCATGCAATGTTTTAATGGCGCAAGCGTCACCACAACTCATCTGGGGCAGCAAGTTGAGTTAGTCCGTCTGAAGTGATGGCGGCGATACGCATTTCGGCGAGGACTGAATTCACTGGCATGACAGGACCAGCAACTTCTCAAAAAGTCCTGTACTTGATGCGAGCAATTTTGCCTGTTGCTTCAGAGTGAAAGTGGAGCCAGAGACATTTTGGAATGCCCCCTTTCATCCAACTGTATGTGCTTCAGTGAACTCACCCCTCCATTGATCAAGTCGTCGGACAAGTTAATGTTTATGGACAGTGTATTTGGCTTGTCTAAACAAAGTACATGCTTTCTTTCAGCATGTTTCTTCTAAGTCCATTGACAGTAAGCCAGTGGCAAATGATGTATATAGATAGCTCGCTCTTAATGTGATGGACAGTACGAGTGGCGTGGTCTACTTGGTTAATGCAGCGTGCTGAAAAGTTACGGCTCACTTGGTTCGAATGTGCGGTGGGTGCCTTGGAATCTTTTCTTCTGATTTTTTTTTTTCTTTGTGCCTTTTGTAGATATATACATACTTATACATATCCGGGACATAACGGCGGCGGCAAAAATCGGCCGAGAGTGCAATAAAATTGTTGGCGACTTTCGTTGCTACTTTGTCAGAATATTTTCTGTATCTGTGTATTCCGAAGTTGTAAATGGAACTCTTTATACTTTCTTCCAGATGGACAGGTTACATGCATGACAGTGTGCCAAAGCATGCAGTCCTTGGCTGTTGCCTCAGATGCAGGCACAATTCAAGTGTTTAGGTCAGTGCAAAGCATTTAAAGTCCTGTAACATTATCTTCATTGCTAGTCTTGTGGATCTGTGTTCATCTTCGAGGCAAAAGCTGCTTACTGAATGCCCAATCCTCACCAGTTTCATTTGTTGCTGTACACTGGCAGTGCATATTGCGTAGACAATGAACTGAATAGAGCCCCGCCACGCTGGTCTAGTGGCGAAGGTACTCGGCTGCTGACCCGCAGGTGGTGGGATCGAATCTCGGCTGCGGCGGCCGCATTTACGATGGAGGCGGAAATGCTGTAGGCCCATGTGCTCAGACTTGGGTGCACGTTAAAGAACCCCAGCTGGTAGAAATTTCCAGAGCCTTTCAATGCGGCGTTTTTCATAATTATATGGTGGTTTCGGGACATTAAACCTCACATATCAATCAATCAATGCAGTGAATAGTGCTGGCGTAGTTGAGTTGTGAATGCATTGCACACTTAAGTACCAGCTTTCTTGTGAAGAGTTCAATAACAGATAAGGCCGCTTGAACTAGCCACCTGGAGGTGCCTTGCTCCGAGGCATGGATAACTGACACAGTCCCATAAACCAGAGAGAGCGTCAGGCGAACTTATGAAATTGAGAAAGTGTTCTAGTACCATGCTCTGAGACTTAGCTGCATTGTTTTCGCTGGACATTTCCGTCTAATTAAACGGAGTGAAAAGCGGGAACCGAGACTTCGAGGCTCTTGTCTCATCTTTGTGCTGATGTGTGAAAAATTCGTGAAGTAATGCGTGATTTCCTGAAAATTTTTCATGTGCTGAACATTCCGGCCATGATGTGTCCTTGCTCCATCGCAGAGTGGAGGTCAACAGCAATAAGACGAGCCCACTGAAGACCCGCTCCTTAGACCCACATGAGGATGGCTGTGTTGTGGACCTGCAGCATTTTGACACAGGTGTGTACACCTTAGGCGGGAGAGCTATCACCATAGATCAAACTGAATCATAACATGACTCGACGGTCTTTCATAAAAGTTGTATATAAACATTGTTCACTTCTTTCTCGCAGGATTGCAATCTGTGCTTGTCTATGCCACAGTGTATGGCTCGATCATAGGTTGGGATCTGCGGTCACCTAGCACGGCATGGTGCTTTGAAAACAACCCTAGGCATGGTATGTATGCTTGAGTTTGTTGTTATCTACTTGATTGTTATCCCCTGCACTTAAAGGAGTCCTACAGGGCTATTTGAGTGTGGTGAAAAAAATGTTGCCGATTAGTAGAAGAGACTCCCAACAACACGCGAGCCAAATATCATAGCGCAGCACGCGTCCTGGAATTCACAATTAATGATCAAAGTCAGCTGAAAATCGCTTTCTCTTCTCTTGACAAATCACGGAAGACGCTCAAAAATTACCCGTAAGAAGCCCATCTATCAGCCATTGGCTGATTTGAACATGGCGCACTTGGTCGTTACAGAAATCGCTGCGGGAGGCCGTGACTTGCCTGTGCGTGTGCACGGGATTACACTGAAAAGCCGCACATTCAAAGAAAAAAAAAAAAAGAAAAGTGCTCAAGGTCACTAGGTGTGCGTGACGTTTTTCTTTGCGCCTGCCATCCTTCCCTGCTTAGCTGCCAGCGCTTTCGTCGGGACGAGAGAAGAGAGAATACAATTGCGGCATGCGACAAATCTTTGCTACTCCACTCGCACTGGGCGGATTCTTAAAATTTTTGCGGCGTTGAATTTACGAGGCAATAAGCTCTTTCAGTGAATTCGTTCCATGGTTACTTGAAAAAGTGTTTCAGTTACAGTGGGAAGGCCCCTGTAAATAAGCAAATTAGCTCTATTGTTAGCTCCCAAAACAATATAACCACGCATAATATTTGAATCAGCTTTTTTTTTAGTTGCTGGTACAGCTTCTTCATATGTATATGATCATCTGCAATATTAATGTAGATTTTTTAAAATTTAAATTTAAGTATGTGCAGGCTTTATCCCTATGATAGTCCTTATTTTACACAGTAGAATCTGTGTCAATGGAACTTGAAGCGAATGGCGAAATATTTTTCAGTCAACGGGACTTTCATTTACAGATAAAGAAGTATTGGAGTGCTGCAGTCAAATATAAAACCAGCTATTTTAGAGGCAGTTGTTCTGTTTATGAAGGCTCTATTGTATTTGTACAGATGACCCTTAGCCTACCATTGTTATTATCTGTTACAAGACTAGTCAAACCAAATTTATGTCTTTCTCGACTGTAGTTAAGATGATGTTTTGTAAATATTCTGTACAACTGCATACAGCTGGGGTAAGCTTCTAACCGATATTCTTTGAAGGCGAGTTGGATGTGCTCGCGGAATTACTCTGCTAGGGGGCAAACATGCATGCCAGTACATCAGCCATGATTATGTTTTACGCTGTTGCTTTTGGAAAGTATCTGCTAGGGCTGGGAACACGCTAAGAAGCCCTCTACTGTACGATTGTCCACGATCCTGTGGGAGATGCAGAGTTCTATGAACACAAAACCAGTAACAGCAAAACAATGATCACTGTTTCCTTTTTTTTTTCTCTCTCTTCTCACAGGCGTGATTACGTCTTTTTGCATTGACCCTCAGCACAACTGGCTCGCGTGTGGTACCTCCGAGGGAAAGCTCATTTGCTGGGACATGCGATTCCAGCTGCCCAGCACCACTGTCAGCCACCCTGCTGGCAAGTTTTAATTATTATTAATCCCGATAGTCACTAGTGCTAGCAGATGCATAGTTTTGCACTTTCAGCACAGAACTGCGACGGCAATATCTCTAATTTCCACTGCTTGGGTTGATTCTGCAAGGGAGCAAGGCGTTATTTATTTATTGTCTTTGCGGAATGTTTTGTACCACGATAGCTTGGTAGCATTACAAAAAATTTTCGAAAAACTGCATATTGAAAAATTATGGCAATTTATAAAGCAGTTTACTGCATGTGCCCTGTAGGTCTAAAAAATGCATTTCATGCAAAAGCAACGATTTTTCTTTGTTCTGGAGTTCACTTTGTAAAAGCAAATGAAAGGGCAATATAAATGTCCCATCACACACCACAGTTTAACATTTCCTTCAAATGCAGCAAATATCAAAATTTATATTAACTAATGCACTTCAGTATTTCATGCATATATTTATTAGAATTGGAAAGGCAGTGCTTTTTTCTAAGAGTACTGTGCCTCTTCGTATAAGTAGCCTAGAGTAGCTTTAAAGAGGTCACTAAAAGGTCGCTCCTAAAACGCTAAAGCGGGACCATTGGCATCCACATGTGCTAATTAGGTGACATCAGTGTAAGTAGAGTAGACCTGCGTGGACACTTTGCCTATCGAGGAACGCGTAACTCCACAGTACTTACGAGTGCGCGCAATTGGGACACCCATTGGCGTCTTTGCCATACACAATACGCGCTAATTTGAACTCTGCAGCTGACGTCATATTAAGCAGCAGCAGCGTTATTGTGGGACGCAGATCCCGTATGGCAGAAGTGCTGATGAGCATACTTTGCGCACGCTCGGAGATGTCATAGAGTTCCGAATCCCTCGATAGGCAAAGCGTCCATGCAGGCCTACTCGGGCTGATGTCACCTAATTAGTGCATGTGGCTGTCGATGGTGCTGCATTGTCGTTTAAAAGCAATTTTTTTACGGCTTCTTGAACTCTTTTTGTTAGAGTGCCTCACATACATACAAGAGTACATTAAGAATCCCATGTCCTCTTTTGAGCAGTTTATGTTGTAAATGCTTCAGCTTGTTTATGAAACGCTAGGTCAATGCTCATCTTAATGTGTATGTGGGGTTGTATTGTTTAGTGCCGTCATGAAGTGTCCATGGTTCATTTTGACAGGTGCTCGTGTTCGTCGGGTAAGCATCGACCCGTTGTACCAGTCCTGTGTCTGGGCTGCCGTCGAGGGCAACAACGAGGTCTCACTTTGGGACCTGGAGACACAGGCTCGGCTGCGCACACTTTGGGCAAGCATGTCTCCACCACTCAGTGAAAAACAGGTGCGTTCATGAAAAAAAAAAAGAAAAGGCCCAAAGGCTCTCTTGAAAGTGCATGTACTTTCTGATGCAGCAATTCAGCGGCTTTGGATCTACAGATACACTGCTAATAATGAGTTTGCAGATTAAGAATACTGGCTGCAGCTTTCACATTACAATGGGTGTGGTGCACAAGAAGACCTGTGCACCTGGTATTTAAAACTTCAGTGTGACTGAAACGACGACATGAAAAAAACACTTAGCTACCCATTTCAAGGTGTAACTGTTCACTTTGATTCATGTTTTTGTTGAAAATTTGAGGCGTTTTCAGTTAACCTGCATCTTATACAGGTCTGCAAATTGAATAGGAACATATAAATCCCCTAAATTATATTTTTCCTTTTGAAAATCTTTGATTGCCATGCAAACATCTTAGTTAAATCACTAGTGCCAAGCTCTAGTGATAGGACACGAAAGTTTATGCTGAAGTCCTTGCCTCAGAATTGCAATCTGTGCTTGTCTATGCCAGCATGTATGGCTCGTTCGTAGGTTGGGATCTTGCGTGCGTACAGTGAATCATTGCTCCACTTTGTTAGCACTACAGAGCATGGCAATAAGGTGTGCTTGTCTTTTGTGGTCCAGGCATCCTCATCTGCACCTGTGAACTCTGTGTACAGCATGTACATCAGTCCCCTTGAATGTGGGCCGTTTATGCTGACAGCTGGCTCGGACATGCGAATCCGCCTCTGGGACATCAACAACCCACTGGCATCGCACGTCGTGGCAGGTTCGGCCACGGATACCTTGACGCCATCCTTCAGCTACAAGTACGTCCCAGTACCTTGTATGGCTGCCGTCGAACCACTTTTGTTGGTTATTGGCTTTGCAAATCTCGCTAAGTTTTGCAACCTTGATTTTGGCTATTCTATGCTACTTGCCTGCTGGATCACCCACAGTGCTTAACCCTTAGGCGCCTGGTTTAAATTAGATATACTAATGGAACAGTGCAAAATGTTGGGGCATTAATATTCTATTTATGTCTATGAATATAATGACATATTTTGCCAGAAGGTTAGCAGTTGTAGTAGAAAATACACTTGCATTGATAATTTTGTTGAAGTGCATCACATGTTTAGCTGAATATTTTCTCTCCAGCTTTTCTCCGTGCATAGCAGTCTATAGCAGGGGCGGCGCCAGGGGGGGGGCAAGGGTGGGCTGGGGCCCCCCCAAAATTCTCGCCTGCCCCCCCTATGCCCACCCAAGTGCCCGGAAGCATATATTGAAAACCTAGTAGGAGCAGAGCTAGCTTGCCCCCCCGGAGGAACTCACTTTTCGTGGTTGCCCCCCCCCAGTAAAAACATCCTGGCGCCGCCCCTGGTCTATAGTAGTACGTAGTATATGTGCGGCACTTCAATGTTCCTTCAAAAACTAAGAAATTTGGAAAGGGCTCACTTAGAAAATGCACTCTCCCACACAACGGAGTTTGCCATGTCATTGTTGTCACTATGTAGCTGTGTAATGAGAATGCCACCTTATTTATGTGGCATTCTCATTATAATAATATAGCGAGTGCCATTTTTGAGAGAGGAAATAGAAGCATGCCGGATGATTATTGTGTGACGGATTGATGCCCAAATATTCCATTTTTTCTCTTTTGAAAATGCTGTCTCGTAGTTGCAGTCAAAAATGGGGCACGTGTTCTGGTGCAAGCACTGCCAAGTGCTGAAGTTCAACCTGCGGCCGCCCAACAGAGCATATCTGCTGAGTGATTGCACCAATCTGTCTTTCCAGGTCGAGTCTCATAGACGGGACAAAAGTGATCCAGGAGGTGCACAGCAGTCGTCCGAGAAAGGATCAGCCCAGCTCGGAGCAACCCAAGCGTTATCCCGAACAGCCACCGACCGGCCACAATGACTGCATCAGCGACATCGGCATTGTACAGACGAGCCAAACGTTCATAGTATCCGCATCCAAGAACGGCGTTGTCAAAGTGTGGAAGTGACTGCACTGCGTGCATTAGGCAGAGAGGCAACCTTCCTTCCGTCTTGTGTGTGCAAAGCTTGTGTGTGAATGGAGCTGTCACAGCATCATAGTGCAGGGGAGGTTCCATGTGCTGGGTTGTCGTAGTAAGTTGTTCTGGTGTGCTTTAAGTTATTCACTGTTTGCTGCGGAAGCACACTTGTTCATTCGAGACTGTTGAGCGCACCTCGCTTGTAACGGCAAGGCATGTAATGACGTGGGTTTCAGAGACCTCTCATGTCTCAAGGCAAGTGTGTGTTGAACAGACATAATATCCGTGATACCCGTGTGTGTAGGGCGAATTGAATGACATGAGTAGATTCCCAAGGATTCAACCACAATGTCACTTGTGAGCTGCTACGTTGACTAGTTTTTTTTTTTTTTTTTTTTTTGCCAAAGCAAAAGTCTGCACATTGCTGTACAAGTGCTGAGCATATTGCTCGTATTAGCCAACATATATGTATATCTAGACACAAAATGCTTTTCGTAAGCTAAAATTCATGCATGAAACACTCCTATTGATATTTAGAAATGTTGCATTTGTAACTGAGCAGCAATCAATTTTGAAAGCCGTGATTGCTGTCGCCACATTGACGACAGCATGCATTGTCGTGCCATTCATTTAGGTTATATGCGCACATGAGAGCAGTTGATACGATAGGCAATGAATGCTATTATTGTCAGAGTGCATGTGATACAGGGGTAGTAAATGAAAAACTTGGAGAGTGTTTGCAGTTATGAATGATATCTACAAACCACAACTGTGTACATACGTATAAACTTTATTTTACAGTTTGAAAACTAGAACTCTGTACATTTTATTTTAAACTGAACTGCCTTGAAAGTATTACGGTTAATGAAAAGAGCATCTCAGCCCAAAAACAAATGTTATTTAAAGCATGAATGGTTACTTTCTGTATGTTTGAACCTGCCTGTGAAGTCTTCCTGGCTTTTGATTGCCCGTCTGTGTGGGTCCCTCGAATTTAGCCATTTTAATTTGAAAAAAAAAAAGGAAACCGATAAGCAGACAGATATACGTGGAATCATTTAGTAAAATGCCTTTATTGTACTTCGGCTCCCCAAACATTCTTTTTCCCAACGCTTTCACAGTAACATTAATTACATTCTTCACGCACATGGTGCTTCCTACGCTGTCTCCATGTACTATTCTTATAAAGTTGTGACATTAAAAGAAACATTTGTTCCCAAGTTTGAAAAAAAAAATATATATCACAGCGACGTCTTTGCCTCTGGGGACAAAACTCTTTGGCTGTGCTTGATCACACAGAGCCCTTGAGATCCTGGATAGTCTTCTTTTTCAACGCTGAATCACCTCTGACTGTGGCTGCTGGCACACATGCCGAAATTCTCTCTTGGACAGGCTGGTACTGTAGACTCTCGTTCAATTGCCTTGGGCTCGTGTAATTTTGTATGAATTATTGAATGCTCGAATAAGGTGAATGTAACTGGAATATTGCTTAACAGGTGAGTAACTGCATACACACAGATCAGGTATGCTTCGTACCTATCATATATATATATATATATATATACATATGAAAGCCAGACTTGAAGCTTTCACATGTTTCGGCGACTCGTGTGTGTTTTTCCAAGGGAGTCTTGATAACGGAAACAACGCTAACTGTTATTTGACCAAGCTGTTTTCTGTACTTATTTTTTGTCCGGATATAACAACAAAGTGGAAAAAAAACTTTCTTGACCTATTTATTACCGAGAGTCTACTTTATGCAGCAGCATCTGTACTTGCCCCCCCCCCCCCAAAAACTAAAGAAGAACATCCAGCACATTCATTTGCATAATTGAGGGGAACTGCTGCTTGCAGCCTTTCACATAAGTTAACAGTCTGATTATGCAAGTTCATGACAGCTCTATTCGCAATGCAAAAATTGTTTGGGAATGTCTAACTGAGGGAGCACATTCTAAGCGAGAAAACAACATGCAGTAGCCTTGCATGGCCTAAGGCAATCATTCACAAAGTAGGCAAGTGAATTGTAAACGATGAGGCATTGCCATGAGGAGGTGACCACGACAAACATTGAACTCAATACAATAATAACCATTTTGACTCTTCTGCTTGTCTAAGCCACAGGTGATGGCACATCATGCCAGACGGAACTTGTATGTTTTGAATCAAAATAATTCAATAATGATCATGAGTCTAGTGGATACTAAAGCTGCTAAAAAAAAAATGTAACTATATGAGATACAAACTGCACATTTTCAAGAGACTTCAGCTATAGAGACGATGTGTAACTAAACAAATTTTGGAAGTTTCATGCAATTCAAATAATCTTGAAAAGAATATTGCTAATAAAATAAGTTAGAAGGGTTGTTTAAGACAGACACAGGAGTGCAACAGCCAAAATAGAATTTGGAGGAATTTTCGGAGCAGCAAACTTTTACTTTTGGAGCCCTAAAATGCAAATTTGGAGCAGGATCCAGAAAAAAAAAATCATTTTTTGTCACGATGGACGAAATTTGGAACAGTATAAAAAGAGTATTATATTTTAAAAAAAAGTATGTACGAACCATTCAACATCATCTTAATTGTGCAGAGTGCACTATTATTGCAATAAAACATTTTTGAGCCACCCCACTGAGCAAAAAATGATAAAGTCCACATTAGCTTAGCCGCATCTTTCAAATAATTTGATAGACTTTGCGAATACAAATGTGGATTTGTCAAACTGGCGACCTTGAAAATAGGGGAATTTGTAAAGGAGTAGGGGTGGCAAAGACACGAGTAATTAAACAAAATGAGCTGTTTCCGTGACAAGTGCTAAGAACCCGTTCCATACGCAGTACACTTTCCCGCAGAGCATTAATGTACTGCGGCGAAGGTCGCTTAAACAGTGTTCTGCACAGGTTCGAGCAAGGCCAATAAATTTTCGAACACCGATACGCCCCCTTCCCCCTCTCGTTTTCCCCCCACGATGGGGTTAGGTTTAGGCCACAACTTCTTGGATAACTTGAAAGACGCGTTTTACCAGATAAAGTAACAAAGGCACACGCTAGTTGATCTGGTATTTAATATTAGTGCTAAAAACCCTTTCCGGATCAATATGCTTTCCTGCAGGGCACTAATGTACTGCGGTGAAAGTAGCTTAAACAGCATTGTGCATAAGTTTGAGAAGGCCAAGAAATTTTTGAACACCGATATGCCCCCTTTTCCCTCTCGTTTTCCCCCCATGATGGGGTTAGGTATAGGCCACAACTTTTCAGATCACTTACAAGCAGCGTTCTATCATATAAAGTAACAAAGGCACGTGCCCGTCGATTCAGTATTTTATATTTATCGCCGAGACGATGCAACTAATGCAGCTTAAATACAGAAAAATGTTTTCTGTGCTTTTGCTATAGCAACCAAAGTGGTCAAAACACCGACGTTCGCAGCACGTCGACTTTGTTCGTGCACAATAAACGCGGTATGCGCTTCCAGCTCTAGCTGCTAACATGCCATAGCTACGTTTGCCAACTAGAAAGTTCATATTTCCCGCGAAGCGTTGGTGGCCAACGCATTTTTGTCTAGAAGTTGCGTCGTCCCACCGATTGGTATCCGCTGCGGTCAGCAAACAAATGGGTGTGCGGCTTCGTTACTTTAGCTCGTCGATCGCGTCTCGCGAGTGCCCTGACTTAATGAGAATGATGATGACGCAAACTGCAGGTGACCAATGTAGCCTCTATTTGTCACTGAAGTTAGCGCGACTGAGAAAATTTTGAGGCTGGTTAGGCATTTTGGCACAGCGTGGCTCAATTTAAGCAAATTTCGTGGTTTTGACGCAGCTCAGCACAGAAATAAAAATTTTTATCAAATTGGCACAATTGGCGCAGCTGTTGCACCCCTGGCGACACATCTGACATCATGCTCACAAGCTCCCATCACATGTTTCACGTGGCACTTCCTTCGTTGGAAAAAAAGGCAACATATTAAAGATTTACTGGCACAATCTGCACAATATTTTTTTTTTCTCGCCCGAACATCATTTTCACAAAGTACTATACGCCTTTATGTAAATGTATACAAACTGCTATGCCTAGATGATGGCTGTATAAAGCACTAAGAGGGAGCGTAATTGATTCTACAGTAATCATAAACCACTGATATCTACATGGAACAACAACCTACTAACAGGCAAGAAAACAATCAGCAATCATATGAATACAGTTATTTTTATACACAGAAAGTGCTCACAGTGGCACCTGTTTCTAAGGCTAAAGATTGTGATGCGAACTGCGATTTCTAAAAGCACAATTCATCAGCTTTCACGAATACTAGAACATCTCTTCAGAACTTCAACACTTATTTCTAAGCCGAAGCTCTCGACATCAAATGCACTCTGCTAACGTAATCACTAAGCCTCGGCCACATACAAAACATCTCTCTGATCCACAATCTCAAAACATTCGAGTCCCCAGGCACGCGTATAACTGAACTTTCGAATCCTGTGGCATCAATCAGCTGAGCAATCAGGTGACATACCTCGTGCAAACAATGTAAGCGTTACATCGTTACTAGACCACTGTTATAAAAACAAACACGTCTGTCCATCTTCAAAGAAACATTTTCTCTCATGCAGTGTAAATGCACACCCCAGGAACATGCCTCTGAAAGACTTGCAACAGTGATCTCGACTATAGTGCTAATAATAACAGTCATTTGAAAAGCTGGCTGATGCAGTGCAGGCCTGATGCACTGAGAATTTGAAAAAAACTGCAAACACATTCGCATATAAAAGCTGTTGCATAAGCACAGGCAAGGAAAAAAAGCACGCAAACAATACACGCAACACACTGCGTGTGCACACCTTGCACACTGTTTCAACAGATCGTAGTTTGGCTTTACAAAGGAAACGCCACAGACAATGACAAACGAACGTGAATGTTACCAAACACAAATCAGTACACAAGCTGAATGTGTGGTAGCAGAAAAGCATTTTGTGCCCATTATTGTCACTGAACAAACGAGAAAACACGCACATAATTCAACAGCCAAGAGTGAAAACGTGTCGTGCACTGCTGCCTCTCATCTAACCGAGGTACACATGTCGAGTGTTCAACGGTAGCAAGATCAACTAACACGCACTTGTACACTGCTCAATCAACACTGCTGCAGTGTTCGTAAATAACATGGGAACATGACCTGGGGACAACGGCTCTGTTGTATACATAGATCATTTTGGAAATCTGTCGTCATAGCGAACGCAGCTGTACAACGCCACTTCAAAGGCAGCTCCGTTGCGGCAACCCTTTAAGGGAGAAACACACAAAACTTCGAAACCAGCAACACTGGGCTAAAGTAAATCACTAAAATTACAAATTCATTAATGTTTCACCCTTTGATAGCAACTTGGACAGTGTTCAAACAATACTGGCCAGTCTTGGATGGTGAGTGATAAGAATGAAACAAAACAGAACAAAAATTGCAATACTACAGCTTACATTGCAATGTGCTGGAGCATTTAAAGTACTGCCTCGTAGAACATGGCCTCATAGTGTTCAGTGCATCGCAGTGTTCCAAAGAGAAAAAAAACATACAGATATATACTAGTGACCCGTGTCAGCAGGGCTACACACCTCTTGAGCAGTTGGACAAATGCTTAGAAGGAGGGCTGTAGTACTCAACAGATGGTAAATATCGATTTTTTCCTTTCTTTTGCAAACAACAACAATAATAATTATTAAAAGAAACGTTGCACTACAACAACAACAAATGTGGTGTTTTCTCACTCCGTATGCTTGCTTGGCTGGCGACGTAGTTTCTCCGGATTGTTGGACGCCATGTGCGAGAAGTCGCGGACAACATCGATGAAGGTGTCATCACCTGCGAAGCAGATGTTGGGAAAAATCCTGTGATGCGCATGTTAAGACAACTGCGAGTGCAGATGCAGTTGGCAACAGTGCCAAGCAGCAGAGCCTAGATAATCTAGCACCATAAAAAGTTTGCAGCAGAGCCTAGATAATCTAGCACCTTAAAAAGTTTGCCTAACTCAAAGCATATAGTTCTCAGCATGTACATGCCACTGGCCACTTGTCTTGCATTGGGAAGACTAATTTTTGATTAGTCAAATTTCTATTCAATATCTTTAATGTGCATGAACTACTGCATACTCTTTTGAACTCTTGGCACGAAAAACTTGCAACAGTTAACTTTATGTATTGACACATCGGTTTTTAAACTTAAGCAGACACTTATGATTCGAAGAAAATAGGAGGAGCAGAAGAGATTCCAAAGAGGTTATATACTGCAGTTGAAATAAAAAAGCTTTGTCTTCAGTGGGAATTTTGAGAACCTACCTATCTTGTCGACGAGTGTCAAGGGAGGAGCTAAGATCGGATGAGAAATATAAGATTTTGAGATGTAATAATGAAGCTCGCACCAATCACATATTTTGGTAACTTTTGTACGAGCAATAGCTTTCGTAATGCAGGTAAATCAGCTTGCAGGCACAAGAATGCTGAATGCCTGAAGTGGCAATATTTAAGAGGACAAGCTGTCATATAACCAAGGACTACTGGAATAAGTTAATCTTGCTATCATACTGTGCCTATCCATTTAGCAAGAAACTTGTGCACCTAAGAGAAATAAAATAACTTAAATATGGCATATAAAGCACCTAATTTGACTAGATATACTAATGCATCCCCTCAACCCCTCACCTTGGAAAGAAAACCACCCCATAAAAAGAGCATTGCTCTTCACAATACCTTCAATACCCCATCCCCACAAAGCTCGGCTGAGATCTTTTAAGTAGTTTGACAATTGCTAATGTATTGGAAGACTGACCATAAATATTGATCTTTCCCCTAGTGTAAACTGCGTAATATGCAGCAGCTGCTCTCTATATGAAAGAGAGATTGTCCACGAATGTACAACTAGCTTATTTAATGAGCAAGTCCAAAGCTGCCATCCACTCTAGAATTGCACACCCATGTGTCCTCATTACGCAAATGCACGACACAGTGCCTCGCAACCGTTGTTAAATACTTTGGCATGACATCGCGTGTTCAATTAACATAATGCATACCCACAGCGCACCCTGTTACGTTCGCAGTTGGTCCCATGGGTCAGTTGGTCCCATAAGATAGGTGACATAAGGGTCACCTATCGTCATGCCATACAAATAAAGTAATATGAGCCTATGGGTACTATTACGTGATGCTTGCATTCACAATTTCAATTAAAAAGTTATAGAAACCAAAATTTGTGGTTGCATTAAGCTCATGCGAATTGAGCATGGATTCTCTATACAAGTAAGGCTGACGACAGCTTAGCACTTGTCGATGTCTCTCGCCACCTTGTTGAGAACATTTACACTATTAAACAATCCTGCCACGCTGTTAAGCCATATGGTCTAAAGAAATCATTTGAAAAAAAAAAAACAGCAGTGTGTCGAAACAAAACTTGCGGTAAGCACACCAAGCTCTGGGAGAAACTGACACAATTTTTATTACAAAATAGGTTGCAATGTCATTCAGCGAGCAGCAGTGCCCGATCCCCGAAAGCAGACGCGGAAGATTTAAAAAATTTTGTTGCACGAGTCACATTACTTCAATATTGTCCATCGCTCATGACGTGCTGCGACTTAAGTCGAGGTCCCATAGCCTTTTCGAGTGACGGGTGCAAGCTAGAGAGGCAAGAAGTGACAAGGCGCTTCCCCTTGCGACTCTTTCCACGACGACCCGACGAAGTCGATGACTGTCCAACGGCTGCTGCTGCAATGGAGATGGCAACAACGCACAACTTCAGGAGAGAGGATGTGGAGGGGAAACTGGCCTCGAGGTGATGGCGAGGTTAAGATGACAGGGCGGAAAAGGCTGGATGGTGAGGATGATGCGCGGCCGCCGCCAAGCCCATGTGCAGAGCGAGAAAACTGAGCCAATGACCATACAAGAGAGGGGTTGCAAGTGTTGAAATCAAGGAAGAGAGAGAACAAAAACATATGAAGCCAAGTCTGACCTCGAATTGAGGACATAGCATACTCAGCTGTCGCAATCTTCAAAGCCTTTCAAAAATAAAGACTAAGAGAATCAGTAAGTCCATGCGGAAAATTTTTTTACACAGTGAGTAGGCGAACGGTAAAAGTTCCTAGAGAAGTGCAGCGATTAATATTCGACACATGCCATGAAGCAGCACTCAACAATGTGTGGAGTAGGGCAATCAATGCAATTGATCTAAGCAGAAAGATAGTGCTAAAGCTTAAGGCGAGTTTTAGGAGGGACCTTGAAGTCACTGAACCTTCTTAGGAGGTTAGGTTTTTTTTTTTTTTACCTGTGCTAGGCATCTAAAAATGTGATTTTTCAATATTCATGGCACAATACTCCAGCATTACTGATAAGTGTTTCCACGAAGTGGGGAGCTTTAATGCGCAATGGAAAGCGTTTGAAAATGGCCCCTAATGCACATAATCCCGTGACCGCACCACGGCAACTAACTTTAACTGGCGCTTTTCCGCACACTACTTTTAGTCAGAAAAGAATCATTTCCTCTGTAACCGCTGAAGCTATCAAATGCAGACTTCTGTGACTTCTTTCTGAATACCATGCGTCCTTTCTGAAGCAAAAGAATGTTGTTGCCATCAGAATGGTATTTTTTACTAAAGTTTTTCTTCATGAAAAAAGCCCCAAGTTCTAGTAAAAAAACATTTATATTTTCTTACTAATGAATAGCCATGCCTACAATTATTATTTGGTTCAGATGGATGCCCTTGGCACATATAGCAATTAGAAGAGATTTCACCATTTTAGATGAAAATTATGTTTAACAAATGTTCCTTCAGAAATAAAAATGATAAAATGATTTACTTTTATTATTTTTAGAATGGCTTTGTATTTCCTCGCCAAATTCACAAAACAGAGTAAAATCCCCAATCAAGCAACTTCCGAAATTTCATAAAGGTTGCTTTAAAAATAACAGACTATGGGCAGTAGTAGTTGCACATCTGTCTGTTATCCATTCTTGTTAATTTATTCTGGCCTAGCAAAACAGATTCTTCACTGCAGTTTAGTCTCAGAGAACCCTGGACCTCACAGGGAACTAATAAGGGATTGAGCTGAAGGTATTGCACAGGAGATGAGGTAACGTTAAGCAAGAAATACCAGCCAATGAGCTACATGAAGTGTATAAGACGGGCAAACCTTTCCCTCAATGTTCATGAAGGCCACTGAATGTTCCGGCCAACAGTAGAAACCAGGATATTAACCTGTCACTTCAAAGAGATACGAGACCCCAACTTACATATTAGGATGAGTCGTTCACGAGGCCGTCATTATTAGGCAGGCGGTTAAATATAAGTCAGCCATGATGACATGAAACAGATGAATATCGAACACACAAAACAAGTACGCTTAAGAGCAAACATGATTTACGAAAAGTTGGCTACTGACATAACACACAAACACAAAAAAATACAACTTAATTAGCACAGTGCATACAACTGTGAGCAGTTAAAAGTGAAAACACATTAGCATATTATATGCCCTAATGTGGAGGCTCCTAGTAAACTGGCAGCATGAGAGTGGACATAGCACATGCAAATTGGCTGAAGCAATCTTACCTCATCGTTTAATGCAATTAAGCACATCATTCATACTTCATCAATGCATAACAACAACACGGTATTTTACTTCACCAACTGTGTGCACTGCGAGAAAAACTAATGCTCATGTTGCATTTGTTATGGCCCTGCCTCATATCACCCCTGCCGGTAAAGATAGCTGCGTGCATGTGTCAGAGAAGAGTCTTGGTTATTGTGTGTTGATAATCCTTCACCTATACTTCTATTCCTCGTTGTCGCTTGGACGGCATCATCATCAGTTTAGGGCAAAGGCCACTGCCATGTTTTGCCAATCAACCCAATCCTGTGCTTGCTGTACTCACGTTACGCCCACAAACTCCTTTCTCTCACCTGCATCTGCCAACCCAACTTTCTGCCTCCCAGCTGTGCACTCACTCTCCCTTAAATACAGCCCGTTACTCTTAATTAACAGTAGTTATATCATTTTGGTGCTACATGTCCTGCCCTGTGCACGCCCATTTCTTTTCGATTTTGACTACGATGCCCTTAACATCTGCTTGTTCTCTGACCCACTCTGCTGCCTTCTTGATCCTTAGGGATCACTTCTCTGTCCATGATTTACTGCATTATCCCCAATCAAGTTGAATTCAAGTTGAATCCTCTTTGTAAGCCTTCACTTTTCTACAAAGCAGGTAAGCAGCAGTGAGGGACAGGTGTTGCATATTCTCTTGAGGGATAGTAGTAAACTACCATCCATGATGGTGGAAATTTACCACTAACCCTCAGGAGAATGGTATAACAGCTGCATAATACAGGGTGATTGGACACAAGAGTTTTTCATTGCGTTCTCTTTTCTGCCAGGTCAACACGATAAACAGCTTTCACATGCAACACACGAAGTTTCCAAAATGAGGTATAGTGTGCGTTTCACCACCATTGTTTTACTAAATGCTTGAATACCAGCCAAGAGCGTACTGCCATTGTCTCTCGTTTTCCCCTTCTCACTCCTATCAGCAGCTAGAACCCCCCCCCCAAGGCGGCTACGCGGGTAATGCTAATGCTGCAACAGCGCTCATTTACTCGAAAAATCCAAAGCAGACAATGCGCAGAAGAGAGACTACGATGTCTGCTACACAAACAATGGCACAGAGTCAACCAGGCTTGCAAGAATGAGGCAGGGCATGCTGCATTCCAATAACCTAGTTATGGTGAGTGCTGGTTCATCACCATGATGGACTTTGGCACTTACAACTTGGAGCTGCACTGTGCCGACACAGCATGTGGCTAGATGGCAAAGCAACAAGTGAAGTGCTTCTTGGTGAAACAGTTTTACCTTAGTCGCATAAAATGAGATCTTATCAAAGACACTTTCACCGCAACTTGAGATTATTTAGACAATGCGGTTGGAATGACCGAGATGACATAAAAGCTGGGACACGGTTGCTTAAGCAAACTGGGTCACGATTGCCTCGGCAGATGAACCTTTATTTCATAAAACTGCACCTAGTTCACTCGTAATAAAACGACATGAGTGCTGCTGACGTACACATTATGCAACCTGACAATCACTTATTACTAGCATGCACAGGCAAATTCTTTTTTATGTTCCCTATTTCTTTCTTCTTCATCGTTTTTATTTCACAAGTCTGTTTTGAGTACTGCAGCTTCACAATACAGAAAGCAAGCACAACTGTTCTTTTCTCATGCTTTAACAAAATCAACAATCGCAAAAGCCTGCAAATGGAGTGGTGTGAGCCTAATAAAAGAGAAACAAAGAATAAAAAAAGATAAGCCCTTCATGCCAAGGTTGCAGACCTGGGTTGCCAAACTCATCCCGGCGTATCTCCTCGTTGAGCTTGGCGAGCCTGAGCATGGTGACGATATCAGGGTTGGCATTGTCCACAGCTATCTTGAGTGCTGTTGCGCCATCTTTATCCTCGGAGTGTTGATCAGCTCCGTGCTTCAGTAGAAGGCACACTTGTCTGCATGTGAACAGAATGTGTCAGAAAAAAAAAAACAAAAGAAATTTAGAACTGCACATTCCGTTGTGTTGTTTTCCCTCGCCAATGCATCAGAAAAAAAAAACTAAAAGAATTTAGAACCGCGCATGCTGTTGTGTTGTTTTTCCTCTCCAGCTAGTATATGGTTCTTACAATGCTTTCTCAAAGCAACTATCCCAATGGCACATCATATGAGATAATAAAGGGCTGTGGTTTTTCGTGCCAAACCATGATATGATTATAGGCCCACCGTGGTAGGAAAGTGCTTATTGTTTTCAACCGCTTGGGGCTCTTTAGTGTGCACACAAATCTAGGCACGTGAGTGTTCTTCGCATTTAGCCCCATTGAAATGAGGCTCCTGTTGCTGGAGGTAAAACTTACATCCTTAAGAAACAATACAAATAAAAAATTGTAGGAAACCACAAGGTCAATTGTGAAATTCAAGCAAGACAAACACTGCGAAGTAGCAAGCACTGGTTTGAATGGGAAGCTCCATCTAGCTAAAGCATATCGTTACAAGAAACGTTGTATAATGGAAAGAACGAGCTGCAAATAGACCTTGGGGCTTAAATGTTTGACCAATGGCACTCAAGCACGAATGAACTGATTGCTCGTTCGGGACAGTCAACAACTGGACACTGTCATGGTGGCGAATGGCACAAACATCTGTCTCACTGAAAGCGATGACGATGCTGTCGTTCACAGCTATGGCAAAATTACGGCAGGTGCATACCGTCTTGCGCTGTAATAGCCGTACGACAATTTGATCATTTTCTTGTTCACAGCTCTATTACTCTTCATCTGGCATTGCTGCTATATTAAGTGTAGTTGCGACTTATTCCAGAAGAAGCAGGTCACTACAGTGTCAGATGTTGCTAGTACCACATAAAATGTGCAGTGGGACATCACTCCTGCATAACATTTCAACATGAACGATTAAGCCAGTTCACCCGAACCGGAATGGTAATTTATACTCAGGTTTCTTTTCTCTGCACATGGTTCATACTCGTTTACGTGACAAAAAGTGAAGGGTCTTCAAAGACTTTTAAGGCTATGCGTGCGAATTTTCAAGGACCACACTGTCTGTTAGAAACTCAATTAACGTGGTTCTTGGGAGGATAAAAGCTTGAAATAACTAGGATTAATAGAAAAAGGGTAACATCACAGGAGTGGACATCAATAACATGAACTGCAATGAAATTTTTTTTCTAGACAACTTTCAGTATGACACAAGTTCCAAACTTTTATACGGATAGGAAAACTAAGGAAGAGTTATCATGCAACGCCTTATTGCTTTCTCTAGATTTTCTTATCAATATCCACTATCTCCTGCTGCTTGGTCTTGGCAGTCTTGCTAAGGCTGTTTGACTAAATGATGCACATCAAGTATCTGATTGTCTCTGCCTTTTCTGCTGTAGCTGTCAATTTCTCCACAGTGGCTTCTAGATCCCTTTCCTTTTTTGTTAGCATTCCGAAGTCCTCCTCAAAGCAACATCTTTTATTCTGCTTCTTATCCTCCTACTCCTGCCTTTTCCGAGTTTCCAGGAATGCACGGTGTTGGTTCCGTGTGCAGAAGCTACCAGTGTTATCAGTTCTTTTGTGATGGGCGCATTACATTACCACCTGCTACACTTATGGCATCACAAATAATGTGTTGTGAGATGCGAGACAATACGTATTCAAAGAAAAAAAAAATCAAGGGTTTTCAATTACTTGCGAAAATTCCAGCACTTTCAAGGCCTTGAAAATGAACTTTTAAAATTCAAGGGTTTTCAAGAATTTCAAGGACCCGCATGAACCTTGTCTGCAGCAGCTACTGCACGTGCCATTAAAATGAATTCATGGTACTTATGCTTTATGAAGTTACCACCGTTGTTTTAATCCCTTGCATTGCTATAGCTGGAAGAACCTGAAGCTTTACATGAAGTCTATGCCATTAACTATACTTTACCAAGCCATACACAGTACTTCAGATCGCTAGTTTCCATACTTTACCAAGCCATACACAGTACTTCAGATCGCTAGTTTCCATTGCTATGCCAGTAACATATGAAAGAAGGTGTAACGGCACAGTGAACGCACTCAAGGTAAAATACGTAAAGCACATACAAATAAAGCACGTGCAAACATGCAAATTCGAGAGAAAATGAATTGTACGACACCCTGTGTTCCCCAGCAGCGTAGAGATGTGGAGGGGCGTGCGCTCATTGTCATCAGAAATATTTGATTTGGCACCATTCAGGAGCAAGAACTCGCAGGCCATGATAGAGCCCTGCAGGCGAGAAACAAAGGTAACCACTGATGCACCATGCCTGCAGATACTTCAGCACTTGACCAAGAGATTGTTACGTGGGCTCGATTTCTTCAAGTTCAAAAACTGAAGTAAATTTCTAGAGAAGCGGGAACCAATCGCAAGCATTTTTAGACTTGCCAAGCCTGGTACACATCTAATAACTACACTTTATTCACAATGATTATTAAAGGCATGCTTCGAGCAGTCCCACAGCTATTAATATAGTCAATCCCCCAATCCCCCTCTTTTTCACGCAGATTGCATAATCAGTTCAGCTTCATGCGCATATACGGGTCAACTAATGCATTCAATTCATCACCACTGCCTCGGGCCGTTCGTCTTTGGAATGACCTCCCTGATTGCATAGCCTCCATATCTAATCCCGATACATTTCGCCGTCAGCTACTCACTCTGTTCACCATGTGACCCTGTTTTTGTATTCTGAGTGCATTGCGTAACGATGCTTTATATTCCCCTTGTCTTTTATTTTAAAATGTATCCCTCTGTCGCCATGTTCATATCAACAAGTGCTGTATTCCCTCAAATTTACCTCGCCCTGTATAGCCTAAAATGTGATCTCATTTATATATATGTATAGTTTTTCGTTGTTTTTGCACTGATCCTGCCTGTAAACGTTACCTGTCTGTACCATTCCGATTCCTCCCCCCCCTTACCCAATGCCCTGTTCTGGGGCCTGTAAGGTTTTTTTTTGAATAAAGAATATATATATTGAATAATTGGCTATATCAAAAACTTTAGAAATCCCCTTTAATTTCCCATTCATAACTATGGGACCGTTGCACCTGTATATAGAACTCCTGCACAACGGGTTACGCACTATATCGAACGCTGCGCCGCACCGAAGCCCAAAAAGTGCAGTTTTCTTAGCAAGTACCGATATATTTTCGGCCGCCTTCTAGAAAGTTTCAATCCCTGTTTGCATGCGGGTGACGAAAAGGTGGTGTTATTCTATCGTGCTGATCTGGTTTGTCGCATAGCCCTTGCGAGTATACGGGTATGTTTGATGTCCAATATGCAGGTCCTAACACACAGACATAGTGTTCCTTAAAGAGACCAATTGCCGAGGACACCAAAATAAGAATGTGAAGTGACTCGGCGATCTCGTTCTAATGTTCACATTTTCGTCCTTGTTTGTTAGTGCACAATGGCATGCAAACGTGAAAAGAATGGCTTAGATATGTTCAACCTCGCAACATATTTAGTGATTTCGGTTTTAAAATGCATGTCTCCGAGGCTATGCCTTTTTTAGCTTTTTGCATTAAAGCAGCTGAAAGCAATGACTGCCAGCTAAAGAGCCACAAATGACATCAATATCGCCAACATGCCACCGATGGGAACTTGGCTAGACTCGGCGGTGTCTTTTGCGCCTTGTGGACTTGTGTACTTCTCACCCCGTCCACGATGAATCTTCATTCGGGAGTTGAGCAGATCGTTGACAGGCACGCAGCGATAAAAATTATGAACAGCATTTGGAGCGACGTCAAGTAAAGCACCGTCGTAAACTTTGCTAGCGGGCCAGGTGACGACTTCGGGTGCGTCATGACCGCTGACAATAAGGTACGGTGCCTCAGTAAATTGGCCACTTATCAGCATTTCCGGGCATAGTCTCGGACAGTGAACGACTTCATCGGTGCAGATGACGACGTAGCCCTTTCGGACTGCATCGATGTCAAGATTATGGCTGCCATTGTCGGTGCCATGGAAGTGTACCCGTACGGTTATGAATATGATAACGCCTTTGCTACTTCCGCTAACCAACCTTTTGCCGCGCTTCAAAGCTTGCATCGGCGCTCTGCATCAATCAATGCTGCTGTGGCTGAAGGATCTGAATTCGCTTATTTTAAAAGCTTCAGTGATATTGAGGATGACTGAAACTTGATGGCGCACAAGAAGCAAGAGAAGTTTATGGACTGTTTTCATGTCAAATAAAGTGCGGTACCTTGCGGTTCACCCCTTGTTCTTCATTATGCTGTGAGCGAATGGTTATGTTAGGGCTTATAACGATTTCCAAGGCCAGCAATCCTTTAATTTAGGTATGAAATACGCATATTTTGTGTTTAGAATTATCAATATATCAAACTATTTTGCGATTCCTTTCGAGTTCGATATATCCAGGATCGACTGTAACTGAAAAGGTTGCATCGACATTGCTGGGAAAATAAGAGGCAGCAATAACGAAGAGAAATTCAAAACGAAAGACTTCACCAGTCTAAATCCAACCACTAGAGGCTCCAATTAGATGGCATAAAAATTTTTTACAGAGCACATACTAAAAAATATTTACAGCTGCAGTCATGCTTGCGAACTTCACTACAGAATCGATGTGGTTACAAACTGGTAGGTTAACATTACGATTACTTAGTTTATTCTATAGCATCATTATGTTTCAACCGCATCAGAGAAGGACAAAAGAAAATTTTTGAGCCTTGAGGCAAGGAGTTTATTTGCACTGTGAAAAAATTTGGTTGTGTACTGTATTTCCTCGCATAAAACCTATCTCCGCATCTAACCTGCATCCCCTCTATTTAAGCAATTTTTTCAAATTTTTTATGGCAGGACATATGCGAAAAAATATGGTATACTAGAAAAAACAGGCGGTTAGCATTGTCACATTTTAGCAACCCACAAATTAGTACTTTGATACAGTAGCTATCTGCCTTTCAACTGAATTGTACGCATTTATGCTGGATGCCTATTTCTTTGATTAGTTCAAACTCACACTTTGTATGGCCTGGTGGAGAGGATATCGACCTCCTTCATCCGGATTAGACCAGTTTGGGTCGGCTCCATTCGCCAGGGCAAGACACATAACTGGCAAGTTATGGGCAGCAGCTGCCCTGTAACCACAGCCACAATAACACAACCAAGATGTTTACCGAAGCTCAGAGCAGATGCTTTAACACAAGCTGCACCACCTTAAACAAGTTTTTTGATACTCTGTGAATTCCACATACCGAGCATGTGAAAATTCTGTGAGAACAACATAAAAATAGACCTCTACACAACATTTTTTAACTACTAGTACTACCAATGACCACCTTGAAGTGCAAGAAATTTTGACAAAGAAGTTTTATAGGTAGCATACGTCTCTAATCTAATGTTTTCACCAACTGCACCCTTCTGTAAACACTGAATACTGCGACTCTGAAGATCAGTTTGACAGCATTCACAAAGGTTGTGGAAAGAGTAAACCGTCAACCAGTCATTTGTAGCACAAAGCTACGAGGAAATCCAATGCTCTTTCCTTGTAGCATTGTGCTACATACAAGTGGCTGTCAATTTGCTCCCGTGGAAACAGCGCAAGTCTTATCCTTTTCTCAAAAAAGCTGATGTGTATTCATTGCACAAGTTTACAAATTTGAAAACTGCATGTTGAAAGCAACAGCTGTTCTTCGTAATAACCACATGTTAGCATATAAATTTAAAGCTTAGTCACCAATAAAGCAAAGATGAAGAGTGTACCTGTACAAGAGCAAGCTGGGGCTAAGGTTGGACATGTCTTCTTCCTGGGTAGTGTCTTCCTCGTCCTGTGTCGGCGACTCATCTGCACTGTCCAGCTCCAGCTCTGCACGTGCAGATGAAACAAGAAGGGCACACTATAACTTACAACACCCGTGTACTGGTTACATGACATGCACTATTACACCTCACTGACTTTGCCCTTGTGCCGTCATTTCTGGTCTTCCACAACTGCACCATTAAAAGAATGCTCAGCTGCATAGATTTCCTGCAGATGCCTGCTTTGTGGAAGTGCTTTGTCTATGCCAAATGTGCGGCACAGGCATTATTGAGTGACCATGCCGTTGCAGACAAATCGGTTCTATATGTTAGTGGCCAGGAAAGTCCGCAGCCACACACAGCATTCACTCAGTTCCACTGAAGCTTTCATAAATGTCTTCCAATTTACCTGTGTCACAATGTTGGGGGAAAGCCTAAGAGCTCTCGTCGTAATGAAAAAAGAGAAATTCTGTACAAGATGACCAAAACAGAAAATGGTTGATCCTGCACAAACTATGAATTACAAGAATAACTCAGTATACCTTAATGCATATACAGTGAACTCCCATTAACGAAATTCGGTTAAATGGAAAAGCACCATAAACGAAACTATTCAGGCACATTTGGTTGGTCTTCTATATATTTAATGATAAAGAGTTTCGGGTAATCGGAACATTTTTTTCGCTTACTTTGGTTAAATGGAACTAAAACAGGCAGAATCCATGAATGGCAGAAGTGGCCAGGGCAGTCTAGCAACCATGAAACAAATGCCAAAGTTAGCCTAGCCTAGCCAAGCCAATCCAGCGATTGTTTATGCCGGCGCATGCCGAGCAGCAACCGACGTCTCGTCGTGAACTTGAGGACAGCCTTGAGGAACCTATAGCTGAAGTTCAAGATGAGGACCTGTGCTCAGGTAGAGATTGAGATGGTGTGTGATACCGAGCTCATTTCAGTGGCTGACAGTGCAGCAAGAGATGCTGTCATCCTGTTGCAGCGCTACTTTTAAACACGATGGTGGCACAGAGTTCCTGCCCAGCCTTTCAGCAATGCACTCCTGCTATGCGAGAAAGTACTTGAACAAGGCCGAGCAAGTTGTATCACCTCCTTCTTTCCGAGTCGGCAATATTAGCAACATTTCTTGTTCTAATCAACTATAGTAGTGTTGCATACTTCAAAATGTTTTTGTTCATTCAGCGACAGTTAGTGCTTTTGAAATAAAGTCATATTTCATTCATTTTGTAAGCTTTGCTTAAATAAAACTTCTCATAAATGGAACAAATTTGCTTGTCCCTTCGAGTTGCGTTTAAGAGGAGTCCACTGTAGTATGAAAAAAATTGTAATATAACTACCGTATAAACGCGTGTAAGGGCCGCACCCGTGTACGGGCCGCACCCCGTTTTTATGACGCACATATTCGAAAAAAAAAAATTCGCGTAAGGGCCGCACCCACACTTTCATTAACCCACACGTATTCAAAACGCGCGCGTGCATGCGAGCTTTTGAACGTCGTCAGTAGATGGCGCGAAAAACGCAACCATCATCATCACTATCAAAGTTTACAGCGGTTTACAGGTGCGTCACTAGTATATTTTGTTTAACTTTCTTCGTGCTAAGGTGTTCATAAAGTTTGCTAAATATTTCAACTTTTTTATTAGGGTTCATACGCTCGTTACCTGAAGGTTAAACCGGGATTTTATCCTTCGTGCCTCGCACCACTATACAAACGCGCTCTCGATATCGGCATCAGCATCACCAACTTGTGAAGTTCAGCCGGCCATTTGTAGGAGTTGTGCACGCCGTATTGTCTCTCGTGCTTGTCTTCTGCCGAGTGTTCACGTTGTAGCACGATGGGCAAGCACCTGAATAGTTACACGGCTGGCTACAAGTTAAAGGTGGTGGAGTTTGCGCTCGAGCACGGGAAACGTGCCGCCGGCAGAAAATTCGACGTCGACGAAAAGTGTGTTCGAAGATGGTGCGCACAAAAGGAAGCTCTGGAAAACACGAACAGCAAAAAGCGCGCTTTCCGAGGAAAGCCATGCAAGTTTCCGGAACTAGAAGAAGAGTTGTTCCGATACGTGACAGAAGTGCGGAACGATGGATATGCACTAACTACAGACATGCTGCGCGTGAAGGCACTAGCCTTGGCACGTGCGAAGGATATACCAGCCGGGACTTTCAAGGCTAGCGCTGGCTGGGTGCGACGATTCCTGAAAAGGAAGGATCTCTCCTTTCGGCGAAGGACCACGTTGTGCCAGCGGCTGCCAGAAGACTACACCGATAAGGTGCTTAGTTTTCATAAATATGTCATCGGCCTTCGCCATCAACATAATTATCTACTGTCGCAAATAGGGAACGCAGATCAAACTCCTGTGTGGTTTGACTGCCCGGAAAACTACACAGTCGAACTGAAAGGCAAAAAGAGCGTCGCCGTGCGGACCACCGGCGCTGAGCGCCAACGCTGCACAGTGATGCTTTGTGTGACCGCGGACGGGCGGAAGCTACCCCCGTACGTCGTATTGAAAAGAAAAAGAATTCCGAACGAAGTGTTCCCCAAGGGAGTCATAGTTCGAGCCCAAGAAAAGGGGTGGATGAACGATGACTTGGTGCTCGACTGGGTGAAGTGTGTTTGGCAAAACCGACCAGGAGCGCTGTTAGCCAAACGGTCACTTTTAGTATTAGACAGTTTCCGCGGTCACCTTACCGACAAGGTGAAGGAACAGCTGCGCCGTGTCGGCACAGACATGGCCGTGATTCCGGGCGGCCTCACTGGAATGCTGCAGCCTTTGGACGTCAGCGTTAATCGACCTTTTAAGGTGGAATTCAGAAGGCTGTACACGGAATGGATGGCAAGCGGCAGCCACGAGCAGACGCCGACCGGACGGCTGAAGAGGGCACCGCTTGCGACTGTTCTCGGTTGGGTACTGTCGGCGTGGAACTCAGTCTCGACGGACGTAGTGACCCGAAGCTTTAAAGTCACCGGCATATCAAACAGCTTGGATGGCGCGGAAGATGACTGCTTGTGGGAGGACGGTGCTCCGCAACACACCATCTCGGACACCGAGTCTGAGGACTCGTTGAGCGACGACGATTAAGCACATATGCTGTATGCTGCAATAAACGTTCTTCGTTCGCTAGCTGGTACGTTTTTTTCTTTTGCTTCAAAAAAAAAATGCACGTTGCGTGTATGGGCCGCACCCTGAAAATCGGCCCTCATTTCTTGAAAAAAAAGTGCGGCCCTTACACGCGTTTATACGGTATGTAACTTTTTTTTAATGTATACTATAAGGAGATAAATTTGCATTTAAACAAAAAGACAGGTATCATCAAAAACAAGAAGGTCAAGCAATTCGGCTTAATTCGACCTTGAGCAAAAATAAGAATACATCTCAATACAGACGCCACTCGCAGAGAAGGTAATGTTATGTAAAAGAAAGCTAAGCTGCCACTGTGGTTGGTATTATAAGCAAGCAATGAACAGTAGACAAGTGCTACTAAACCTGCTGCTCTGGAATTTGATAAATCTGTCTTCACACAACAGAGACAAAAATGTGCAACAAACAAAGATACTTATAACTTTTGTAAGCTTCACAAAAGTAATGGTCCCAAACAGTGCATGCTACTCAAATGTAGGCCATATAGTTATAGCGCGAGAACAAAACGACGACACATAGACAAGAAGGACACGAAAGACACGAAAGACACGCTATAACTATATCGTCACGCCATACCAACTAGCCCAAGCTGCCACATTTCAAGTGTAGGTTCATGTTTTGTCCCAATGTTACAACAAAGGGATTAAGGAGTTGATAAAAAAAGACAGTAGCAAGTTGTCTTCATATTATCGCACACTAGGAGCTTTTTTTAGGAGCCTCATTCAAAAAGTTCATGTAAGCTTGCATCATCCTCATATTCAGCACTGTCGTGGCAGTGTTGTGCAGGAGAGTTATCAATACTTGCCTGAGGGTGGCGGCATGGCCGGGACGAGAGACTCCCCGAAGACGAGCACGTCGTCCTCGGACTGGTTGGAGGAACCCTTAACCGCAGCTTTTCCTTCATTGTCCGAAGGGGGCAGAGAGGTGCCTTCCTTCATGACCACGCCACTCTCCTGCGAGGCCATGCTAAAGCGGGTCTCGGAGCCCACAGAGCTCACAGACAGGGTGTCGATGCTGACGGGAGACTTGTCGGCTGGCAACGTGACAGCGCTGCTGTGGCGCCGGGCAACCCCATGAGCAGTGTCCCCTGACAGAAACGATAAACGAAAATATAATCAACAATAGGGCAGCTGTCTGATTGCAGCTTTTTCCTTGGTTTTGCACAACAATGTAGAAAATAAAATTTCACTCCATTCAATTGACTTTACATAGATGCACCAATAATCCTGATACATTTTGCTCCCCAATTGAAAATGTGAGCGAGGAGCCTTTGAAAACTTTCTGAGTCTAGCAAATCTCTGCAATTTCTCGAAAACACCTACACGCCTTGTAAAACTTCACATTTCATCAAGCCCCAAAAGTTTGCACTCAAATGCAACAAGAAAGTTTTGCCTAAACTGATGTGGCAGTGTGCAAGACTGTGTCCCCGCTTATCTGATGCATGTGAACAGAAAAGCAGGCCAGCAAAACCTGGCTTGGGGTGACAATACAACACACACCCGTGTCCGCACGGCGCTGATCTTGGGTGTGAATGGTCCTCCTGCGACGGTGCATTTTGCGAACGCTCCAACGCTGAGGCAGGGTGGCTTTCCGCAGAACCGGTGTCGCAGCTGGCGATGCCCGTAACGCATCACGTGACGGAGATAGGCAGGCCACTGAGCCAAGTAGGGGCTTTACAAATGCCTTCTGCAGGTACTTCGCCTTAATCCAGGCTTCACGGATACTCCTGCGAAAACGTTCACGTGACTGAATATATGTATAAGCTCGAAATGAAAAACTACATCCGTAGAAACGAGTTTTTGGCATTTAAGCGTTATATACACATGCCATCATAACACAGAATCTTCATATGAAACCTTAATGGAAGAAAATAACAGAAGAGAAAAACCTGCTGCAGTCCGGCGTGGCCCTGACAGCTACGTTCTCGTCCACTCGAGCTTCGTAGACGCTGTTGATAACTGTGTTGCCTAGCTCAGCCATCACCTTGAGTATTTCCGGCTCCCAAGTGTCGAGCGTCAGGGAGCGCACCTTGGACACGTGCACGCCCATGCTCCTGGAACACAGTTGAAGGACGCCTTCAACATGTTGCATTCATCACCAAAGAGGATGCTTTGAAAACTGCTGCTTACAATAAGGAGGCGGTGCGTTATCTTGGCTTGTGCAAATAATAAATTTTAGGTTTGAAGTGAATTCAAAGCAAATAGTGGTTTGGTCAGATAATTTAGAATCAAGTTCGAATAGTATACATCACAATTACAAAAAAAAGTGAGCATATTTATCATGACCCTACCAGCCTGCACAGTATATGTATATATATTTTTTAAATTTACACAAGGCATATGCAAACGATTTTTTGTTTGTTTATTGTTTAAAGAAAACGTGTACGCAACATTGTATAGTAGCAGGATATGACTTTCAGTATAACGTAAGTAGTAACCTGCAAAATGCATTACGTTTTCAGAACTTAATATACTTAGAGCATATAAGAAGGTATTGATTGATTTGTGGGTTAACGTCCCAAAACCACCTATATGATTATGAGAGACGCCGTAGTGGAGGGCTCGGAAACTTTCGACCACCTGGGGTTCTTTAACGTGTGCCCAAATCTGAGCACCAGGGTACTTCGTCTGCGTGACCCACCAGTATACAACGGCACTGAGATCAAGATGTCGAGGACTGGCTGGCAGAGTACGAGCATGCCAGCGCGATTAGCAAGTGGGATGACCCTGCGAAGCTGATTCACGTCATCTTCTACTTGACGGATTTGGCCAACCTATGGTTCACCAACCACCAAGCCGAAATCCCCACCTGGTCGTTTTCAAAGAGGCCGTCACCTCGTTTTTCGGTCGTCCAGCCATGCGTAAGCTTCGCGCTGAACTGGGACTGCGGGGGACGATTCAGCGAAATGGTGAGAGCTTCACGAGCTACATTGAGGATGTGATCAGCCTCTGTAGGCGAGTTGATGCCAGATGACGGAGGCTTGACAGAAAAAGAACATAATGAAAGGCATTGTGACGACGCTTTTCATATGCTTGTGGCCAAAGACCCACAGACCGTCACGGCCTTGATTCAGTTATGTCAACGTTTCGATGAGCGGCGCAAAGTCAACGAGTTTCTCTTTCTCTGAATGCCACAGCTGCGGCTCTCTGTTGTGGCGCGCGGACGCGGCGCAGGGAATCCTCTTCACCCTCTTCAAGCTGAAGAAGAGACGCGCCACATTAAGTGCCTCCATCACCGCAGAAGCTGACGGGCGCACAGGCGCTTCGTCATTTTCGTCTTCCTTACCTTCTGGCTCTTCAGCATCAGGCTGCGCACCGGCTACTTGAGCAATAATGTCCTCATCAGTCAGGGCACCACACACCGATGCACCGGTGTCAACTTCAACATAATCGGCAAAACGTACGCCCCAAAGAGTGTCGCGCAATGCCACTAGCATGAGCTCCTCAGCCCCATCCACGTCGACGTCACAACTATCCTGCGCACTTCCAGCTGCAAATACACTGTGGCGGAAACAGTTTGCGAATGTGGTCGCGGTCGCCTGTTCCCATGCGTGCACCAACATGTGCATGGCAGTGAGCAGCGTAATGCCGAAGTCCTTCCTGTCACCCGCGCACAAAATCATTCTCTCCAGCACGTGACGCCCATAAAAACACTTAATGTTCCTTATCACACCCTGGTCCACTGGCTGTAGGGCCGCAGTCGTATTTGCCGGAAGGAACACCAACTTAGTTGCTCTCAGCTCAACGTTGACTTTGTGCGCCGAACAGTTGTCGACGACAAGAAGAACGCGTCTGCCGCCCAGTTCCATTCACCTGTCGAATTTCCGTAGCCACTTCCTGAATAGGTCACTTGTCATCCAGGCTTTCTTGTTTGCGGCGTACTCCGTGGGCAGTGAGCGAATGTTTTTGAAGCACCGTGGCTTGAGTGCTTTGACAATCACAAAAAGGGGGATCTTTTCCGTACCGGTCATATTTGCGGCGACCAGAACAGTGACACGCTCTTTGCTGCGCATGCCGCCGGCACAGCTGTCTCCCTTGTAGGTGATCGTCTTGTCTGGCTGCAACTTGAAAAATAACGCTGTCTCGTCAGCGTTAAACACATCCTGTGGTGAGTAGCTCTCCAAGTACTGCTGCAGGGTGTCGCTTCTCCAAGTAGCGCATGTTTCGGCGTCCACTTCTTTTGCCTCGCCGGATAACGTGCGGAATACGAGATTGTGCCGCTCCCTGAAACGATGAAACCATCCTTCGGAGGCGACAAAGTCTTCAATGTCCAAGCGCAGGAAGAAATCAGCTGCCTTGGCCACGATGATAGGGCCGCTCAATGCGAAACTTTGGGCTCTCATTTCTTTAACCCAGATAATCAAAGCTGACTCCAGTTCTGGGAACTTCGCTGTCCTTAGCCTCTTTCGACTGGCGCCAAAATCCTCGGCTTCATAGGTGTTTTCAATGGCCGTCCTGTTGCGTATGTAGGTTGACAACGTGCTCGGAGGTATGCCGTGCTTCCTCGCAATTTCGTATTTGCTCGAGTTCCCTTGGTCGACCTCTCGCAAAATCTCCACCTTCTCCTTGACAGTCTTCACGCAGTAGTTTCCCCGCGGCATCTTGCAATTTCGATGCGGAATAAGACGGCTTGACGGCGTGAACGAACAACGTGCTCGAGGAACAAAGTGACGCTGCCGGGAGCGGCCTAGGACTGCTAGGACTACTCCGCCGGCTCCTCAGCGTCCCGTGGGTCTCGTGTACAAGTGGCGCCAGGCGCTGAGATAGCGGGAGGGCTACGAAAAAAGCTCCCTGGATTTTGGAGGCCATACTTTGCTCGCCGTTTGCTCGAAGGCCACTTGAAGCTGGAAAAAACTGGTCGTGCCACCTATCGTTCGACCGTAAAAGCTTCCACTAGTGTTTGACGATGATGACGCTCTGCGGCGCGTGCTTCGAATTATCCGTAGAGGCAGCAATTTCTGTTCGAATTAACGAATCGTTTTACACATCGTCTCCTATGCACTGCGGACCGGACTGCGGCGACCATTTCGAATTATCCAAAATTTAGAATTAATGAGGTGTGAATTAACGAGCTTTCACTTTACCCTTGCAAACGACCCTATGAATCTGATGCAAGATAACGTAAACTTCCGAGCTGAAACCTAATAGCAGTTTTTAGGTTCTCAAAGCAAGACAATATAAGAAGTTCCATTGCAGTGATTTCAATTTCTAGACATTTTTTTGTCGTAGTCCCAACCGTAAAAAGGTCTTACAGATAACACAGTGATGTGGAAGTTGTGCAGGTCAGGGATGCAACACGAATGAAATGACTGCATGTGACTCAATCATGAGCTCGCCCGAGATCTTTGCTACAGATGGAGATCTCTAGTACTATAACAATACAAGTTAATCTAGAACGCAACGGGGCAAACACACCTGTGTATGCCGGAGCATTCGATGCACAGAGTGATTCCCAGGTTGATGCTCGGCCCAGCAGGGGCCGGGTGATCGGCAATCGCAGCACAGTTCGTTTCCTGCGATGCTGGTGAGTTGACTGCAGTGACACAAAAAAGTGATTCACTGTTAGATGAGTTTCAAAGAAAAAAGGAATGAACACCAGGAGTTTCTAACAATGGTCTCTAACTCTGCTGCTGCTGCTGTTGGCAGACTGTTAAGGCATACAGCAAGCTATGATTGTCACAGTAATGATCACCTCTACGGGGGTCAAGCCTGCAATGAAGAGGACCTGCATGGCAACCTCCACTGATCAAAGCTACCCTGCTCTTTCTTTTTCCCTCATTTATGCAATGGCTTTGCTGAATTAAGAGTACTATTCTGAAGCCATGTACAATCCAGGAAATTATGCTTAGCGAACAAAGCCATTATTGCTAGAAGAGTGTATGGCCGCATTTTATAGTCCACACTCTGACCAAACACAAATGAATATGTTTAGTGCGAAAGGCTGAAGGAAAACATTACCATGAAGACCCTGCATCTTAAAGGGAAAGGCATTGGGGAGATAAGGCAGACAAAAAAGAGAAATTGCACAGAGCTTATAGTATTCATGTGTCACATTGTAAATATTAATTAAAAGTACTGGAATAATGAATATCTACAATGATCCAAATTTATCAAAGCTTAACCATGCTAACACCTATTAAATAGCCACATGTTCTTAAGACCAGCTTAGACAATGCGCTTCCATTGGAAAGAAATGCAGTGGCAAGATTATTTATGCAAGCCTTTAAGCAGAGCTATAACGAAGATTCATTGAACACGTACATGTGAGCCCTTGGAGGTTTCGGTACTGGGTTTGCACTCAGCCTAGACATTGATGACAATGAGGAATCTGACGATGCCTTCCACTCCTGCATTTCGAGCATGAAAGATAAGTTGCAGACGACAGTCATAAAACTTTATTTTGATGTACAACCACGCGATTAACACAGGTGTTTTGCCAAGTCCATGACAAATACCACACAATTTTCTAAGCTTTCTTTAGGGCAACAACTACCAACAGGCATATCGGAAATTAAGAAAGACTAAAGAAGGCATACACAGGTATATTATGCTTGCATATGTAACCTCTATTAAACTTTCTGAAATGCCTGGGTGAACAAAAGTTTTCATGACATTGTGCAAGTGAGTTTAATAGGGTAATTAGTCCTGGCTAGGTGGATGTTTACACTATAATTTGTGTTTACATCATCAAGAATAGTGCAGACTACAGTACTGTACAAAATGTGAACACCACCAAACTTGACTATCAACAAGCTATATTTATGCACTTATATATGAGAAAGCTGTAGAAGTATAAGTTAATAAAATCGATTATTTGTTTAAAAAGTATCAAATAAACTCACACTCATCGAAAGCTTTCCATCTTCATCATCTCGTGATGGCTGGTTTAATGCGTGAGAGATTCCAGACTGCAATGCAGTGATCCAGCAGTCGTACGACTCTTGAGAATCCGCTTGTAGCATGTGAGTTCCTGTACAAAAGGCCATCAAATCATAGTTAAATATACAAGGATCCACGTTCTAGAATCTCCTCTAGATTAAAAATGCACCCAGACTACAACTGCTGGTCTACACTGAAAGTAGAGACAAACGTATAGCGAATACGGTGATTGAAACAAGCATGCAAGGAAAGAAAAATAGCCCTAAAGTTTGATTACCGAGCCGGCCAGCTAGAACATGCAGCTAAAATGAATGTCATTGCTTCAATGGCTTTTCTAAGAAAGCCAATGATGTCCCTTTGAACAGCGCATGCAGTAAGCATATATAATCAACCGAATGTGGCAAAAAGTAGGGCACATTAATGAAGTGCAGGAAACAAGGTGCATGTAAATATATGGGCATGGCACATTATAGCATATATATTTACATTCGCCTATGACATATTAGACCAGCATGATTTATTGATTAAAAGGTCATCACACACCTGTGGGCACCGTGCGCATAAAGCCATGACACCATGCTATTTGGATGGATTCATATGACATCGTTTTAAAAGTGAAGTGCAGCACCTTTCTAAATTGGAGGATCTGTCCTTACGAAAAAGGCTGACTTAAGGAAACACGACCAATTTTCCTGAAGCCAGTATCTGGTTTTTCTTGCACCGCTTTGCACATGCTTATCTTCTCCAAAAGCAGCCTTCTACGACGCTAAGCAAAATACGCCTCATTGTTAAAGAAAAAGAAGTCATCATGATGGCAACAAGTGACCCTTTCAATCAGAATCGAGCCAGAGTGATGCTGCCGACACATACAACTAACTGCTAGAGGTTGTACAGTACTCAGAGATTTAAGACAACATTTTTTAAATGTGAAGCATTTATTTGTGTACTGCAAGCACTTTTTTCAGCATATTGACTGCTAGGAGCAACAGACCCTTTCATTGTTCACAAGTGCACTTTCCTGTGCTGCATATTCATCCAACTAATGGTGGTACCTGTCGTGCTTAAAGCGGAGATGAGGTCACAGTTGCATGCGCTAGGGCCAGTCTATTATGCCTGTTTATATCAAGAGTGGTCTAAATTTTCTGTGTCGTATCGCAAGCAAGCCACACTTGAAGACGCTGTTTGCAGAAGTGACAAGCTGCCATTAACTGGGCTAACCAAATTGCAGGAAAGCCAGCCTTGCAACTATGATAATTGTTTATTGCTTGTGATAAACGCATAATGTCGATGCAGCTGTTCACAGTGTTTAAATTATACCAATATGACCTGAACTGTAGACACTGGAAACAAAAAGTGTAAGCATGACTTAGCCCTACTCTGTCGCATTTCAATCCAGGAGTACTTGCAACGACAGCCCTTTCAGAGAAATGACCGAACCGCGGACCTACTTTGAAGGCGAGAGGACCTCAAAGCAGAACCGTCGCTCAAAATCCAGCGCGGGTTTCACAGTGCACAAACGCAAGTCCTCCTCCATTATGGTACGCTGCTCATCTTTGGAGCGCTTGCGGTACACCAGCTGGCCATTCTGGATGATGAACCACCGCCTGTTCCAGGTCTTGAAGGCGTTCGAGGTGCGCTTGAACAAGTATCCCTCCAAACTGATGCCGTTGTTGGCCGAGGGGTCTTTGTGGACAACCGGGACCACATCCTGACCAACATAAAATGTTCAATAGAGCATTGCAGCTGGCACACGCATCATCATTATTTGCTGTTCCCTTTAAGGCCCTTTTGGGTATTACATAAGGTGAAAAAGACAAAGATCAAAAAGGCTCCTCATACATTAGTCATTAGAGTTCAAGAGAAGACAAAAAGATACAGTAAACAATTCATTCAACATCTATTCAAGTGATACCATTCAACTTCAGTAGTGTTTCAAAATCAAGCATGTTTTAGCATTACCATTACGGCAGCATGCCTACCCACTTAAAAATGGTTACACTCTCCTGGAAAAATGGGTACGTTAAAGATAAGAATTAAAGTGGCCAACCGCCTAATGAAACTAAAGATAACAGATAAAAAACATAGGTGACAAGATTTACCTTTGAGGTAACAAGCGTGTGCCTTGAATCAAGCTGCTTTGACAGGTCAGTAGACTCTTTGCTGAGCTTGTCAAGCTGAAATGCAGAAAGATCGAAATGTCTACACAAGCCTACACCTCATTAGAGGTTAGAAGCTTATAACCCTCTTAGGCACTTCATACCAATTGTGTGCCCAACTTGTTTTTGCTCGTTGTATCGGCTAGTGGCAAAGAGATTATGGTACACTAAGCTTTGGAAGAATTCACTCTCCTGTGCAATAAATGTCCCTTCATTTAATGCAATTTCACTCTGCAAGGCTGCATATGATCTCTCTGATGAAGGCACTACCATGTTTGACGTGTCACTTCCTGCGAGCTATGTCAAAACTATTAATTTTTCTTTGCCCTAATATGCATACAAGTGAAAACAAGATTGTAGTATGCTTCTGTTTCTAACAACAAACTACCGAGTGCCTTGAAGTAATGCTGTGCCGATTTGATGCATTTTCAGGCATGTTTTTCACAAGTCATGCCTGAAGGGTTGAGCATAACACAATAAAAGCAATCTCATTGGAGCAGCGGAGACAAGCAAGCAACACAAGAAAGAGCGATTTTTCTGACACCGCTGCTGCTAACTTCAAGTAAAACTCGCTGTTGTGTGTAAGCTTTATGTTCACCACAAGCTATGCGCAACACAAGCTTAGTCTAGCAATAAAAACAAGCCCTTCAATTTACACTTCTTTACTACAAGCTCTATAGTTACTTCAGGAAAGAGGCATGCCGTCTTGGAACAGCCCGAGTCAAACGTCGCAAGCAAATAGTGTATTGAGGTACTCACAGTGGATCCCAACTGCTTCAAAAACGGCTCGGAATCCTCGAACAAGTCTGAGCCTTGGTGGAAATAAGTACTGTACGCACCCATTAGAGACAACAGCTGTGAAAGGAGAACAAACTAAGTAAGAGTCACTCGATATTCACCACTGTACACAAACATCGTAGGCTGTTGTAGGCTTACTCACAGTTTGTAACACCTCATGCCTCTTCTTTGACTGCAAGCAACTGAGCTGTAATCAAAATAATGTAAAAACCAGTGCTTATATTCCGATAGTGTTTTCGTTTCTAAACCCCACATTAATGCCAAAATCCTTTCAAAGCAAAGCAAGCACTAGGAACTACAACAGTGCCAACTGCAATGTACGACACGGTCAAACACAATATTATCAGAACCAGATTCTTCTGAAGCTTTTACGGGGTCACATATGCTCAATTTATTTAGACTGCAACCAAGTAGCCTCAGCTGTCAGTCTTAAACTGTAAATGTAAAGTTGTTAAAATTAAACTGACAAAGAAAACTTTACGAGTGATGAAAAGTTAACTCTTTCGCTACCGCAGGAAAAGGGGCCGTTTTTACTAGGTGTGAAAAATAATTTTTTACGGCTAGATACTAACGCCTTATTTACATTGTTTGGTACCACAATGTACCTAAAAGAATGCTCTGTTCAATAGCATAACTGTTGTACATACATTTATTACACATATAAGAAAAAAAATTTATATAGAAAATTCTATACAGTGTTTATACATTTAACACTTTAAAAAGGAGGATAACTTAAAAAATGATGAGGTTGAAAAATTGAAGATATACAATTTGTAGCTTCTTATGTTGCAAAAAGGTTGTACAAGTTTCAAAAATTATTGCAAAAAACTGTTCTTCCCACAAAAAAGAAAGTTAGTGAGGGCGCGTCTCGTGCCATTCTCGAAAGCAGTCCCTCGTCGGGATGAAACAAAGATAGACCCCGCATGGCTGACACAAAACTGCTGTTTTCCTCTGTGTCTTTCGTTTGTCATAGCAGAGCTTGCAATTTCGGTGTTCTTGTTGCACCTGGGACTTGTGTTCCGACTTTTTTGGAGGTAAAGGAGTGGGGGAACATGTCTTTCGTCTGTGCCCAGAATCTGGTTGATCAGCTCAATTCTAAATGCGAGCTGGTCAAACCCAGCTTTCTTGATAGCTCATCTATTTCAGGGCGATCCCTCCGGAGTGTCTCAATAACAATAAAACTATTCACGATGGCAATGTCGATGCAGTGAAAGAACAGCGTCTTCCAGCATCTCACGCATTTCATCAACACGTTGTAGGAAGCAATGAGTTGATCCGACTTGTCAACACCAAGCATGCCCTTGTTGTACTCTTCTATCAAGAGCGGCTTCTTGACTGGAATCTTGGTCCATCTGTCTGCCCTCTTCACTTTTCGCGTTGCAATGACGTGTTTGTTTGCTGTGTGTGCTGTGCTCATCAAGTTTACAGCACGCTTGTCTTTCCCCTGCAAGTACAGCACGTCGCTGCATCGCATCCAGCGAACGTCTCCTCGAGCTGCTTTGTTCTCCCATGTAGTGTCTTTCATTTGGGAGGGGAATCCGCGGCGATCTTTGCGTGATGTTCCGCAAGACAGAGTTTTCCGCTAAAGTAGGTGTACAAACAGAGACGTGGATGTGTAAAAGTTATCGAGGTAGATGATGTATCCTTTATCTAAACAAGACTCACAGAGGTGCGTTACAAAGTCATAGGCGAGTCCCTTTGAGCTGGGTGCCTCTCTCTTCCCGGTGTAAACACTGAATTGGACAGTGTAGCTTGTCCTCGAGTCTGCGAGGACCCAGAGTTTGTACCCTCATTTGACCCTCTTGTCCCTCATATACTGACGAATTTCCGATCTTCTTTAGACTTCACCATTCTCTCGGCCACACACATGTTGCGGTACGGCTGAAAAAGCTGCGAAGAGACGTCATTGATGTGCTGCAGTAGGTTTGCTATCCTGTGCAGCTTGCCATCGTGGACGGGGTCTGTCTGCTTCGGGTCCATGACACTGAGAAAGGCAAGGAACGCAAAGAAATGGCTCCTCGGCATAATCTCCAGAGAAATGAGGCCAGAAAATAATTCTGAGGAGTTCAATACAGATGAAGGCGAGGCAACTCAACAATTCCCATGTAAATGAGCATTCCAATGCACTTCATCACTTTGTCTGGACTGAAGTTCCACCACGAACCGTCTCTTTCCGGGTACGTCTGCCTCTCTAAAATATGCATCCACGCATATTTGTTCGTGTAAGTCGCAGATCATGCTTATCACCTGCGTAGTGAAAAACAACTGGAAGAAATCGACGATCCGGACGAAGCGCCGTGCGTTTCGACCCCTGGGTTTCGTCTCGGCAGAAACTGTACACGCTTGACAGATGCCGGCAAGGAATCACGTCCGTAGAACGCCGAGACCCTGAAAATGAGTAAAATTGCTGTGAGTACACGCTCCGCCACTCATAACCACTGATTAGTCAACAAAGTGTGCGCCTCGCATACAGCACACTCACCTGTCGGACGTTGCGGTTTGACTTGCGCAACCTCGTCATCGGTGCTAAAATCTGATGAGTCAACATCTTCTCCAGACTCACTGCTGCTGATTACATCCTCAAAGTCGACTGTTGATGCCCTGGATTCGCGAGAAATGCGTCGTCTTTTGGGAGCGTCTATGCACGATGATGACTCCATGATCGATGCACGCGCGCCGCAACCCGAAACTTATCGAGGCGGGAGAAAACTTCTCCGTAGCAAAAAACAAGCAAAACATCACAGATCCCTTAGTGCGTTTCCCACTTTCTAATCAAGATGGCGTTAGGCGCCCAGAAAACTGTGCGGTGGTGCAATTCTAACTTGAAATGCATCGTTCAAATTGAACGATTTAAATAGGCATGGTAGCGAAAGAGTTGAGGCGGATATACTGAAACCATGTCAGAATGAACTGTCAGCATAAAGAACTGCTACAAGTAATGATGTATATGCGAAATTTGACTTGTCATGCTTTATTCCAAGGAGTGATATACTGCTACAATCATATTAAACTTACAAAAGCCGGTGCAATGTTACTCATACCAATGGGAATATTTAAACTTTTCAACTCACAGTAAAAAAAAAATTGTGCATTACTAGACAAAAGCAATTCGGAAACAACGGATTCTAGACATGTCGGTACATCTTTACCAGCAGATTGGCTTGCAGTTGGCAAGTTGACATGCTGATATTGGGCGACCGCACTGACAAGATGTTTTGCGAGAATTGGAGCGTTGTCACAAGTCATCAACAGATTGTCCAATTAGACAATTTTTATTTTTCTTGCTATCATAATTGCATCTCTTTCGTTTAAGACTAGACTGTAAATTACATTCATTTACTGATCTCATGTGCACATAATTACAAGACTCTTTTGTGTTAGATACAACTTCTTTGTAATGAAACTGTATGGGACCAACTTAACGTTGCAAATTTTTTTTACCAAGCTGACACAGAAACAGTTTCATGTCACCCATTCAGCGCTTGGCATTGGTGTGGTATGCACATATACCACTGTATTTACTATACCCTAAACTACACATCTATGCAGGAAGTGAAAGGTGTAAACCTGTCTCCCTTTTTTTCAAATGAAATTCTAGTTCACGCTGACAGTTAACAAGAAGGAAGCCTCTCAATATGGGCTATGTTGAGCGACAAAAGCAATTTAGTTCGGACAAAAAAAAATCAGGTAAACAGGCTGTGTGTGAGTAGGCTCACTAATTAGCAAAGCCAACACAGACGTACTTGATGAACATAATCGAGTGCCAGGTGTTGAAAGCAGGACCGAGTGGCAATCAGCACATTGTGGGCGTCCTCACATTCTGAAGCCTTGGTGCGCTGCACCTGTGAGTTGCGGAACAGCGCGTTGTCCAGGTCGTCGCTGATCTTCTCAAAGTGCCGCCGTGTCTCCTTGCTCTGGCGGATATCCCTGAAATATATCAAGCATGACTAAACAAGCCTTCTTGCATAGCACACGAAAGGATTAAATTTCCTTTGCCACTTCCTTTGTACAGTACTCTATACCTCAAATGACGAACGTCATGCATATCCTTTCAGCGGTGGTGGCTAGATTTGTGTATGCAGCTTGTTTATGCCAGTTGTGTTTACTTGTGGCAATACCAAGCAAGATGCATCGCTCACTGGATGAACTGGACCTCCATATTTAGTATGTCTCCACTTAACTTCAGTATGCTGCGTATGACTGCAACCAATTCCTATGGCGAAGGTACTGTTATGTTCAATGGGTCATTTGATGTGCCACACTGAAGGATCAAAGTCAAAAGTACAGCTCTTATTTTTACGAAATCAGTACAACCGAAAAATACTTGCGCACAGATTTGGATTTCATTCTTTTCTTGTCAAAATGAAAAGTGACTGATTGCAGAATAATGAGACATTTTATTGACTGAAACTCACACAAACCAACACATTGCTTTATTTTCCTTTTTCGAATATAATATTGAATGTCTTCAAATTATGCTATGTGAATTTGTGAATATGTGTGATTATGTGAATATATGTGTCCACATTTGTGGGCAGCACATCATAATTTGTGTCTGAAGGGGATATACAATGTTCTACACTTTAAACAAGGCTGCCAGCTAACACCTACTATGTAATTGCTCAGTACAAAACTTTCAATGTTCATGCTAATAGTAGTTGATCAGAAAACATCCTGCAACTAAATTATTGTCAATCAACAACAGGACTGCAAACAAGATATTTGTAGTCATTAACAAAAGGCTCAAAAGTTGCTGTTTATAGTTCATTTTGATAGTGGCCATATGCGATTCTGAAAATTAGAGTTTATTTGAATATAACTGTCATACACCAATTAGAAATAAACTGGTTCACGGCACAGCATTAAAAAATATGTACAGTTCTACCAGCTCAACGACATGTTAAAGTCAGGTGCAATAAACAAATGTAATATAGATGTCACAAGGGCACTTTCAATTGCAATTGAGACGGAATTTATTCCCCACTAGTGGCCCATTTTCGCATCTTGAATATATAAGCCAATCATAATATAGAAACACAATCCCAATTGGGCCATGTAAAAACCACATAAAATTGAAAGGTCTTTTCATATTACTAAGCATATGTATCATGGATAAACATTTCAAACTTACATCTTGATGAAATTGCTCAGATTCTTTACTATAGACTTCTGTGCATGTTCGAGGAGTATCTAAAGACAAAAAAGAATCAACATAAACATAATTTTCGTTATTCCATTCACAGGAAATCCAAAACTTTCTTTCATTTACTGTATTTGTACGACCGCAAAGATATGTAGACTGTGACACTCACCGACTGGTATTTCAACACGTCTGTGAGAATCTGTATAAACCTATTTAGAGAATTCTGAAATGAGGAAGTTCAAATGAATAAACATTTCCACTGTCTATTCTGTCAAATGACAGGTACATCGTGTCCCCAGAAAGAGGGTAAAGCATACTAACCACAATAGATGCATCGTCCTTGAAATAACCAATCAAATCCCAGATGCCATTGATGAAAGCACTATGAAAGCAGAGATAAAATTTTATGCTATAGAACATGCGTATTCATCCCAACATAGCACATTAATATTTCCTGGCATATACATGTGCACACACAGAAGCTAAGTGACATATATTTCAAGGAATAACCGGCGACTAGCATAAATATTAAGAGAGTAGTTAATGCAAGTTCAGAGAAATAGGAAGGCAGTTCCGACTAAACCTGGCCGCTCCAGGTTGCTCAAAATGGGCGTACCTCTTTGCTGTGACATGACTTTTGCCCGTTTCAACCATGTTGGAGCACAGCTTCACCAACTGCAAGGCAAGCATCACAACGGATAAATAAATGAAATCAATGCTAAGTAATTATTTCGTGGCAGTAGACTCGATTCACGGGCGCATACTCACTTTTTCAAGCTTAATTTCTAGTTGATCGATGCTCTCTTCATTGTCTTCTAGTGCCTCCCTGAGTAGTAATAGGTACGGTGTTATTTACTTTCATTCTGTACACATAGCACATATTCGCTATCGCTCTCGATCGTAGACCAACGGGTTAGTGTAACAAGATCCGCCGCCAAGCGAAGCGAATGTCCGGAGGGAAGTCGTTAATCTGAAGGATATCGCCTTCGAAGCATATCCTGTCAACGGCACCCACATGCACAACGCATCGACACAAACGAAACTTTCGGGCAAACAAGAAATGCTAGTAAGCAGCCTCGAAGCGATACACGCGAATACCACGAAAGGGCGAGAAACTCGTAGCAGTTTACTTTCGTGCGGCGCAGACCGAAACGATAAAGTGCAACCACCCATTTCGCGACGCAAGTACTCACCGAAATTTCGGAGAGTCCCGGATACATTCGTCGAGGTCTATGATGGGTCTCATGATGGGGGAAAAAAAAAAGCGTCGCTTCTAGATTCGATGCCCGTCCATTTGATCGTAGTTGCTGGTAAAGCAGAGAAGTCGCCACCACCTGAGCCACAGGTCAACACAGCATCGTCCACATATGAATCATGCGACCACAGACACCCCCCTCTCTTGAACGCGTGCGGCGTAAAACATTTAGGTGGCGGCGTTACCACTCAACCCAAATTTATCACTGCACTCGAAGAGAACGAAAAATTGAACGGAACGCGCTCGGAAATCGGGAGGAGGCGCGGCCACGAAACGGGGGATTTCTTTCCTTGACTGCCTGCAAATCGGCATCGAGAAAAATGTTAAGAAAATCGCGAGAATAGAAAGAAAAGCGAAACAAATAAAGTAGGCGTCGTTTTCTTCGACGCCCCTGGCGGCTGTGTGGCAAAACTGCCTTCCACAATGCAAACACGTCATAAACTTTTTTTTTTTTAGCCACTCACAAACGTTTGCGTCATCTAGGGTTGACAATGTTAAACATTTAATGACAATATTAACATTGTTAAATATAATTACTTTTTGTATTCAATCACTAGATGTCGCAACAACTAAATAATTTACAATTTTAATTAATAGCAAGTTTGAATTTTGATAGAGAGCATGGGGAGTTTCGCAGCTCACACAATTAAATAGCTGTATATTTCACTGCCCCCCCTTCTCCCCCCCCCCCCCAATCTCGCGCCGCTTTCTCCTCGTTTCGTCGGTCTCGTTCTCCTGTGCCTGCGGTGTGCGTGCGTCAGTCGATCGGCCAGGGTCAGTTCGAACGGTTAGCTCCTGTCAAACGTGTGCGGCCAGACAGCCTGCTCTTTCGCCGTCTCTGGAGGCTTCTCTCGAACGTAAGCGACCGCGTTTTCTTGCGCACTTTGCTGCGATGCAGCGAGCGGTAGGGATCTCTCCCCGTCGGTAGCCATCCCAGCGAAGCCGGCTTTCGTGGGGTGACATTGTTCGACCTTGGGTTCGAAAAGGGTCTGCCCCCCTCGGTGCGAAAGCTAACGCCGTGACCAACGGATCGAGTGGCGCTTCCCGTCGTCTTAATTGACGTACGCGATTGCCTATGCGGCGTCGGCCCGATTTTCGTCGTCGTTTTCGGCATTCAGCCGTGCACGAGCCGTGTTCGATCTGCTGGAGCATTAAGATCGCGGTGTAAAATTGCGTCAGAAAGCGTCTACATTCATTATTGCACTGGCTTGTTTTGGCAGTTAAGGCGTTGCATTGACGCCGAATTAGATTCACAGGGGATTTCGGGCATTCTTCGGTAATTAAGCTAATTGTGCCGGACCGTTTGTTGTGCCTGCAGAGAGGCGCGGTTTCGGTTGTCATTCAGCCTTAAATTTCTTCGCCGTTTTTTCTCGCAGAGCGATAATGCCGATCAAGAGGATTTACGCTCGCCAGATCTTCGACAGCAGAGGAAACCCGACCGTGGAAGTCGACTTGCTGACTGAGAAAGGTATGAACGCCTGTTGCGGTATTCGAAGCGGTCATAGGTTGATGCTGGGATGATGCGGTGAAGGTCACGTATTCCCGCTGTAGCATCGATGGAGGTTGCAACGCTTGATTTCGTTGCCTACGGAGGGGGCCCGTTGGGTGAACTTATTCTCCTTAAAGCACGCAGAGCTACCCTAGCAGCTCACTTTTTCGTGAATACGTGGACCTTTCGGTTCGTGGAAAGCCGAGATCAGAACCTTCTTTTTCTGGTTTGCTCGTGCATGGAGACCTACTGTCATCAATTGCTGCCGGATGGAAACTAGCTGCAGTAAATAAGTGCTATTAATTACCCAGGGTCAAGAAACCGCAGCTGTCACTGCTTGAAAGGCGGCTGGCATTGCGCTTTTTGGCAGGCATCCAAAAACGCTAGGGTAAAAATAAAAAGCAGGACAAAGGCCACGACGATAGTGCATTAGGAGTTCGCTTTTGAGCTTGATTTCATCCTTGGTGCCCTTGATGTTCTTGTAAAGCTGCCAAAACTGGCTGTGTATAGGACAGACCAATACACTGGACATGGCACCTTCACTACATTGCTATGGTTATCCCTAGAATAATGTTCGGTTGTAGGACCTTTTTCATTTGGCAATAGTCCTGACCCAGACAACACAAACACAACCTCAGGACATCCTCGGTGTGCCTCCGTGAGGACAATATGACGCCCTCAGAATGTCCTCTTACGGTTCTAGAATGGCACCAATCCCGTCCCCTTGTCCATACACATAACAACCTCAGCACATCCTCAAAACAACACTTCAGGACTTTTTCAGTATCTTTTCAGAACGATTGCGTTAACTTACTTACAGCGCAACACCAGAAAAAATACAGGACAGGGAAGGAGCAAAAGAGAAAGAAAAGACGGCGCTGTCCTGTATTTTTTCTGGTGTTGTGCTTTAAGTAAGTTCACGATGGATCCTGACCAACTGGCCCAACTTACCATCTTACAACGATTGCGTGGCCGGTTCGGTAGTGTGGGCAGTGATACTACTTAGGATTTACTTGTTTTCATGATATTTCCATTCATCAAAAGAAAAGCACCTGCGAGGTCTTGTGTATATACACTGTATCAATCAACAGTGAGGTGATAAAACAAACAAAGCTTGTTGACTGAAATTTATTTAACAGTAATTAATCTCAACTGACAGCTTTGTCAGGTATCCGAGTCAACATATAGTCTGAAAAAAGAAAAGCAGTATCAAGGCAGTCAGCACAGCTCAATCAACCACATTTGTAATCTTCCTCGAAAGTTTAACATGGTGTCCTCATCACCACGTGTATCGTGCCCAATGCACTCACTAGTGTTAGAGGCTCCGCTATAACAGCCTACCGAGTACACTCGACATGGGCTTTGATTTGAGTTGTACGAGGTCGGGCCATGAGTCAGATGCAGAAGTCGATCCTTTCACGTTGGGACCAGGCTGCTTCGAAGCACAATTGATCGCGATTGGCTGGTGTTCCAGGCTGCTTCGAACCACATCTTGCCACGATCGGCTGGTGACAATACATCCATGATCAGTCTTAACGTTGAGCAGCCCATTGCACCCATCAGCACGGCAATTTACCTTCCGTCATCACCTACGATTTACCCTCTCGCACATATCTAACTTTTAACTATGCGCACAAACATCAAAGGACACTAACCTTCACTAGTACACAGCACTTTCTCTAACAGACCCCATTTGGATAGTCAGTTGGCTTGGAATGGCTTGGCTACTTGACTATCCAGAATGGTGCCGCATGGTCAATGGTTGCCAGCCGCTAGTTTGTTATTACGCGCTACAGCAGCGTATAATGACAAACTTAAGGTTGTGACATTTAAGAACACACTGTTTCAAATGTAAATTTCGCAATACCAGGTTCGATACCCAAGGCAATTATGACGCGTGTCTTATTAAGCAGAACGCGCAATTTGAAAATTTCTTGCTAAAAAGAAACAAACGAGGCGAAAATATACAATACCTATATCACTGTATGAAACGAATGTGTAGAGAAAGTTTTCACATATAAAATGCATCTACTTGGTGCGCAAAGGTTTTGAGGAACTATATCTAAGATTTCAGTGCAATGCTTATGTCATCCCCAAGAGATCCTTGACAGGACCTTTTCCGGACCAATTGTTGTCCTCAGAAAGCACTCGAAAAGGTGTTTCCGAGTCAAGCCAGCTTGTGTCGTCCTCAGTAAGTACTAAGGTCAATGAGAACTGTGTGAGGACGATTGTACCATATGAGGACGACCTCAGGACATCGAGTGTTGTTTGGGGAGTGGCACACAGAAGACTTCCATGGCCCACATAGACTTCTGTCGTAATAGTGGAGATCTGCCCCGATATGAGCAAGTCTTTGAAACTTACTTACATCAGTCATAACTACACATGGTGTCAAGGTCTGTGAAGTAGTGGGAAAAGATGTCTTGATGAACTAGTGGAAAGGATTTCATTGTCTGGATTTCATTGCTTTTTTTATATACCTTTTTTTTTGCTCATAACCTTTTTTTTTTTTAAGATGCGGCGATGGCGTAGTGGTTAGAGCATCCGCCTCGCATGCAAGAGGTCCGTGGTTCAAATCCCGGTACCGAGCAGTTTCCAACCGGATTAAAAAAAAAAAATCCGCGTGTTGATGGAACTGCATAAAGAGGCCTGGGGTGCGGCCTCACCGGCAAACACCGCCGAGAACGCACTCCCTCACCAGAGAAGGATTGGCCACCCTGGTGCAGTATCTGGCCACTACCTCCCACATGCTTACGTCAAATAACTCACGGCCCTCAGTCCCCAGCAGCTGCGAAGCAACTGACCACGGCGGCGGTCAGATCTGCAACGCAGCAGAGGGTGCTAAGAATCTCTGGATCCGGACAGGCCGCCATTGGAACCTGAACTTGGCAACGTTTAACGCTAGAACCTTATCTAGTGAGGGAAGTCTAGCTGTTCTATTCGAGGAGCTAGAGAGTGTTAAATGGGATATAATAGGGCTCAGTGAGGTTAGGAGGACAGATGAGGCCTATACGGTGCTACAGAATGGGCACGTCCTTTGCTACAGGGGCTTGGCAGACAGAAGAGAACTGGGAGTGGGGTTCCTAATTCACAGAAACATAGCTGGCAACATAGAGGAATACTATAGCATTAATGAAAGGGTGGTAGGTATCGTAATTAAACTGAATAGAAGATACAAGATGAAGGTAGTACAGGCTTACGCGCCTACATCCAGCCATGATGACGCTTCAGTTGAAAGCTTCTATGAAGACGTGGAATCGGCAATGAGTAAGGTAAAAACACAGTATACTATAGTGATGGGCGACTTTAATGCAAAGGTAGGGAAGAAGCAGGCTGGAGACCAGGCAGTAGGAAATTATGGCATCGGTACTAGAAACGCCAGAGGAGAGCTACTAGTAGAATTCGCAGAACGCAATAATTTGCGGATTTTGAATACCTTCTACCGCAAAAGAGAAAACCGCAAGTGGACATGGAGGAGCCCTAATGGCGAAAATAAGAACGAAATAGACTTTATAATGAGTGCACACCCTGGAATCGTGCAGGATGTGGAAGTGATTGGCAAGGTACGATGCAGTGACCACAGAATGGTACGGTCTCGAATTCACCTAGACTTGAAGAAGGAACGACAGAAACTGATACGCAAGAAGCCAATCAATCAGCTAGCACTGAGAGGGAAAGTACAGCAATTCAGAGTGTCGCTGCAGAACAGGTACGCGGCTCTTAGTGAGGAAACCAACCTTAGCGTAGATACAATGAATGATAATCTGACGAGAATCATTACGGAGTGTGCAGTGGAAGTTGGAGGCAGGGTAGTAAGACAGGACACTGGCAAGCTTTCCCAGGAAACGAAGAACCCAATTAAGAAGCGTCAAATCATGAAAGTGTCAAGTACAACAGACAAAATAGAACTGGCAGAGCTCTCGAAGTTGATTAATAGACGTAAGGTATGCGATGTAAGAAGGTATAACATGGAGAGAATTGAACACGCTCTGAAAAACGGAGGAAGTGTCAAAGCATTGAAGAGGAAACTTGGGATAGGCAAAAGTAGGATGTATGCACTAAGGGACAAAGAAGGCAAAATAACTAGCAATATGGATAGGGTAGTTAAAATAGCGGAGGAGTTTTACAGAGATCTGTACAGTAGCCGAGACAACCACGACCTTAATACTATAAGAACTAGCAGTAACGCAGATTACACCCCACCAGTAATAATAGAAGAAGTCAGAAAAGCTTTGGAGAGCATGCAAAGAGGCAAAGCTGCTGGTGAGGATCAGGTAACACCAGATCTGCTGAAAGATGGAGGACAGATTGTGTTAGAAAAACTAGCCACCCTGTTTACGAGGTGTCTCCTGACGGGAAGAGTACCAGAGTCTTGGAAGAACGCTAACATCATCTTAATACATAAGAAAGGAGATGACAAGGACTTGAAGAATTACAGGCCGATCAGCTTGCTCTCTGTAGTATACAAGCTATTTACAAAGGTAATTGCTAACAGAGTAAAGAAAACATTAGAATTCAATCAACCAAAGGAACAAGCAGGATTTCGAACAGGCTACTCAACAATTGACCACATTCATACTATCAATCAGGTAATAGAGAAATGCTCTGAGTATAACCAACCACTATACATAGCCTTCATAAATTACGAGAAGGCGTTTGATTCAGTAGAAATATCAGCCGTGATGCAAACACTGCGGAATCAGGGCGTAGATGAAGTATATATAAACATTCTGGAAGAAATCTACAGGGGATCAACTGCTTCCATAGTGCTTCATAAAGAAAGCAACAGAATACCAATCAAGAAGGGTGTAAGGCAGGGGGACACAATTTCCCCAATGCTATTTACCGCGTGCTTACAGGAGGTTTTCAGAAGCCTAGAATGGGAACAGTTAGGGATAAGAGTCAATGGAGAATACCTTAGTAACCTGCGCTTCGCCGATGACATTGCATTGCTGAGTAACTCAGGGGACGAATTGCAACTCATGATTACGGAGTTAGACAAGGAGAGCAGAAAGGTGGGTTTTAAAATTAATCTGCAGAAAACGAAAGTAATGTACAACAACCTCGGCAAGGAGCAGCGCTTCGAGATAGGTAATAGTGCACTTGAAGTTGCAAAAGACTATGTCTACTTAGGGCAGGTAATAACCGCAAAGCCGAACCACGAGATTGAAGTAACTAGAAGAATAAGAATGGGGTGGAGCACATTCGGCAAGCACTCTCAAATTATGACAGGTAGATTGCCACTATCCCTCAAGAGGAAGGTATATAACAGCTGTATCTTGCCGGTACTTAGCTACGGAGCAGAAACCTGGAGACTTACAAAGAGGGTTCAGCTTAAATTGAGGACGACGCAGCGAGCAATGGAAAGAAAAATGTTAGGTGTAACCTTAAGAGACAAGAAGAGAGCAGAATGGATTAGGGAACAAACGGGGGTTAAGGATATCATAGCTGAAATCAAGAAGAAGAAATGGACATGGGCAGGGCATGTAGCGCGTAGACAGGATAACCGCTGGTCATTAAGGGTAACTGACTGGATTCCCAGAGAAGGGAAGCGGGTTAGGGGGAGACAGAAGGTTAGGTGGGCAGATGAGATTAAGAAGTTTGCGGGTATAAATTGGCAGCAGCAAGCACAGGACCGGGTTAACTGGCGGAACATGGGAGAGGCCTTTGTCCTGCAGTGGACGTAGTTAGGCTGATGATGATATTTTTTTTTTAACTATGCAATATTTTTCTAAGTAAGAACCTGAAAATCTCATACACTAGCACTGCAGTTCCTTTGGTGTATCGATTCTTTTTGGGGCTGCATGTACATTATTTCTCTGTCTGAGTTTTAGAGGGAACCTAGAAACTTGTAGTTCATACTAGATTAGTCAAATATTATTTTCTTAGTAGCAAACACAGTATGCTGCCATTTATAGTAACTTTTGTTGAAACACCATGTCACCGAGTCTTTTCTGAATGATGCGACTGATGGGTTTCGAGCCAATGTAGCCCAATTTATTGTGTGTTCTGTTCTGCTAGCTGGTTTTCTAAAATGTACAACTCTTCTTTCGTAGGACTGTTCCGTGCTGCCGTACCATCTGGAGCATCGACTGGAATCCACGAGGCCCTTGAGCTGCGCGATAATGACAAGTCCCAGTACATGGGCAAGGGCGTTTCCTAAGGCCGTGAACAATGTGAACACAGTGATTGCGCCTCAAGTCGTTGCCAAGAACTTCGATGTCACCGACCAGACGGCCATCGACGAATTCATGTGTCAGCTGGATGGCACCTGAGAACAAAGGTTTGTGCCTATGCTCGGGATGTTTGCAGGAATGGGCTTGTAGGGGAGTGCCTGTGCTCGCACATATTGTTGAAATATTTGCTCAAGCCCACTAATTCTGCATTATAGTGCATCTGCCTGTCATTCAATGCTGGCCCTGCTGCTGCATGAAAACTGTTCTGAAATTCAACAGCTTCACTTCGAAATTTGTGAGCATAAATTAAAATAGTTCCTCCTTGTGAAGTTTGTATATGTAAACTTGTAATGTCTGCAGCCTAAATGAAGTTTCTTTGTAGGCAGCAACTACAGAATTTTCGTTATGTCCGCATGCAGGCAAGCTGGGAGCGAACGCTATTCTTGGAGTTTCAATGGCGGTGTGCAAGGCAGGTGCGGCGCAGAAGGGTGTTCCACTCTACCGCCACATTGCCGACCTAGCGGGCAACTCGAAGGTGGTCATGCCGGTGCCAGCCTTCAATGTGATCAACGGCGGCTGCCACGCCGGCAACAAGTTAGCCATACAGGAGTTCATGCTCCTTCCAACGGGTGCCAGCAGTTTCACTGAAGCCATGCGCATGGGATCCGAAACTTACCACCACCTCAAGAATGTAATCAAAAAGAAGTGAGCATCACCAACGTCCTCCTCCGTTTAGTATGTGAGGCCACATGTAGTCATGCTTCAGTTTGCCTCTAGGGTACTTCAAGGCTCCATTAGTCTGCCTCAGAAAAATTTTGAGTAGATGCACTTTCGACCTTTAGCATGAACATTCTTGCTGATCTTGAATTTCGGACTGCTGTCGCCCATTTTAAGCTGTCGCGCATTGTAAATGTGGTGAGGACAAGTTGGCTTCACTGCATTGGTGGTGAAGTCAACACAGCTTCACAGCTAGTGGGAGTGTTACAAAGTTAGGAGACATTGCTATGCCATCACTGCTACATAAAGTGCAATGAAAGGCAGCAGTCCAAGGTTCAAAGATCGGCAAAAGTTTTTGTTTGAAGTTAAGAGTGTGCTTGCTCAAAAGTAAGTACTTAAGAGATGGTCAAGCTCGAATATGTCGTTGCATGGCAGACGTAGTACTATCGATGCGTGCAGAGATGGTGCAGTAGCCTAATACTTACAGAGGTGATATGGCACACCTCGGTTTCCACAAACCAGTGTTGATTATTCAAGTCTGTCTTTTTATGAACTCGTATGTATAAAAGGACATTAGGGTGAAGCATTTAGCAAGTTTAAACAAATGAGTTATTCTTTCGGAACTCTGTTTTGTTATTATTAAGTACTTGTGAGGGTCAAAGTTTCATTTTTTGGGTTTTGCACCAGAACTTGACGTGTCAACGTCACCGTGTCATTGCTTACTTTTTTTTTTGTATTTCGGCCGCATCAGTTCAGGGAGATATTCTGAAACTTAACTACATGAGACTTAGGGCCCCTTAGTACGCAATGTAAACAAATTTGTACTGATCAAAAATTATGTAGGCCCCTAGAATATACCTTCACTTTTCAACATCTTGGCGAGCTCGTGTGGGAACTTTCAGGCAGCATTGCCTCCTGTATTTCCTCTTTGCACATTTTCTCACTGACCAAATGTCCCCTTGCGGTAAGAGGGGTGCTTTCGGTTATCTGAAACTGTAATTTACTAATATGAGAATGATTGTTATCTGTGCACCTGTTGTCAGGTTATAAGTGCAGAGACCTAATGAATGTGACATTCAATACTCTTTTTGGGAGGGGCTGACATTTGATTTTCCAACCAAGCTTTTCATGCCGCTGTGAAAAGCTCTCTCTCAATAGTGGTTAAACATTCAATGGTTGGTTTCAAAAGTGCATGGAATTTCATTACATGAGAAGGCACTCCACTTTGCGTCTCTCATAATCATATCGTAGTGTTGAGATGCGAAACCCCGTGTATCACATTTTCACTTGCTATGCACCCACTGCGTGGTCTTAAGGTAGTATACGCAATAACAAGTGTGCCTTTTGTAATGGGTGGCCAACTTTGAAACATAAGGTCGCTCGAATAATTTAATGTTTTGATGCCCGATGGCAATGTATGCTTCAATTTAATTCAATTTCAATTTATTAACCAGAAAAACAATCTAGAGGGACACTTGGGCAAAAAGCTGTTGCGGCAGCTTGACAAAGGCCCAGGGTCCCTTACCACTTGTACCAAGTAATATCACTGTGATATTACATGTATTTTAAAGCTTCCATAGTGAATGCGAGTGTTCGTAAAGCATCAATGTTATTTGCACTGCATTTCCAAGCAGAGGAAGTTATTTTCACTGTATTTTTGAAAAGACTTGTGTTTGTGTGATGCAACACCCACTTGCTACGCGAATGACCCTGTGTTCGATCCTCACTCGGACCTGGAAATTTTTAACATTTACTTTATGTGCATCATTCTCGATTTTGAGATCATGGACAGGATGGTTTTTCGCTCACAATGGACGCTGACATTGACCTTAGAATTGAGGTGAAACGAGCTCTTTATCGCTATTATGTTTAAAATAGGGTTCGTTTGAGCTAATAAAATGAACAATCTTTCCCATTTTATCAATAGTGTCTTGTGAACTGGTTGTCTGTACCTTTAAGCCCCCAGCAATTTGTGGGTATAGGCATCAACGTTGGTGTGTGCTTTCCAACAGGTTCGGCTTGGATGCTACTTCCGTCGGTGATGAGGGTGGCTTTGCCCCGAACATCCAGGACAACAAGGAGGCCCTGGAGCTGATCATGGAAGCTATCAAGGCAGCTGGCTATGAGGGAAAAATTGTCATTGGAATGGACTGTGCTGCCTCAGAGTTCTGCAAGGATGGTGAGGAACATTTACCCCTTTTTTTCAATTTTAAAGGCAATGCTTTCCGTAACAGTATAAATAGATCATTTTGTCTGATGAGCCTGTTGATTAATCAGCCTTAGTGAGAGCCTCTGAGCTTTGCCAGCTCTCTAATGAACTGAACTACGACCGAGTATACCCAAATTGAAGAGAATTCATGCTGTAGGCCTGTCTGACAGGAACAGATGATGCATTTAAATTAACTGAATTCTCAAACTAATGTGGTCAAATTAAAGGGGTTCTACTGTATAAGTCTCTTCCACTATCTGATTAAAGGTGAGGAAACATACTTCAGTCTCTGCTTGCAGGTGATCCCCTTTCTAATATAGTTCACTCGATCTAATGAAATCTAATTTTATGAATTTTCTAATCTAACTTGAAGAAAACGATACCATTTTCTGGCAGGTACTCGCAGGCATTCAATGGTGTGATCAGCTTGAATTAATGAAACTTTTCATGGCACTCAACTTGTTATAATGGAAAATTCTCCAGAAATGAATGAGCGAAAATGCACTGATTTCTGAGTTATTTCCTTTACAGGGGCGTATTTTATTCAAACCTTACCCACGCCACTTCGTTTAGGTGAAGCTGCACACTTTAGTCCAGAGTGCTCTTAGTGTTCAATGGCGCTGGGTGATAATGGTTTGTTGTCCCTGCAAAAACACCCACAGGTTGGGTTTGCATTCTTGCTCTCTCTGCTCACACATTAGCTGTATTCGTACTGTGTTCTTAAAGGTTGGCAGCTTTTCGCATATTCATGGGACAGTCTACCTCGTCTGTATCATCTTTACGTGGGAGAAATACGTGTTTAAGTTGTCCTCGCGGACTTTTCACTCACACATGCAGCCATGTGTCAGTGGAAAACAAAAAAAGCTGCAGTAGTTTTCAGGTGACCCAACATACATTACAATTTTAGGTATCGAATGAGCATTTACTGTATATACAGAGGGACTAGTGTTTTTACAAAATTGCTGTAAACCGATTTCAGTAACACTGTTTACGTACGTAAATGTTTCTACTCACGGTACAGCCACTGGTAAACAGTACTGCTGATAAATGGGACACGTTTTTCTGGTTCGTTGAGGGACCAGAAAAACAGGGCCCATTCAACAGCACTATTTATGAGTCAACTGTATTATTCTTTTCTAGCAGATAGTTCTGATTGCATCCCTACGTTTTTAAGCGAGATTATTACACAAGGGGAAACAGTATTGCTTGAGCTGATTATCATAAGGAAGTGCGTTGATAGTATAGCAGGTTGGCACTCTCCACAGCAAGCTTTTGCTGGTGTGTTGGAATTTATAGATGGCTGCATATCGTTTGCACAATTGAACATGTAGGTAGGTGTCTGTTCATATGGGATCAGGTTTTCAACACTATAGGCACCCTTATGCTCAACGTCAGAGTTAAATTAAAATTTGTACAAGTCTGCCACAAAAGTTTATGGATCATGTTAGCAGCCTTTCCAATTTGCTAGGATACTTTAATTCCGATCAGAAGTAAAGGCAGACTCTGAATCTGATTTCATCATTGCTGGTAAATGTAATTCTAATGTGATTGCATATCAAAAGTATAGCGGATTCACTGAACAATTCACTCTTTTTTCCAGGCAAATATGACCTCGACTTCAAGAACCAGAATTCCGACCCCAGCAAATACGTCGACCCGAGCCAGCTCCAGGCTATGTACGAAGATTTCATCAAGTCCTACCCAGTGGTTTCTATTGAGGATCCCTTCGAGCAGGACCACTGGGATGCCTGGACTGCCTTGAACACATCCACCAAGATCCAGATTGTCGGGTAAGTATCTGCTGGCGGAATCGCGTTTTGTGCCATGCCGAGCAGAAGTGGCTACAGTAAAACATCGCTAATAATTACCCGCTTGAGAAGCACTGAAGGTTGAAATGTTACAAAGATAAATCCCTATGTATTTGCTCCGAGCCCTAGACGCTAAACATATGCCTTTCGTTACTGTGTGCCACAGCAACTTTTTTGCCTATAAGTCAACTGCGACCCTCAACTCCTTACTGGCCCAGTGAGCCATGAGGTGTGTGCCGTCCTTTTCATAAATGCAGAAACTTGTCAATCTGTGATTCGAATTTCCACGCGACTGGGGTTCTCCACAGATGAGCGTCAGAAATAAACGAAGGCAAGATGGAGTAGTATGTGTCGTCAATGACAACCTTATAATAAGCATCCTCAGCTATGTACAGGTGACAACCTAAGTGCACCGAATTGTGTGAGATCACCTTCCAGTTGTACTGCCTCTGGGATCAGCCCACCTTTGTGCGACATCTGTTATCATAGTGACTCCACTTTTTTTTTTTTCATGTAAATAAATTTGTATGGTAGCCGCAGAATCTAGATGAGCAATGAATGGCTCTGCTGCAATTTTTTTTTTAACTGCTTGTACCATACCTGCCATGTTCAAGGATTCTGAATCCGGGAAATTTCTGCAGCAGGGGGGGTAAGGAGGCTGAATTATTTTCTCCTATTTTTTTGGCACAAAAAAAAAAAAACTCAAGGACAAACAAACAAAAAAACATTGCGAAAAACAATAGGAGGTGGGGGGGGGGTCCTCAATTGCAAGCGCAAGCATCAGCGTTGCGGTTGGCTTGTAGTAGCCGAGCACACGAAGGTAGGGTTTCCAACTAAGGTGGGAGTCTCAAAGGATCAACACAACTAGCAGAATATTTCCTTCAAGACAGCTCGTGTATGTCTTACTGAAACACACGTGAACGGATGGGACGGCGTAGCTGGCTGCCGTGCGAAAACGTAGGTCAAAGCTTTGCTCCCTACTAGATTCTTTTGACAGGAATGCCAAAACGTGCCTAGCCCCTTTGTTATTGACAGTCTTGGCTGGTCTTTTGCCGTCGCCGCTACTGCCGTCATTCACCATATATGTATACTTATCTATATATATTAACACACTAGAAAGGAAAAAAGCCACTGCGGTTATTGCCCAGCTTGTCCCGATGCGCCGACACGTGTGCCTACGGCTTTCACTGGAACGATTGCGTTAGTTGCCGGGCCCACAAAGGTATCTTCGGTCTATGCACAGGACCCGTTTGCGAAAAGAGCGCGCTTTTCATACACAGCGAGGTATAACTGGGACACTTGTTAGTTTGTACTCCTCCGTACCTGTGATTATGTATCGAGCATCGCTTTTTTTTAACAGCGCGTAACATGTCGAGCGGTAAACGCTGTTGGTTTGCTCTCGTCTTGTGTCTATTGTTTTCGTGCATCATTTGTGCGTGAGCAGCGTGCTGCACGTTTCGATCTGCTTGGCGTTCTTACCCCCGAATGCAGAGATGTTACTTGACTCGTACTTGACTCGTTCTTGACTCAAGACAGTCTTGCCGGTCGCCATAAATCGTTCGGATGACTTGAAGGCGACTTGGCTCGGTCGAAGTCAGGGCAAGTTTCAAGTCAGCTGCGGGGCTAGCTTGAAAGCGACTTCACGCGTTATTCCAACATGGCCACCTCTCGAATAGACGTCGCGTGAAAGGTGGCTGCTTTTGAGTTTGCTTGCCTTGCCATAAGCGTAGCATTTTTTGAGGTGCACTGCCTGCCAAAGATTCTTGGAACCGCTTTACGTGACCAAGAAAATCCGATGGAGTTGTACGACGAGCAACAATGCCACGCTAGGTATAGATTCATGAAGAACGCCGTGGGGCAGCTGCTCGTTATGTTGCCGCTCCGTGAAAGTGAGGACAACCGAAGACAACCAGTGCATCCAGTGTTACAGCTACTGATGGCTCTCAGGTTTTACAGCGCTGGCACATTCCAACCAGTCACCGGAAATTTCGTCCGCATTCCGTAGTCGACAGTGTGCCGTGCAGTCGGAAAAGTTGCGCTACTCATCGCAAAGCACCTGTACGCGATGCTGGTGCGCTTTCCGCAGCCGGCGGACTGTTATGAAGTGGCTGAGTTTCCTTGCGTTACAGGTTGTCGACTACACACACGTGCGTATTAATAGCCCCGGTGTCGACAACGCAGAAGTGTTCCGTAACCGCAAAGGCCATTTCTGTTTTTCTATAACACGAAGACATTTTCCGTCTCTTTCGGTAAAAAAAAAAAAAAAAATTGACTCGGTGCTGTGTCCGTGTGCCTCGTCTATACTTTCGTCCCGTCTAGGGCGCTGTTTCTCGCTCAGAAAGGCATCGCTTGTAGCACAACGCTACGTAAAATTACACTCGTAAGAAAGAGGTGCCCCTATCACGGGTTTTTTTATCCGTGTCACCATCATGCAGCGATACATTGATGCACCCCACGAGACAATTTTGCTGAGGGCAATGTCCTGACCCCCGCTTTTTCTCTTGTTTACCAAGCTGAACAAAAGGATACGAATCACATTTGTTCCCAGAACTTGTTTTTTTTTTTTTTCATAATAATTGCGACCTAGCCTATTACAGGCATGCACACAGGCGAACAGAAAGGCAAATACCGTGAAAACCGCGTCGCCTCGTGAGCCAGGTTAGCACAAATACATGCCATGGCGTTCAATTGAAAAAAAAAAAAAAAGACGATGGAAGAACCCAACGCGATGCTTGTTTCGCCTCCAAACAAGCAACCGTGGAGAAATTCCCCGCATTTGGGTGGCCACTAAAACCAGCGGGCAACGAACGCTTTACAGAAGCAACACTGCGCATCGCTGTGGCGGCAGGCACCACGTGCCGCTCGTTAGCCGTAAAATGGCAAGAATATGCTTGTGGCCCTTCGTTTTTATAGTTACTTTAAAACGTATGGTTTTTTTTATGTAATGCATGCCTTACGCAAACAACTTCATTATTACCCTTGTTAGCAGGCGTGCAGCGTGTTTCTGCTTTGAAGCTCGTTCTTGACTTGACCAAGCAAGACAGCCTGAGCATCTATGAAACGCGAAGACTGACTTGGCCGTTTTGAAGTCCGCTGCTTGCTTCACGCCTACTTGCTCAAGTCAAGTCGAAGTCGCGAGCCAAGTAACATCTCTGCATTCGGGGGTTAGTGCGACATTGCAATTTGTTACTGTCGTATTCATTGCTTCGCCCTTGCAGCGAAACTGACTTTTTTTTACGTATTTATTGCCTTTAGTCTACCGCTGTGTGCCCTCGGAGCTCGTAGATCGCTATTGCGCCACAGCGATGTTGTGCGCGGCGGTTGCTGCAAATGGTAGTCCCTTTAAGGGGCGAAGCTCCTTAGGGCGTGGGCTGTGCGTCCCCTGTAGCCTGTATGTAGCCACCTCTAGTTTAGTTCTTGCAGTGTTCACTAGATGGCGGTACCGTCCCCTGTATGTAGCCACCTCTAGTTTAGTTCTTGCAGTGTTCACTAGATGGCGGTACCGTCTCCTGTATGTAGCCACCTCTCGTTTAGTTCTTGTAGTGTTTACTAGATGGTGGTACTTGTAGCTGATGATGAAAAGATGCAAGATGTTATAAACTAGAAAGCGGTACTTGTAGTTGATGAAAGACGCGAGATCTTATAAAATAGGAATGATGTCACATATGGCGCGTGTCATTGGTTGAAGGCAATCGTTCGATTTAGTGCGGCGACGTACGCTAGGGGGAGCGTTGTAATAAAATCCGTTCGCTGTTGGCGCGCGCTCGGAGTCGCCGGACGGATAAGGCTGCACAGCAGAGAGAGCGCAAGGCGGCAGCAGCGCGCGCTCGCAGACAGAATCCCGATGTGCGAGCGCGCGAGGCAAGGGACATTGCAAGCCATCCATCGTCTAAGAACAAATAAAAGTTGATTAGTGTATATACACACACAGCGTTTCTCACGTCTTTACATGATGATCGACTGGGCGAATTACACGGAAGATTCACAGTTTACCGATGAATCCTTCCGGAGCTTCGCCCATTCATCATCATTCACCCCGTGAATATGCTGTAATTTTTTTCAATCCCCGTGCACTTGACATAGCACACGCCTTCAAAACGGTCGTTTTATGCTGTCTACGATCACACCTGCCGCGGTTTTGTCCGCAGGATTTGTGGAAAGCAGCATTGCTTTGACTGGTTGAGTGTTGGAGGCATGCACACTTTCGTGACTCTTTCAGCTACGTCGTCACCATACATGATCGCGTCAAAAGCGACCACGGCATCGTCAACAGCGGTTGTGGCAACAACAATTGCGCACACTGTAGAAGACTGTGCGTGTGTCGGTCGCACGCGTACTTCTGAAGCTTCGAGTACGCTGCTCTCAGCCTTCGTTTGACGATGTCCGTACCAAAGTTCGTATCACCTGCCGCGATTAGGAAATGTGTTCGGAACATTCGATTTTAAACCCAATAGACATAGTGGAATTTTGCTGAGGAATTTCACGAATTCGTATCTGCCGCGGTTTCGCATCACTGAGATTCTACTGTACGTTTAGATGAACGCCTCTTAAACTCATTCATAATAAAATGGGGTAGGTTCGAAAAGCCTGGAGCAGATTGAGCTGCTTTTGTCAAGGCGGCTGGATCATGCACAAAAATTTCTATTTCCGGGAGATTTTTATGACAACCGTAAAAACGAAAGGAACTGTCCAAATCTGGGAGTCTCCTGGCCAGTCCGGGAGTCTTGGCAGGTATGTTGTACTGTTTTTGTGCCTGTGAATGCTAACCCCTGCCTCTTAATTAAACTTTTCAGAGATGACTTGACAGTCACCAACCCCAAGCGGATTCAGACTGCCATTGACAAGAATGCCTGCAACTGCTTACTCCTCAAGGTCAACCAGATTGGCAGCATCACTGAGGCGATTAAGGCGTAAGTCTAGTGGCAGTGTCTTTTGGGGGGGGGGGGGGGCTGCATTGCTCATGCATCGATCGCTGTGGATCGTGACACAATTCAAGTGCAGCTGGGAGAGCCTTTTACCAGCTTGAACTTGCTCTGTGAACAAAGCATGTTATACATTGGTTTTTGACTTCGTTCATTGCTTGACCAGTTGTGCACAGTGATGGATATTTAAAACGTGAGGCGCAAAAAAACCCGCGCTGCAGTATGGTTTTAACTTTAGATGAAGCCTGCTAAATTGTCCCAAAGATCAAAAAGAAATGTAGCTCTCAAAAGGGACGCAAAAGGGAAATATCAAGTCTGCATATATTGTTAAAATTACATTCTAGAAAGTTTCGCACCTGTTTTGTGTCAAGGAAATGCTTAATAAAAGGAAATGGTGCTGCATATGACAAGAATTTGCTGGGAGTGTTCACTTCATTGCCACAACTGTATAGACAGGCTGCCACAAAAGCACCAAGCAACATTTCACATGCCTTCATGTGATGCTATGCTAATTTTGCCAAATATCAAGTTATGAATGCAAATTGAATTAGGACAGAAATATATACGAAAACATAACCGTATTTATAGTCGCCTTTCAATTCTTCTGCTAATCCGGCCACGTGCTCCTTTACATGCAGTCACCAGCTGGCCAAAAAGAACGGTTGGGGTACCATGGTGTCCCACCGCAGTGGCGAGACTGAAGATTCGACGATCGCAGACATCGTGGTGGGTCTGAGCACGGGGCAGATCAAGACCGGCGCCCCCTGCCGTTCCGAGCGTCTGTGCAAGTACAACCAGCTGCTGCGTATTGAGGAGCAGCTTGGAAGCAATGCTGTCTATGCTGGAGAGAACTACCGCCATCCCCTGCAGTAGGCAAAGTCCAAACAAGCACTGCCACCAAAGCCCCCCTCTAACCTTTTCTAGACACTGTTGTAGCGGTGACAAGACTGTCTTCGTAACAGCCTCATTTCTTCTTCACCCGGTGCTCGACCGTTTGTTTTTTTCTTCGAAGTCCCGCTAGTCACCAAAAATTAAAATTTTGGCAGTGCTCATTTATTGCCGTCATGAGCAGAGCTCTCTCCCAGGTGCCATCTGCGTCGTGCTTTAAAGGCAGTGGCACAAGCATTGGAAGGGGGCGACTTGAAAAACCAGTGAAGCACTGCTAATACTTCCGAATGCTACTGCTTTGGCAGGCATTTTCTAAGTTCCTGTGTGGCACGAGTTCTGTAAATCTGTTTTAGCTTCCTACTTGACCTGTTGTCCTGCTCTTTCTGTGTGTGTGCTTGCATGTACAACACGGCCACTCTGTCATGTTTAGTGAACAAAATCTCTTGGGGCAGTGCAGAGTCATCTGAGAAAGTGGAGTGAATAAATGTACGAGAAAATTCACTTGTGCCTCATGTTCAGTAACCTATACATTAATGCACTTACTTGCACCACTCCACATGGGAATGCTGCGAAGCGTCCTGCCTGCCTAGAATACCCAAACACTCTCTTCTCAGTGAGAAGCGACTTTCTGGCACTACCAGGGAAGGGAAGACTTGTTGCTGAGGGCTCCACTTTAGGGGACTTGCAAGCAATGTCTTTTACTAAGTTAAACCTGGGTATAACGAAATTGATAAATTCCTTGAAAAGTTCGTTAAAATGAAGATTTCGTTATATGCAGGTTCTGTTCGAAAATTCGGAAACGAAATGCGCAAATTAAAAGGGGTACTAAAGGCAGAGATAACCCAGAACACGCAATTTACAGTAAAAAAAAAAAAAAACTTCGTAACTGCCGTCAAATGCTCAAACAGTAAGTAACCACCCTTCTTGAACGAGCATGAAACAACGCGGCGGGGAGGGAGGGGAATCGCTCGAGTAGTAATAATGAACTTTAAGGGCGGTTGCGATCGCTGGCGTGCTTGCTATCTCGGCCAGTATCAGTTCGGTTTAAACGCGAAGGGACTGTGGGAAAACAGCACTTCTCCCTGGAGCGGCCGTGTATGCTCACACCAGCGTTTTGTAGGAGTTCCGCGATAACGGATCCAAATGAGTTGTCTGCCGGCCTTACTCCTCATAGCATTACAATTTTTTTTATATCGCGTTCATCGTTCGCGCCGTCGTGTTGTTGCCAGAACTAATCGGCTTACCGCGAAAGCTACCAGCCTGCGAACTCGCGGCGCAAGACGGAAGCGCGAGACGAGTCGACCTCCGAATATCCGTCCTCACCGTGGTCTGACATCCCCTCGGTGGTGACGACACGATTGTCCGAAATTAGAAAAAAGTCACAGTTTCGCCGGAAGGGCGAAGCTATATGCGATAGCAACAACTTGGAATTAACACTGAGAACGGCAAGCAGATGAAAACGTGCAGCGCGCCGCTCACGCACGAATGACGCTAGAAAACAACAAACACAGGACGAGAGCGAAAAATTTAAGTTTACCGCTCGACACTTAGCGCGCTGCTTAAACAAAAAACGAGGCACGAAACGTAATCGCAGGTACAGATGTGAGTGCGAGCCAACAATGAGCCCCAGTCAATTGTTACTTTGCTGTGTTTGAAAAGTGCACTCTTTTCGCAAACGGCGTCTGTCCTGCGAAAGAAGGGATGTTTGCGCACCCGGCAACTAAACGTATTCGTTCCGGTGAAAGTCGAAGGCGCGCGATTCACTCCACCGAAGGATAAGCGCACACGCATCTACCCCCCCCCCCCCCCAATTTTCGCGGGGCAAAGTACGCGTGGGAGACAAGCGCGCGTCGGCGCATCGTGACGAACTGGGCGCCGTGCGTGGGCGGCTCTACGGAAAAATGTTGGTCTGTCTGTCTATGCATTTGTCGATTCTCTCCACCGAAGGATAAGCGCGCGCACACACGCATCTAACCCCCCTCCTCCCCTATTCGCGGGGCAAAGTACGCGTGGGAGACAAGCGCGCGTCGGCGCATCGTGACGAACTGGGCGCCGTGCGTGGGCGGCTCTACGGGAAAATTTTGGTCTGTCTGTCTATGCATTTGTCGATTCTCTCTACCGAAGGATAAGCGCGCGCACACACGCATCTAACCCCCCCTCCCCTATTCGCGGGGCAAAGTACGCGTGGGAGACAAGCGCGCGTCGGCGCATCGTGACGAACTGGGCGCCGTGCGTGGGCGGCTCTACGGAAAAATTTTGGTCTGTCTGTCTATGCATTTGTCGATTCTCTCCACCGAAGGATAAGCGCGCGCACACACGCATCTAACCCCCCCTCCCCTATTCGCGGGGCAAAGTACGCGTGGGAGACAAGCGCGCGTCGGCGCGTCGTGACGAACTGGGCGCCGTGCGTGGGCGGCTCTACGGAAAAATTTTGGTCTGTCTGTCTATGCATTTGTCGATTCTCTCCACCGAAGGATGAGCGCGCGCACACACGCATCTAACCCCCGCTCCCCTATTCGCGGGGCAAAGTACGCGTGGGAGACAAGCGCGCGTCGGCGCATCGTGACGAACTGGGCGCCGTGCGTGGGCGGCTCTACAGAAAAATTTTGGTCTGTCTGTCTATGCATTTGTCTGTTTGTCCGCCCTGACGATACCTCAAACGGCCAACCCCATCCGCAGCGCCCACCAATATTGCTCAAGGTTTAGTGTTCATAGTTGTGCGATTTTCAATAAAAAGCAATTATTGCGCATATCTGAGGCGCCACAACAACGCTTCGATGTTTTCTATGTCTGCCTTTATACGAGAAGTGGCGCAGACAAGTAACTCTAAGGAATGTAGCGTAACTCTAAGACAGTGCAACGCGATGCTAAAAAAATGGCAGCATATCCACGGAGTGAATGATAAAGAGTGGGGCGAAGCATCCGTCCGTCCATTCGTTCTTGCTTCCGTCCGTCCATGCGTGCGTCTGTGTGGCCGCCCGTGCGTCCATCCGCCCGTCCATGCGTGCATCTGTTCGTGCGTCCGCATGTCCATCTGTGCGTCCGCCCCTGCGTTCGTTCATGCATCCGCTCCTGCGTCCGTCCATGCATCTGTCTGTGTGTCCGTTCGTCCATCTACTCAACACCCCAAGTACCACCATCTCGCATCTTTTCATCATGTATTCCCCATATATAAGCACCGCCATCCAGCGGACATTCCAAGGACTGAACGAGAAGAGGCACACGCACACTTTCTTACGGCTTGCGCTTCGTGTCTACTTCCCACCTTTAACCACCTCGAGTTCATGGTATATACTAGTTCACTGTATTCATGGCACTGCGGCCCAACGCTCGCTAAACCTTTCTAAAACCAAGGAGGTTATGCCCAGCGAGTATAACGTAGCAACCCTTTCTTGTCAGATAGTGCTCAATGTACAAGCCAATGGCTGCTAAGGGGGAATGAGAGACAGGAGAATTCAGCTTTCAGTTAACGCGCACGCTGCGAATTTTTTTTTTTTATTCAACAACGCACAGAAGAAATCTCTCACCGGCACCACCTTGGAGGTCAAAATGCAAGACTGGTTACACACTACTACTACGACTACGAGGGACGAACGGTGCCGCTATAAGGAGCTTCACCCCTAAAAGGCGTTTCCAACGCTTTGCTACGACGTCACGGTGGTGGCGCGCATCTTTCTCCGCGGGCTGCGCGCCTTCGTTTTCGAAGATAACTGCCAGATGGCTCTTGTGTCTATTGTGCCTAGATGCGCTCGTTCGCCTCCACCACACGCTCGAGGCACTCTAACGCAGCGCCTCCAGAATACCATTCACCGATTTTCTTGCGCAGAACATCAAATAAACGTTTTGTTCACTCTCTCCAGACGCAAGACTATCGTCTTTCGACATTTACAGTGTAACATGTAGATTCGGGCCAATTTTTTTCTCGAGTTTTTACATAATATATTGTAGCGATGCTGAGGCAGACAGGCTAAAAACAAGCAACTTTATTAGGGCGAACTTGTGCCCACAAGTCTAATGACTATGGTCGTCGAGTCCGAGTAGCCGAGAGGCACCGATTCAACTATCTTCTTCCTCGTTGTTGGAGCGCACGAACGCGTGGCGCATGCCAGCCGGGTCTTGCTGGTGCTCTTGCCATGATGATTGCGGCGGGCTACTTGGACGTGGCCAACCTGTCGCGGCATTATCCCCCTCCTCAGGTGCATCGTCCCGATGCTTGAGAGAGTGAAATGATACATGCGCCCTCTCACTCGTTTTCCGACGATCTGTCATGATAGGGCTTCATGCGGACTACGTGTACCACTTCCGTGGTATTGCGGCGTCTTGAGCTCACGTGTCCAGCGGATCTGACTTCATAAGTGACGTCGCTGATACGGTTGAGTACTTCATAAGGGCCGAAGTATCGACAAAGAAGCTTTTCAGAGAGTCCGCGGCGGCGCACTGGGATCCATATCCACACTTTGTCACCGGGATGATAGAGTGCGTCACTGCGTCGCTTGTTGTACCGACTAGAGTCGATGCGCTGTTGACGGCGTATTCGGTACCTTGCCATTAGTCGTGCTTCTTCGGCTCTTTGCAAGAAGTCATCTAAGTCAGGTGGATAGCTGTTTTCGTCCTGTATTGGTAACATAGCATCCAGTGGGGTGGTGTTATGCCAGCGAGTCCTCGTCAAACGTCCGTGCCTCGGAAAAAGGCAATCTGGGTCAAGGCCAGCCCGCAGTCTGCCTGGCGCGATCACCTCGACGGCGTGAACACGCGCGGCGCCCCTCTGGCCCAGGTGCAGTGAGTCAGCGGCGCACGTGACAGCGAGCCGGCGGCCGCGTGTCGGGTGGTCTGACGCATGGCGCGGCGACCCCCATTGGCGGAATCTGCCCGGACGACCAGCGGCGCTTCTGATTGGACATTTTGGTTGGACCCGGTGTAAATAAAAGAAGCCCTGCGGCGCGTCGCGATCGGCGGTCCTATGTGAGAGGCGTCCCCGTGTCGGAGTGCCGACATGTGTGTGAGTCAGCGGTCTTAGGCGAAAGACTGACCTATGTGTTAGAGAGAAGAGCTCGGCTCTTCGAGTCTCTGTCGGCCCCAGTGCCGAAATTGTAACGCCTCTGTAAATATGCTGTACATAAACCTTGTTTAACTCACCGTCGTCTCGTCCGCTCGTCTTATCAGCTTTGCGCGCAGAAGCAGTCGCGAGCTGATAAACATACGCTACCAAACGGCTGGTGACCTTCCCGGCGGAGTTGAAAGCAGTGGCGCCTCCGGGGCCGTGTTGGCGTCGCCGTCTTTCGCAACAGTGGTGGCTTCGGCGGGATCGGTCCGCCGTTTCTCAACAGTGGTGGCAGCGGTGGGATCGGCCGGCGTCAGCGACATCGATGCGGTGAGTGCCTGATGTTTTCCCCTCAGTTCACCAGACTACTCTAGCTCAGGTTGTAGTAGTTTAGAGAAGGGCTGTGTGAAGCATTGAAGTGAGCTTTGATAGTTTCAAGCCAAGTCGAAGCGCTTTGAAA